ATGGGTATCGGCAACGGCATGAACACTTCGACCATTCCCACTTATCAAGGTGCGTCCCGGCTTTGCCAACCACTGACCGACAAAGAATACTAACAGATTTTGTAGCCGAATGCTCAAAGACATCGAACCGCGGTCTTCTCATCTGCATTGAAGGCGGTGTCATTGCCTTTGGTACCTTGATTGCTTACTGGATCGACTATGGTGCATCTTACGGTCCCGATGACCTCGTCTGGCGCTTCCCCATCGCTTTCCAGCTTCTCTTCGCCATCTTCATCTGTGTCCCCATGTTTTACCTTCCCGAGTCGCCCAGATGGCTCCTCAGCCATGGCCGGACCCAAGAAGCCGACAAGGTCATTGCTGCCCTCCGTGGCTACGAGATCGATGGTCCCGAGACCATCCAAGAGCGCAACCTCATTGTTGACTCCCTGCGTGCCTCTGGAGGTTTCGGCCAAAAGAGCACTCCCTTCAAGGCCCTCTTCACTGGCGGCAAGACCCAGCATTTCCGTCGTCTCTTGCTCGGTTCCAGCTCCCAGTTCATGCAGCAAGTTGGTGGTTGCAACGCCGTCATCTACTACTTCCCTATTCTGTTCCAGGATTCTATTGGCGAGACCCACAACATGTCCATGTTGCTGGGCGGTATCAACATGATCGTCTACTCCATCTTCGCTACCGTTTCCTGGTTCGCCATTGAGCGTGTCGGTCGCCGTCGTCTGTTCTTGATCGGTACCGTTGGCCAGATGCTCTCCATGGTCATCGTCTTCGCCTGCTTGATCCCCGACGATCCCATGAAGGCCCGCGGTGCCGCAGTCGGTCTCTTCACTTACATTGCCTTTTTCGGTGCCACTTGGCTTCCCCTCCCCTGGCTCTACCCCGCCGAGGTTAACCCCATCCGTACCCGTGGAAAGGCTAACGCCGTCTCCACCTGCTCCAACTGGATGTTTAACTTCCTCATCGTCATGGTCACGCCCATCATGGTCGACAAGATTGGCTGGGGAACTTACCTCTTCTTCGCTGTCATGAACGGCTGCTTCCTTCCCATCATTTACTTCTTCTACCCCGAGACCGCGAACCGCTCGCTCGAGGAGATCGACATCATCTTCGCCAAGGGCTTCGTCGAGAACATGTCGTACGTCACTGCCGCCAAGGAGCTGCCTCACCTCACTGCCGAGGAGATCGAGGTCTATGCCAACAAGTATGGCCTCGTCGACCGCGATTCCAACGGCGAGGGCGGCAACCGCCATGACGAGGAGAAGACGCGCGACCGCCCCGACCAGAGTGACAGCGACTCCCCCGCTCACGTCGAGATCGATGTTGTCGACGAGCACGGTGTCGAGTCCGGCTTCGGTGATGGTATCAACACCAAGGAAACACGGTAAAGGGCTGGAGAAAAATCTTTCATCATGACATGAGTGGTTTGGGGGAACAGAAAGAGAAAAATTGAGGCGGTGATTGATTGGGATATGCATATGAACGACGAAGGATGACGAAGAGACAGAGGGTTTTAACGACCACAACCCTTCTGTGATGATACCCGCCGGGTTTTTCGGTTTTGTTTTTCCTATTTCTTTTTGTTGCTGTTGGAATCCGTTCAGTGATGATTTTCGACGATTCCCAGCACCATCATGTTTTGTGGTTTACTGGCGCCGTCTGCGCGGCCTTGTTTGCTGCTTTTCTTTTCCTTTTGCACTTCGCATTATACCTCTGGCTTGATGGTTCGGTGTATAAATACCCCCGCATATACCCATGGAAGTCGAGTACTTTGGTAGATAGATGGACTAGTTAGAAGCTAGATCTTTTGTATCCCATCTTGAATGAGAAAAAAAAAAAAATCATTATAAAATACTTGTCTGACTAGGTACTCAGTGCGTGTAATGCTTTCGAGAATGTGTGACGGGTGGAAGGTGCATCTCAAAATCTTCGGGTATTTGGCTGGCATGGCACGCCCGGGCATTTTCCCAATCATTGCTTCCCATCGTTTCAGATGTCTGACCTGTCAAAAACAGATGACTCGAATTACCGACCGACCTCGAATGGCAAACGCTCAAGTGAGCCACTTGGCATTTCTTTGTGATGCTTGAGCTTACAAGGACCACACCCAACAACACAGCCATTATTCACATACGCGCCGCTTGAACAGCCAACCAACGCCTTTGATACGCCAACGGTTTCTCAACGTCCTTTGATCTTCCCATTGCTCTCATCTTAGACGTCTATTTCATCAGCGGCGAGCTTTGCATAGGTACCAATTTGTTTGGCCTTACTGACCTCAGTGCGGCTTCGCAGTGTGCAAACATAACCCTCTATTCAATGTTGGATGTCCCACCTCTCACATCAAGTCTCCCAGGAAGAAGAACTCGAAGTTTTCACTTCGTTTCCGCGGACCCCTATCCGCCCATGAATGCGCTTGCAAGTTTCCATACTCTCCCTTTCTCTCTTTTCCCCAGATTTTTCATTGTCGTTTGAACGAGTTACGATGCGGCGCCTGGTACATGACCGAACCAGACTTGACACGATGAGCGTCTAATCTAATCGACCTGGAGATGTTTGCCCCCCATGGCTCACCTTGCAATATGTGAAATGCGTTCTTTGCTATATATCCTTGTCCTGGTGACCAGCCCATTGGTAACCTCAAGTCTTCTATAAAATATCGCGTCCAGAACCCTTGTATCTTGCCTGAGTTCCCTTCTCATCGCTCATCACGTCAACTCACAAGATGATCCACGTCAACAAGTTCAGTACGAGCACGGCTACTGCCGCCCTTCTTCTATTTACCAGTGTCCAAGGACACATGGTGATGCGAACCCCACCTTCCTACAATCTTTACACTGGAGATACACTACTTCAAGTCGATCCTCTGGATGGAGTGAAGTACCTTTACCCATGCCAAAACCGCTATGAGGCCGGCAATGTTACCACAGTCAAGGCAGGCGATGTCCAACTCGTCCAGTTTACCGGCGGTGCTCAGCATGGCGGCGGCTCCTGCCAGTTCAGCGTTTCGTACGACGACCCAGAGAAGTACAACGGATCATGGAACACATCGGCCACATTCAAGACCATTTACACCATTATTGGCGGATGCCCGGCGGAGTTTCACGACGAGGCCAATAACTTACCTACCGAAGGTCGCCCTAAGGATGCGCAACAAAGACTGAACACCGATTTCTGCAACAATGATTCTGGCGTTGACTGCACTCGAGAATTTCTGATTCCTATTCCTGACTTGTAAGTTCACTTCAAATTGGGAGTACCCAATGTAAGCATCGGCAGCACAGTGGCTAACTCATACACACTCACCTAATGCCATAGTCTGCCACAAGGTAAAGCAACTTTTGCCTGGACGTGGTTTAATAAACTTGGACAGAGGGAGATGTACATGTAAGTTGTTCTTTTTTCTCCGGTTGCAATCAACCCCTCTTTCCACCTTTCTCCCCGCCGTACCTCTACACAGCTCCTTCCTTATAACCATATCCACTACCTCGCCCCCCTAACGGACTTTCCCTCACATCAACCTGCCGACCAGACGCCAAGTACTTACACCTACTAACCACTGCCCCTCTTCCCCAACTGAAACAGGAACTGCGCCCCCGTCGAAATCACCGGCGGCCAACCCTCCCCCGAGAAATATGAGTCTCTCCCCAACATCTTCATCGCCAACATCCCCAAACAAAAGGGCATTCCCGGCTACGACGGCTGCGTGACCGGCGGTGGAGCGGCAAATGTCGTCAATATACCCAACCCGGGCAAGTACGGTCGCATCATCAACCAGCTCAAAAGACCATTTAGCAAACCAGATCCTGCACCGGCTGGGTTCAATTTGTGTCCCAAAATTGATAATGACGCGCTGCCCGTGTTCGAGGACAATCCCAAGACGATCAGCAAAGGCGGTGCTGCTCCTACTGGAGGAGAAGAAGAAGAAGCCAACTCTGGTACTTCTGCTTCTGCTTCTGGTACTGTCACTGGCACGGGAAAGCCACCGGCTGTTAGCACCACCACCACCACCTCCGCTTCAGCTGCTGCTGCTGGTACCGAGACGACGGTCGCTTCTATTTCCAGTGCCAGCGCCAGTGCCAGCGCCAGTGCCAGCGGCGATGCCAAGGCCACTGACGTTGATGCTAGCGGCACGTTCATCACTGCCCCTAGCGATGGGTTAGCCTCAACTGCTACGGCTAGCGCTACCGGTGGTGCCGAGTCCGGCTCCGGAGGAGAGAACTCAGAGGGAGGGAAATGTGAGGATGCTAATGCTACCGAAACTGGAGCCGGGGCTGGAGAAAAGACCACAATAGAGGTAACAAAAACCATGACCGTCAAGGTAACGGTAACTGCCAATGTTCCATCAGACGCTTCAGCTTCTGCTGGCTCTGGTTCTGGTGGAGATGAAGGTGGCTCAGGAGAAAAGAAGCAGTGCGAGAAGGGTCAAGTAGCCGTCTGCTTCGGTGATGACTTCTTTGGCTTGTGCGATAACGGGTGGGCCGTTCCTCAAAAGGTCTCTCAGGGGACGAGATGCGAGAACGGTTCGTTGGTGCAATCGGCGGTGCGGAGAGAGGGTGGGAAGAGGGCAGAGAGTTATGCGGCGGGCGAGGGGCATGCCAGAAGGCATTTGACGAGGAGGAGCGGGAGACCGCTTTGAGTGTTTTTTTCTGAGGGAAGACAGGGCATGAACTTGAAGGGAAAGGGGGATTGGGAGATGTTAGGCATGTGACTATGAAGGAATGGATGGATATTTCAAGGCATGTCGGGTCAGTCTTGCTTTTTTGCACTGCGTCACTTTGTTTCTTCTTAGTTCTTCTTCGCGTAGGTAGAGGTCCTGCACCTCTCATTGTTAGACATGTTATTGGCATTTAAGGGTCTGTACTTGATGGTATGTGTGGATGATGGAGCGAAGTGCAACGAGCGATCTCACTGGTAAAACCAAAGTTCTCCTAGCACGTACATTTTTAAGCATGACTGACAGTATGAACGTGTTTGATAGCAGGTATCTTAAAATTCATTCAACAATCTATCGTTAATAGTCACTTGGATGTATGGTATGTCCTTTAATATGTCGAAAATGCAGAAAAAGAGCCTCCCTGAACCTAAGAAACTGAGTAACTCGACAAACCGAACCCAAGACCGGACATTCTACCATTACCCATCATCTCAAATCCACTCAGGATACTCCCTCTGTCTCACAAAGCTTTCATTCCAACCACTCTTCCAAGGGGGCGGAACACGTACACGCTTGATACTCCGTCCACTCGAAGACTGAGTTCCCCTCTTTTTTGATGAACAAGAATAAGCAGAAAAAGAAAGAGCAGGAACAGAAGCAATCGAAGAAGCCACAGTCGAACAAGAACCAGCTGGGGTCCACATCCCACTTGACTCAACAGCACTATCAACCCCAGAACCCAGAGAAGAACCTGTCTCTACAGACTGCTGCTCCAAGGACAACTTCATCCAACTCACTATCTCATCGTCGATCATCGCAATGGTATCCTCTGAACTGGCTGATGCACACGAAAAAGCGGGACTTGCCATTCTTACCGGTAGCAGCACCGGCGGCACCGGGGCTTGAAGACCTTCTTCCAAAGCAGCCAAAGTGACGGTGTCCAGTGGCAGGCCTGGCCTCTGGTGAAGTTCATCATCTCTATCTCCATCTCGATCGAAAGCTTCAAACATCGGTAACACGCCCAACTTCTGCAAGAGGGCATGAGCTTCGGGCCATCCGGCCAGGAAGGGCGTCAGAAACTTTTCTGGAACTTGATCCTGGTAGAGTCTCTCGCCTCGTTCCACGAGTCGGGACAAAACCCAAAGGATAGTGTTCGCTAGTTCCTCCACTTGGTGGGTGTGCTGCTGCTCCTGCTGGTGAGTGTGAGTGTGCGTGTGAGTGTGAGTGACAGCAGTTACGAACTCCTCCATCAACATCTCCAACAGCGCAGGGAGGGTAACCACAGCCGCTTGCGTCTTGAGCACCTTCTTTTCTGCTTCAGCCCACGTGCCTTTGACAACGGCCACTGGCATTCCCAGCATCGTTCCACCCAATCCACCCATCCGCTCCGCAGTCTTGACCACCACTGTTCTCGCCTTCCTTCCATACTTTCCATCCCGCTCAGGAATAAGAACCTCAAGAGAACAACACCCCTTGGCATTGGAAACGGCATTCGACGTCCATCCCTGCGCTTTTGCCCACGAGAGAATGATGGCTTGGTCACCTTCGGGACAGACGATGCTAACCTGTTCCGGAGGGGCGTCGGAGGACGGATGGCGGTACCCCCACACGTAAAGAGCGGCGCGGCCGCAGACGGCGTAGTGAGTGTGCCGAAGAGCCTTTTCGAGGAGGGTGAGGAGGGTTAGGAAGTCGGTTTCCTGCTGCTCGCTTCCGTGTGGTGGTGGTTGTTGTTGTTGTTGTTGTTGTTGCTGTGCGAGGGGTTTGGTTTGTGTCTGCTGAGCCTGGACGAGACCGTTTGTAGGAGAACCCTGGGACTGAGGGGCGAATGCTGACACCGAGAAGGGAAGCATAGGGTTATGCAAGTGGGGAAGGCGGGGCTTGAGGTTCGGAGGAGGCAATGAGGCAGCCGGTGCTGAGACGGGCCAAAGATGAATACTCTGTTGGTTGGCTTCAACTTGCGCTGTGTTGTTAGCTTGGGGTTCTCCTGGTTGGACACCAAGGCGAACCGGTCGCGGGCGAGGAGAGGGAGGAGGGGCAGGAGGGGGGTTAGGAGGTAGGTACCGATGGTTCCTCTTTTCCTGGATAGTTCTGGCGGTGGTGGTCCTCTGGTGCTGGCCTTTTTGAGTTAGCATCGTTTTCTTATGTTGATGGCTTCCTTTCCGGCTGCCATTGCGGCCGCTGGCTTTGTTACCGTGTCTTTGAGCATGTTGGCTTTTGTTGGGTTCCGGACCGCACAACAAATCGCTGAGGATCGTCTTTAGGTAAGCTGTAAAACCCATCTTGACTTGTTGTTGGCAGTGGTCCAGTGTTGTTGTATGGCTGTAGGTGTTTTTGTGAATGACAAACAAAACGCATCTGGAAGTGTGGTAGGCTCTTCGACATTTATATTCGGATGAGAAGCCTCCAAGAGATGAGCGTCTGTCATGAACACCACAAGTAAACAATGCAATTATGGGCACGGCAACGCTGTGCAGAGCATCTGTCAAAGGACAATGGTGTGTAACCAAGAACAGCTTTCCGCGCACAAAGATGTGGTGCACTCATTCCTGTGGCACCAACTCAGGTTTAGGATCGGAAACAAAGAGAAATCAATGTCACTTACACCACCAGCCACGAGCCCGTAAACCAGTCACTGCAAGTCTGTACCTGAACAGACAACCCCATTCACTGAAAATGAAAACCGAATCTTGAACATGGCTACCGGTCTAGCTGCCCATCCTTATACCTAACGCCTAGTCATACAAAATCACAAGTCGGAGGTATGCGCCTGCAAAGAAAAACGTCATGCATGCTTGTCCTTTTGGTTAGGTAGGTACCTATAGCTGCTCCTCCTCGACCTCCATCTGGTCGCCATGTGTGGTGCCGTTGGCCCCAGCGGGGGCATCCTTCTTCGCAATGGTCGCCTCCTTGTCGATCATCTGCCTTGTAACGGCAACAATGTTGTCTTCGATAAGTTGCTGTCCGACATCCTCCAAGTGCTTCTTGGGATCCACCTTGCCAACATAGCGTGTCTTGAGTTGGTCCTTGGTCAACTCTGTCTCCTCCTTGACTCTCTTCTCGTAGCCGTCAGCAAGGCTGACCAGGCGGTCGAGTCTCTCCTTCGTCCTCGATCCCTCGCAGCGGAAGTCCTCCATTTCGAGGGCCTCGGTCCAAACGTGCTTGTGCAAATTCATCAACATGTTCTCCTCCAAGGCGGTCTTGCGGTAGTTGATGCCGATCGAGTAGTAGTGCCTGTTCAGGCCGTGGATGAGAGCTTGGATGGAAGGCTTGTTGAGATGTCCCAAGTTGGATGTCGTCTGGCGGGGCTCCTGACCCAGCATGAGCGACTGGGGGTTGATGAGACGGAAAGCATCAATCACAACCTTGCCCTTGACGGACTGAATGGGGTCAATAACCACGGCGACCGCACGGGAGTTGAGTTGTTCGAAACTTTGTTGGGTGTTAATATCAACCGACGAAAGCCAGCAGCCAAAACCGGGATGCGAGTGGTACCAGCCAACCACGGCCTCGGGCCTGCGAAGGAAAATACGTTAGTGGGTGGTGGAAGGTGGAAGAACAGGTTGGATTGGGTATCTTCTCACCTTCCCGTTTGCCTGAGCATGTCCATCATGTTCATCTGGAAGACGGGGTCGACAGCCTCTACACTGACACCAGTACCGCTTTGGGGCATGGCAAACACATCGACGACGCGAACGGTAAAGTCATCGACAAACTCGCCCAGCATCAGGCCCATGACTTCCATGGGCACACCGGCGCGACCGTGACGCAACATCTTGAGGAGGGCTAGGGAGGAAATGTAGACGGTTTCCGAGTTGTCGATGAGGTTGGTGTTGTCCTGACCAGAACCCAGCACATTAGCATCATGTCCTTGCCACCTTCACGCCAGGCCAAGCAAGCCTGTGGTTCTGTTATTCAAGTTGCGAATGGGAACAAACATACGGCTCCTGGCGCAGTGGCACCGCCCATTCCCAGGCCGCCGCCCAACAAGCTGCGCATGCGATCCATCTTGAATGTGTTTGTTGGTTGGAAAGTAGTGTATTATATGTTGACGCAGCTGTGTGACGGGGAGGTTGAGAATTATTATCGGCGTCGTTCCTCGGGTGTGATGACGTCGCGCAGAAGTGAATAATGGAGGGTTGCGATGCAAACGGTGGCGGACTCGTTGTAAAGTTGAAGTGGGATGTCGTCGATGACAAGAGACGGGGCGGTTTGTTGTTTGGTGGGTTGAGTACCTCTCTACCTACCGCGTCAAGGTTGGAGCATGGAGCATGCAGCACCTATGGGGAGCTTGCCGCAGCTGGCTGGCGGCGGCGTTGACGACAAGCTGTGGCAGCCTGCAACGCCAACTGCCACAAAGTCCACTGCAGGCCAGCCCAGTGACGGAAGGTTCCCTTGAACTGGATGGAAGCTGTGGATTACATAATCTTATCTGGTCTGCAAGTCGGCAGGCAAAGCGGTTGACCTCATTTTGGCGCTTCTTTTGAAGGTTCGACGTTGCCTGCCGACAGCACGACAGGTACTTAGTCCGTTTTCTAATTGGTTCAAGTTGTTGGAGAACACGGAGAACAGCTCAATTGGTACTACACCCCACTCGCCCGTTGGGGTTGCTGGTGCTTGCGCTTTCTTCCCCGCCTGTCCGCCCACGCACCGACCTCAGCGTTGTGCCGTGGCTCGTACAAGCAATTCTGCCAGTGACAGACACCCCGGCGTCAGGAACCGGGCTCGAACTAAACACCATCTTTCTTTTCGTTGCTGGCAAGCCATGACGATACTGCCCAGGTGATTTGCCACATCACGGGGATATTTCTATATCATACTTCGTCATTCTATCAATACCACGATCCTCAACACGTGTTTCCCTCATTCAGCCCGGCGCCCTGAACACTTCCTTTCTCGACGGGGTCCTTCCTATCCCAGCGTCTCCCGGTCAGCGATAACTTCTACTTGGACGTGATATCCACCACCACAACACACACACACACACACCATCCAACCCACAATCCGAATTGTACCGCAATAGTCCTCCGTATCCGCCAACGCAACACAACACAACGGGCAACCCGGCAACATCTGCCCACCATGCCTTCCACATTCACCGATCCCGCCGGAGTCGCGCGTGACGAGCCGTTGTATACCGTCGTCCACAATGACAAGAAGCGGGTCGCCTACTTCTACGACTCCGACATTGGCAACTATGCCTACGTGACCGGCCATCCGATGAAGCCCCATCGTATCCGTCTTGCCCACAGTCTGGTCATGAACTACAACGTGTACAAGTTTCTCGAGGTCTACGTAAGTTTGCTGTGTTGGGGGTACTGGCTTTGGTCAACGACAAACTGACCCTCTCTGTGTTAGCGTGCAAAACCAGCCGTTACCGCCGAAATGACACAGTTTCACACCGACGAGTACATTGAGTTTTTACAAAAAGTTACGCCCGACAACATGGACGGGTTCATGCGCGAGCAGGGCAAGTACAATGTTGGCGACGACTGTCCCGTTTTCGACGGCCTGTTTGAGTTCTGCGGCATCAGTGCCGGCGGAAGTATGGAGGGTGCCGCTCGCTTGAATAGGGACAAGTGCGACATCGCCATCAATTGGGCCGGTGGTTTACATCACGCCAAGAAGAGCGAGGCTAGCGGTTTCTGCTATGTCAATGGTATGTGGCCTTCACAATTTCCTGGAACTCGTACGACGCCACCCATGCTTACCCACTACACCGAACAGATATCGTCCTGGCTATCCTAGAGCTCCTGCGTTTCAAGAAGCGCGTTCTTTACATTGACATTGATGTGCACCACGGCGATGGTGTCGAAGAAGCCTTTTACACGACGGATCGCGTCATGACCGTATCGTTCCACAAGTACGGCGAGTACTTCCCCGGTACCGGCGAGTTGCGCGACATTGGTATCGGTTCCGGCAAGAACTATGCCGTCAACTTCCCCCTCCGCGATGGAATCGACGACACCACCTACAGCTCCATCTTCCAGCCCGTCATTAGCGCTGTCATGCAATACTTCCAACCTGAGGCTGTTGTCCTCCAATGCGGTGGTGACAGTTTGTCCGGTGATCGTCTTGGCTGCTTTAACTTGAGCATGCGCGGCCATGCTAACTGCGTTAATTACGTGCGGAGCTTTGGACTGCCCACTCTGGTTCTCGGCGGTGGTGGCTACACCATGCGCAACGTCGCAAGGACTTGGGCCTACGAAACCGGCCGTCTGGTTGGTGTCGAGATGAACCCAGTCCTTCCTTACAACGAGTACTACGACGTAAGTGGATTAGTTCCATTCTGGTTTACCGCCTTGCTAACAAACTCTTAGTATTACGGCCCCGACTACGAGCTTGATGTGCGTTCTTCCAATATGGAGAACGCCAACAGCCCAGAGTACCTGGAGAAGATCAAGATATCAGTGATAGAAAACCTGAAGAAGACCGCCCCAGTTCCCTCTGTCCAGATGCAGGACGTTCCGCGTCAGGGCTTCGGTATGTCAGACGATCAGGAAGACGAGCTTGACGACATGGATGAGGACGAGAACAAGGATGTCCGGCGGACACAGCGTCAATGGGAGAAGGAGAGAACTAGGCAAGACGAGTTTGAAGAAAGTGATGACGAGGACATGGCTCAAGCCAATGGTGTGTTCAAGCCGAACGGACCGCAGCGCCGGTCCATTCTCGACTTCAAGAACCCCAAGGCCGTGGAGGACATGGATCTTGATATTGGAGAACCAGCTCCGCCCTCGATTGCCGCCACCGCCGCCGCGGCCGCCGCTAAGCCAGCGGAGCCTACTGCTGTCGACAATGATGAGACCATGATCGATAACGACGAAGCCCAAACGGCCGCCGCTGAACCTGAAGCCGAAGCCCCCGCAACGACAGCCGCGCAGCCTGCAGCAAGCTCTGCGGCCAAAGTTGACGAGGATGGCGATGTGGATATGGGCGAGGCCGATGAGAAGCCTGCAGAACCTGAGGCGGAGATCAAGACCGAGGAAATTGAGACTGCCCCTGCTCCGGAGCCGGAGGCAGAGCGCAGGCCAAGTCCCGCCGCCGCCACTGCGGAGCCTGCTACCGAGGCAGCAGCAGCAGCCTCTCCCAAGGCCGCCTCGCCGGTACCAGACGCCAACAATGAGAAGCCAGTGGCAGAAGAGCCAAGCAAGGTTGCCGAGGAGGCATCCGACAAAGCACCGGCAGCAACAACAGATGACAAGGAAAAGGAGGCCGACAAGCCTCAAGAATAGACGCAACCCCCCGAACAAACACTCAGTACGTCTGATAGCTCGGACTAATCGGGCCCTGAGTACGTCGGCAAATTTCAGTTGTGTTATCCCATGAGCATGATTGGCATTGGCGTTTGGGGATTTAGGGGTGTTGTGACGAGGAAAATGTTGTTTTCAATGATTCCCCCACATTACATCCAGGCTCTTTGTTGTTTGTGCTTTTTTTTTTTTTTTTTTTTTTTTTTTTCACTTTTCTTTTGTTTTCCCATGTTTCGGAAAAGTTTCTACGAGTTGAGCGTCTAATAAAGGTGTCTTTAGCTACACATGGCTTGTTGATATGTGATTGTGGTTTGGAAGCCAGGGATGTCCACTAAGTGGTGAACGCTTGATTAAACTTGTGCCACTTCCCTCAACCTCGTCTCCTGAAGAGCTTGATTGATCCTGGATCGCCAAAGATGCCCCGGCCTCCACTTCAGACATCGCGTTGTATCATGCGGGGTTGCCCTGCGGATCAGGACAAAGTCCAATCGGGCGTGCAGTTGATCCCCGCCAGTTCCTATTAGCGGCTTCTTTATTGGAGCGTTTCCTCACCTTTGTTATCCGGAGAACGAGGGACTGGACCCTTGGACTCTAGAATAGTGTACATACACAACCTCCATTACTTCACACGTACGTAGGGTATGCAGGAGTTATCTACAGTATGGTACCAACGCACACCTTGAGTGGGATTGCCAGAATCTGGTGCCAGCCAATCTGGATTGCTTGATCTAGCCGTCAGCTGAAAAGCAACTTTCAATGGCGCCAAAGACTTCTGAGAAATGATCAACAACCCCGACGGGTCCAATGATGGCAAATCCCCGAGTCGTACAGCAAAGAGTTCAGCTGGTGTTTAGCATATCCACACTACTACTTTAGATACAGGTGATAGCGCCCTCGTCAAATTCTTCCCGTCCGTCTTCTTCTCAACCCCGATGGACTTGTCAGTGTCTGAACCAGCAGGAATCCTCCAGAGGCGCCCATGGTGAGCAAGTATACGATGGGCAGGAAACAAGGAGCGGGTCACCGGGTGTCTGCCATCAGTGTGCGGCATCCTTTGAACCAAAGAACGCATTCGGAAATCACAAAGATTGCACGATTATGTACAGTTGTAGCACTAGCCATACTGGTGGTGCTATCGTTGTCAGATTTGTCCGCACTTTCCTGGACAGCAAGACCAAAATGGCCCCCTATTAACACAGTCTACCCGCTGAACAAGGACCAGAAGAAGGAAGATAAGGAGTTTAACTGGGCAGATATTACACCCGGTCCATCACCAATTCAATGGCACCGATGCTACGACGACGAACTTGACTGCGCACGACTCAACCTCCCCATGGACTGGCAGCAACCAGAAGCAACTAATAGCTCTACTTCAGAACGGCGCGTCAACTTGGCCATCGTCCGTCTCCGAGCTGCCGTGCCTTCAAACAGCCCCGACTACCGAGGGCCTGTTGTCTTCAACCCCGGTGGACCAGGAGGATCGGGGATTTGGTCACTCCGCGACCACGGGCGAAACCTGCAAACTATCGTGGGCACCAACCACGATATTGTCAGTTGGGATATACGGGGTGTCGGTGCCTCAACGCCGCGGATTAACTGTTGGGCTTCCACGCAGGATCGTGTCTACTGGGATTTGCAGGACCCAGGTGTCGTGGATGCCCATGAAGGGACCGTGTTCGAAGCCTTTGCTCGGGCGGCTGCGTACTCGCAGGTTTGCGAGCGAAATCTCGAAGAGTCGGGGATTTTGGAGCATAGCAGTACCGCGTACCATGCTAGGGATATGCTCGCGATTCTTGAAGCTATGGGGGAAGAGAAGCTGAAGTACTGGGGATTCAGCTATGGGACGGTGCTGGGTGGGACATTTGCTGCTATGTATCCGGACAGGGTCGAGAGGATGGTTAATGATGGTGAGTTCTACCCAGAAAAAGCCGGGAAGTTTACTTGTCTCGATGCAGCTTGCTGACCTGAACCATGACAGGCAACGTCGACTACGAGGACTGGTACAACGGCACATATATCAACTTCCTACACGATACCGACAAAGTAATGCAGGCCTTTTACACCTTCTGTCATTCCGCTGGTCCTGATCGCTGTGCCTTTTACGCCTCCTCCCCCCACGCAATCAAGTCGCGTCTCGACACCCTACTCACCAAGCTCCGAACGCACCCCATTCTCATCCCTCAGGGCCAGCTCCCATCTCCCTCTGGAATCCCATCCAACCCGTCATCTCCATCTCTAGCTTCAACCAAACCTTATCACGTCCCTCAACTAGTAACCTACTCCCACATCCGCCGCATGCTTTCCACAGCCCTCTACCAACCGATCCTCCGCTTCCCCCACATCGCCCGTGTCCTATCGAGTCTCGAAGCCGGCAATGCCCTCCCTTACCACCAATACACCCTCTCCGACTATCCACCACCGGCTCCCTCCTCTCCGACCACCTGCGAAGCCGACGACCAAGATGACAAACCTCCTCTCACTTTCATCCCCAAAGAAGAAGCAGGGAACCCCGACGTCTTCCCAGCAGTCATGTGTTCCGACGCTTTACCTTTCACCTCCACCCCTCACGACTTCGCTCTCTATGCCCAAAAGCTACTAAATATTTCCCAGGCCGCTGGGGCCGTGCAAGCTTCTGTTCGGCTGTTGTGCGCCGGGCGGACTGCTCGGCCTCGCTGGGAGCCGTTTAATTCTTCTTTGTTGTTCAAGGATGTACAGACAGCTCACCCAGTGTTGTTCGTCAGCAATGAGTTTGACAACGTTACACCATTAATCAGTGCAAGGAAGAATGCCAGGGGGTTCAAGGGGGCCAGGGTGGTGGTGCAGAGAGGGAGTTGGGGGCATACGAGTCTGGCGGCGCCGTCGGTTTGTATGGCGAAGGTGATTAGAAGGTATCTCGTGAGTGGAGAGATGCCGAGGGAGGAAAAGGAAGGGGTGGAGTGCTGGGGTGATGTGGTGCCATTTGGGGAGGTTTATGAGGACGCCGAGGGTCAGAGGAGTGACAAAGATGGTGATGAGGATGAGGAGTTGAGAGGGGCGTTGTGGAGGTTGTCGATGAGGAGGAGGAGGAGGGGGCAGTTTGGGGGGTTATGAGCAGGGGCTTGCGATGGAATGCAAAGGATGTGGCCTTGGGACCAAGTCAACAAGACTATGACATTCAAGTTGGGATGAAAAGTTTAGAGCCTAGGTAGTACATGTAGGATCCACAGTAAAGCTGTAGAAGTAAAGACACCGGGAGCTACATTAAAGGCGGTTTATGGTTCTCAGGGATATACACTTACGATATTCTCCGTAGTTCCCAATGCATTCCACGATCTCTCGGCCCTACGACCCTGAAGTTGAAAGAATCCTCTTAGCAACGGATTTGTTCTTAAGATACGAAAAAAATTGTGTAAAATGCCGTCGGGGTGTTGAACATGTATAGTTAGGGGTCGATGTGCCCCATCTACCTCGGGGTCTGGGGATATGTCATCTTCAAGATGACAATTCTCGAGCTGTGCAAGAACTAAACCGAACGTTGCATTGATGGTAACTCCATCTCCTTGGATAATCACCTCCATTCGTTTTTATGAACTCCCAGCAAGTGCGTGCTCGACCCCCTCCCTCGCACAGTCTTTCAAGAGTCCACTAATAAAGAGTGAACGCAATTCATCATCACGGAACTTCAACAGCCACAATCTCCCCCTCAACCACAACCTTTGGCACCTTATACACCTCCTCCTTTCCATCTCCCAACTTCTCCAAGCCCGGCAACGCCAAGAGCCTCGTCGTTCCCTTCTGCATACCCCCCACTTCTTCTTCTTCTTCTTCTTCTCCCCCTCGTTCCCCAGGGGCATCAAACACAAACCGCCACTCACACCCATGCGCAAACAACATGTACCCAAAACTTACGCACTCCTGCATGACGCCCTCCAGGTTCCTCTCCTGATCAAAGATGGCTCGGCGGTCCGAGTGGACAAAGATGCCCAGGAACTTGTTCAAAGAGGCGCGGAGGCTGGTTACTTGGGCGGCAGCGGTGGTGGTTGTTGAGGAGTTAAAGCGGCGGTTGGGGTCGTAATCGTGCTCGTCGGGGGGGATGTTACTGGTAGTAGTGATGGGAGAGGAAGGGGATATGGGGTTGGAGGGTTTGTCGAGGAGGAGGGGGAGGAGGAGGTAAGCGGAGAGACGGCGCCAGAGGTTTAGGGCTGTTGCGGCTGGATGCATTGTAAGTAGGTGGTTAGTTTGGTTACCTACTTATTTGGAGGTATTTAGTGGGGGGGGGGGGGGGGGGGGGGATGGGGGGAGGGCAGGTACTTACTCTGGGGCGTCATGGAGTTCAACTTCTTTCCCATGCCTGCCGCTGACGAAGGAATGGATTCGAGGAAGGAGCCCGGAGGTGACCTGCCGCGGCAAAAGCGAGACACTGCCCGGATGAGTGCGGACATGGTGCAAGTCCAAGGCGGGAAAGATGGTAAGCGCCAGGAAGTGACGAATGGCTGGGAATCGAGTCTGTGGGTCCTGGGAGAGCTTCAGGATCAGGGCGTGCGTGCGATTGTCCAGACCAAAGGCTGGATCTGCCAAAGCCTGGTTAAGTTTGAAAACCTCGTTTCTGCTGCCATCCAGTGGGTCAAGGTGGTAGTTGTTCTGTACGTGTTCCTGGAGGAGATAGCCGAGGGCAGACAGTTCCGATTTGATTTCCTCGTCACTGGCGCCTTCGTAAATGCCGATGCCAGACAGGACGTTGTTGATGCTACTACCTCCGCCAGTAGTGCCGGTAGACGAAAGCAACGCCTCGTTTCGGACACTGCTTTTGGATGATAATCTCTCCTTTGGCAGCGAGGCCGGGGGAAGGAAGGTGGTCATTGCTGTACCTTCATTGTGAGGATCAACAGTGTCCTGACACTTTCGGCACTTCGCACTCAGGCAAAAGTAACCGATAAGAGCTCCAACCATGAGACCCAGTAGCGCCGCACCGATAGCCGCACCCGCGATCGCGCCTCCGTTTGTCTTCGTGTGGGTGAGTTTGTAAGTAGCGGTAGGGTGAGCGGCTGTGTTGGTAGTGTGTGTAGGCGACGCCGTCGAGGCTCGTGAGGTGCCTTCCAAGGAGATAGCTCCAGTCTCAGCGGCAACCCGATAGCTACACTCGAAACTTACGCTAGTCTCAACACTGAAGACGGTGGCGATGAAATCGCTAACTTGACGTGTGGGACTGTCAATGTGGAATCTTTCAGAGCCCTCGCCAATGTCAGTATCATGCTGTTTCTCGCCAAAGAACAATTCAGGGCACGTGAAGTTGGCGGCAGGGAAAGTTGAAATGCTAGGCGTGAACCAAGTTGTCGTCATAAGAGTCAGCCATGCTGTTGATATTGTTGGCGAAGCCATTTTTGTTCAAAAGAGTCCAAAGATACACGTATAGATGACTCGAATGACGTTAATTTCTGTGGCGTCAATGGAAGAAATTGCTGCAGAACTTCGAAAAAGAAGGTATTCCCCAGTGTCAGGAGAGAGAAACCCGCGACTGAGGGAGGCTTGGAAATAAGCGTAAACCACTTGCTTTCATATTCCCTCTCTTCGATTCCGAAACAAGCACCAAGAAGAAATGGAACTGCTTTGGCCGGCTTGCCCCACGAAACACAAAACCGTACAAGAAGCAAACGTAGTCATTTTATGCCAGTCATTTTGCGCCTTCAGTGTTTGTGGCCCATATATGTACACTGTCCTGGTAGCACGGGTGCACTATCCGTCTGGCCGCCTTGTATTGCACCAGTCGACCACCTATCCCATGGATTTCAATGCGGGCTTCCGGCCGAGGGCATACCAGAAGTCGGGGGTATCTTGGTTTGATATTGGGTCCTTACATGCTGTCATACTGTGCTACGAGAGCTTCGGTTACTCCCGTTGATGATCACAGCTGCAAGCGTACGGTACTTGGCGTTGATACAACCTCACGAGCCTCATGCCTGACTGTCGTGCTGCCCTTGACTCAACTCTGTGAACTCGTTACCACTGAACAATCACGACCGTACCTAGAGGCAAGTTTTTCGACTTCGACTCACTGACTTGATGATGTGCTAGAATGTTCACCCGGCCAGCCCTATCGCAAAGAATTATCAAATGGCTTTGGTTTTGATGCTGAGTACCTCTAGCTCATTGCGATGGCTTGGCAATCTCGACAGGTACCTATCTTTGCAAAGCTCATCGTATTATGTATGAATTTGAGGCTCTAGCCACAGACTCGTGGTGATTAGGGACTTGAGGGCGGGCATAGCGTACCATTCGGGTCGAGGGTCACTTCCACTCGGACCGCTCTCACTTGGCCGGTAGCGCATAAGCGCCCACTCATCACATGGTTACGTCCAGAAGAACCGTGCAGGTGTTAGCTATGACAGTGAAGCCATTTTCACGGTGATGAGCTGTCCGATGGGCCTCATATTCAAATTACGTAGAGGTAGCTATCCAAGCTTTTTATATATTTTCATTAGAAAAAAGGGAGTCGAGACTCGGACATGGCGTTTTGACAGCCGTCTCCCGGGGCCTTTGTTGACATGGTGATAACGGAGGGCCAGACGGGCCCCTGGTCACAGTGACAGGAGTGACAACCGTCCGCTTGGCATGCAGGGACCTCCCGTTGGATCGCCACGAGGTAGGGCTGATCCAGCCAATCCCGTCTGGCTGGACAAGACCCCTCACGACCCTAATGGATCCCTCCTCGAGTCTCCTCACCTCCCGACTTTTCTTGCCCTTCCCTCCACAACCCCCCATCTTACGACTCATCCTTCAACATCCTGTTCCTCTCGACCGCAGCACCTTGTTACCTACCTACCACCTACCTACCTAGTCACGCACACTTTTATCCCTGGTCTCTACCTAGACTCCTCTCTCTCTCACTCTCTTATCAGGAAATCTGCCTCGGTCATTTTGATTTCCATTCGTATCAAATGGCACCGTCATAGAAAAGGAAGGGGTACGGAAGAAAAGGGGACTTGGCTGCCGACACAGTCAGTCGTTCCTTCGTTCGCACGTTTCGGCCGACTTCGGCAACCCTAAAGCAACCATGATTTTCACGTCCACCATGTCCAACAACAAACCTCCCAATTTTTTCCGCCTTCCCGGCGAGATACGCAACCAGATCTACGAGTCCCTCCTTGTCTTTCCGGAGCCCATCATCATCCATACCGACGAAGAATGGAACAATCATACCAAGGACGGCGACAAGTCCAAGAGTGGTGCAGTGGTGCGGGTGCACCTCGACAACGCCGACGAGCGAAAGCGCTGGCCGCTCTCCTCCCGCCTGCTCACCGTCTTTCTCATCTGCAAACAAATCCACTCGGAAGCCAGCGCCGTCTTCTACTCGCACAACCAATTCCGGGCACCACCTGCCCTGTGCCGGTTCCCCTCCGCCCAACTGCAGTCCAACTATGTCATGCGCGGCTTCATCGACCGAATTGGGACGCGCAACCTGACCTGTCTCCGCCACTTGTGCATCCCGTTCCCGCTTGACTCGGGGGCGGGGCAGCGATATCTGGACTGGCCGACACGCCGGTCATTCGACGGCCTCCTGGGCCTCTCTCCGGCCAAGCTTGATGCTTTGGTCTTTGGCGCTAACGTGGTGCCCGGTGCACTGCCGAGTCTTTGGCGGAGGTGTCCGAATATTGAGGTTATCGAGTTCGATCTCAGCTGGTCTGGGCCAGGTCATTCATTTTGGAAGATTCGGCCGCACGACCGCGAGATTTTGCTTGGCAGCATGGACACGGCGCTGCGGGAGGAGTTCACGCGGCTGAGGGAGATCGTCGTGAATTTTCACTACGACGGGCCGATCCGGGAGATCAGCGAGTCGTGCGAGGCGTTGATGGAGGAGATGCGCGGATACGGATGGAAGGTCGAGGTGCGCGATTGTAGCGGCGACAAGGATGAGCGGTTGAGGATCCCGTACTGGTATCAGCCGTCGCCTAGTTCGCACGGCTTTCGGTGGACCGGCGGATGGGAAGACTACAGCGCTGCGTTTGCGAGCACTGGCACTCAGGACGACGACGCTGACGACGACACTGAGCATGTGAAGCCTACGGCTGAGCGAAAACGGCAGTTTGCGAAGGACATCGGACGAAAGATTGTGCGGTCTCGGGCATTCGGATGGAGCGCAATCGTGATCTTTTCGCCGACGATTCCTGTGCTTATGGCTATCGATAGCATCAACAAGAGGAGGAGGAAGCGGAAGAACGAGAAGCTGAGTTCAGGGCAATCGACTGCTAGCATCTCGCATCATGGTTCGGTTCGGGAATTCCGGTAGGCTGGGAATTGAGGGGGGAATAGCCCGGCCGAAGGAACGAAGGAACGAACGACTTTTGTAGATTGGCTACGATACGTGCTGATTGTGACATCTGAACGGTCGCGGTCGTCTGAGGCAAAACAGTCGGGGCGTGACGAGTGCAACGACAAATAGAAATCTGATGATGCTGGTTGGGATGGGATGGAGGAGTGGCGGGATGTCTCACCCATAGGTGTTGGCGTGTGACTCCACACTTGCAGGAGAAGGAGTATCGCGGTGTGCTGGCCATGCCGGCAGCGCCTGGTAATGCGAAATCCATGCACAGAGGTAAGATGCCATGAAGGAGACCAAGGCCGGCGTCGGGCCGGAATCAAACGCCGTCTGCCGTCTATGTACCCGGCTGACATGGACGATGCAGTCACCCAGAGATATCTGCATAGGGGCGTCCTCGTGCTGCTCTACATTACATGAACGTTGGGAATTCGGACCCTTTTTAGACCTTTCCTAGGTACTCTCCAATATCTTGAAAATGCTGTTGTTTTCGCCTTGTCACGACTACTTTACTCTCCTTTTCCTCGGCGTTCTATTGTTGGACTTGACTCATGATTTGGTTTTGTTTTTCTTAGGCATAGAGAGGTATGTAGATGCTGCTGAGATGTAGGTACCTATGCAGTGCATCCTGCAATACAAGTAGACAGACGGGGGTTACGCGTGATTATCGAACCACCTAGCAACACATTGACATGGTTACTGGCATTGCCGAGTCCAAAAGCCTGTTTAATTCCCTTTTAAGCGCTAAGTCCACGCAGTAATCCAAACCACTCCCTATGCTGGGAAGAAAAAAAATAAAAAAAAGATACAATGACCACCTTGACCTCTTGGTTGGCGATCCAAAGCCAGCCATATGTGCGCCGATTAGTATATGTAAAAATGAAATGCAGTGACCGACCCGTGCGATATTCCAACAATGTTCCAGGACGTAGAGCCGCGCTTATTTATTATGCCACAGGAAGTTGCGCAAACCATCCCATGTATCCGCGTCTCTGTAAATGTACACCATGCTACTGCGCAGACTCGGTTGCAGCTCGGCATCATGCCACCTAAACAGGTGCATGACGCTGGCCCATGACACAGCTGCAAATACCGGCCAAGCATAATGACTGATAGCGGTGCTGTTGTTGGGCTCGGACACGCCCGGCAATCCATACCCGGGCTTGACGGCCAGGCGGGCTAGTGCCAGCACCACGCGCGCAAAGACGTAGACGACGATTTGCTGGTTGACGCTCGGGATTTTACCCTTTCGCGATCGCTGACCGAAGACGACGTAGCCTCCGAGGAGGCCGGCGAAGAAGCTATCATATGGACCTATTTTTATCCCAGAGGGAACCGTGTAAGCTAACGTCGTCTCGGGTAATGCGCTCGAATTTTGGCGCCGTCGCAAATGGGGTGGGGTATGGGTATCTGCTTGCCTTCCTTGCCAGGCGTTGTCCCGTAATGTCTGAGTAGATAGCAGACGGTCTTGTATATGGTCGCGAACTTTGCCAGATTCGTAGCGTGGGTTTTCGTCGCGCGGAAGATGAGTTTTGCTTTTTCGCGGAGACTGGCGCAATGATTGAACATGGTCAGCTGGAGGTCCGTGTCAAAGGGGCAAAGGGAATTGTGAACTCACGTCCCCGATCGGAATAGGAGCATCATGCTGTCGCATTGTCAGTTCAGTCTCGTTTCAGCGTTACAAAGTCGTGGGCTCTGGACATAGGCGTACACCAGCGCGTGCGGAAACCGCACCTTGGCTCCGTAGACGGCGCCATTGCGAGCACCCTTGACAATGGCAAGAACGTCGCGATACTTGGGGTCAAGAATTATTTGTTCGACGTAAGCCTGTACACGCAAATGTGTCAACTTGGGCGGGCTCGGGTTTGGGGCGCCTTTTCGCAGGGGCTTTGGCGTTGTTGTGGTCGCACCTTGAGGCTCTCGAGAGCGGTGCTGGACATTGTGCCTCGGCTCAAAACGGGGTTCGCTGGGAAAGTGGACGGATGACGAAATGGGGGTGCGGGCTGCACACGCTCGAGAAAATAGCAAAGGTGTCGGTCGTATTCTGCCTGTAGGTCATTGGGCGGCGCTAAGGGAAGGATGCGGCGAGAGTCGAGATCGAAAAGAGACGGGAACAAAAAGATGGGAGTTCACCTATGAACGGGTGGGATGAAAATACTAGTGTAGGAACAATGCTCAGGTCACGGTGTAGGGTAGAGGGCCGGGAGTGTAAACGGGACCAAATTGGGTTCGTTGGCTCCCGCGCGCGGGCAGATCCACGGCAGGTGGAAATGACGACGGCACATGTCGGTTTCGGTGGAACTTGGGTGGTGGGGGCTTCCCCGCAGAAAACTGATCTCCAGTGGGTGGTCACTCAGCGAACGGGGGCCTACCTATGTATGCGTCATGCCCACAGCGCCTACAAAATGGCATGTGAAATTCCCAGGGGCAATCGCCCGGGCTCTTCGTCCCGCCCGCACATCACAAATCGGGCGTTATCTTCACAAATTCACTTGTACTTCGCTTGTATCCGTTTCAAATTCTGGCAACATCTTCCATTTAACCACATCTCCTGTTGCATGTCCCAGCTATTTCTTTCCTCGCGTCAACACCTCGACGGATACTTGCGCTTCCCATCTGGCCCAGCGATGTTGTGTGTCTGCTGCGATCATGGGGCATCTGAGTTCATAAAAGGGCCTCAACTAGGTTCGCTCTGGTTGGCCAACATTACGGTGGACCCACATTTCTTTCCCGTTGTTAATCGTGGCGGGAGACACTCAGCAGTATCTTCCCCCAATATGCCCATGAATTGCAAAGAAATATGATAGGCAGTGTACAAATCTGACCTCTATCTAGTCCCTCTTTGTTCGATATGATCGTGGCCATCCAGTCTCCAGGTCGAAGAGCCAAAGTATCTGCGTCCCTATCATCTGGTTTACTTGTTCCAAGCATCATAGTGTGTTCAACTCAGATCTTATCAGCTACGGTAGACACAAGACACGGGGCAAATCTCATCAGAAGGGCTTCACGCGCATCGGATTCTCATAGTTCGTTGTTTAATCATACACTAAATATTGCAACTAACATAAAGTGGGGTATCTCATCAGAAACAGCAAGGAAAACTACCACTCCAGCCGGTCATCACATACAAGCCGCACGTCAAAGCGGTCCTCGCCCTTCCAGACCTTCGAGCCAGAGTTGCAGTCAGCGACGACGTTTCTCAGCTCACCAATCATGCCCGGAGGCCCACTACCAAACACGCGTGTGGAGCCTTGAGCAACACCTTCGACGAAATCCTTGACCACTGTCGTCACATCCGGCCTTCCTCTCGCCGTGGAGCTGGCTCTTTGGGCAGACGCCCTCGGCGCTCTCTTGATGCTGTCATCATCCTCCTGCGACGACTCTCCACGGCAGCCAGTGGCCGATACGGCCCCCTTTGCGGTATCATCATCATCATCCGTGACGAAAATGCGAACCATCAGACCATGGACAGCACCGAGTCTGCGCAACTCCTCCATCTCGGGCTCAACCCATTCGACGTCTTCGCTCCTCTTCATGGCCCAAACCAGCTCGACTTTCCTTGCGGGGTTCATGTTCCTGTCCCGAAGCAAGTCGATCAAGAGGGGAAGCACATAAGTGATACCGGTTCCGCCGGCAATGCAGAGGACGTTGACGTCGGGAGTCACACCCTCAACAATACTCTCGCCATAGGGGCCCTGGAGGATAACTGGGGTCGTGGGGATGACCGCCTTCTCCGACAGCGCACCAGCGAGTTTATCCTGCACAATCTTGGCCAACTTCTTCGTCTCTCCGCCCTTGGCCCGCAAGATGTACGAGTGCGTGACAGTGCCCTTTCCGTCCTCCACCGGCCACGACAGCGGCGTAAACGGGTGACTCTGCCAGATGCTTCCCTCGGTGAAGCACAAGAAGAAATGCTGGCCAACCTTCCACGCCCTCTGCGGGTGCGCAAAGTCCAACCTGACCACGTCTCCGTGCTTCTCGTCCCTCCAAAACTTCATCTCCGCCTGCGCCGCCGCGAACCCAACCCTGCCTTGGCTGGGGATATACCCATAATGCAGCAACGCCGTCCTCACCAGCCTGGCACCGCGATCAACAAACCACAGCACCAACCCGGGCACCAAGAAGCACTGCAAATTCTTCCAATGCCCAATCACGGCGCCAATGTACACCATGGCCAGGACGTAGTGCGCCTTTCTGAAAAACTCGTACCCCGTGCGGCGGATGGTCCACTGCAGGGCGCCCACCCACAGCAGCACAAGCAGCACCAGCGCCACCACGCCCCAGCGGGCGTACGTCTGCGCGATGAAGGCGTTCCACACGTCCGGATGCGGGCGGTACAGGCGCGCCTCGACGATGACCCAGCCAATGGTGTGCAGGATCGACTGCACGAGAATGATGTGGCCCGTCCAGCGGTGGAGGAACATGAAGCTGGTGTAGGGGACGCCGGTGATCAAGGACAAGATGGATTCCCGGCTGGCGAGCAAGATCGAAAGCGGCGTGAGGGCGTAGGCGAGCACGCCGATGCGGTCGGCCCATGGCCCCAGGGAGGTGCGCGTGTTTTTGACGTGTTCGGGCTGGCCCTTGATGGGCGTGATCCATTTGCCGTAGACGATGCCGACGAAAGTCCAGATGGTGAGGTAGCCGACTAGGACCAAAAGGATGAGAACCTGGAGGCGGGTGACTTGGCCGAAAACGGGCTTCACTACTCCGCGGCTTGAGAGGAAATACCTCCTCCCCGTGGCACCCACTGCCCTCATCGCCCTGGTGAATCTCCCCACCGAGCGAGGCTTGGTGACTACCTCCTCCCCGGTTAAAAGCGGCCCTTTTTCTTCCTCGAGGGGCATCTCATACTTGGAGACATTTCCCCCACTAGCACCAAGTCGCCTTAGAACACCCCAAACAAGCAAGATGCCCAAAATGGTCGCCCAAAGGATCCCGGTGTAAAGCATCCCCCGATCGTGAGCGGAGTACACGACGTCCAGGTAGGCGCACGAGCCGGGGTCGCTTTGGCACGGGACCACACGGTAGGCGTAGCCCCAATGCCACTCAAGGTTAGATTGGCCGGTGAAATTTTGAATCATTCTTGCGGAAAGCTGGGGTTGACTTGGTGGTGTCATGGTGGGATAGAGAGAATGGCCGTTGGCCGTTGGATGTCGAGCGAGCCAGGCAAATTGAAGTCGGGGTTTATGTTAGGTGCCCTTGTTTTGGGTGTGGTAGTTGATCAAGTGGCTGTTGGTGAGGTTGTTATTGTTGTTCCATTGCCCGGTAATTCTATAATCTGTTGTCGAGATGATTCAAAATCATTGTCGAGTCGGACAAGGGAATGGATATAACAAGTGGAAGTTTCAATGTTCCACCTCGAAGGACAACCGGTCCAAACGATCAAAAAGGTCACACAACCATCGGACCTCGCGTCGCCTGTCCCGGTAGCTCCAGTCCCTAGAGGTATCGATCTTGAACAAAACCCGTGTTCTGGAATCTCCAAAAAGAAAACGAAACGGATCCGATTGCGTGTTTGAGTTGGTTTCACATCACCCGGGGTTCGCCCACGGCGGGCACGGTGTGGAGCGCCGAGAAAGTTGAGCAAGTTTCCATTGCAACGGTGTTCGTTTCCCTGGTTGCTGACTCCTGTCGCCATCGGATCCAGAACATCACTCATCTTCAACAATATAGTGTTCCGTGAGCCGGAAACCGCCTCTCATTGCCTGTTTGGTGTTGATTTCCCCCCCTCCCCTCCAGTTTTTTTCATTTTTCATACTCCCTTGGTTTCCACCGGGTGAGCATGTTTTTGGCTTGGCTGTATATCATGCCACTGCAGAATTTGCCTTCATTCCTTCTCGGTCATGCCATCGAGAGAATTTGAGAGTTTATTCTGTCTCCGAAAGGGGGGCCAGAGAGAAAAGATATGACGCTAGAGTCTGGACACAGCTGCAGTGGTTGAGCATCTTTGAGCACGTTTTTCCTGCAACCAACAGTGGGGTGACAGTGTAACGTAAGGTCGTGTTCGTCCACTCGGCGTGGTGTGGGGACTCTACAAATGGGGAAGTAGTCGCTTTTCATTGGATGATTCAAACAATTGACCCAGGTACTCGGGGCTTCAACCCCCCCTGAACATAATGGGATGGAGGCGAGACGAGCTCCCCGTCCGGCGCGGCGCGCTCATTTTCCAGGCGAACGACACTCGGCTGGGATACCGTCATGATGTCCCCGATTTGATGACATTGGTGATATCCATAGCGGACGGAGGGCTACGTACCGACGATTGACCCTGAATCATTTCCAGAGCTTCGTCGTTGATGGCGAGGCTGGACGGAACATCTCGTGGACAAGAAGGTTTTCATCCGAGATTCCACTCATATCTGCTCGCTCACTCACTCACTACCCATTGACACTTTTCTCCCTCTTTCCCGCTCTTTTCCCCTCATCTCCTGCCTCCTTTGCACGCTATCTAGCCTTACGAATGGAACCATAACCGTCCTATTGAACCACTTGACTCCAAGCTAGTAGCTACTGGGTTAGGGAACCCAACAATTGGTCCTTGTCCTACCCGTTGGACCAAGTAGTGTGATTGAGAAGGTTTCCAAATACCCAACCACACAGACTACGGACATTGAGTGCAACAGTCGTCGAGAAAAACGAGCTCAAAGACGAGGCTAAATTGAAAACGAATCCTTTTTTTTTTTTTCCTCTCGCGAACCGCCATCATCATTCAAGCACCAAACCGACTCTTCACCCCTTACCGTTTTCTCGCACACACATCCCCAACCAACCATGGCGCAACACGGCACAACCCTCTTACCCCGAATGGACATGGGAGACGGGAACATGGACGGACCGGCGTGTAAAATTTCGGTATGTTCTTCCCGTGTACAAACCACCCTCTTTTACACGTGCACCAATCCCACTATTCTCATCGTATCCCTACTCCCGGGCACTCACACCGTAGGCACACACTAACATATTTCCAACCAGATGCTCTGGAACTGGTACACCATCGATGCCTGCTTCCTCCACCAGTCCTGGCAAATCACCACGCGCGGCGCCTTCGCCGCCACCTGCATCGGCATCATGTTGATGGTCGTCATGCTCGAGTTCCTGCGCCGGCTGGCCAAAGAATACGACGAGTGGATCGTCCGTGACTTTCGAAGACGGTCGGCCCTAATTAGCGACCAACAGCAATGTCTGCGTCAACAACAACCACAGCGACGACAACGACAGGCTTCACCAGCATGTGGTACTGCGGATGCAGCAAAGACTACTGGACTTTTGGCCACAACGTCCGTCGTCACCACCGGGAAGAGAAGAGGAGGATACATGGGAAGCAAAACGACAACGACCACGCTCAAGTTCCGCGCCAGTCCGTTGCAGCAGCTCATAAGGGCCCTGATTCACGCCGTCATGTTTGGCCTGGGGTATCTGATCATGTTGCTGGCCATGTACTACAATGGCTATGTGCTCATCAGCATCTGGATCGGGGCGCTGCTCGGCAAGTTCTTGTGCGATTGGTTGACGGTCAAGTTTGAAATCCCTGGCGAGGATGAGGAGGAGGAGATGATGATGGATGGTGGATTCACGGACGAGGTGCCGAGGCTGCAGGGCGTGGAGGATGCCACTGTTTGCTGTGGTTGAAAAGCCAGACGGGATGAGGAAGTCGAGGATGGAAGAAGGGACGGAAGATAATGACGACTGCGATGATACCTCTTTGTGCTTTTTCACTTCCACTGTTAATAATCAATGGACTGGGCTTATACCCAACGCCGCTTGTTCGCGCTATGTTTCTGTAACATGAGTTATTTGTCCCGTGTAAGAGTTTACCTACCCTACGAGGGAGCGCAGTTCTCAGTCGTAAAGGGAGTCACTAGGAGAGCAAATGTCGCAATCCGTAGAGGTAGCGCTGGATTTTGGCGAGCGCGAGGAAATCCGTTGATCCATGGTGTGAGGAGAGAGGAAGGGGAGAGGCGCTCTCCTGGGGATCTGCGTGGTTTCATAGCATTATTTGGCTAAAGGTTTTTGATGATATTGAAGATCTGTAGGGGCTGACGGGCACGAAGAGGGAAGGACCGATTGTCGCGGAGTCCCACGTAAAGGGTTTGCAGATCGCGAGGTCACACTGACCACAGGGCCAATATGGAAGCTGTCACTCACCTTCCACCCAAACCCTGTAGAGTACTTAATCCGGACAGTGGAACGTGTATTCTCTTCTTGACCACCCTGAACCACGGTTCGCCATCATTGGTCCAATTTGCGCTACTTGTTATCACTTCTTGAGGCCTCTCCTGTTCTCTGAATTGTTGGTACAGCGGCAAAGATCGTAACAAGAAATACAAAGAAGTGTATTGAGTACACACCAACATACACATGCATGAGCCTATGCATGAAGCCTGTGTACGGTATTCAAGACTGTTTCCGCTCAATGCTATCCAAATGCTTTGTATTCAAAGAAACATGCTCGCTCGGTGGATGATCCCGCTCAACATGCCTTTCCATCACAAATTCACAAGTCCCCTAAAACCTGCTGCTCATCATGGACGCCGGCACCTGAGAAAAGGTTAGTATGACACCCGTTCACAACACAAAGCCACTAGTCGACCCTCGATACATGGGCTTCTCAAGGCTTCGTACTTCCATGTCCATGTCCATGCCCGCTCTTCTCCTTCTTGAAGTCCTGAAGCCAAGCCTGCACAAAGTTCTTGATGGCCCTCTGCGTCTCCTCCACCGGCTTGGGGGGGAAGTTGGGAGCGGTCTCATTGGGGAACAGGCCGTTCTCGTCCCAGTGGTGCACGCCGTCCTTGATCAGAATGAAGGGTTCGCTGATGGTGCTCTTGCGATCCTTGAGGCCGATGGCGTGCGGGGTGGCTGCGCGCCAGGGGTCCTTCTCGCCGTCAATGATGGCCAGGCGAGGGTAGCTGATGCCGAAGCCACCGTACTTGTTGATGGACTCGACGTCCGAAGGCTTGTTGATGTTGAAGGCCTCGCGGCAGGCGATGGACGTGTAGTTAAGGTCGATGGCGCGGGAGATCAGCGGGAGCTGGTTGTGTGGAACCCCGGACCCGGTTTGGAGGAAGCCCCATCTGTAGGTAGGGACCATGTTAGTTAAATCCGAAAAAAAAAATTAATGAAGAAGTGTTTGACTTACTGATCGCAAACCTGATACAGCCACAAGCGCCACGACTGCTTAAGATCGTCCTTCTTGTAGAAGTCACTGTCATAGGAGGTAAAGCAGGCATTCTGATCCCCGTCGCACGACTGGACCTGGGTGACGTTGACATAACCGATGTAGTTCAAAAACTGATTTGTGAGCGTCTTGACCTCCTTGCCGTATCCGCCAACAGTCAATAGCTCCTGGACGTCCTTTTCAAGGCGAGCTGTCTCGGGATACAGCAGCGCATTAGAGCTGACATTGTTGCAGTATTCGCCGTATGAGGTGTCGTTCAATGCGGGATCCCAGTTGGTGGATTGCAGTCCTGCGATGCCGAAGCTGATGGTGTTGGCAAAGTCATCGGTGTGGGTGAGGTTGCCGAGACCGAATGTATCCTTGAGCTTCTGCACGTATTTGGCGTTGGCCTTGTTGAGGATGATGTTGTCGACAACGTGGGTCAACTTTTGGGTAGCAGTCACGCAATCCTTAGGACCGTAGATCCGCGCGGCTTCGTAGTATTGCCAATAGTCATATATCGCCTCAGTGACACCGGACGAGGAAATGGCTCCCCAGTAAACATCGGGGTACAGCTTGCGCAGGAAGGCGACAAAGGCGCCAGCATACGAACCTCCGTATGCAATGTAGGGAGTGTTGGGCGCAGTCAGATCCAGGTGCTCAAGACCGGCGAACTTGACGTTCTTGGCAAAGTAGACGGTATCGGCCAGCGCTTGATCAGTAGTGAGGAAGCGCAGGTTCTTCGTGCTGAAGTCGGAGGTAGGCAGACTCTTGCCATAGTATCGGTGCTCGAGGATGACGCCAACACCACCAGTCGCCTTGGCGAGCTGGTATACTATGCCCTTTTGGAGGAACTGGAGACGTCCGACACCGCTCGTCTCACCGGCAGCTAGAACAATGACGGGACCTCCCTTCTTATAGTAGGTCGCGTCGAACCAATAGCGCAGGTCGAAAGTATCGTTGGTATGCGGCTCATACTTGGTGTCGTTGTGGAAGTGGTCAACGGGAACCTTGATGGTCCGGGCCGGGTATAGAAGCGTGGGGTCGGTGCTCTCCTGGATGGTGAAATCACCCTCCGGCTCCAGCGCAAGATCGCTCTCTGACTGAAATGCCTGTTAGTCACGATCTGTCAAGAAAGCAATGGGAGGAGCACTAAGGACTTACCGACAAGCGAAGGTTCCGGACAGACAGAGGCGCAAAAGCGGGCGCAAGAGCAGAGGCTAGTTGCGCAACGCAGGCCGTGGCGGCCAGCAGACATCCAAGTCCCATCATTCTGAAGGTCTCAAAACGACGACGACGAATGTGGGCGAAGGAAAAGAACGCCTCCAAAAAGAGGCCACTTACCTGGAATAAATACTGGGAAACTTGAGGAAAGATGAAGAGAACCTGAAAAGCAAGGCGATCAGCAAGGGTCCAGTGAATAGTTCACCTTCCTCTTTGGGGTCTAGGTTGAAGAGGTTGTTGGCGATGGACCTGGACCAATACCACTGAAGGCGCGTATCGTGCGTGAGAGTTCGTACCTTTCGTCTGGCTACAAAGCCATGTAATGACCGTGACAAACGACCGCGATGCGGAGCAAATGACGAACGCTAAAATCCGCGGTAAGCTGCGCCGTAAGCCGGAGCGGGCGGTTGGCTGTAATGGTGGATGCCGGCTGTACTGTAGATGCCGATGCCCGGCGATGGGTCTGCGCTGTTCAACGCTGTGCCACTGTGAATAATGCTGCTTAGGTACTGCTCCAATATTTGCCTCCCGAAGGCTCCCAACAGAATTGATGGATGAGGCAGGCCGAAACTCTCCTTCGGGAAGGTGGTAGTGCTGTGCTCCGGGAATGAGAAAGACGGTGGAGCGGTGTCGCCATTGACGCCGGGGATTTGACTCGAGATCCAGAGTGCCGATCCGAAGTGGGGAACTTCCCGACAGGGCCTAGCGAGCTGAACCTGCCGGCCGCCGACTTGGCCTATATATCTAGGGTACATAGTGTACGCGGACAAGACCCGGGCCAAGGTGTTGTTCCCATGTCATTGGTGATGAAGACGAGACTTATGCGAGATAATTGCGGTCGTGGAACGTTGAGAAATCGGGCAGTTGATGCCAGGCAGTTGATGCCAGGCAGTTCATCGCGCACGGGTGGTTCGTGTGTACTTACATACGCGGCAACCAGGGCCTTGAAACCCAAACACTGTATTACTGGATAAACGAAGTTCATTATATAGACACATTTCGTTCCTGGGGACGCACGAGATTTCGGAGCACCCGACAGGATGGGTCAATGGAATGTCCCAAAATTCGAGAACTGAGGAAGCAACAACTCCCGTGCCGGCCAAGAACACGGCCCCGAGCCGAGCCCGGCATGGTGCAACTCCACCAGACTTACAGCACGGGTTGAGGTTCCGGCAGGCCCAGCTCCACCAACACCAACTGACGTACAAGTACATCTGTTGACCAATACGGAATTCCTTCAACACCGACCTTTCTCTTCCCGTGCCTCTTCAAACTTCTTTCTTTAACGTGGAAGCCACAACCAGAGTTGCAGTTTCTCTAAAGTTATCTCGTCCTTGATACAGTTAATTACATTATAAGTACACCGTTGTCGTCCCAAGCTCAGACCCACCGCCACATGTTGGCCACCCGACAAACAGCGCAGCTCAAGTCCACCTCCAAGGGCCATTCGGACCCAGAAATACCTACTTAACCATATCACGGGTGTTCACTCCTTTTGACCTTGGGTTTTTCATTCTCTCGATTCTCTGTATCCGAGCCATTGTCATCAAGAACATCGAATGTGAATCAAATAAAGCAATAAGACGTGTTGGCCTTCTTGACGTCGCACCATGCCCGTTGCAAGGTCCAGGCACGACGGAGGCAGAGAAAATCATCGAGTTTCCTGTGGTCGTGGATCAAGGTGCCATGCTCGCTTCATTTCTCGAGGCTGCTTCGACCCGTTTTAGTAATGCTCGTTATTACTCGCCTCAAACAAGGGGCAAAGTCTTACCGCTAAGGATGATAGCGATCGCGTTTTGAACATTCGGGGTTTGGAGTTGCTTTTAGTGGTGGGCAAGCTTTCCCCCACGATCTCCCATCGGCCCCCCCCCCCCCCCCCCCCAAAAAAAAAAAAAAAAAAAAAAAAACACTGGAAGCATCGGCCCAATATCGACGAAGCCCCGTTCTTCTTTCCATACGGTTTGACCTATCGGCGTTCTGAGGCATCCGACAAAAGCTGTCCTGGAGATCGGCGTTCCGACAACACTCTACCAGATAACGCCATGTGTCTTTTTGCCAGCTGTCGCATCACCTCTTCTTTTTTTGCGACGCGTCCTGATGCCACTATAGAGATCTACCACAGCCATGACACAAACGCCGCTGAAAGCCAGAAGGATCACCACGGCAATCAAAATCGTCACGACAATCGGGAACCACACCGACACGGCCTTCCACGTGGGCCATGCATGGTCTTTCGGAAGATCTGTGTCGAGCGCCTGCAGACTGACCTGCATCGAGTTGAGCACGACGGAGCAGATTGCGAAGATGGTGAGCAGGGGTCCCAGGCTGTGGGTGAGGAAGGAGCCCCATTGAGGGTAAATGTGGAAGAAAGCCAACTTCCTCTTAAAGAAAGCTGCAGCCATGTTGAGTCGACTGAGGCGCAGTTCGCCGTAGTGGTACCGCTTGGGGACTTGGATGTCGTGGATTTTGGTGAAGGGCTCGATGAAGTCGCACCATTCTTCGTATGTGGGAAATTGCCCGTTGGACTTTTTGGGTATCAACATCTTCTCACATGCCAACGCAAAGTCGACCTCATACTGGATCAAGAAGTAGTAGCTCCTCATGAAGCCGAGGCAAGCTCGATAAACATCCAGGTGGGCGTTGGCGATGTACTCCCAGAAGGCGGCGCAGTAGAAGTAGGCCGGGATGGGTTTGACGTAGATTCGCTCGTAGTACCAGACCAGATGAAGACAGGGATGCTCGTCGATCTTGATCTCTCGGTCGTGTGCGTACTGGTGGTGGAGGGACATGATGTGAAGGAAAGAGGGAGTTTGGACCTTGCAAGTCTTAGCATAAAAGTGCCAGGGCGGCTCAAAAGGACTCGGAGGAAACTTACAAAGACATACTTCATATACTTGAACATACCATCCAGCTTCGTGGTCAGGTGGTTCTCATTCAAATAAGCCGTCAAGGTCTTCCAATGACTGCCGGGATTCTGATCGTCCAGCCGAACTCGCGGTTGACCTGGAAGATGGCGCTTGAGAGTGGTAGTGCCGTCTTCATTTGGTGTCTCCACTGGTACCAAGGCCATCGATGTCGGGTTTGTGCTGTGGTATGGTCGAATCCCGATTCTGGTTACGTTTCCCGCCATGTCCTTGATGTTTTCACAAGGAAAAACCTTGGGGATCTTGATATTCACATCGCAATCTGAAGGTTGCGATTCAGCGGTCTCGATATCAAGCGTTGAAGGGAAAGAATGCGGGGTTGGCGTTGTCGCCGTCGATTTCAGGTCGGGCTCAACTGCGGCTCCCATATTGATCGTCACGCGTGAAAGTGAAGCAGAGTCTTGAGACAATAGGAGAGAAACGCGACCAAAGTGCAAGTATGTCTTGATGGTTTCACGAGAAAAAAAAACCAGATGCGGGTGGAGAGATGCAGTGTGGTCAGCATCAATTTCCAAGGCCCAAGGAGAGGAATAGGGCGGCCGGGCGCTTGACACTGTTATTTAACCGTGGATGGCCATCGTGACCATTTGGGATTTGGGGGCCAGGCAGGCTGCAGCTGAACCGCCCGAGGCAACCATTCCACACGGATCGAGATATTAAGGCGGCTAATCGGAGCATGCCACCACACCAGGTCACTTAGTAAAACAAGGGAAAGTTTCCACTTGGCACTTCTCGAGCCAGAGATACCTACTTACTTACAGGTCCAGACCTGCACTACAGTAGAAGCTGGGGGTGCAAAACTGGAAGGAACGATGACGGAGGGGAGGAGGGGTACGTTGGTCACAGTCTGCTGCGTTACTGTCCACGCGCCGCGCACTCCTGTACCACCAGTTACAAACTCCGCGGGTAACTACCTCTGCCTACAGTCCACAGCGAACACAAAAAGACGGCTTCACATTTGCACAGCCAGGAAGTTTATCGCCGCCGCTCATGCTAGCTGCTGTCGACTACATACACCATGTCTGCTTGCAGATTCTGGAATTTGATGCAGACGATGATACCCTTCAAGACCCATTACCAGGCATATACCACCCTCCTACATCTTTACACTAGGTAGTACACAACATCAGAACACTTACACAGCCTTCCAACGAAGCAGAAAAAGCAGAGCGCTGGCCAATCAAAAAACCAGATGAACAAGGCTCGAACAGTCGATAGAATCCCCCTGGTCTCATCTCATGCAATCACCCACCCGAAGCTCAAGTGCTGCGGATAAGGACAAGGATGGATGGATGGATGGATGGAAACAAATGCTTGGGACGTTTTCTTGCCTCTTGGTTTTTCTTTTCCACCAAGGAAACCTGAACCGTTACATTGAAGCGCCGAGGCTTGCGAGGATAAAACTTGACCCCCCCTTCCCAATGGGACGGGTAAAGTACATGCCTCCAACAACTCGGCGCCTAAGGTAAAGAGGTATTTTTGGCAATTTTAGTACAGTAAAAACCCCTGCCCTGCAGCTGCATCCTCCGGTCAGGAACTGCATATGTATACGCCAATGTGTACAGACTAAAGGTTTTGGCTGGCTGGATTATTTCACAGCTACATACAGCCTCACAAGTACGTACTGCACACTACATCCCGGATAGTCTTTGACGCCTATGTACTCACGTATTTGGTCTTAAATAATACAATTTGAGTAGACTGTCAAAATTTGTGTTTCAGCCTTTAGCTGGATTCCCCTGTGGGCTTCCTTCCAGTCTACTATTAGATCTAGCTGTATATCTGCCATTTGGTACATACTAGAATTCCTGGCTTGAATTACATGCAGTTCCAGGGCATTCATTCTACCTACTGTGCAGTGTGCACTACAGTAGCGCCTGCGCTAATGAAGGGTCCTTACCTCTAGGTATGTGGGGCCCCCCTTTGTCCGGTTGTCGATGTCGGTTGCAAGGAACATCGGGTCAGGTTTATCTTACGAAGTAGAATACCAAGGAGGGTTGAGTTATCAAAAGAACTCAAGCCGTATATCACGAGGATAAAGAGAAGAAATAATAAGAGACGGGAGAGCGGGCAATCATCACTACCATCGCTGACAGTGACAACAAAATACCTAGGGACCTGACAATGAAGACCGGGACGACCCGCCGGGCGTGTCCGTCCGTTGCCGCCCGCCCTCCACAGCGGTCCGCCCGCTCTCCGCTCGCTCTCCGCTCGCTCTCCGCTATAGCCCGCCCATTAGGCCACTGTGGATCCCGCCCACCCGACGCTAGCGATAGCGATTGTGTACCTATACTAGGTATTGAAGTACATAATGGGGGTCATAGGAGATGGGGTTAGCGCAAGCTGCCGCCGGCCGTTATCCTCACCCAGGGATATATTGATGCATAACAATTCGTGCGCTTCATTATTTTACTTTTCGTTTCTGAACGATTAAATAGTATATACGATAAAGCTAAGAGTAAGAAGGAAAGGAACTCTCGCTCTTCCCGACTACATAGGTAGCATCCGATGCATGTAAGTAGGTAGTTTTATAATCATCAACCAATTGACTAGAACATGATGCAAAATCCAACAAAATACTCCAAACACTTGGAATCTAGAAATGATCCAACGGTCTCCCAAACCGCAACAAATCCAAAGCCATACGCCATAGCATGTACACATAACTCCCGTATCCTTGCTTGTAACCATCGAGTAACACCGATCCTCCCTTCCAGTCCACACACGACTGAACAACGCTCAATCATCCAAAGTCAAGTCGATCACATCCGGCTCAGCCTTTCTCTTCACGCCCCTTGGCGCCGACCTCGATCCCGAACCAAACGCCGAAGCCGATCCGCCCCCGGATCTCGGCGTCAAGGGCGGAATTTTGAGCCTACTAGATTTGACAGCCCAAGCACTGGTGATGTCAATCTTGGCCACCTTGTTACTCAACCCGGGCGTGGCAGGCGCGGCGCTAGAAGAGGGGGCAGCCATTCTGTTGGGCTCGATCTCCATCAACGCACGGTCAGCTGGTGAGAAGGAAGCCGGGTCAGGTCGTGTGGGCGAGGAGGACGGTAAAGGAGTGGCTGCTTTGGAGCCACTGCCGCGCCATGTGCTCGGAAAAGGAGTACGAGGCGTTACCGTCTTGGCGGGTTCGGGAATGTCTGGCTCCCCGGGTAAGCCGCAAAGTTCTCGCAATTTGTTGAACATCCGGCGACCTGCCACATTCACCCTCATCCGCTTTGCCTTATCTTCAAAATCACGACGTTCTTCGTGAGTCATGCGCTCCCACCGCGACTCCGTGATGGTGACAACTAGCTCGTAGTCCAGCTCACGATTCTCCTGCTTGAAAGCGTGTCCCCAGGTGTTGAGGAACCAGTTAAAGCCGCCGTATTTGTGGGCCCAAGCCTCCCATGTAATGCTTCTAGAGGTATTAGAGCTTGGTGCAGAAGAAGAGGCAGTGAACGCGGTAGCAGTGGCAGATGAAGAAGTCGGTACTCGCGGAGTGTTATGAGCAGGGGGAGGGGGGATCGGCTCCTCAGGTAGGCCGCAAGCTATCCTCAAGTTGTTAAAAGTTACTTGGCGTCTACCACTCATCCTGGCAGCCTTAGCCCCGTCTTCATATGCAAGCCGTTCGACAGCACTCATGCTCTTCCATCGCGCCTTCATCTTAGCAACAACAGAGTCGTATGAAGTTCTTCTGTCACAGTGAAGCGTCCCTGCAGTGTTGAGATAGAAACTCCAGCCGTCGTATTTTCGTTCCCAATCCTCCCGTGTCATGATACTGGTGGCAGTGGTAGCGGTGGCGGCATCCGGCGGGGGAGACGGAATCCACGAACGAGGGTCTCGTTCCGGAGGCAGGTCGAATGCTTCTCTTAGTCTGTTGAACAACGCCCGGCCTTGGGCACTTTGCCTCAAAGTATACGCAACCTTTTCGTACTCGCGCCGTTGCATAGCTTTCAAGCCACTCCATTGCGAGTAGATTTCGGTTCTGTGTTCGTCGTATCCAATGTCTGGAATTTGTTTCTTGAGACTCACTCCTACGCTGTTATAAAACCAGGTGAAGCCGTCATATCGACCAGCATCCGAGGGTGAGCGACACCTGGCGGCTGCTAACCGCTCACGAGGATCTTGCCCCGGAGGCAGGCTGTAAGCTTCTCTCAGTCTGTTGAACATCTCTCGACCTTCGGCACTCTGCTTCAAAGTACTCGCGACCTTTTCGAACCTGCTCCGTTCTATACCGTCCATGCCACACCAGCGTGCGTACATTGCAGTTCTAAGATCGCTGTATGCGACGTTTGGGTTTTGTTTCTTATAATCCACTCCGTCGCTGTTAAGAAACCAAGTGAAGCCGTCGTACCGGCCACACTCCGAGGGTAAGTCATATTGGCCACAATCCCCGATCGTAGAAGCGGTAGCCGCGGATGAAGAGCTTGGTGGTGCCTGCGAGGCAGTTGGCTTAATTGTTATGTCCGCGTTGACTTTTGCCTTCGCCGCCATGTCCTCGTAGATTCTTCGGGCCATCTGTGTCATGCCATCCCATGTCTTTTTTAAAGCAGTGACCGTTTCTTCACTTGTGAGCCCGGGGTTCTTGTCTCGGAACTTTCGTTCCTCAAATTTTAACCAAAACTCGAAGCCGCCATCTTGTGGGGGTTCCGAAGAGCTGCTACTAAAAGCGCTGTAGTTTTGCGCCGCCGGAGTTGATGAAACGGGTGCTTTATCCTTGGCTACTCTCTTGAAGGTATCTTCCAGCCAGGTGAAAATACCCTTATCGAGCGGATGTTGTGCGGCCGCGAACGCTTTGTTACTGTAAACACTCCTTGCCGTGGACGTCAAAGCGTCCCATTGCCGCTTCGTGGCTTCGACAACGTGGTCGTAGGAATATTCAGGATGCTTTCTTCTGACGTTAAGGCCTTCGGTGTTGAGATAATACTCAAAACCGTCATATTTGCGGCTTGGCGCAGCAGTGATGGTAGAAGCGGATATCGCAGAGGTTGAGGTTGAGGTTGAGGTTGAGGGGGCCACGGTACCAGATCCTGACTTTGCTTTATCCAAGCCCATGGTTGCGTAGACTGCCCGGTGCGTTTCACTCATCGCTTCCCATCGCCGTTGTATCACCGACTTGAGCGATGCTGCCGAGGCGCCGGAGTTCCTCTTCCGAAGGCGTCCCTCCATTTCTTTAGCAAAAACCTCGTAGCCGGACACAGGCGGTGATGTGGCTGAGGCTGAAGCCGGTCCTTTTTGCGCAGAGCCGGCAGCCGTCGCAGAAGTCGAGGCCCCGTATGTTCTCGCCCGTTTCGTGGCCCGTTGTAACATAACCTCATTTAGACTGTTCCGTTCCCTAGCGAGAGCCGACTTCGCCTCTTCAATACGTGCCATATCATCGGTCCTCAAACGATCACCCATAGTTAGGCAGGTTTCCCACTCAACGCCAAGTTGCTGCCTGATTTGTTGTTCCGACGTTCCTGAGAGTAGACGCGAAAGACCATCTGTGTATTTGTTTATCCACCAGGTCCGGCCACGGTTCAGATCCTTGCGGCACGGATCGAGATGAGCGACATTTGGGTACGGGGCAAGTCGTGCTTTGCTTTCCATATAATCCTGCTCGGGGATCGACAGTCTGGTAGATGTACGAACGACGACCATTCCATTTTTGTCAACAACAGGTTTTGCGATCGCAAGCGCCGTGGTAAATGTTACCTTGGCCGCCTCACGTAACGCCGCCACTCTACTTTGAAGAGAAGGGAAAGGTTGAGCTTGATCTGGAAGCATGCCTGGGACTACGCTAGGAGGTGGAGGAGGTGCAATGCTAGAAAGAGACGGGATGCTCCGAGTTCCCGACGGACCCACAGCCCTCGCATTGTCCAAAGGAGCGAGCTGGGGCTGCTGTTGCTTCTGCGACAAGGCTTGCTTGTTAAACCATTCGCGATGAGTCCGTGGCAATGAGCTCCATGCTTTCGAGATTTGATCTAACAAGAGTTGGTGGCTGTATGTTGGGTGCTTTGCTCGAAGAGAGCCCATCTGTGTCGAAAAGTAGTATTCCCTGCCGGCCTTCAAATCGTCCTCCGTAGACAAGCTTGAGCCTGAAGGCTGGGGTGATAAATGATATGGCGCAGACAAGGAGGGATGGGCCTGGGTTTGAGCTTGGTTTTGGGCCACCGTTGCCCTGCTCACGTAACTCTCTTGACGACTAGAAGCCATGGTAGTCCATCGTCTCCATAGCTCCGCATTGATTGCACCACTCTGCCAGTTGGGAAATTGTCTCTGGATCACGATTCGCTCCTCAAGGAAGAATAGTTGGCGACCATGCTCTAATGTGTCCTGAATATGGGTGGTTGTTTGGTGGTTGTTGACGTTGTTGGTCATTTGGATGGATCCGGCGAAGCCGTCTGAACCAGCCGAGATGGAGTTGCCGGATTGGGTTGATTGAGAGGTAGGATCCGAATAAGCCCAGGGGTTGGCCGGGGCACGATGAGCGTGGTTAGGCGGAGGAAGCTGGTAACTATAGTATGTCCCTACAGGCTGTGGGTGCGCTTGACCTGGTTGCGGACCTTGATAGCCAGAGACAGTAGACTGATGAAGGGGCTGATGGTGATTCTGGTGAGCTGCCACAGGTTGACGGTACCCTTGGGCTGACAGAGTAGAGAGATCCGGTCGACCGATAATGAAGTGGTCAATCGGTTTCCCAAGAAGCGGCGCGGAGTGCACAGGAGGTGGAGGAAGTTCTTTCTCGTCATGAACTTCAATTTCAATATTGTTCTCCAAGAATTGAAATCCTGTAAACCACGAATACTCTTCGCCAAGAATGGCACGCAACTTTGCTTGATCAAACTTTGCGAACATTTGTTTCTTCATTTTGTTCTTCTTAGTCTCCCATTGCTTAAGAGCAGTAGGATCGGGATTCAAGCGTTTCGTGACGGTTATAGTGCCCGAAGCAGCATCAGTTGCAAAGTCACAGGAGATGCCCTCCCGCAGTCCCGTCAAGTAGCGTCGTACGTGGTCAAAAGCTGTACTGGAGCCGTGAAGCCGAACAGCATTGAAAGAGCAGGATTCGGAAAGGAATTGGTTGAGCCTGAAGCACAGTCCACAGTCACAACTGACCGTGCGCATAACAGGTTGCCAGATCTGTTTCGGCGTCCTGCCTACCTCCCTGAGTAGGTACATCTCCATGATAGCAGCGAATATGTTTTGATATCGAGGTGTTGATAGCGGGATAGAATGTTTTTCGAGAATGTCCGGGAGGAGATAGAGGAAAGGAACCCAGAGATGGGTAAGCTCACGAAGCGGGATGCGTTTTGCATCGCCAACCAATTTCATTGTCAAGCGCATAAGGAGGGTATCGGCGTTTTCAGCGATCAGTCCAGAGATAAAGCGAGACATGTCAGCCTTGTCGATACCTTCAATTGCCGCTTTAATCAGTTTTAGGTCTTGCGTGACCTTGGTTGAACGAAGCTGGATGATTTCCCTAACCCGTGCCGTCTCCGCGGAACGACTGTGGAGTTTGTAGATGTGCAATTCGTTCAAAATGTGTTCAGCCAAGTCGAGATACAGCTTTTTTGTTGCATTTTCCGTGGAGCAGGTCTCGTGGAGTTCGTTGGCAAAGCCCAGAAGGAAGGGGATCTTTGTCGAGTTTCGTCTCACTAACTTCGTGGCGAATTCTATGAAGTCAGGTCCCATCCCGAAACAGGTCTTCAGGGCGGAAACAAGTTCACTTCCATCTTGTTGGCCGATGATTTGCCAACCGGGAAAGTTAGCTATGCGGACTACTGCGTTCCGTGCCCAATCTCGGGGAACTGTTTCGTCCGTAGTCTCGTAGAAGGCGGTAACTGAGGAGCACCTGTACTTGATCAAGCTGTGGGAGACTGAGATGGCCAGAATACTAGTAGTTTGCGTTAGCTTCTCAGAATACATATCACCAATGCTCTAGATCACTTACCCCTCCTGAATGTCTTGAAAGGTGGCTCTCCCTTCTGTAATCTCAGCACGAGCCCATTTGACAAAGGATTGGGGATCGTAAGGCAGTTTGCGAAAGGCAAATCCCGTAAAGCCCGCGGCGAATGTGAATAAATCCCAGTCCTTGGCAGATATGCAAGCCTTGAGAATGCTCTCCACCAACTCCCCAGGCATAAACCCAAGTCCCTTTTCGTTGTCCCAGGTACATGCCCTCCGGATGAGGTTGCTGAAGATGGGCCAATAGCGAACGTGATCTTCAACGCTCCCTGAGCATAGGGTCCTATAGTTTTCGAGCAACGAACGCAGAGGAGTCTGAGTGACGTTGTACTTGGCAGTCGGCGGGCCGTTTGCTTCGATGGTCTCCCACAGGAAGTCGGCCACAGTATCTCGAGGGACAAGCACGAGTGCCTGGCGGATTGGTATGTGGTTAGCAGAGATCTAAAGAGGCTTTAGTGGTGATATGTGAGGTACGTACCGCATCACAGTAACCAGGAAGGAGTTTGGGCTTTCGGTGTTCGGTAGTCTTTTGTGTCCAGTCATTCTCGTCAACGGGAACAAACTTTGCGTAGGTTCGGCCCTGCAAGTCAACCAGATCCTCAATGACGTAGGAGGGAGACACTTGTTGAGGGTCGATGTCAGTGTCTTCATAGCCTCTGTCGAGCCGGCAAAGAAATAGTTCGAAGGGGATCGCTCGCGCGAGGCGATCCAGAGTCAGAGCCAATACCCGGTCATGCCTTGCCAAAGCCTCTGGAAGCGAATCCGCCTTCTTGTAGGTGTAGTCGAGCCGGTGGAAGAACTTGTTGGCAGTCCTGCAGCCCTTATCTTCGGATGTCCAGTATCGCAACAGTTGGCAAAGGTAGCGCACCTCGCCGTCCGCCAAACCTGCTACGAGAATAGAATCGGCCGGTGGTGGATTTTCCGGAGGCGGGGGAGGAGCATCGAAGGGGCTATCGACACGTGGACGCCAGGTCTCGGGATATGTGAGACCAGCCCAAGATAGCTGTTCACGTAGCTCTTTCCGAAGATCTTTGGGTATGTATGAAGTGTCGGAATCATACTCGGCTTCGGGATCGTCCATTTCCGGGGACTCGACGACCGCGGTGGTCTTGGACTTGGACTTGGCCTTGATGTTGGACTTTGTTGATTTTGGCTGGACAAGGCGTCCCGAGGTTGTACTTGATGTGGCTGAGGGCCTCGCTCTGTTGATATTTGCGCTCGGCTGGTCAGAGATGTTGACATTCTGTTCCTCGTCGTCGGGAGCAATTGATGTTTTCGAAGTTCCTGTCTCAGGGAGCTGCACATCGGTTTCGGCTTGCTCCTCCTCTTTCACGTCAGGTCGGGCGGCTTGTTTCGCGACCTTTCTGCCCTTGGGTTTGACTGGGGACCTTTTCTTTTTCGCAGGTTTCTCAGCAATCGCCATCGGCTGGATGTTATTCGGTGTCGCGTTGCTGCTTTGCTCGCCATTATTCTCGTTGCCGGCCATGGCGGCCATTCTCCGGGTTCGCACCATTCTCGATCATGGCTCTCTGGACTTTGGAGTCCAGACTAAACACCGTAGGAGCAAAATAAAAGAGCAAAACAAGCGATCAATTGAGGACAAAAGCCAAAACGAGCTTCCAATTCACTCCGCGGGGCACGATGCGTGCGGATAGCGAGCTTGACGCTTGATGACCGGCAGATTCCCAAAATTGCGTTTTGTTTGTGGGCAACCCAGGCCGTCACGTCACACTCGACGCGGGATTGGGCCTGTGGAGCGCTGATCCTGGATTGTTCCAGCGCTGTGGTGAGTGGAGTTCTCCACATCCTGGAGATTTCGCGTCACCAACCCAACATGGAGTTTACCGAACCCTAAAGTGCACTCCGCCGGCTGTACGGTAGCGGAAGGGTTAGGGTCGCTCCCTTTTTGTTTGTTTACTTTTCATCGGACACTCTGAGTTCTAAGCCAATACCAATGTAGTGCTGACCAGAAAACAAAAAAAGATGATCTTCTGAGGCTTACAGTCAAATTTCCGAGTTCATGTCATCTCTTTGATGGTTATGAACCTGTCGTTTTATATCACTGTAAGCTGCAGCCACTTTGCTCTTCCTTGTCACCTTATTCCCACGATCTTCAAAGATGGAACGGTTCGGACGATCTTTCCCAAGAGCGTTACCACGCTCAAACTGGATCGGCGAGGATAACGGCAATTGTTTCCTTCTTACATCCCATAGCTTTCCTAGTACGGATCGTCTGAATGGAGTTACGATGCGTTACAACCTGAGCAAAGGGGGACGAATAGGAAGCTGCCTGAAGCCGTACCAGACTTGAAGTTTTTTGGTTAGAGATGTTACTGATTTAGAACTCGGGCCGCTCGAGATCTAGATTGATATGTGAGGCAATATAGAGTATGAGATTTACCACTGACGGTTCACATAGACGTAACATGGATCTAACGTTATTCTTGACGCGAAACCGAACAGACCCTGCGGGCGTGGAGCACAACGTCATGCCTGGATATTGCTTCTATGCCGCCATACATCCAATTATGCAGCCCAAGCAGCTTGAGCCAACCTCGAAGCTTTGAGTCACATACAAGATGTATGTATGTGTCAGACCTCCCGAGGCTCAAGAGCAAGCCATTAGATGCTCAAATTCCATGCTTTTTCGACATGGGAAAATCCGGAGGCTCCCTTCTTCACGACAGATTTGAGACCTCGTCAACCTGTTCCTCCTCTCCAACCAGTTCTCGATAACATTTCGACACATCTTCACAATGATGTCTTCGCAAGATGAGACGTCTCCAAGCGCACAAGTGCAAGAAGAAACCAAGCCAGTAGCGCTTGTCCCTAAAACGGCTCCCTCATCACAAACCAACGAGAACAACACCAGCAGCGATGGCCCTGAATCCGACGATCCAGTCCCTCACCTCCACGCAAAGACCTTTTTGGCCGTCTTTGCCGTGTGCCTCATTTACATCGCCCAATTGATCAGTCTTGTGGGCGCCGGGGCTGTGCGTACCTACCTATCTCCTTCCTTCCCAAATCCCAAAAGCCCCACCTTCCTTCTCTTCCACCTTCCTGCATTCCCGGTTCCCACCTTCCTTTTTCAATCTTTTTTTGTTTTTTGTTTTCAATTTCCCTCCTTCCCTCCTTCCCTCCAGTCCTTCTCGAATTCATGATTCTCCATCTTCGCAAGATCCCAACTTCCCATTTTATGGCTTGACTCCATCCCTCGCAATCCTGACTGACATCGTTTACTTCTTACAGCAAGGCCAAACCATAGCCTCCCACTTCTCTTCCCCAACCCAATCAATCTGGTTCTCCGCCCCCATCACCATCCTCACTGTTGTCCTCGGCCCCATCACCTCTCAAGCGGCCGACTATTGGGGACGTAAGTGGTTTCTCGTCATCCCCACCTTCCTCGGCGGCGGGGCAGGGTCACTCATCGTTTCCCGCGCACCCTCCATGCCCGTCGCCATCTTGGGATTCGCCACCATCGGTCTCGGCTTCGGCTCGCAGCCTTTGCTGCACGTGGTCACCTCGGAAGTATTGCCTCGGAGATGGAGGGCGTGGGGCCAGGCGGCCGACATGGCGAGCAATACGTTAGGTGCGGCGGTGGGACTCTATGTAGGCGGTGCGTTGAACAGGACTGGGGATCCGAGAGGGGACGGGTTTAGGGTGTATTTTTTGCTGAACATGGCTGTCTATGTCGTGGCGGCGGGGTTGTGTTGGTGGGTGTATCATCCGCCCAAGAGGCTTTTGCAGAAGAGTTTGAGTACGAGGGAGAAACTGGCAAGATTGGACTGGGGAGGGTACTTCTTCCTGGCGGTTGGGTTGGTGCTCTTTTCCGTGGCACTGTCTTACTCCAGAAATCCGTTTGAGTGGAGGGATCCGCAGGTTTCGGCTACCTTTGCGGTTGGAATGCTGTTTGTGATTGGGTTGGTGTTGTATGAGACATGGATAAAGAAGGATGGGATGTTCCATCATAAACTGTTTACGGGTAATCGCAACTTTGCTGTGGCAATGTTTTGCGTGTTCTCCGAGGGCGTGGCGTTCTTTGCGGCTAACACGTACTTTGCTTTCCAGGTCAGCGTGCTGTACGAGTCGGATGCGCTGCAGGGTGGGGTGAGGTACAGTCTGATAATGATCATTGCTGCGGTCTTTGCTTGCTTGACAGGGTGGTATTGTGCAGCTACAAAGCGTGTGAAGTGGGCGACCTTTGCCGCTTTCGGGATGTTTATCGCCTTCTTTATATGCATGGCGACAACTACGAGAAAGACGGATATACCAACTTGGGGCTATACGGTTCTTTTGGGGAGCGCTTTGGGCACGACTTTGACCACGCTTGTCACAGTTGCGCAGTTGTCGACACCGCCGGAGCTCATCAGTGTTGCCAGCGGACTGATTATCAGTATTCGGTCGCTGGGGGGAACCGTTGGGTTGGCCGTATACAATGCGCTTTTTCACGATGTGATGAAGAACTTGGGGAACTATGTTGGAAAGGTTGTAGTGCCAAAGGGAATATCGCCCGATGATGTGGAGATGTTTGTCACAGCACTTGAAGCCCAAGATCAAAAGATGTTGGGGACAATATCTGGAGTAACGGCGGATATCATTGAAGCCGGTGCCATTGCTTTGCAAGACACGTTTGTTGTCGCGTTCAGGCACGTTTGGATTGCCGGTGCTTGCTTTGTTGCGCTGGCTGCCGTTGGTAGGGCGAGCAGAACCCCTTGGTTTACTCTCGAGTATCGTGCTGACACAACGCTCTAGTTTCTCTCCTCTTGTTTGACCCCAAAAAGGAGTTCAACATGCACATTGACGCATCTGTTGAGAAGGAGGAAGATTTGTATTCCGTCTGATATGGGGATTGTTTTACATTTGTTTCCCCAAGGGTGTTAGCAAGTTGAAAGTTTGATCCATGCTCTCAACACTGAAACAAGGCCGTGATCGAGCAGCTGGTACCTCTATACCAAAAGGAAGGAACATCATTCCCGCGGGTACATAAACTCCCGGTTACCAAAGCTTGATGAAGGGACTGAAGGGGCATATACGACCAGGCACCTAGTGTCCTAGTGAAAAGACAAAAGATTTGATCTTTATGGTTTTTCTTGCACAGACTACATGGTGGCCCATTTGTGTCTCATTATCTCCCGATGACTTATCTGTGCAAGACTCGCTGCGTCCTTGAACGCCTGTCAGAACCTTGTTCATGTGTTATCGCGAACAAATGACATGTTGGGGGAAGCCGACCCCGTCTTAATCTCGCTACGGTCAACGATCCAGAAGAACAAAGGGAAATCCCCGTCGGTGTACGACTATGTAGATGCCTGTCAAGTTCTGGCATCACGCAGCGAAACAAACAGAACTGGTACAACTCACCTTGAACCCTAACCCACGTCCAGCGGTGCGGTCCATACCGGCGTACCGGCGATGTGTGGAAACTTGGACGAGAGTGATGGCCGTCAATAGCAACGCCCGCAGTTCGGCTTACCCGACCAAAAGTCTCCCGAAAACGTCATCAAAGCTCTCGATTGGCAGGCTGATGACAATTTCTCACATCAGCAGAAGCGGCTGGGGGTAAGGCGTTTTCTAGCTAGTAGCGATGCTGTGTGAAGCAGATTCCGAGTTGGGGCTCGCCCGAACCTAACGGCAGCATGGCGTATCTAGCGTGCAAGTGAAAGACGTGGTGGTGGTGATGGGAAAAGGAATCATTGGCTGCAGGTCTCCAGTCATTGACCAATTTACACAAGGAGGTAATATTGAATCGCAGCCAAAATACTGTAGTAGGTACCTTTGGTGACTGGTGGCCTCCTGTCGGGCTTCTGACGGGTTCTTTCCATGTTCTCAGGGACGGAAGCTCCGAAACAACGATGGATGGAAACTATCGCTGCTAGTGAACATGCATACAGCCAAAGCAGATATCTTGGTTCACATGGACCAAAGCCTGAGCCTTGTACGTAGCGGTATAGATAAACACCGAAGTTGAGACGTATCTGTTGACTGCAACTTTGGTGCGGCAATCATGGCACCGGAACGGGTGTCATGTTACTTCGCGGCCCGGGTCTTGCTTGCCCTTTTGGGTGCTGCGATTGGTGCAGAAGGGCAGACGCGGCTATTGTCTTGTTTGTGAATTGGTGGCATTGCGTTCATTCTTTTATCCTTACGAGAAGCATGGTACAGACCAACTATGAAGCTTGGGACTGCCAATCTGGCGCGGAGTTTTCGAAGTGGCCACCGGCCCCCAAATCTGGTGAAGATCTGGAGGTTCGAGGGGCAAAGGAGGTCGGAATTGTTGTTGTACTGTTTCTGGTGGTGCGGTATCGCCATGTCTGTGGTACACGAAAAGTGCAAAGAAAGTGATGCCTAGAGGTAGTTGTATGACATGGCTGATGGCAGGGGGGATGTTGTATTAAGCGGGGAGAGGACGTTTGCCCCTGCTCTCTAGCTGAGGCAAGGGTTGTCGAGATCAGGTGGTTGTTACTGGGAAGGATCAAAGAACTGAAGCGTTAGGTTCACAGACGGGATGAGAACAAATTCCCGTCGGCATGGATGCCGCTAGATGGGATGGAAGGGAAGCCCAGGTCCTGCCGATACTTAAAGACTTATACAGGGGCACCTCATATGATGTTAGGGATTCACAGTGCACATCAAGTGGAAGCTGGAGAGCAGGAATCGTTAAAGTTTACTTACGCGGGCGCCCAACCCCAAATCGAATTCCTGATGCCAAGCCTGTAGTGCACTGCCTGACACAGCCCGCTCCCCGCCTTCCCGTTGGCACTTAGGTCCCTTCTACCTAATTTTTAGGTTTGTTCTTGACCCAGTTTTGGTCCATTTTTCTCCGCATTTTCGGGTCAAAAAAAAAAAAACAAAAAACACATCGCGATGATGATCATGTCCACCATTTCACCACTCTCAACGAGACATCACTCGACCTCACCAAATCCGACCCTCCCATACCGGCCCAGCCTCAAAGGCCAAAGCCACCATACCATATCTCGACATGCGCAAGGCATGCAATGAGAGCTGTTCAAAAAAGTCCGCCACAGAGACGATAACGACCCAGCCGTCGTCGAAGCGTTTCCCGCCGGTGGATCGCCATCCTTTTTCTCTTTCCGTCAGGCGTCCGCCAACAAGCCGTCTGCCAATTTGTCATTCACATTTCACCGCCAGCACCGACTGGATGCAGCAATGCAGGCTGGGTCACAGCAGAAGTGGAAGGACAATACTGTCGTCTTCTGCATTCAAACCTGGGCGAGAACAACATAACTTTCAAGAACCCCTTGCCTTGCTGGGCGGACGGTTCAGTTAGCACGCTGAAGTGTATGCCCGCACTGGGGACACTGCGTCTCTTTGTGTTCCCCTCGTGCTGGAACCCAATCAGAATGGTGCTGCCTTCGGGCCAAGCCTTTCCATGTCAGCTTTTGGCTCATCCTTTGATGAAACCTTCTTCACTTGTCGTTACTCCTTTGGGTAAGGTTGATCTCAGCCCATCAAGGCCACCTCTTTGGTCATGATCCTGGTCCGTCTTGGGTCCCGGGTCCAGTATCAACTGCACTCGTTTTCCAGCCATTGTTCTTACTGGCCCATCCTCTACACGCATTGGAATCCCGTCAGCTACCATATGATGTAAAAGCTTTGGGATTGCCTACGTGCAGGTTCTTGAACCTCTCCCTTTTATGTATCTCTTCTCATCGTCAACCTCTCCCCGTCCAGTCTCAAGATTTCCTCCCTCTCCCATTCCTGATTCCCATCATACCACTGGACTCACCATGGCAAGCAGTGCAGAGGTCATCTCTCAACTCATCGCATACTGGGGCTTCTCGTGCCCAAAGGATGGAAGCTTCTACATCTGTCCTGAAATGAAGCACGAGTTTCTCGGTTGCTGCACCGTCGACCCATGCACCGAGGAACGAAATGGTGTCTGCCCGGACGACGAACTCCAAGTTGCATCCTTCTCTTCCGCAAAATACAAACTTCTTCCGGGTCAATCATGCGACGTCTCAATTCAAGAAGCAGTATTCTACACATGCGCAAATGCTGCGCCTCCATTTATGGGTTGTTGCGCTGACAATCCCTGTAACGCTGGTTGTCCCAAGGATAAATTAAGACCGACGGTTTTGAATAAGTTGCCGGGTGAGGAATGGAAACGTGACTATATACTCAACCCTGCCGGCACCGGCATCAGCTATAACAGCACCAAGACCAAACCCGAGGCCCCCAGCAGCAGCAGTGCCGAGCCCGAACCCGAGCCCCCCAGCAGCAGCACTGGAGGACTATCCACTGGCGCCATTGCCGGCATCGCTGTAGGGGCTGTTATTGCAGTTCTCATCATTGTTGCTGGGATTCTGTGGAGGTGCGGATGGTTTCCTAAGAAGAAGAAGGAAGGGAACATACAGGAAGGGGATGTGCCCGGAGCAGCCATGTCTCAAATGGGCCCCATGACTCCCATGGGCCAGCAAGCATACCTACACCAAGGACATCAGGGATACGGACACGTCGATGAGAGCGGACGGTCAGTCATGAGCAGCCCAAGTACAGGCTACATGCGAGGTAAGAGCCAAGATTCTACTATCCTCTGTTCTTCACCGCCATCGCACTGACCAGACCGGCTAATGCTCAGTCTCCCAAAATGCAGACTCATATGTGAGTGGTCTCACTGCTACCGGCAGCCAGTATGGCCCTCTTTCTCCCGCCTTCTCCAAGGCAGGTTTTCAGAGCCAACACACGTCACCGAATCTTGGGCAAGAAGGCTTTGATCAAAAGTACGGCTACAATGCTTTCACAGGCTACCCGAACAACGGGCTGGGACTAGATACCGTTTCAGAATTACCTGTCACCGACCACCATTATGGCGCGCAGGAACTACCCGCGGGGAACCATCCCGGATTTGAGATGGACGCCGGCGCCGTTCAGCGTCCAGAGGAACAAAATAGGCCACAGCAGCATGTGGGCTACCAGGAGGGCGACCGGCAGGACGTTAACCAGGAGCAAGCTGCTCTGCATGGCGATGAGAGGAGGAATTGACCAGAAAAAAAACTAAAAAAATTGAAAAAGAGGGATGGGCAAACAAGAGGATGGAGTGGGAGCCATTGCCCAGAGAAGGAATAATACTATGGAAATTCAAGATACCACGGCGTCTCGGCGAACATAAAGGGCATCGGACGTTATATATGGATGCATATTACTCCCCCAAACCGGGGCCTTAATGCAGATGTCCAGGTATGTTTGTGATATCTGTGAGATACCTCTTTATCTTTTGGCAATCTGACCGTATATCATTTTCACTTCTTCTACAGCCTGCTTTCTACCATTCACCGTACTAATAGAGCTTTTTTACTGGGCCTTCAAGGTTTATCCATATCATGGATTGATATCAGACTTGTATCTACTATTGAAGAGCAGCCGCAAAGAATACGCGGCAACGCTTATCTTAAGACCTTCATGTCCTCTTTCCCCAATACAAGACATTTGGCCAATGACCACTTTGCCCGGTGCCCATGTCCCCGAATATCCTAGGAAAACGCCAGCAAGTCACATCACAAACACCTTGTCTTCACTCGCCCGTGGGTACCTTGACATAAACCCGGATGCAAATACGATCTTGAATCGCTACTTGGTATGATGCTATATCAAACGACCACTCTATTCCAAACATATGCAAGACCGTGGCCTAAATGCTTGCACCAGCACTTCCACCAACGGCCCAGTGAAGAAGTAGAACTATATACAGATATCATGGGCCTTTCGCTCCCAGCCTAGTGTGCTATCACCGACCGAAAGCGCGACTGCCCCAGTTGAAGTTATTCACAAGAAGATTAATTTCCCTTTCCTCCATTCCATCCCCTCTTCCAGGCCAAGTCCCTGATCATGACCCTCTTCTCAATTTTTGCTCCTCACTCTAGATCCCACTTACAAACACTGCGAGTAATAGTCGTTGCCAACCTTGCAAGTCGACCCGCTAGCGCAGCTCGTGCACCCGCTGTATCCAATGCCACCGCACTGTCCGTACTTGGCCACCGTGCAGCCCGAAGGGGTGGTGGGCTGGCTGCCTGAAGAGGCTGACGAAGTGCTGCTGCTCTTGGTCGTGGCGACGACAGTCGAAGTCTTGAGGGTGGTCGCGACAACGGTCGAAGTCGGGAGGATAGAAGTGGTCGGCTGGGATGAGGGGGTAGAGCCGGAGCCGGAGCCGGAGCCGGAACCACTGCAGGTGAATACCTCGGGGCCAGGGACGGTGTAGTTGTTGAAGTTGGAGTAGATCTGTTCAAGTTTGTTAGTAGAGGTACTTAGAGGTAAGTACAGCTGATAGGCGAGGAGGGGCTGGGGTTGAATCGGATCATAGTGGCAGGACAATGGACTTCCATCGAAGTGGAAGATTTCTAGGCAAGAACCCCACCAGAAGGATAAGGTAGGCAGGAGCGACCTGGTGATCTGGGGGGAAAAAAATAGGAGAGAAAGAACTCACGTTGACGGTGTAGCCAGGATCGGTCTCCTTGAAGGCTCCAGGGATGGAGACAGTGGCGGGGGAGGCGCTACCACCGCCCGTCACGGAGATGTGAGCGCAGGAGAGGTAGAACTGGGGAACACCTGCGGGCCAGGGGCTGTTGTTGAAGGACGATTTCGTTAGCTCATCTGTGTCCTTTCTTGTTCCTCGATCACGGCACGGCACGGCACGGCAATGGTTCAACTTACTTGTGGATACCAATCTGCTGAATACGCAAAAGGTAATCGCCCGAGGGGATGCACGAAGGGATCGTGAAAGTGTAAGTATCGGACAAAGTCCATTCACCACCGGGGAAGGTAGCGCCCCAGTCCTTGATCTTGAACCAACCGCCCGAGCCATCGTAGCTGGAAAGGGAACCGTCGGCCTTGGAGAGGTAGACGGAAGTGGGACCCTGGTGGTAGACGGCCGTGTCGGTCTTGAAGGTGACCTGGGAGCCGGCAGCAACGGAGAGGGTTTCGACACCGTCAGCGCTGGCGCCGACGTTGCACACAAGGTCTTTGGAAGTCAAGTCGGTCACGGGCGAGTTGTAGTTGGTGTGCTTGCGGATGTACTTCCAAACCGGGTTGACCGAGGTCCCGGCGCCGACTTGCTGGAAGATGTAGTGGGCCGAGGCCTCGCTGGCGGCGAGAGAAAGGGCGGCAGCGACTGAAAGCTTCATGATGGGCTATTGGTGTAAAGTGATGTCGGGTAGTTGAAGCTGCGATTTGACCGTACTAGCAGGAAGATCCGAAGTCTGGTGTCTTGGGGCTGAAGGCTTGAGGGGAGGAGAGGTAAAGGGAACAAGAGCTGGCAGAGTGCGTCCCGGATAGATATATACCACTTGACCCAAAGACCATGATCCGTCCTTGAACACACCATCTACCCACCATCCGAACTTGAACACATCGATCCCAAACCTGATAATCTGTGATATTGGAGGATGGGAAGCCCCCACCTCGACGGCGACACCATCCCAGAATTTGGCACCAACGTTGCATGGGGCGACAAACAGCGGCCCGGTAACCGGAGTCACGGTGTCTGCAGGCCGTACTTGGACCTCGGTGGGCAAAGACTTGGTGTTTCTGTCAAATCCAGTCATGTTCAGTGGAAGTGGTTCCGGTTCCCGTTACGGACATCGACCTCCGCCATTCCCAAAGCGGTTCTAAATCGTGGTTATGCGGACCAATGGGCATTCAGGGGGTTAATTAAGGGCCATGCGAACAGCTTCCATGCACTCCACAACCCGATTACAAACTCGAAGAGCTAAGAGCGTGCTTGAGCTTAGCGCCGAATTGTTTTGGTGATCAGTGTCACCTTCTTGGCATCTATCATGGGTCTCGGAACGTGGACCTCCTCGTCTACCTCTACCGACACTAGGGCCTGGGCGGTGATCGGAACCACGGGACCGCAGCTAGGTCGAAAACTCCACATGTTTCATCAGCATCCCTCCCCGGCGGCACAATGTTTCAAGAAGGCAACCAATGTCCATGCTTGACGTCAAACGGCCTTTCACTTTGCTGCATCCATAACCTGGGCGATGGTCGGTGCATGGTGGTTTGCAATCTCAATCTTGTCAAGCAATGGCCCTGTCTGTATTGAGGAAGCATTCCACTTCTTGGGAATTGCGACGGATGAGCCGCTTATGCGTGGGCAAGAATGCGTAAAGGGGTGGAAGGAAGATAGTCCAATCCGTTGATATGAGTTCCCTTGTATTGAAGGTCATTGTCTACCTACCTAGGTACTAGCATCTTGAACACACACAATATTGTCGTATCTCGTTCTCCGAATTTCCAGTCAGGTATGCAGAAACTCTTTAGTCGTTCGTCTCCAGAATACCTCTTGCGGGCTTCCACTCAAAGTGGTGGTCACCCGTCACCGGCTTACCCGGCTCAGCAGTTTTTAGGTCAAACATGTGAGCCCCGAAGTAGTCCAACTCGGCCTCCTGGAATTGGGTGGGTAGTTCAGTCGAACCCGAGTACTTGTAGTATTCAAGACTGGTACTCAGCGCTCCAGCATGTAGATCAAACTCGATAGCCTTCAGTACAACCCTCTTGAGCGACGGGTACGTCTTTGCGAGCTCGCCAGCAATCGTTTGGTGTCCTAGGAGATCATCGTTGTCGTGCTCTCTCGAGCGATACACAGTCTCGAGCAAATCAACAACTCCGTCGCTTCGAATAATACATCCATTGCGCCAGAGCTGCAGTACATCAGCAAAGTCGAGCTTCCAGTCGTTTTCCTCGTTCGCCTTGGAAAGGACGTGCAGGCCCTGGATGAAGCATATGAGGAAGGAGGCGTAGACGGCATTGTACAAGTCTTCCAGGAACTTGGCCTTATCGACACCCTCGATTTGAGCGGGCTTCACCCCCTTTCCATCCAGCGCCTTGTTGACTGTCTCTCTCCTCGCTGCATCTGCCGAAGCTACCCTGAAAAGGTGCGAGACGGCAATGGTTGGATCTGGCACATGGAGTCTGGTACCCTCCTGGACCGCCCACGTTCCCGTACCCTCGGAGTTGTCTACATCCTGAACGACCTTGTCACGCACGTTGGCTAGCACATAGTTGCCCTTCACATCCTTGGTCCGACAGATATCGGCACCAATGTCAATCAAGAAGTTGTCCCTTAATGGCCTTTCCTTGTCACCGTTCCACTTCTCGAACACGGTGCCGATCTCTTCGTAGTCCATGCCCAAGCCGATGTTCATGATGGCCCAGGCTTCACAGAGGGCAGTCATCATTCCGTGCTCAATGCCGTTATGGATCATCTTGACGTAGTGCCCGCACCCGCCCGGCCCAAGTTTGGCCACGCATGGCTGTCCCTTTTTGTCTTTGGACGCAATTTTCTGAAGGAAGGGGAACACCTTATCGAGGGCCTCCTTGCTGCCACCGGGGGAGATGGAAGGACCATGACGAGCGGACTGGTAGCCCCCAGAGACGCCCATTCCAATGTAATGGATTCCCTTTGGCTCAAGGCGGGCCTGTCGTCTCTCGGTCGCCTTCCAGTGCTCGTTGGAGGCGTCCATAATGATGTCGCCTGGCTTGAGGTAGGGTTCGAGGGCATCGATGCTGTCGTCGGCGGGGCCGCCATGGGGGATGCTGAACATGAAGACCTTGGGCTTATCACCGTCCTCTAGAGCCTCGCATAAAGACTTGTGGTCGTCGTGGTAGGTGATCTTGTCTTCGTGCTTGCTTTCTTTGGCGTGGGATTGGAGGGCTTCGATGTTCTTCTTGGAAGGGTCGTAGTAGTGCGTGTGGATGCCATACTCGGCGAACAGAAGAGACATCATGCCGCCCATGCTGCCGGTTCCAATCATTCCAATCTGAAAACGCCATGATCATCAGCTAAGCCGCATCTGTCGAGTGTCTCGGGAGCATCCGTACTTTTTCAACGTCCATTTTTGGTCCAATGTTGCCGGGGTTAGGGTCTCGCGTGGGGTTGCAGGGACAATTGGTGCTGTTGCAATCTCCTTCAACGGAACCTGGAATCGTGTCGGTAAAGTTGTTGGATGAAAGACGATATGGCTCTTGTCTTATCTTTTAATGTCATTAATGCAAATGCTCTTCGTTTCAAGTGAGAACCCTCCATTCTGTAGTTGCGTCTCTCTTGAGAGAAGCGGTTGTTGTCGGTGTTGTGGGGCATCGACAACCTGATATAATGTGGGACGAACCGCCTGGGGTGACAATCGTTGACATCATCGACAGCCAGCAAGGTGCCCACCGAGCCGTCAAAACAACACAAACAACACCTCAAAAACCACTCCAACAACAAATCACATAAGTTCCTACCGTACCTCGATTATCAATCTGTGCGTCATTTTCGATCCCAAAGTGTCCATACAGCAAGCACAATGCCGTTCGCTCTCGCCTCCTGCTCCATCGGCCTTCCCAAACACACGCTCCACCAAAAGATCGAAGCCATCCGTCACGCCGGCTTCGACGGCATCGAGCTCTCCTTCCCCGACCTCCAGTCATACGCCAACCTGCACTTCGGCCGCGACATTGCCGAAGACGACTACGACACCCTCTGCGAGGCCGGGCAAGCAGTTCGAACCCTCGTCGAGCGCCACAACCTCAAGATCTTCGTCCTACAGCCCTTCTCCAACTTCGAAGGATGGCCCGAGGGCAGCAAGAAGCGTGAGGACGCCTTTGCGCGTGCAAGAGGATGGATAAGAATTATGGAAGCGGTGGGGACGGACATGCTCCAGGTTGGCTCCTCCGATTCTGAGGGCATCGCCACCGATCCCGAGCGGGTGGCAGCCGATCTTCGAGAGTTGGCGGACATGCTGGCCGAGAAGGGGTTCAAGCTTGCGTACGAGAACTGGTGCTGGTCCACGCACGCCCCAAAATGGTCGGATGTTTGGAACATCGTGCAAAAGGTGAACAGGCCCAACGTCGGACTGTGCCTTGATACGTTCCAGTCCGCTGGTGGGGAGTGGGGAGATCCTACAACTGAGTCTGGCAGGATCGAGACGCCGGCCATCACGGAGATGGAGCTGTCTGTCAGATACAGAGCCAGCTTGAAGGAGTTGGCGGAAACAGTGCCGGCCGACAAGATCTTCTTCTTCCAGATCAGCGATGCGTACAAGGTCCAGCCACCGTTGGATGACAAGCCCGATCCGGAGTCGGGGCTGCGGCCGAGGGGATGTTGGAGTCACGACTATCGTCCGCTTCCCTACGATGGCGGTTACCTCCCCATTGAGCAGTTTGCCAAAGCAGTGCTGGACACGGGCTTCAAGGGATGGTTCAGCGTGGAAGTGTTTGACGGGAAGTTTGAGGAGAAGTTTGGCCAGGATTTGAATAAGTATGCTCAGAAGGCGATGGATTCCTGCAAGGAGTTACTCTCAAAAGCGAAGGAAAAGGTGACCCAGTGAATGTCATGAAGACAACTACGGCACTTCTTACCTTACAGGACACCCCCCGATTAGACACAGCGAATCTTGTTAGCCATTATTCTCTCTCTTTCACTACTTCTCTTCTTTATCTCGTTCTTTGCTTCTGTTTCCTTGGCTATCTGGGTGATGCAGCATCGTTAAGGTATCTGACAACAATCAGGCCGCAAAAGCGTGTTGACTTTGACGATAAGCCGATTGTCAATAGTACGCTAACCCATGCTTCCTTGATGGGCGATCCGGAATCCTCATGAGGTGAAGCTTCTTCACTGCGCTCAGTCTTTTCCTGAGCCTCTTTCTTAGGAGCCTCGGTGCTGGCAGCGGACTCCTACTGCATCGTCCCCTCCTCCTTTTTACCACCGTCCTCCTCTTTCTCCGTCATCAAATCACTTCCATGTAGAGAGATGTTGCTGTCATCCTCGTCAAACGCATGACTAGCCTCCTCCTCCATCCACGCCCCCAACGCGCCACTCCAGGGCAATTCATCCTTCACCTTCTTTCCGGGGACATTCTCCTCTGAGCACTCCTCCAAGTATATATCCTCACCCGTCCACTTCAACTGCTCCATGAAATCCTCAAGTTCTTGCGTACACTCAGGGTTATTCTTCTTCGTCTGCTCTCCATGCGCCCGCACGCGTTCCTCGCAACGTTCCAGGCACCACTCCATTGTGGCCACCTTCTCCTTGAAGGAACGGAAGTGCGTGACCACTATCTCCAACATATAGTGTTTGTCAACCATGAAATCCAGTTTCATGCGTGAAAAGTACTTGATGGTGGTGCGCATATCGTGAGCTTCCTTCGCTAGCTCCTTGGCACGGTCAAACAGCCGCTTCATCTCCAAACTGTGACTCTCGCCATTCTCCTTGTAAGACTTCATCCACAGCTTACATCCCACGTGGAGGTTCGACAGCTGGTTTGTCGAGAGCTTCTTAATATCCAGGGGTTGCGCATGGCTGACAGGCCGGGAGCCCTCTTTGGCCAGGCGCTCTCGGAGTTCGATGAAGCGCAAGTACGGAGAAACATTACCCCAACGGGGCCAGAGCGTGGCGGCTTCCAGGGAAACGTAATGAGGGTTGGCCACTGTCAAGTCAAAAATGGTCAGGCACAACTGAAGGGACTTCTGTGAAGCGCTTGCCTCAATTTGATCTCAGGTCGGACTTACTTTGCGCCTCCCAAACACCGATGCGGCCGGCTTCAACCAATAGCTCAGCTTGCTGGTAAATGGGGTAGTTGCTACTGCCATCGATGATCTCCTTGTACACGTCCTTCACCATCTTCTCGGGTCCATCGTAGATGCCCTTCTCCCGCAGGACCCCCTCAGTTTTCTCTTGCGTTCTCTTAAGCTTGATCTTGGAGATGTCACGCAAGTGCTCGCGAATCTGCTGGCTCGAGGTAGTCACGCACACGAAAATGCCATCCTTCTTGACCTCCATCTTGGCCTGTGTCTTCTTCGTCACGACAAAGGGAAGTTCGTGTCCTGAAGTTGAGCTTGAGTTACAGGCGCGCCCGATGAGAGCGCTTTTTTGAAGTGAGTGTTAGGAACATACTTCATGAACAGAAGGTGTGTTGGTTGTCAACTTCTTCATACCTTGAAATCTTCGATGGCGCTCCTTTTGAAGTTGAGTCTGAGCTGGGCCCGATGAGAGCAGCTTTGTGGGGTGAGTACTAGGAGATTCTTGAAGAGAAGGTGTGTTGGATGTTGACGTGTTCATACCTTGAAATCTTCGATGGCGCCGCGCCCCTGAAAAGTGAAGGGAAGTGTTGTGCCAACCCACAATAGGGGCAGGAAATCCGGGCCCTTGATGGGGGGTATGAACGAAAGACGCGGTCGCAAATCGTTTCAGTTTTCTCTGGTGACCTTGAAGGAAGGTCGTACTGAAAGGGAGAACTGTAACAAAGTTGGCTGTTCTGATGATCAAGAAGCGACGACAAAGAAAAGGTGACCATGGGGTGGGAGGTGTTGCTTCTCGGTGGGTGAAGGAGGGGAAGGATGTGAAGGAAGGAAATTCTTTCCTTGTGGTCGAGGTTTCTGGGTCAACCCAAAGCTGTGGCTGGGGTAGGGCTTTTGCCAGCTGTAAAGCAATGACGACGGGACTGACAGCGGAAGGAAGACAATCGGATGAATGGGGGTTGACCAGTACTCGCTCTTGAGAACTTTCTACCCGTTTACAGCGTATGACGACTTGCGACACGCTGCCTGTATGTGGGTGTGTTGTAAGATACCGGCCTGATTTATCCTTCTCATACCCATTGGCCACATCACATTTGACCCCTTGTGGACATCCTCGTCATGGACATCGTCTTCAGCAATATGTCAACTTCCACTCATCAAGGACGCAGGTATTAGGCCACCTGACGAACTTCTACTGTCTCGAAGACAAAATCAAATTGTCGCAACTTATCTCAGGTTCGCGTACGGTTTGCATCTCTTCCCCCTATAGGTGGGTGACTCCATCTGCAACAAAGGTCTGAGGCAGTACCAGATGACCAGACCAGCCGACAAACAATGAGTACCTGCTACATGTTTTTTCTCATCTTCGCAAGGGGAAAAAAAAAACCTCTCTGTCTGGCGGATCCAAGGCGTCTTTACCTTCATTTTCTCCATGACTTTGTGCCTGATCAAGTCCATATGGCCTTTGTCGTTCTGCTTAGCGGCCTGAATGCTCGTCCTCGCGTTTCCCAACCAAATTATTTTCTCATCATCCTAGCGGGATTCTGGTACCTCGAGGCGGCTGGTTGCAGTCGTGGTATGTGTGTACTTCGCGGTAGAAGCAGGAGTCGGAATTGAGAGGTCGATGGCGTGTAAGGCCAGACGCTAAGGATCTGGGTGGACTAGTTTCCAATTCAGGTATTTGCTTCAACTCTATCTTCACCTCAAAATTGTCCCCTACCCCAGTCATCGCTCTTCTCTAGGTAAGTGTGCCTTTATTTAGCTGGAAAGTCGGCATTCCTCCCGGGTCTTCTCTTCTGCTACCAGATCAATCCAGCTGTCATTCTGTTATTGTTGGTTTCAACCATGATCTCAGCTCTCGAGTTTCCAGTCTCGAGGTGATTTGAAGATTACCTCTAAGATGGATTGTATGTGGTTGAGACTTCCAGTGATGTGTGCGTTAGAGGTGACTGAATTTTTGCAGCTACGAAGAAGCATTTCCCGCCGCTCTTTTTCACCCTTCGTTCCTTCTTTTCTTCATCTCATTCCGTTCAGTACCTCTCGTGAAGCAGCGACAATGGAACTTAACTCTAGAAGTTGGAAGTCGACAGACATCATCCAACACCTAGACTTTCAATCCATTTCCACACCCAAGACTGCTGGAAAGGGCAAGAAGAGGTAAAAGTCGAACGGAGAAGTGCCTGCCGCCAAACTTCCTGACGCCAGGGGCAAGAAAACGCTCTTTCTCTTCGTCTTTTTCTACCACCCAGTGATGTACTACTTATCTGGAATCAAAGAGCCCCTAGCATGCAAGGCGAGTGACGTCTCTCGAACCTTCCCTGTACTTCTCATGCGACGCTTGTTCATTCTGTGAACCTGTAACCTTCCACCACTGTGTTTTTATTAGCTTGTTCTTCCACCTAATCATTTTTCTCGCTTTTGACAATGCGCAGGATGTTCTGCAGTGTATGGTCATCCCTTTGTATCAATAATTTCTCCATTCTCTTCGATTAGCCGACAAATCCCATAACTCGACCAGTCTTGCAGAATAACTACTTTATACCTCTAGCTTTAATAAGGTAGGGTATATGATACTTCCAATCACCCAGCTGCGTAATTCCTTTCTTGTAGCTCCAATTGCTAACTTCTTCTCCTTTGTATTACAAACCACAGCCAAAACCTCTACCCGAACTGTGGGACCTAGTCCTACCTATAAGCTTCTCGATGTAAACAGAACTGGTGCCTTACCTCTACCAAGAAGCACTGTCACCAGTCGCCATCGCCAACAGTGGACTACAAAATACACTTCTCGGGACTCAGAGCAGACGACTCCATCGGTATACCCTCGAAGTAGAAGCGGAAGCATAACAACCTACACCAACTCGGTAAAGCGCTTCCTTACATCTCTCGCAAGGATTCACCCGTTGTTAGGGGCTACAATCCCTCAATAAGACGGGCCGTAATAGGAAAGAGTTCGAATACGTCGATGAAAAGGCTGTCCAACGATCACGCAGTCCCATAGCAGCGGGGTCATGTCTACCATGAACGACGGATCAGCGTCCAAGGATAAGCAGCCCGGCAAGCTTGAAGCAAATCATGGTCATCTGGAAGCAGAACTGACTACAAGCCAAGCTTACTCCTGCCTAATTGCAGACAACCAGCGACTGGAAGCCAAGATTCAGGAGTTATTGAGTGAACTCTCTAAGAAGACACAGTACATCGATAGGCAGAAAGACTCGTTGGCAAAGAGTGCGACTAAAGCTTTTGAATACAAAAGGCTAGCCACTACCTGTCAAAGAAAGGAAGCCGCAGAAGCAAAGGATCGCCATCTCAAACAGCAAGGAAGTGCAACAATCAGAATTGAGGGGTTCAAGCCGATAAATAGTCGAGACCAGTCAGAGAACCACATGCAGGCTCCTCAAAAGCAGCAAGCTGAAGCTCACAAAACTAATGAGCTGGAGCGGGAGTGCAACAATCTGAAGAGACAGCTAGTAGAGGTTGAGAAGAATTGGGCTACTGAGCGACAAGCCGCAACGGAGAGGGTTGCAAAGCTGGAGGCCAAGTACAAATTCTTGAGAGAAGATAACAAGCAAACAGAGAACAATCACCGTGATGCATTGGACAAATGTAAGATATGGAAAGATTGCTATCATGAGCAGCTTGAAAAGAACAAGGTACTGCAAGAAAAGCACGACCAGTCGGAGGACCAACTGAACATTGCTAAACACGAACTAAACACAAAAGATGAGGAAGCCCGCATCGCCAACTCGGACAGAGAGGCTGCTACCAACAAACTCAAAGAGCTCGAAAGAGAATGCAAACAGCTAAAGGAACAGCTGACTGTCGTCCAAAATGAACGCAATTATGAGCAACAGGCCGCAACCAACAAAGTCAGCGAGATGTCAAAGGAGTGTGGTCGGTTGAAGAAACAGATCATTGCGATACAGAGCGAGTCGGCCGCAAAAGTCGAAGAAGCCCTTAATGCCCAGAGAGATTCCTCAACTCGGACGGTTGCCAAAATTGAGGAAGAACGTAAAAAGCTGAAAGAACAGGTGGCCACTACTCAAGAACAGTTAGCCACCCAGGCCAAGAAAGCTCTAGAGGCCGAAGTTAAAGAGAAAGATGCCACCAAGAGAGTTACAGAACTTGAAGAAGGGTGCAAAGCGTTGGAGAAGCAGTTATCAACTTGTGAAACCCGGCTAGATGAGGAAGCCGCAGACAAAGCGGCTGTTACCGTCACCTTGGAGCAAGTGACAAAACGAAAAGCAGAGCTCGAGGAAGAGTGTAATCGGCTCAGGGAAAAAATGACTGCTGACACGAAGAATGCTTCCGACCAAATTTCTGAGCTCAAGAAGGAATGCCACATCGACAAGGAGCAGGCCGCTAAGTTTGAACAGAAATTTCTCGAATACCAAAACCAAGCTGCCACCGTTGAATGCCAACTAGAGGCAGCTATTACCTCAGGGGAACGAAGTCGGGAACAGCTAGCAAGAACTGAGAGACAGCTGGCCATCAAGACCGAAGAAGCTCAGGAGGTCAACGCCAAACTACAGAATGCCGGTACAAGAATCAACGAACTTGAAAAAGCACAAAAATCTATCGAAAAAGAGATCTCCACTCTTAAAGGGCTGTTGAGCTTAAAAACAAGCGCCGAAAAATATCGTACTGCCGAACTGGAGCAAGCATCCATGCGAGTGAGGGAACTGCAACAACAAAATAACCATCTCCGCAGGGAACAGATTCAAACTGCTGCCGCAAAAGCACAAGCGATCGACCAGAGTACGAAGCTCAAGGAGGAATGCGACCGTTACCAAGTGCAGGTCAAGAATCTCGAAGAAAAACATCGCCGCTACGGTGAGGAGGTCACCAGACTTGAACAGGAATGCCTCGGTCACCAGAAGCGTATCTCCACCCTTGAAAGTCAACTGCAAGTAGCTGTGGAATTAGATAACCGAAGCCGCACAGCCGTAAAACTGGTGGAGGAGTTATCACAAAAGATTACTGCGCTCAAGGAGGAATGCCGTCAATACGCTCTTACTGAGACCAACGAAAGTGACCTGGCGGTAGTAACCACGAGGCTCGACGCAACGGGGGAGTTGGCAGCTCTTCGAGACGCTGTCAACAATGGCTTGAGCAGAAAGACTCAGGCAGTCAGTATGACTTGTAGGGTTATCCGGATCAGCTTTGAAGGGCAGTCGAATGCGAGCACAGGCGTGTTCTCAGCAATTCCGATGCTTTTACACACTGTTTCCGAGCTGGATAATGCTGTTAAGGAAGTTATAGGTCGGTTGGCGTGCTTACCTACAAATTGAAGGACTATGGGGTAACTACTAGAGGCCTTGATGCGGTAGAATGAGGGAGTTTCCACCTTGTAAGAAGTCCCGCTATACTATAATAATATAAAGGTAAATGCAGTGTAGGTAGAGGTAGGAATGGAACTTGGAAAGACTACCTCTGAAACGTTTTGTCTTTATCGTGTAGAGGTATGTGAGACTTTTCGCCTTTTATACCTCTATAGTACATACATTTTACCTAGAGGTAGGTAAGGTACCTAGGTAGAGGTAGGTAGGTAGAGGTAGGCTCAAGATAGGAGCAATATCATCTGCCACATTCGAGAAAGTTGTCCTTACTACCTAAGAAGGTAAGGAGAAGAAAACAACTTTGTTCAACACTTTTTAGAAAGAAAAAACCTACCTCTTCCAATGTAAGGTAGCTGGAGTAGACTGGAATTAGTTGAGTGGTATATTACTTGAAATCACCTGGATGAGTCTGAATTCAGCATGCTTTGAACTAGGAAACGCTTCTAACACCTATCAGAAGGTCTATTACCAAAGACGAAAGGCCTCAACTAGTACGACTATAGGTACCTAGAGGTATGTACAGGAGAGGCAGCCTAGAAGTACTCCGCTCAGATATTGTAAGGATCCTCCCACAACCATTCATCAGCTCCCACTCCCACGTTGAAAGCCTGGCCACCCTGACCCACGTTCTCCTTAAATTTCTTCACAACTTGCTTTAAATCCTCCAACATGCTTGCGAGCAGGTCGCTCGCCGCCGGCACACTGCCCTCCTTTACCAGCTCACGAACCACTTTTCCCACGCGACTCACTTGCTTGGCCTTGGTAAGTATGGCCACGAGGCCCTTCTCCATGCCCTCTTCCTTGGCTTCCAGCGCGCGGCCCTTCTCCTCGACTTCTCTGGTACGACGCGCAAGGTTCTGGCTTCTGACGTGGAGCTGACCCGTCTCCAAGTTGCGACGATTGACGAGGTCGCTCAGCCGGCGGCACTCAAGCTCGAGCTCGGCATATGTCATCTTGTCGGATCCAGAGCTTTCTTCGTCGCCGATCTCGCCCTCATCGTGAACCTGGATCTCTTCTGTCTCCTTGATCTTGTGCACTCGCGTGCTTTGTTGTGCCTCGACTTTGGCGAGGGTCTCGTCGATTGATGCGAACTTGAGCATCGGCGTTGTGACCTGCCCCTGGTCTTTGACTTTCTTGTTGAGCAGTTGCTCGTTCTGGGCCTCAAGGTTTGTGATCTTGTTGGAGAGTTTGACCTTCTCCGCAGCACTGTCGTCTTTGAACTTCTTCAGTTCAGCTGCTAGGACATTTTGATGCGCAATCTCCGCCTTCAGCTGGGCGGCACTTTCCTCAGTGACCTGCCTCAGCTTGGCTTCCAAAGTCGCGACCTTGCTCGCCATCGTCTGCTCCGTGATTTCCTTGGCAATCTCGGCTTGCTTGACCTCTTCCTTCAGTCCATTGATGACTTCGTTGTATGCGGTCGCAACCGCATTTTTCTCAGCCAAGGCCTGTTCATGCCCCTCGATTTCCTCGTGCAACCTGTCGATATTTCTTTTGAGGTGCCGATTCTCGTTCTCAAGGGCAGTCAAACGGCGCCTAAGTTCCTCAGCAGTGTAGCCCGAATCGTCTGGGCAAACTGAGAATAATGTCAGGTGAGCTATCAGCAACTATTCAAACCTCTTTTGTGTTTCCTTGGTGTCTGTTTACGGACATGGAGCCACTTACTGTACTTATGCCAAATCTGGCAATCCACAAAGAAGTCTTGAAAGTCGTTCGCGTAGGTCGGGTGAATTGCACCAAAGCACTGGACACGTGCAGGCGCAATCGACCTCGCCCACCATCTCTTCATGGACTCCATTTCTAGCTGAAGCTCTACTCTTGACACATCCGGGTGACGTAAACGAACGTGTCGGAATATTCCCACTAGATTCGGCACGTACACCCTCGAGGGTCCGTGAACATGCGGCGACAGTTGCGGTTGCTGTACCGCCGAATACGGCGGAGGAGGAACAGGGGGAGAAGGAGCCTCGTCTGACATCGTGATTTCCCTTGTTTGGTCGTTGCTGATCACTGACGAAAATGAGGAAGAAGATGATGAAGATAGAAGGGGGAAGGAGAAGTGTACGGTCAAGATGAGAGTGTGAGCTTGAAGGAAACCGAGCTTGGCTCTTGAAAAGAGAAAAGAAGTGAAAAAGGCACTAACGGGAGGGTCATTAAAAGTACCCCGCGGCAGATAGCACGCAGACTATTGCGGCCTAAAACCTCGTCCTCGTCTGAAGTATGAAACGCGTGAGTTGAGATAAGGGGGCACTTTGGAGAGAGCATCGTTAGCTCAAGCTCTGGATTAACGTTTGGTACAAACTCTTGCCAAGTAATGGCACACAATATGCAGTCCAGTATCGCTATTCTCGAGCCGAACCATCCATAGAACACTCCTGTCTATTGTAAGGGAATCCATGTATATCAAGATGGGTTTCCGTCTGGTGATTGCACATGGATTGCCTATCCCACAGTGAATGCAAGCTCAACGGGTCAATACATGTAGCCCATTGTCTAAACTATGCGAGTCCTGAGCCAAGATATTTGTTTGCTACTCTCAATGCTCTTGGTCGCTAAAGGGATGTATGTCCTGATCTTGCGAGATCCACATGAAAGAGACCACAACTTGTGAGGTTAAGGCTCCTTCCTGCTTGAAGTGCAGATCTATGTACCTAGGTACCTAGCTGTCATGTCACATACAGGGGCTTGGGCTACCGTGTGCTTGTAACAAGAAGACGAACTCGTCCGCTCTATTTGCTCGCCACATAGCCGCCGTGCCATCTGCCTGTCACCAGGAGCAGCTACTGGATCATATCTCTTATGACTCGGAAGTTCATCCGATCAAGGTGTTATCAAACGTAATCCATGGCATATTGCCTGTCTGTTGATGCGTTTTGTGTGTAAATAAAGACCTGGTGCAGGCGCTGGGTATGATGACCCTCGGCCAGGTATCTTGCGTTGCTCAGGCTAGAGCGAGTGTAATTGTGCCTGGGGCAATGAATAACAGGGTAACATAGGGTACCTACCTTTAGGTACAGTACCTGAACCGTAGAGATTCTTACCTCTGCCGTTTGAATTTAGAGGTAGTGTCTCTGAATCGTACCCTACCTGCTGCCTGACGGTAGCCCTCCTTCAATTCCTTACCGTACCCCTTCTTGTGGTTTTACCGTGGGTCTGTGGCTGTCACCGGCTGTCCAAGTTTACTGCCGGCCCTTCTTCAAGTTCATGCCAGTGCCCCCCACCCTGCGCCTTGGTATAGAATTTCCCCTTCTCCCCCTCCATCCACGTATCTCTTTTCCTCTCTCTCCTAATTTTTCCAATACGTACCTACATCACACTTACAAGCAAGCGTTGTCGCTTTCTGGCCTTCCCCGGTGCATCCAAAGCCCTTTGTCACTTCCTTCTACCGCCGCAAGCAAACCACGATGCCGATCCGTCCCCCTGGTAACCCTCACCCGGTCAGCGAGCCGTAAGTCAGCCCACATCACCTTGAATCTCAGTGACTCAAGCACTTCGTCCCCGCTCACGTTGTTTCCTTGCTTGTAGGACCCTTCGCTCGGTCTTTTGGGACCTTAACCATCTGGCCATGGGCCACTGGGGGTAAGTCGACATGATTCATTCCAACACCTAGCTCTAGTATCTGAAGCTATCTCGTCTTCGTGCTGCTAATCATCAGTCTCACAGGACCGGATATGAATACCTCCACACCTTTGACCATGCATTCCAGACCTGGTGTTGGCAGGCCGGCATCGACCCCGATACTCCGTTTCGCGCCAACGGCAGGATCTTGCCCATCGTTCCGCTGGATAGGTACGTGGCCAATCCATGTCAACATTTGCTGAACACAAAGTGATATACTATCTGCCTCGTGCCATGTCGCTAACCTTGGTCGTTTGTTGTAGCAAGCTCTAAGCGCACATCAGCGCAGGACCTACGCGAAGAAGCGCGCAAGGAAAGCTATGTCACCGTGGGTGGCGTGAAGACTTTCCGCACCTAGGTCCAAGCAGTAGAGGTTCATGGACACTCAAAGGCCAAGGCCGACACACATTCAATCCATGAGCTCATGGTCATTCACACCTACAGACCCATCGGATATTCCACCTACGCCCAAGTCGCCTGCTTACGAGCCTTCGCTTGATAACGACAGCCTTGGCCTCGCCACCATCAAACAGTCCTTCGCAGTTTGAACGTGGTCGTGGCGGATATAACAACTCGTACAACAACCGCCACAATTACTTGGCCGAGACTGATGAGGACTGTCGAGAAAGCACATGGCATGGAGGATTTATCAACCTAAGGGACTGGGTTAGATCATTAGACCAAATATCAGCCGTCTTCACATCTTGCTGCGTGCGCCTTGATACCTCTACCTGTGATTTATTGAAGTGAAGTGCATTGTTGATGTAGTGTGACTGCCCCTGGAGTCGCGTGTAAGTTGTCTTTGAGTGCGGGTAGGTTTTTTCCTTAGGATACCTAGAGAGAGCTGAGCCTGAGGCATTTCACTCAGCTATATGCGTTACGCCGTTTCTTCCTGCTTGGCTTCCAGCAGGATATGTTACCTACCTCGAGGACGAGGTGGAAAGCATGCGTGATTCGAAGGGAGGTTTTAGTCTTGTTTCGCAATATGGTATGGATCTCAGCAATCCTCCAGGTGCTTCTTCCCTCACGCGTTGCAGGTGAAGGTCTCTTGCTCTTTACCGGATTCCTTGGCTTTCGCTGCCACCGGGTAGTTGACGACAATGCTCTTGGTGAGTATATCAGTCTGGTCGAAGGATGTTGACATCAAGTGTTGATTAATTCGTACCGTGATACGGTGTCTCCAAGATCGACAAAACCCACTAGACTTTGGTACTGCAGAGGCTATTGGGCATTCGAAATTGGGAACATTGGTGAGTTGATGAATGCCGTGATGTGTGGTATGGGGCGTTGGGCACCCAGACTGTCGCATGAAGAGGAAATTCACGTAAACTTCCGTCAACATAGGTCTAATCAGGTCGTCTCCGGTTGTTTGTGGTGGTGTCCTTGTTCTGCCATGGCCCATGTAAATGTCATCTTTCGTCATCCCCTGAGAAACGTCGATAGCAAAGGTTCAGTTGCTTTCTGATAGCTGAATGTATTACGTGGCAAGCAATCATATGCTGCCGGGCAATGGTTGCGCATATCTTGAGACAGTGATGGTTGATGGTGAAGAAAAGAAAGAAGGACGAAAGTCAAGAAAACGACCGACGTCAAAAGTGGGTCACTCACGTGAAGATAGCACACCAATGATATGGAACTTTATTTCTGCTTCCCGTGGGGTTCGGCGGGTTTTCAGGGGCTAGCACCAACCAAAACCCACTGAAGCCCCTCTTCGTTCCGGGGCTTCCCCTTCCACCGTTCCACTCGCTGCAGCAAAATTTCGGCTGCTGTCACGTCATTGGGTCCGGTCGAGGTCCGAGGGAAAACGAGGGACCCAATCACTCACATCACACCACACCACATCAACTTCCGCGGACACCACTGCTGCACTCACCCTTTCTTTCACTTCTCACTCTCACTTTTTACACGTCAAGGACCACATACTTCCCTTACCCATCCGCCACCGGCCTTCCCAGTCGCCCGCCATGTCCTCCCCCGCAGAGTGCCGCATCCTCGTCTTCGCCTCCGGCAACGGCTCCAACTTCCAGGCGCTCGTCGACGCCCTGGCCGCCGGCAACATCCCCAACGCGCGCATCACCCGCTTGATCGTGAACAGGGGCAAGGCGTACGCGACGACGCGCGCCGAGAAGGCCGGGATCCCGTGGGAGTACTACAACCTGATCTCGCACGGCTTCCAGGCGCGCGGTGAGACGGACCCGGAGAAGCTGCAGGAGGCGCGCAACAAGTACGATGCCGCCTTGGCCGAGAAGGTGCTCGCGCTGGATGAGAAGACGGAAAGGCCGCATCTGATTGTACTCGCGGGGTGGATGTATATCTTTGGCAAGCACTTTTTGGCGCCCATCGCGGAAAAGGGGATCAAGGTCATTAACTTGCATCCGGCGCTTCCTGGTAGGTCATTGGATGAGGGATTGTACGCTGTGGGAGGAAAAAGGGGGATTGTCTGCTGACATCTCATGCGCTCTTCACTAGGCAAGTACGACGGCACACACGCCATTGACAGGGCGTACGCCGACTTCCAGGCTGGAAAGCTGGAGAACAACAAGACCGGCATCATGGTGCACTATGTAATCGAGGCCGTTGACCAGGGTGCGCCCGTCCTTGTGCGCGAGATCGAGTGCCGTGAGGGTGAGAGCCTGGAGCAGCTAGAGGAGAGGATACACTCTCATGAGCATTCTCTCATTGTTGAAGCCACCGCCAAGATTGCCGGCGAGATCGTCGCCTCTCAGCAGGCGCAAAAATGATTTGGTATCGGCAGCTTGAATGAGGATGTGGTATAGCAATTATGAAAGACGACAAGGAAATAGACACGTAAAGCCGGCACGACACGAGGATTTGGGCCATGTTTAACATCACAGGCTCAACCGCATAGATGTGCAAAGCGACAGGGCAAATCAAGGTTTCAAACGGAAAAGGATTAAGCACTCGGCGGATCCCAAACAGAACAAGGGGTTTATGCATTTCAACACTAAATATACCTAGTAAAGGGTACCGGGAGACCGGCGTGATGACATGAATAACGCTCCTAGGCTTCCCTCAAAGATCAGAACGGAGACGGGCGTTCAAGATGAAGGACACTTTTCCGCGGCTATGTTCTGGATCGTGGGACAAAAAACCAAAACATCCATGTCGCAATCAAACAACGATGAGTCAGAAGAGGACAGGGTTGGTTGGTCGAGCTGGGCATAAAGCACAAAAAACATACAACACCAGGGATTCGCTGGTCGTCACCGACCCAACTACTAGTCTGGCCCTCACTGGCTTATCTATGGGAGAGCGGACGGGATCCCGAGTTCTCCAGTGGGTATGGTCGTATGTGATCATCATGAACGAGGAATAGGTTTAAGTGTCTGTATTTGACAAAAGCAAGCCGGCTGTTGTCTGCGATCCTTCAATGTGGGTCCCGTGAAACACCCCTTTTTTAGTGTAAACAGTCGAGGATCCACCGGCGAACCGGTACGGCCACTGACATAGTACTTGTATGATCCCAACCCAGGAGGTATGTTGACTGGGGGAAAAAACCGACTGTTAGCCGATATGTGGTACATACCGAGACCAGTTAGGTACCAGATATGCAGTGTCCGGAAGATGAGCAAGGTTGATAAAGCAAACCACCACCAAGTAAAGCCGTGCCAAGGTGTAAATGACAAGAAGCAACATGACACTGGTGTCAAAGATAACCTTGTAAACAAAGAAGAGGATGAGAAGCAGAATGTATGCGACATGTGCCAATCCCTTGATCATATCTTGGTCAAAGCCTTCCCAAGGCTGTGGCAACAGTCGAACAATTTTGCGTATGGGGATAATCCACATGACCCATGATATCAGTAGGGAGATCCAGTCCTCGGGCTTGACGTTCGCTTGGATGTTTTGGAGGACGGTGTGTATCTCGGTGATCCTCCCAAACGGATCTTGCCAGAACGGCGGAAACAAGCTCCATGAAGCGACGAGGAAGACCGGAATGATGGTGGCTGTTATGGTTAGGCTCGATACTCTCCACAGGATTTTCTCAAGTTCGGTAAAGAAAGGTGCATTCCAGGCAACGCAATGGAGGCCACCGTAAATAAATCCAAAGATGCTGAATCCCAAGCAAAACCCGAAGCGTGTGCCGGGTTCTCCAAACCGAGGAAAGTTTCCAATGCGATCCTTCAAAAGGTTGGAAGGGACAGTGTCGAAGTCATCATAGAGAAGGGAGAGTTGCCACCGCCGGACGTCAGAATGGAGGACTCGCACATAAGGAACCAACCGACTGATCTCCTCCAACCGTCTCTCTGGGACTGAATCGTCTATAGGCCTGTCAAAGAATCCAGCGCCACGTAACTCGATACTATCCCAGTCGTTACCCTGCTTCATATCGGAAGCAACTTTCTCCTTGGTCCCCGCAGGTGTCATCTGAACACGGTGCAAAAGATCTTCGGATTTGTCCACCTTCAGGAAAAGAGGCTCTCGAGAAGTCCTACAAGGTTTAGCTAGTGGTTAGCAAACTTGGTGGCCAACGGATACTGACAGGCATCTGCGAATGTGTTGGAAACTCACTTATGCCTGTCCGAGAAATGGTAGTCCAAAGGCGTGTAAACGAGATCTTCGAAAGCCGTCCGCCGAGCACCAAACATACCGAACTTTCTCTTGACTGGCCCCTTTCGGTTGATGCTAATTCTATGCTCAAGCTTTTCTGTTTCTTTTGGTTCGACAGGAAACACGAAACTTTGCACATCCTTGTGGAGGTGTGCTGATTCCGACACTTTGTAGTCCAGCTTACTCTTGGTGCACATACTTGCAAGAAGCTTTGCCTCCACAGTTATACCTTCGGGGTCGAATGGGATTTTCTCCGGCTCGTCAATGCTCAAAGGCTTACTCCACCACAAGCTGTAGATTATCAAGGTGCATACTGCATGGCCAAAGGTGTTGAGTTCTAATAAACTTATTGCTAGACCCTGGGCGAACCGAGTGAAGCATTGGGCACAGAACCATGATGCTGCCAGACGATTATGTTTGTTAGCATCTGCGAGAATTACAACAGGTTTCAGCAAGCATAGTGTACTTACCTTGCAAGCAAACCAGTGCCTTGGCTAGGGTGTTTCCTTTGCTCTTGTCCTGTATGTGCACGAGTGATTGCTTGGGAATCAGGGAGTCTAGGTTTTTCTCCTTGAAGAGGGCCAGGGCTTCCGGAACCAACGTAAGCCGTGTGCGGCATGCCCCATTCGACTTCCAAGGGAGGAAGGATTGGCTTTCCGCCTTGTCATCGCTTCCGGGTTGATTTTTCAATTCGATAACGAAGCCGCCCATGACAGCCAGAAAGCTGTGCATTATGGTCCATTTGGGTGCGAGGGAAGTCTATATCAAGAAGATGTTAGCTCTAGCGGCGTCCGTCGGCTTGGAGTGCAGCATACCTCCAGGTCCATTGTGTTCTTGCGACGCCTGAAGCAATATGTAATGCGTCTACAAAATCTCTGGCTTCTAGCCTTCCACCGTGAGGAATAGCCATGGGTCTCTTCCTGTGGGTCCATGGCTTTGGTGAGCTTCTTTGCCTGTGTGTGTTGCTGAAACGCAGCAAAGGCAATCTTTTGTCGTTCAAGGTGTTAGTGCAGAAAAGACCAAAACAAAGGGGAGAACATCTTACCAGCTCTGGGCAGACAAGGCCCATTATCATCCATCCAGTCTTGCGTAAAAACTGTCTCGTGCCGCTCTCGTTGTGCCCAGGGACGTTGAAATGGAGAGAAGTCCACACACAAAGACCGAGTGTTAGAAAACAAGTCGAGAAGATGGTAAACGTTCCTCGGAAGCCAGGCTCTGGCTCAAAGCGAGGGTTGGCTGGGCCACTGAAAGCATTTCCGAAGATTCCAGACACATTCCCAGAGTGGGACATGGCAGATCAAGTGAGAGGGGGAGCGGAAGAATGAAAAGCGTAAGTCAGGGGAGAGACCAAATTTCAGGGGAGAGACCAAATTTCAGGGTATCGACAAGGACTGTGATACAAGAGTCATTGCCTAGGAGATCCAAGATAGCTGGGAAGGGAGAAGCCCGCAATAAATGTGCGAGAAGGCTCTCAAGAACCTCTCATTCGTACCGCTCCAGCTGTAGGTAGGTTTCGGGTGTTGTTGTACAACCAAGGAGAAGCATCTAGACTCAGCCCAGGTCGCTAGGCACAGTAGAAACCAGCCGTGGCGCACCCTACACCACTAGCCCCGAACATGAGTCTGCGAAGCATCAAGTACATCGCCATAGCCGAGGGCTGGATTTTGTACAGCTGGCAGCCGGGCCTATCAGAAAAAGGAAGTATTAAAAGCACACCTATGGACCTATGGTCGTGGAACTTATCAACTGGAGGCTGAAAGCCACGAAAACAGACTAGACCTAGTGCATGCATTCGGCCCTAGGGGCTTGCGCTGGACATGCTCGGGGAGGGTCTCGTCAAAATGGAGAATTCGGGGTGAGTGTCGGAGTGGGTTTGATAACCTAAACGGTACATCATTAGCTTCAACGCTCCATTGATAGCAAAGAGGGCTTTCCTACGGCGTGAATGTACATAATGCATAGCGGTCCAAGCTAACTCAAAGCAAACAGCTTCAACACTGCCTAACCCGGAGTACGTGAGCATGACAAGGCGACCAATCCCAAGGACGAGATATACCGTATCTAGCTCGGTGAACAAGCAGCTGGCTTGCAGCCGCCTGTGCGCCTATTAGGTAAAGGGGGTAGAAGTCGAAGAGGGGAGCAGAGCCTAGAACGGCTTGTCCACTCTGTGGCGGCGAAGTGGTGAGGTCAAAAAAAGAAACAAAAGCAGTGGAATGCCAGAAGCTGAGCGTTAAACGTTGCTTCGGACATAGACTGTAATCGGAAGTGCTGCCTGTCAAGGTCGAAGTGTCGTCGCGAATTTTGTCTCGATTACCCCTCCATCGATCCAATCGAGAGGATAGGCAGGGACGGGATGTTACTTCCTGGCTTGCGCAGAGTCCAGGTGCAACATCAAGAAGACAGGAAGGAAGCTGCCTCCCACGTTACACAACTTACCTCTATAGGCAAAGAGGAGCAATCATTCGTTGTTTCCAAACTCGAACTGAATGACTGACAATTGTCGCTGCCGTGTTACCCCGCCATCTTCCCCCTACCTGCTAGAGCCCCAATCCCCAGGTACTCGATCCTGAACCCTTGCGGTTCTCGCGATGTGCTCAACTTTCTTCCCGCATCTAAATCATGATAGCGTCAAGGACCAGCGGCATGCTCGCACAACGACACCTCATGGCCCAATGGCCCTCAAGATCACAGCTCCCTTTCCGGGCAGTTGTGCCCCTACAAATCTCAAACCGAATAAATCACCTGTCTCGGCCTCAAATCAGACCCTACTATGACGAGCCTTCCACCCCCTCACACCTGGACGCCATCTACCGCGACCCCAAGTACTCGCGCATCCTCCGCAAAGTCTACGGCGCGCCCTTCCAAAGCCTCGCCAAGCCGCGAATAGACGAGTGGTTTGCTTATTGCCTCCAACGTACTTTCCCCTCCTCCGGAACACAAATGACCATCCAGGACCGCACCCGCGCCAAACACGAATGGGCCCAAGAAGTCCTCCACCTGCGCGAACCCTACAACCGCACGCCCTGGCGGTGGGACTCGCTCAGTCAGCGGTCCGAGCCGCCAGCGGGTATGCGGCAACCTGGGGAGCCAGTCGCAGATTTTCTGGACAGACTGCCGCCGGTTCCGGGGCCGAAAATGGGCGGGAAGAATGACCGGTTTGTGCCGCGGTGGTATGTAGTTGAGAACCCCAATCGGGAGGCGTACTATGTAAAGGGGTATTTGGATCATGGGAAGGCGCATGAGCCGCATCGGTTTGGGCTTTGGATTGCGAATCTGAGGAATGCGTACATGGCTTTTTTTGAGCAGGTGGCGTATAAGAGGAGGATTGGGAGGATGAGTGAGGAGAGGTATCGGGAGGAACTGAGGGAGTTTATTGGGAGGAAGGCGAGGCAATTTAGGCTGGTAAGAGGGGAGGTACGTACTAACAGATCCTTGGTGTCTTTACTTGAATGCCAACTGGCTGTCAAGCTAACTTGTTTTCCCAGTGGATGATTTCCGTCCCAACATCTGAAGCGACTAAAGTCTGGTCGGAAATAGCCCAAGCAACCGACCTCAACATCCTCGGCACCTCCGCCCGGATCGCCACCTCTTCCCTCATAGACTACCCGAACCACCGGCTAATTGCCGTCCAGACGGTCGACTTCTCCGACCACGAAGACGTCGAACGCGTCCTTCGCCGCCTCGAAGGCATGGGCATTGTAGACCGCACCAGCACACTACCCATCAGCTATCAAACAGAAGCATATTACTATCTTGGTATAGGACCCAACAACATCCACCATCTACCTACAGCCTTTTACACCAGTGAGCAGTTCTTCAATGATGGTCTGAGATCCAATCTAAGACGGGGGCGGCCAGGGCAAATTCTGGATGAATCCTTGCTTCGAGGAAGCGACGAATTGCAGAGGAAGCAGCAGGAGGAGCAAGAGGAGCAGGAGGAAATTGCGGACTTTGGCCGGATCTGGAATCAGGAGCCCGAGGAGAAGAAGCGGATGTGGATCCCGCCGCAAGTGATGGTGCAGAGGGATCCGAACGTGTTCCAGGAGCTGGAGATCGCCAAGGCGGAGGCGGAGAGGGAAAGGACTGGGAAGAAGAAGGTGAAGAGGATGACGATGAAGGAGTGGGAGGAGATGGAGGATGATAATGATCCGGTTGCGATGGCGTTGAATGCAAAGAGGGTTGAGTGAATGGGTCAGTAAGCGGTTCGTGACGGGTCAAGGTACTTCTGTTTTTGGTGTTTGACTGGTATCAAAGGGTGGTATGTAGAATTTTGAAGACGTTGTCTAGCTTGTGCTTCCAGATGTTGTTGCCGGAGCTGTCGCCTGGTGCTTGTCCTGATTTCGGTCCCCTGACCCTCCTCTTTCTGGATTAACTACATCTTCGATGGACGTCAGGTCTGTTGGCGCTACTTCTGCGTCATTCTCTACAGCATGGCTTGCCCGCAATGCTGTCCAGTCGATCCGCCTTTGCGCTACATCGATTGAGTTGTCTCGGTCCGTCATGCTGGCGTCTGATATAGTTTCCAAGTCTCTCAGTTGCGGGACTGCTCTCAGCCAGCGAGCTCGAGGAAAGACGCGTACGAGCAATGGCTTTAGACAGGGCATGCAAGCGCATATGATGGCGACGTTCATTTCTATCATGCTGTTACGGTCAAGAGTGTGACTCTGGTTAGCTTGACCAAACGAGTGTCGCCACAGGGTTTGGAAAGACTACTTGCCCCCAGATATAGTTGAATGACAGGCGCCAAGTACGATCTTCATCTTCCCTACCCTGGATGGCCAAGATGAAGCGAAAAAGGCTGACTCCCAGCACGCTGGATTGCCTTCGTGTCAGCTACAGCCTTGTTCGAAAGTGTGAGTTGCGAGAACTTACAAGCCGCCTGTCCCCAGGATAGCGCCGATGGCAACCTTTTGAGCGAACGCCACTCTCAAGGGCCTGATGATAAATGTGGGCAGCAACAAGATAATGACGTCGGTCACAACATTGATTCCCAGGAGCCATATATACCAGGTATCACTGTTTATACATTTTCCTCCCTCCCAATGCTTCCAGAAGGTCTCGATCGGTTGGCACCAATAAAGGACGCCTGTTAGTCCGACAAGATTGAAGGCAAAGACGAGAGCAATGGTGAGATAGACGGTATAAGTGAAGCAACGGCTCGTCGTAAAGCGCAGGTAGAAAGAGAGAATTGAGAATTTGGTGAAGAAGTTGGCAATTGGATACGTGCCAGTGACTCCAAATGCGCTGACCTGAAGGACGTGGTAAGTATTGGGGGACTGTCTCGGAGATGGGATATGAGAATGACATACGAGAAGATACTTGGTGTAGGTATTTTTGAAATCTGGAAGGTCATCCAAATGCCTACCAAGCCCATATTGCGTTTCTAGGTGAACACCCCTGAGATTAGCCCCTTGTCTCAAACTTTAACCTTGGTGGTGCACAGGAGAGACGAGCACACATACGTATCGTCACGGATACTGAGAAGAGGATGGAGAATATCTGGGGAAAACATCAGTTCAGCCTATATTATTAATGGGTATGCTCATATGGTTGGTATCGTACCAACGCAACGAGAATGTACCCTGTGTTGTATGCAGAGTTAGCGAGGCTGCAGCATTTCCCCTAGGATCAATATACCTGATTGATTCCGGGAGACAGGTTCTTTCTGCTTACAATCTTCCTTTGGCTTGGATTTTAGGATGCGGCGGGTCGTGTAAAATCTAGCGCAGACAAATATGGCGGGGAAGACGGGAACAAGCCAAGCAGTTACAATAAGTTGAGGGACAAGCGTTTCACCTTGGCCATGTGGCTTCCTCATTCGCGCAACCAAAACATTGCTGGATGGGCTTTGATGTTGGACGTCCATGGATGGAGACGTGCAGTTCAATGCCAGAGTGCGGCCTTGCACAGAATGAGGGCGTGATATCGCAGTCTTTAAAAGGGCATTCGCTTGCAATCTCCTATCTCGTCCGCTAGGACGTTTGTTCTTCTCGTGGAGGTCAGACAAAGTCAGCAAAGGCCCACCCCGTTTGTGACTTGCGGGACCGACGCGCGAGGGGATCTAGACAGAAGGGGTTAGGCTGGAGCGGGTAGAGATTGGCGTTTCACTGCTCTCAGCCCAGACCATTCCTCAAACTGTCACACTCCTTTCCATAGTCCGTAGGGCGTCCACGATCACCGCTCATCGCTTCCAGGCACTACAGTAGTGCTAATGGCTGGGGGATTGTCATGGTAACGGAGCGCGTGGCGGCGAGGATCGAGGGATCGATGGAACTTTACACGCTAGTTCCGGGCATGCACAACGGTACGGGTCGTTGCCTGGCCTCACCGTGCCGGATTGATGAGGCCGGGGTTCGGATTGTGATCGACCCAGTGATCGAGGTTCATTTGGTGTGCTTACTACGTAGACATATTCATTGGAAAAGTGATGAACGGGTGCAGCTTGAAGACTGAGACACGATTTTCGATCGAGGAAGGAAGTTGCAGTGTAAAAGAAGCAAAGGTACCCAATATGTACATTGGCTCGTTAGTTGCATGTGCGCAGAGGATTCTACGATTGGTCACCTGCAGTCGGCATAATCGCCTAGGTCAGCCCCTATCTGATTAGGGTGATTCGTGCGGGAAATAGAACGCGTCGCGTATGCCCCTCGACACCTAAAATTTACCCCGCCATGGGTGGGAACCTTGATGGCCTCTGTCGGGTTTTCCTGGATTCGTCGACTTCAAGTTAGCTGTTACACTGCAATAAGTCATTCCTTCCACTATCCTGGAAAGTGGAAGCCACGGCTTTTTCTGGGTTTTTGGAAGTTGCATTTCTGCATTCTACCTACCTAGCCCTGATGTGATCGGCGGTATCCTGCACACTGCAATGGCTCATCCGCCGCCGTTTGTTGCGGCCCCTGCCGGCGATTCGCAATCCGACGTTCCTCAAGTCCACGACCCAATTCCAGGTCCGAATGTCAAAGCTGTGATGGTCGATACGGCAACACAAACCGACTATCCTCCATTGTATATCCCTGTACCTCCGCCAAGGGTGATACCGCAGAGCTCGCCGTTCTTTAGAGTCTTCCGAACCGCCTACGAGAAAGCGGATGCCTCTTTGGTCCGCGAGTCACTGCTGTCGTGGCCGGAAAAATACTTACATCCAGAGCCTTCGGCGATCCTTTTCGGCCTCCCAGGCACCGAAGGGACATGCTTTACTTGCCTCCGACAATTAGACCACGATGCGGCGCGACGGATGGAAATTGTCTGCCGCGGCGCAAGAGCTGCTGGCTGGGACGTGTTCTTCGCCAGCGTCAGGGCCTTGTGGTCTGGTCCCACCATCTCAAAACCTTACCAGAGTTTTCTGCGTTGGCCCGATCACGACCCAGAATCCGGCCTGTTCGAACATTTGCGTTGCCGAGATCTTACTAGCGCCTTGTTCGACGTTGAGATCATGTCCGTATACGACTTGGACGGGGAAGTCGTATTGCCGCCGTGGGTTCACGACCACCATGCAACAAGGTTTTCCCTATTACACACGGTTCATGGTCTAATACACGAGGAACTGTTCCGTAACCAGCCTGATGCAGAATCCCCGGTGCAGCCGGGCCTTGGACAGCCTGACCGTAAATGGACCCAGCAAACCTGGTTCAGAGATGTGAGTCTGCCACTAGCTGAATGTTTGACCGCGTGCTAAAGTGTTATATGGCAGACTGTCCTCCTCATACCTCAAGCGCAATCCCCATACGTACTGTCGTCCGCGGTCGTCGCTCCTTCTCCCTGGCAGGACCATCAAATCCAAAATATCGCAAAGTACTTTCTGGGATTAGCACTTCAGCTCCACGCCGGATTTCCCAAGCCCAGCCTGACAGTCCACAATGCCTATCTCGTCGTTGATATGTTGTACCAAGTTATGACTACTGCCTCGTGGGGGTCGCTAAACGCTGAAGCTATGATGACCCCCGTAGTGAAGTCTCAAATACTCATGTTGGCCGGCGAGCAATGCGACCATACGCTCTTTCTTCGGGCTTGCACTCGTCAAAGCGCTTTCGATAGCGCCCCCGACCATCAATCCTTCGTCCCCTGGCTCCATCGCCTCGTGAAGAACAGGCGCCTGATGAATTTCTGGACTCCGCATCTCAACAAATGGTTCGTCCCATCGTTCAGCATCCACCCCACGTGTTCGGGTAGCTGACGCGTAGCCAAAAATGAATAGCTTAACCCAGGTCATCTTGTCTTACGAAAACATGCATAATAGAGTCATGTTCGCACTCAACTTGCCAAAGCAAATCACTGGTCAACATTCCCTACCCTACCTACTTGCGTCATCATGGCTCAAACCGTTGCTCATTCCCGACGACTTGCGAACAAGTGCCCTTTGCTCACTAAAGGATGGAGAAGCCCTAGCCAAGGCCGCGCTCCGCTTTGACAGCAAAGCGGCCATTGTTCACGAGTATGCCGAGTGCCCTTCATAGCGTTCAAACATAGTTGCTAACTTTGAACTAGACTCATCACGGCTGTTGTCAATCAAATGCAGCTGCCCACGGAGCCAATGCCATGGATCGCGGGTTTTGTTAAATATATAGGCACGCACATTGACGCCCGAAGGAGACGGCTACTTTGCGAAAGGTTCATTCAATTCGATCACTTCCTCACAACCCGACACATATCCAAATACGCATCTGGCTGTCTGTCTGAAGACATCGCTACCTCTATCATTGACTTTCTCCTATACCTAACAAGGGTGGTAGATTACAGTCTCTACCCAGCGTGGATAGCTGGTCTCAGCAGATCGATCAAGCAATGGGACTGTCTTCACCCTGACTTTGTGTCCTGTCTTAGTAATATCTTTACACATGCAGCCCAAATTGGGCGGTTAGGAGAGCCAATATGCGCCGCATTGCTGAAGCAGTGGTACCGGATACTGGTTAAGCCAGTACAAGCCCGCTTGAACTGTGCCCAGGATCTGTCACGGAAGCCATCCCAACCGGTTGATCCCAGAGACCATGTTGCCATGGAAGGGTACCGCTTTTTGGTGGATGCAAGCCAAGAGACAGCGAGGTTCAGATGGACAGCTCTCGAACGGGACTTGGCCCAGTGGTTGTGGAAGGGCACCCGTGTTTCCACCAGTCTTGATACGTCCACGCAGCCTCCTACTTTGGTGGTAAAGAAGCGCTCTACGTCCATCGATGACTGGCTTGAACGGAGAAAGATGGCTGTTAAGTCATGCACAGAATTGGAAGAGATTCGCCACAGCATCCTACAGTATGACCCAGCATACAGCGGTTTGCTCACAGCGAGAGATCTCGTGGACTGGTCCTTTGCGGAGGGTACCGGTCCAGATCCAGCATGGGTCTCTGAATATGATCCAGCGGATCCATCCATCGAAGAGCCGTATACACCCAGACGTCCAACGCTAGCCCGGATCGTCTCGCCTGGCAGCTCCCCCACATTTGCTTCGCCTGCCGGGAGCACAGTGACTCCGCGGGACCCTGAGCCAGATCAGGACCGCGACGACAAAACTGACTCAGAGTCGAAGGAGCTCGATAAGGCCGAAGCTCTCAAGTCCCTTACACTCGAAGAGTACCTGAAGCGCAGGGCCAGGATGAAACTGAAGGGGCGATGGGACCAACTTCATGAAGAGGACGAGGAAGATTTGCAGGAGCTTTACTTGCTTCTGGGGCGTCGCAAGAGTCTTCCAGAGGGAGCATACATTACCGAGGAGGTTGTGGAACTCGCTGAAAGTCCTTCCGTTGGACTTTGTTCTTGGTCGAGCGGGGGTCATATTGTCGGAACGAGACGCAGCTTGGAGACATCTTGGATAAGGCGACTTTGGGAACACAGAAAAGGGATCAAGTTGATCACCCCAGCCGATGATCCAACCTATGACCATTCTCCGCAGGGGATCAAAAGGAAGCGCCTCGATGAAGATTCAGAAAGTGAAGGCTTATGGTAATAGGTGATTTGCCAAAGATCTTTTTTTGTTTCTTTTGCCGTCTTGTACGTATTTATGGATACACCCCAAAAACAAAAATCGGCAAAAAGGGTGCCGCTAAACGGAATGTCCCCGATCATGCATCGCTCGCCCATACCACCCATCAGCACATCATGCACACCCACCAACATTCTCCATTCCCACAAGCCTCCTACTCTTCATCCTCATAAAACACCAAGCACCTAACCTCAATACTCTCCCGTCCCGGTGTCCCCTCGGGCGTCGCGGGATCCACAAAAGCCGTATGCGGCGTCCAGCCCGCCACTCCCTTCTTCCCCTTCCCCCACGGCTCCTCCAGTCCCTCGCCCCAACTGTCAAAGCACTTGATGAGCACCACCTCCTCCGGCTTCATATCCTTGACATAATAAAACTTGTGTGTCTCATTCGGAACAACGCCGTACGTCTCCCCCTTGACTTCATACCCTTCCGTTTTGGGGTATGTCTCCTCAGCAGGGGCTACCTCCTTGCCGCGATCATCGCCGTCGTCTTCAGGCTCAGACCGCTTGGGGTAGAGCAGATCAATAGGAACCAGATCGCCGGGCGAAGTAGAGCGCCAATCAATAAAGGCCAGCGGAAAGTCGGTCGCCGGGTGCGAAATGGGCCGCCAGACGTTGATGATTTGGTACCTCCCCTTCAGCAGCTTCTCAGCCTCTTCGGGGGGAGACACATGTCTTCTGACGCGAGTGGCGGCAGCAGCAGGCGTCTGATCGACATGGACCTGCTGCACGGGCCTCCTCGCTGCCGAACCGTTGTTCCTCCGAATGGTATGGTCAAAGATCTCGACGCGCTTGATCCCTGGCAACTTCTCCCGCAGCAAAGCTTCCACCTCGGCGTAGTACCCCGACCAAATGGCGCGCTCGTCGGTGAAGGAGGTTTCCTTGGCTGGGTGGTTGTACAGCGCGAAGCCGGAGACGTCGATGCCGAAATCTGAGGGGGAGGATTCAACAGCAGAGCGGAGATCGTGAACGGGCTTGGAAACGGAGACGCGCGAGAAGGACGAGTAGTCAACGTCTACTTTGGACCAGGACTTGACAAAGGGGGTGGTAGAGCGGTTGATGGTTGCTGGGTCGGCGTAACGGAAGGTACCGGTTGTCATCTTGGCGGTTTGGGTTGGGGTTGTGGTGATAGTGCGAGCGGGTTGTTTTCGGAATATGTGCCCAGGAATGCGCCGAGTTCTGATGGTGGTCCTTATAAGTGAAGTGGTGACTGCTTGCATTGACTACTGCCGCTGTGTGAGATTGATGATGCAGATATGTGTGTGTGTGTGTGTGTGTTAAATGCTTCTGCTCCGTGTGAATTTTGACGACGTCCGGGAGATGTTGTCGTACAACGCGGGGTTATATAACGGTTCGGACGACTGCGGGAAAGGCGGGATAGGCGGGGCCCGGATTGCGCCACCGGTAGTCCCGCTGGCGATGTCTCCACAATTGCCGGGATGGATTAGTAATAACATTGGCGGCTTGGTAATGTTGTTGTGATTGCATCAGCGACTCTGTTTCCATGGCGTTTCTGTAAATTGCGCCAGACAATAATGGTCTTAGTTTATGCGACTGTGAGGGAGGTAGTGTTCGTGCAGTGGATTTGTCGCCGTGGGTGTGTGAACTGGATTGTGGTGGCCTTGGGTTGTTGTCGCAATGCTGCGAGTGGCCAAAATAACCGAGTGAAAGAACGTTAACAGAATCACAAGGGACTTTACAGTGCAACTGTTAACGACTTTCAGTTGCTTTGCTTGGAGGTCCGCCGCGTCTCCCATTACCACAGGCAAAATTTCATGCCGAACGGGCAGATGCCCTGTAGGTGTCCAGGTCTCTCTCGAATGTGCTGTGTCTCTCAATTTCCTTTGCCTTTCTTCCTACCTTACTCTCTGCATGGCGACAACAGCCCAAGGCCACCAGCTCACCACTACGGTCCATGGTCAAATGGATTACTAAGGTAACCTTTGTTTCGGCCGATGGGATTCTTCAGCGTATGCGCATGTCAATGTAAGGGTCTAGAACTAGACATCGCGATTCGCGTTTCACAATGCGCTGCGGCCGTCGTGCTGTCATGCATCGGCCGAAACGAGCAGTACATACCTAGAGGTAGGTACCATATGTACAAGTGGGCTATAAGACACGGATCGCATTTCTTCATGCACTCACTGCTAACTGATGGCTGCACCTCACGAGACAAGCACGTGTGGTTCATTTTGCAATGCGATAGGTAGGTATGTGGTATTGTCAAAAGATCGTGACGACCTTTTTATGGTCTTGTATTAATGAGGTATATCTAAGGTGGTATCTAGTATAGTCCCGAGGCCTGTCTGTTCCTTTCTTCATTAGGAACCCCAACCGCCCAACCCGTGCATATAACGATCGTGTGGTATATATGTCATGATATGTAAGTCATGGTCTTCTTGTCTCTCGTAACGTTCGAACCCGCCGCGTTTCCGTTTGTGGTTATAAAAACATCCAAAAAAAAAAAAAAAAATATTACGCCTTTTGTTTTTTTTTGCGCCGCGCTTGGTATCCAATTTGCAATGAAGATAACGACAACAAAAAATTCTGTACAAAACAACAAAAACTTAACCCAAAAAAAAAAGACAGTGAATGAGCCAGCTCAACTGTCAAAGATGGGGCCATAGGCAGGAATGCCTCGCATCTCGCACCCATGCACGATTTTCTTGGTCATCATGGGGTTACTGATGCAGCACACCGCCTCGGCGTTGAACTCCTTGAAGAGCCGGAGAACGATAGGCAGCATGTCCACGCGACCGGTGATGGAGGTGTCAAGAATGACGGGGTTGCTATCCATCCTGTGAACGAGGTCCAGGGTGCGCTGGCCATAAGTCTTGAGGGGAGACTTGGTTTGCCAGATGACGCGCATATCGGGCCTGTTGGCATCCTCGATGAAGGAGAGACAGGGGCCAATGCCGGAGCCGGTGGTGACGACGATGATCTTGGGGAACATGCGAAGCACGTAGCCGAAGCCGTAAGTGGGGACGCCGCGCTTCCAGAGGTGGGTGGGCTGGTCGTTGATGGTGGACTTGGTCCAGTCGCCGACCTTGGAGACGATGCACGAGAACTTGGCGTCGGGGGTGTCGAACTTGTCTGTGAAGCAGGCGAAGCTGTGCCAGTCCTTGAGAGGGTGCTTGGCGACCGAGATGCCCTGGCCAAAGACGACTTCCGTGTGGCTGAAGTGAAGACGGATGGCGTGGGCGGAGAGAGGCTCGGGCTTGACAGGGATCTTGCGGAGCAGCAGCCAAGGGTGGATGGTGGCAAGCGTGAGGACGATGATGATCCAGAAGGCGGGGAGATGAAGGAGGAAGTTACCCAGATTGGCCTCCTGCTTGCCCAACAAGATGAGCAGGATCCAAAAGAGGACGAGGATGATCCAGTTGGCGAAGCGGTGGGTCAGCTCAAAGTAGTCGTGCAACCTCATGCGGAACGTGGGATAGGCGACGATGACGATGGAGAGGAGGAAGCCCAGTACAAGCCAGACAAAGGTCAAGACGGTGGTGTTGATGACGGATGGCGTGTAGTTGTACGTGTAGACGGCGGCGAAGCCAATGTACCAGATGACCGATGCCACACCTGTCCCGCTGTGGACGCCGCCAAAATGGAAGATCTTGCACGCCAAGCGGCGGATCCTGATGGGGGCAGATCTGGGGATGGATCCGAAGATGAGGAAGAGGGTGTTGATGACAAGGGGTTGACGGCACAGACCGCAGACAGCGATGTTGACGGCAGCAGCGTTGACCAAGTCCATGGGAGCGGCACCCTTGATCATCATGATGATAAAAGCGATGGCATTGCCCATAAAGGCTACAGTGAAGAGCCGGCGGTAGATGGTGAGGATCGCGTATCGGACACGGCCCAAGGGCTTCTGCTTGTATTCATCCTCCTCGGTCTGGGCCTCGAGGTCAACGATGGTCGGGCATGTCGACTGGTAAGTGAGACGCTTCTCGTTGACGATGAGGGGCTTTTCCGAGTTGGTCGATGATGTGGAGATGGCGGAAGCTTGGGAGAAGGTGGATGAGACGGAGTCGTTCTGCCTGGTATGGCCGAACTTCTTCCCGTTGGGATCGTTTGGTGTGGTTGTGGTCTCAATCGTAACTGTGATCCCTGCCGGCGAGGGCTTCTCCTCTACAGGAGATGTGTGTGGTTTGTCCTCCATGATGGGATGTCTGATGGTAATTTCGACTACAGATTCCGAAGGGTGAAGTTTCGGACTTGGTCGTTGGAATATGTGATGGAAGAGATTGCGATCAACTTGGACTTGGGACGGGGCAGAGGACAACGGGATGGTACCATGATATATCAGCATCGAAAGTCCGTCGTCCCTGGATCCATACATACATAAAGCCAAGGGCAGGCCCACCCCTTGAAGTTCGATGCTGGGTGGTCACCGAGCACATGTCGCCGCATTCGTCGAGTAATTGGGAGACTCTCCATCCCTTTCTGGTGGTCCACGGCACGGTCTTGTTGCGGAGTTTGCGGAGTCACTTTGTAGTCCATCTTGTCCACACTCACCCACACGGAACCAACATTGCGGTAAACGATCTACGGCCAGCCCACTTTGACATTGCCAGTGGATGGAAACTGATAAAAGGAATGGCGGGAACCGTACACTACACAGTAGTTGCACATCTTCACGACAAGCTACCGGTTACACAGTACACAGCTAGACAACCACTTGAAGCTGGAGAACGAGCGGGTCGAATCCGACAACGGAACCTCACAACGCAATGCCCCTACTGCATGACGACACAAGCTCGAGACAATCCGAGACGGTGACTGGCCTAGAGACAACAACGGCGGAGATTTTTGGCGGGGGAGGTTGAGGTGTTGGCATGCAAATTCTTCTGCAGCTAAGACCGTGTTGAAGGAAAAGGGGTTCTATGGAAAAGAAAACAAGAAATTTGCCGGGACCGGGACAGGAATGCTCTTCCACTTGACGGTGTATGGGTTGGCATCCAGGGCTATCCAGGTTTCCATGCCCGGCATCGCGGGCTCCAGAATGCCGGAGTATCTTTTGTGGTGTCTAGTTTGGCAAGGGCGATGAAGATCACGACAGTCCTTCCAGCTCTGCATGCAAAAACAGTTTTTGGAGGGCAGCTGCCAGCTGCAGGTCCCAAAGTCATGTGATGATAGCCCAACACTACCAGATATGTCTCGGCCTTCGGGCCCGAGCAGCCCTGGACAGCTGGACAACAGCGGGTCGCACTCCCCACAAACAGCACTGACCGACATAAGAAGTGGAAAGGGGGACTTGATCTGATTTGACGGCCATGGAAAGCACAGGCCACCAGATGCTGCTGCTGCTGCTGCTGCTGCTATCGCAACGTTCCCCAACCTTTTGAGGCTCTTTTGATCAGCAGAGAGCTTGCGCTAACCTGATATACCCTAGCATCTCGTCGTTCGCTAAAGTATGTACCTCTAGCTACTATTGACTGCAGCTTGTCTGTGCCTGTCTTTCCTTCTTTAACCTTCCGCTTTTCTTCTCACATCTTTCATCCGTCTTCTCTCGCAGCATTCTGTTACCATCACTGCAAGCCACTTCAGCTTTTCGCCCTGTGATTGATTGACTGATTGTCAGACACTCAATTTGTGTCAACGCCATGTTCTCACGGACATTCAATTGTCTGACCGGGCCCTTGGGCTTCTCCGTGTCCCCATTCCCACTGCTACCGGAATGATCAGCGCCATTATCCGCATCCACATCGTGCTGACGGCTGACAGGGAGCTGGCAAGGGGACTTGCCATATTGGCTCGCTTCCCTTTTCGCACCACAAAACAACGAACAAACAACGCCCTGTATTCGTGTCATGCCATTGGTTCCCGAGGCTAGTCTGGGGCCCACCCAACTACACCGTGCCTGGACTACCGTCGTCGAGTATCAACGTCTTCGAGATTAGCTTACGACTGGAATCATGGACTGTGCCTGGCGAGATGGACCTAGTAGCGAGGTGCGCAGAAATGGCACAGTGATCCTGGTGGGCTCTGCTACTGCGAGAAAGCAATCATCATGGCTGGCCTGTATAACCAATTGTTCTTCATTCCAGACATGAAGGAAGTTTGCGAGCAACTCGCTTACCGACGCTTCGGATTGTCGATAGCCGATCCGATCGCCAAACCACGGTGGAGTCGTCATCTGTGTTCTTCCGTTGTTGCTATGTACTGTGTAGTAGTTGCCAAGCCCAAACCAGGTGTACACTACACACCGTCTACACCATGGGCTGTCTTCCCAGCCGTCCTCAACCTTCACGTGCTGCGGGACCAGGCGAGAGGATTCCCATTCGGATCTCGTTCAGCTTCGCACTCGACAGGCAGCATCTCCATGACCAGAACAAGCCGCTCTTCGTGGATGCCCATGACCCTATCCTCTCGTTATCTGCCAGTCAAACGATAGCATTGGTGTCCAGACTGGTCGCAGGGTTGCGTGCGGCCGGACTCAAAAAGGGCCATGCTGTGTTATCGCATCCCGGAAACCATCCGAGTATAGTTTTTGGACCTCCTCTTGTGCGTTGTTCTTTCTGTCCTCCACTCTGCTCCGCATCCGAGCCAACAAAGATTGCAGCAATGGTCGCCGACGTCTCCCCTTTTTTCCCCTTCTGATCCGGGATCTACATATCTAAGCAGAACATAGACCCACCCACATTGGCCCCATTGTCCGAGTCCCTGTCCCGTCCAAGAACGGCTGTCCTTCCCCAGCTTTGCTCCTCCTTTCCTCCGGACTGCGGACTCCATGCTGCGTAGTGTACACTACACTATGAACCGCTTTGATGATTGGAGTCTTTTTTTTTTTTTTTTGCAGTCAGATTTTGACTCACCAACAACTCATCAAAGTATCTCTACGCTGCCCTGTTCTTTACCATCGTCGGCGCAGGTGGCATCTGTTGCGGCTCTAACCCGGCCCACTAGTTTCAAGATCTAAACCATGTTGCTTATCTTTCAGCCCCCAGATTCATGATCACAACCCAGACCAAGACGGCTATCGTGCACGCGGTATACACGAAACATAGCATCCCGCCCTACAATGTATTTTATTGTGGAAGCTGTCGACCACCAGGTTCTTCAGCAAGTCCTCCGCAGCCTGAGTCGGGTGGAACAGCAATTCGGAACCATCGTAGCCCATGATGCCCCAGGCAGGCCACTCACTGATTTCTTTCGCCACGATCAAATTGCGACTGGATCATACTGAACAGCATATTGGCCATGAAGCAAACAACTGCTTGCTACCTTCTATTCCGCGCTTAGTTCTACCGGCAGCCCCAGACCGGTCGCCGTTCGCACTATGCCCTCGTAGCTCAACACATGGCGATTCGTCCGGGGGGTCAGCCCTACAGCGAGTCCGTGGTCCGGCTAACATGTCTCCCGCTCTACACTACAATACTATGGTATGTTTCGCATCGTGTGGAACCTCCTTGCCGCTGTACACTACGATATAGCCGTCCCGTGTACATCATGTCCAAATCTATTGCAAGCCCTTTATCCACTACACTACATACGTCGACACCTATCGGGTATTTGAAACATACCTCCATCTTACGCCATCGATCATCAAGATCCTCACTAACCTTGATGAACCTGGCCTCCGAGAAAGCTTGGACACTTCCCGCTACTTTGGCGTGGGTGGAGGGCCGATCGACTCGGTTGCCCTAGGGAAGCCGAAGGCCGTCCTCCACCCGGAAGCTACCGCATCTCAGATCCGGGGGATGACGGAGTTCGGGGTTTCTGCGCTCTTTCGCTGGGGCGAGCAAGATGAGACAGGATCCGTCGGCCGGCTACTCGAAGGGTACCGGATTCGCCTGGTTGAACACAATGGTCATGATACCACGACAAAAGGCCGGCCCGGAAAGCTGCTTGTTCGATCGCCGAGTCTCATGACCGGGTATATAAGCATGTTGCCCTACGTCGGAGTCGATCAAGAGGATTGGCCCCAAACTGGCACCGGCACCATTGTTTCTGTCAAGATGGATAAGCTTTACGTTCATGCTGTTGGCAAAGCAATGGAGTCATCCAAAACCCCGAGGAACACACATTCCGGACTTTCTCACCTGGTCTGAGTTCGGAAGAAATATTAAGAGGACGTTGGTACAGGAACGAGATTGGGACCCAAGTGGCGTCGCCAAATATTCATCGGCAATTGCCGTGGCGTCTTCATACCTATACTAAAGACATCCAGCTCTGCCTACCTGTAGCTTACCATTCACCACATACACCGCCTGATTGAGATGAAAATGTTAAAGGCAATCGAACCTGCATCTAGGCCGGTGCAAAACATCTTTCTCGCACTGAACTGCCTGCACCTTCTCCTTGGCCAATCGGAGCTTTTCTCTTAACGACATCCACAACGTTCGCGGGTGATACGGAGATCACTGCGATGCGTGGGTCAAAAGCGAGCTGGCGAGTAAGCTGAATTTGCCAAGCTGTGCTGCAGGAGGAGACTCAAACACAAGATGTTTGCTGATCCGCGATGGCATGATATCATGGATACCTCTAGGTACCTGTTCTAGAGTTAAAGAATGGTGGCAGCTTTCACAACTGAAAAGCGAGATGTTGGTGCGCTCTCCATTTGTGGCTGATTCTCAGGTACACCTTCGCCGAGGTGACAAATTTCGCAAGAAAAAGCAACTGAGGAAGTGACAAGTTGGAAAGCATGGCCGTGGTTTGTAGGTCAATCAAACCTTTCTCATTACCTCTAGGTTACAACTTTGCGTGATCCGTTCTTTCTGTTCAAGGTCTGTTTCGCAATCCTGCATCGATTCAGACCTTGAAGAACTCCTCGCCACCGAGATCACCTTCAAGCCAGCTTTTGGTAGCTCAGCTATCCCCGAAAAGCCGATCCCTCATGCAAGTGAACCACCTCAGAAACAGACTCTAAGTCTGTTCCGCAAGAAGACCATCCTGGAGACGCCCAAAATCTGAACACCCCAGCAATCATCCGACTTCGAGACTTCCCCAACCTCGTCTGGCATCGCGAAATCCTCCCCCGCACCGCTTCCCTTCAGGAGCACCGCTGGAACCCCGGCCAAGGCCGGATCTGTCGCTACATCAAGACTCAGCTTACTCGATAGGCAACGCTGTGTTTAGCGACCAGAGACCATTGTATACGTCTCTGTTGCACGGCCAAGTCCGCGTAGCTGTTGTTGTGCAGGTATGTGTAGCTAGGCTGGAGGGGTACAATCTTGCCGAGGCAGTCCTGCAGCTTTGCTTTGAGTTCGTCAATCTCCTGGTTTGTCTCTATGTGGCTATTCGCATAACCAATACCGGCTAATGCATATTGACCACGACATGAGGGCTTTGGTTCTGGAACCAAATTCGTATGTTTGATGTCCAAGGTGAAAAACGCCTGGGAAAGTCAACTCGGGAGATTTGAGCTTGCCTGTATAGAAATACTGAGCACAGGTAGGTTGGCAAGGCTCTTTACTGTTCCTCGTTGTTAATGTTGTTTCTTTCTGTTGTTTTCCCTCTACCTTGTGGCACCAACCCAAATGCTCATCTTCTATTGCTTTGCTTTGCTTTGCTCGAGTACCCTTTATTCCATTCCCATCGTCAAACACTCAGCAATGCGAACCGATCTCACTTTGAAATGGGAACCAAACCCCTTACTGAAACAACACACACAAACGTTAATGAACTGCATCTCCGCAACTCATAGTCCTTTCAGATTTCCCAGTAGTTCCTATGTTACTCTCTTGAGCCTCGCCTAGGTAGTCCGTTCCACCAATTTCCTGGTCGAGATCTTGATTTCCTCCTCCAACTTTTTGTTTCCGTTCTTGAGCTCAGCGATATACTCCAGTCTTCGAGCGCTTTCTCTATCTGAGCAGCCTGAATAGCCGTATTGTGAGAAGAGCTCATCGACGCTTCCGTACTCTCCACATACTCGGCGAGGCCCTTGTGCTTCTTCAGGTCGGCGACCTCATCTTCAAGATTCTTGATCCTGTCTTCCTTCCTCTTCACGTCCTTCTCAAGGTCCATCTTCGCCCCCAAAAGCACCTCGAATTTGTCAAACTGCTCCTCCCGCTCATCGAGCAAGTCCTGCTTGAGGCGCTTGACCTCCGCGTTCTCCTCCTTGAGACGCTCGTTCTCGGCCGACAGCTCTTTGATCTGGCTGCTGTAGTCCGCGCAGGCGCCCTTGTAGAAGGCTTCATAGACGGCTCTATGCTCGCTCTGGAGCTTCTTCTTCTCCGCGGCATGCTCCTCCTTGAGCTCAGCGATCTTGGCCCTGAACTTGGCGACGAGTTTTGTGCCCTGTTGCAAGGTTAGGCCAACCTCAGGCTTGTCTTCGACTAGGTAGAGAAGTAGAAGAGGATTATATTAGTACGGTACTCGAAAAAAAGATCAACTTCAGGCTTAAAACTAGGAGGTACCTCTACTTACGGTAGCGGCTCCACATCAACTCATCAGCAACGAACGCCTTGAACGCATCGACTTGGTCGCGCGAGATGTGGTAGAAGGCACCGAACTCGTCGAAAAGCTTGGTGGCGTACGCGCCCTCAACTTTGGTTTTGAACTCTTTCTCGAGCTCTTCTGTGGTGAGGTTGGGATGCTTCTTGGTGATTTCCGCGAATAGGTAGCTGTGGTGCGAGTAGTACACAGGCACGGTGGTGTCGTCTTGGTTGCCAGACATCTTGGAGTTGAGGTAAGTGCAAGAGGGGAGCTCTTGCAAAGTGAGGGCGACAAGGATAAAGTTGAGGTAAGTGCAAGGAGGGGGCTCTTGCAGAGTATGTGTGCAAGAAAGAGAAGATACCTTTAGAGATACCTGCCGTACAACGATGATCTTGATGTCGTAGCTTCCTGAGTGACTGAAGTTGGAGGTTACAAGTTATTGTAAGCTGTTGCAAGATTTGAAAAAGCAGAAGAAGGAGAAGGCAGAAAAGGCAGCGCGGGGTACTGGTGAGTAGATGTGGGAGTCGTCTGAAGTCAGGTCATAATTTCAAACGCACAAGGCAGAATAGACGAACGCGGGGTATAAAATCTCTACTGTTGAGTAATCGTGCAGGTACAGAGGTCGTCCTATGTCTGGTTTCAGCTGTCTACGACTGGCAGTGGGTGCTGAAAGTCCAGACGGTTATTTACAAACAGTATATTCCACGGAAGGAGGGGGAAGGTCATACGCTATGGTCAGCTGGGATTACGTTCACCTTGTGGGCGATATTGCCGGCCTGAACCACCACGCTATAGGGCTTCCAGACTTTTCCCGGGAGTGAAAGGGCCATCAGAGTATCAGGGCGAGTACGGAACTCAGATATTGTTCTTGAATAAAGCATGTCCATCCTCAGATAAGTTGATGACTTGATTCCAGCATACGGAACAGGTGTAGCCAGTGTTGACTTGGTCCTCCGTTCAAGCATCGCTCACCCCTGAGGAGAGCTTGCCACTCGACGGTTGGATGAAGAAAACGTAAGCCATACCTAGGGTAGCGGTTCCCGGTTCTGCAGATACATATATGTACCTCTACTACCTGTAGAAGAAGGAACTTACTGTGCGGATATCGTCGCGGCGTTCGATGGCAAATAACAAGGACGGTTGTTGTCCGTTTAACCACGAATTGGCAAGAAGATTAAAGGAGTGATGAAAGTTCTTGCCTGGCAGCAACCAATGTACAGCGGTAGACCATCCGCAGCGACTGCAGATAGCCAGACTGTAATCGTCGGAGAACATTATTTTGGTACCTCTAGGGTGGGTACATATATTGTGAGGTGACCATAGCATAGGAGGAACTCCAGTCTCACTCCAAGTCGTGAGTCTAATCTGATGTGTGCGTGGGATCGCGGTATTTCCTCTTGACTATAGGCTCCACCTACATGTAGTGTACCTAGCGTAGGCTTTCCAACAACTTCCATGTACCACTTATCTCTTCCACGTCGTTTCAAAGATCTATGTTCCTTCCATCCCATCCTAAGAGAACTTTGCTATTATTCCCGTTCTATGAAGACACTGAATAAGAGTTGTAGAATTAGAGGATGAATATTGGATAGGTATTCTCGTGATTTGCCAGGACTATTCCTTTTTGGTGTTTCCTATTCTTTGCTTATCTCCAACTTGCAATCAAGGAAACCAGAGATCGACTTACAGCCTTGCCTAGGTACCTACCTACCTAATCATCATACACCACTACCTCTAACGATGCCTGCCTTGTAAGTTCATTACCTTACTTTTATCATTGTGGAACAACCATCAGCCACTCCTTGCTGTATATGTCAGATAGCTGAGTTTGACAGAGTACCTAGCAACCCCCTGACGCTGTTGTTGTTAAGGGTAGGTATCCTTGAACCGAGAAAGTGATGTCTTCGGAGAGCAGAGCCGCGCGGCATTGGTTATCAGGGGTACCCGTGTCCATCATTTCTACCTGTAGGTAGGCTGCAGGTACTAGCACACCAAGCTCCTTTGGCCACTGTCCGTGCCATCCTGAGTATGGAAGTATACATATACGAACGAGTTGACCCAGAATGCCTGTTCATGGTCTCAACTTACGGTCTAAGCCCCTGTGTGCTTTGCATCCTATGAAAGCTGATAGTGTCAGGAAGGGAAATGCTGTGAAAGAAAAGATCATACCTCTATATAAATATGCTTCAATTGGGAGGCTGGAAATATCATGGCGGCGCTTGTTGTTGTGTTTGATGGGTAGAATGAGGAAGCAGGAGCAAGCATCAGGTGGTTGACGGCGGAGATGGAATTCTTTTTTCAAGCAAAGCTGAGGTCACATTGAGCACAAAAGGTCAGTATATGACAAAGGCAGCTCGTTGGATTCGGGAGTTGGTTGCCTCACCCACTCGCTCCGTTTCTGGCTCAGGCCCGCGAAGTGGATCGTCTTTTCTGCATCATACAAGTGAGTGTTGAGGCTCTCAAGTTAGAAGTTTTTGGTTATGGGTTAGGTAAAGGGATGAACCTCCGGTCTGGCTTGAGCTTGTGTCCCGGCGCGCTTCAAACCGTCTTTTGCTCCGATTGGTTGTCATCGAATGGACCGAGCTCTGCATAACTTTTGGATTCTGCTCCGGATAGCGAGTTTGGGTTGGGGTTTGTATGTAAATGTTTGACGATTGGAAAGGCCAGCAGCCTTATCGGGATCATCATCCGGTATAGCCAGTGCCGTGAACTCATGATAGCGCCAATTGCATGCCTTCCGTCTTGTCGAATCGCTATTCATTCGATCTGCCGTCCGCTTCATTTCAACGTCAAACTGGACGTCTCGACTTTATTATGCGGTGAAACACTTTTGTCCAGACTGTGTCCTGTTACTCCAATAACCCTGTATTCGAGACCCGGTTCTAGAACTTCAAGACACTCAGGGTCAGCTGCATGGGAGTGTCAGACACGGACTCAAAGGTGATCACTGAGAGTCTAGTCCATAGAGCGGCGTGACCCTGAAAATCGATCTCCCCGGTAGAATGAGACATGTCTCGGTTTCACGCAGGGTAACAACCCTCCAAGCAGCGCAAGCCATAGCAGCCTTTCGGGATACACGAAGCCGAAATTGTGCAACCGATGCCAGGACCCGGTGGATTGGGTGAAGAAGCAGTGAAATGTCCTTACAGCCAAGGTGCCCTCAACAGTTCTTGGCTAGCTGAAGAATGTCATAGACGGAGCAAAAGGACGTTCGAGAACGAGGGCGCTGTGATTGTCCGCCCAAAGGGTCTGATGACGTTGTCCACGTGGTACTCTTTGCAGCAAAGATCTTCCCTGTGACGGAGTGGACAACCGACGATCAGTACGGACTGGGGATCCCGAAAGGCTGCATTGTGGAGAAGTGATGTAAGGATACAGATCGGTCCAGACTCCAGGCAACCGGATTGATCCGACGATCTCGAGAACCCTGAGCTTATGTCAACAATCTCGTGGACTGTCATTCTGTCTGCGATGCGTACTGAATCTCAGGGTTCAATTCTCAGGATGATCGACGAGAGAGCACCAGTGCAAGGGTGCTACCCTGACGATCACCAGAATCCATGACGATAGTTGTCCAGAGCAAGAGTGAGAAAAACGTGCTTCGAGTTTCCTGTCGGGAGCTGTTGTTCTGACGTGTGCCTTAGAAACGAAACATAAAGGTCGAGTTGTACCATACTGGCACGTTCGACAATGTTGAAGACACAACCACAACCAACGCCGAGGCACACGGGATTCACGAAGAATCCCATGCTTGATTGAACCTAAAACTCTGTGCAATCCATCGGCGCTTTGATCTATAGTCATCTGCTACAGTGGTTAGTTCTTACAACCGTTCTCCTCCGAAGAACAGCCCCTGACAATAATAAGACGATTCGAAGTTGCTGACGTTCCGCTCGCAGGTGAAGTACTCCTTCGCTGAGAACAGCTGTGAATTTCTCCTGTTTGAACGAAGGTGCTGGTTGCTTCAAGCCCCAGCAGCCCGTTCACCCTTGGGGTCGTGACCTTGGTCTTCAGTGTTACTCGGTTCGAGTCAGCCTCCGGACCTTCAGTCCCGCAACTTTGCGCAACCTCACCAAGCCCGGCATCTGATATTGGGAAAGGACTGGACACCGCAACCAAAAATCTCCGGCTATAAGACGCTCGACGGCCTATATAAGCTCCCCGGCCACTATCTTGAGCCTTGAAGTCTTGTCCGCTCCTACCATAATCACAAATACCAGTATTCCCACGACCTGGAACAAGAACCGTTAGCTTGTGTGTGAACAGCTTCCCGACTCTCGGCACAGACACCCACGTACCGAGTACACCTTTTATGAGCCTGCTATAAAGGAAAGGAACAAGCACTACCATAAATTATGCAGCTCACTACTCTCTTTTCCGCCATTGCGGCCCTGGCCACGGCCCCCCTGACCACTCTGGCCTCCCCGGCTGAGACCCTGGGTAACAGGGACTTCCCCGACCCAGCAATCATTCTTGACCCTCGCACTGACGAGTGGTACGCTTTCGCAAGCAGCAGTAACGGCAAGAACGTACAGGCTGCTTACAGCCCCAATCCTCATGACGGCCCTTGGACATATGTCGAGCGCGACCTCCTCCCCACCCCGGGCAAGTGGGTCAACCCCGACCAACCCGACATTTGGGCGCCTGATGTGCACTACTTTGAGGCAAGCGATTCTTTTGTCATGTATTACTCGGGTCTTTTGGCGGACTCCCCCCACCACTGCATTGGCATTGCCACTGCCGAGAACATCACCGGCCCGTACGAAGCCCTTGATGAGCCATTTGCCTGCCCCGATTCCGAGGGCGGTGCCATCGACGCCAGCGGCTACCTTGATCCTATCGATGGCTCCTTCTTCGTGGTGTATAAGGTGGATGGTAGCTCCAAGGGCCCCGGTGGTCCTTGCGGTAACGGTGACCCCCCCGGCGAGCCAACTCCCATCCGCCTTCAGCGTGTCAATGAAAGCGACGGTATTACTCCCATCGGCCATTACACCGAGATCCTTGACCGCGATCCGGAGCTCGATGGCCCGCTTATTGAGGCACCTAACCTCATCCGCACCTGGAACGGCACATTTGTGCTGTTTTACTCCTCCCATTGTTACAACACTCCGGAATATGACATCAAGTACGCCACGGCGGATAAGATCGAGGGACCGTACCACCGCCGCGGAGAACTGATGGGCTTGAACACCAATTCCTATGGCTTTGATGGTCCAGGAGGAGCAAGTAGTGTCATCGGTGGCGGAATCTTGGTGTTTCACGCCAACTGCGATGCCGGCCGTTGCATGTATGTGACGGAATTCGAAGTCGAGGAGGAAGGCATCGTGACGCTACTGGATTGATCTGTTTTCAAGGTTTATCAGCATATGAAAGAGAAGACATGAGTAATGTGGAGTTATTCGGTATAGCGTTGGCTTTTGGGATGCATAAGGTACCACGGCAGCACAGGCGTTCCTCTGGTTGTCTCTTCTTTTTCTTTTTGGTTTTGTTTTAGCGATAGGCGTATGGCATGCGTTCAATGGAATACAGTAAACACTGCACAAAGCCCTGTCTTTACTTCAAATGATACTGCGATCACAATGATATGGTAGTACCGGGCCAAGTGTTGGTTGCCCTTGAACAATCAATCGAAATTGGTGATGTGGAAGAAGACGAGGGAAGACAAAACGGGGGGAAAGATGCCAGACGCGGACAAGACGGAAGTAGTCACCCGTACGAACAGTGCTCATCGAAATAGCAGACAAAATGATGCAAAATGCACCTGCCTTCTGTAAGACATGGACTGCAGTGACGATGCGCCAAACTACAGCAACTATGGTGGCTCGCTCCTTCGACATCGACATGCGGAGTTGGAGTTCTGAACTTATTTCAGGTTGTAGCCGGCCAAGAAAAGATAGCACCAAGGATTGGATATCGATCAAGGAGAAGTCATGGTATATTGTATGAATGGTGAAGGGAAGATTTCCCCTTTGCTTGTCCCAAAGGCATACATTGCCTATGCACTCTTCCAGTGTCGTTGTATCTTCACCTGGCCTTCATTACTTCAACTGGCGGCAATTAATAGATGAGTACGTGCCACCTCTTTCCGCCGCCGGATTTGGGTTTGTCTCGTTGCGGCAGGGATGTCCATCCGAGCAGAAACCGCTGGACCGAAAAGGGTTCTTTCTTGCCAATCCAACAACAGCCGGCATGATGGACAACAAGATTTGATGCATGTGCAGTTGATCCATCTGCGCCCCAACGATCTTTGCCCCTAAAACAAGTTAAAACACTTATTAATCCCCTCCCAATCCGGATGCTCCTCCTTTCCCCTTACCAGCTCACTTGCCCAAGACCCCCTAGGGGCCTTCTGCGATTCCTTCAAAGCCTGTCGCACAATAGCATCCCCAAGCTGCTTCTTGATCTCCAACCTTGGCAGCTGCCACTTGAGCAAATTCGCCGAAGTAGCTCCTCCCGGCAGACTATCAGCCGGCGGTACGGGACAAAACCCAAAATCCGCCCGTTTGGCAAATCGCAGAGCGCGCGCGGCGCCGCTCATCCGCTCCGCAATAGTCGGATTCGTATGTAAAGCGATAGCCAGCCAAGCCTCGCGGACCGCCAGGGCCGGGATGTTATGCGAGTGTAGCAGATGGGCGGCTACGTCCGCCCCAATGAGCTCGAACTGCTCTGCGATGGCATCGTACTCGGGAGCCAGCCCTATGGCGTGGAGAATACAGACGACGAATAAGATGTGCGGAGGGGTACTGGTTGCGCATTCTCCGTAGACGGGGCTGATGCGCGCTATTCCAGGGAAGTTAAGTGGCAAGGAAGGGTCGGCCGTGTCGGTCCAAGGGGTGATCCGCATGGAGGCTTGGGCGTACATGTAGACGCGAAAACTATGGTAGAGAATTGTGGCGGGAAGATGGGTGCGGGCAAGGACGAGGGCATCGGTGCAGGCGGGGTGGGTCGGCATCAGGGCGCGAAGGGCGGCGGTGATGGTGCCTTGGTCGGATACTGAAGGCGACGATACAGACTTAGAATTAGAACCGGGGTCGGTGCCAACCGTGCCGGTTGAGGAGATGGAGGCGGAGTTGCTGGACGTCCGACTGCCCATGGCGCGATGGCGGCTACCGTGGTGGACACTGCTTGCTTGATTGGGATCACGAGAGGGGGGACCTCATGGTTTTCGGAATGCTAGAGAATGGGGTACGAATCTAAGGAGTCCATTGGTTAAATACCTGGGTAGGTTTGGACTTGCCAGACCTTTCTGGAACTTGTGAGTGGTTGCTGTAGCTGCAATGCAAGCAGCTGTCGGTGTCGATGCGGTCAACTGGATAAATGTCATTGTGAGCATCGACGCTACGAAACCAGATGGCTCGACCCGTTACTGTCATGTTACCCTTCACTTTCTCGGATCTTTCGTATGCAGAACATCACAGGGTGTCAGTATCTGAATACTCCATGCTTAGACTCCCGGAATCGATGCTGTTCTTCCGGGAATCGGCGCACTTCAAACAATTCCAGTGTACGCTTACGAAGCACAACCGTCCGAGACACTCAAATTTAATACTCTAAAATATCATTTGACGTGATACCGGTCCTTGCAGTTCAAGTCTCTTGTTTCCACACAATCTTCTGGTAAGCCTTCTACCATCTAAGTCGGCAACAAGCAGAAGTATCAATGGTAGAGTTTAAGTAGAGGTACTCTTGGGAGGATGGGAGGATGGGAGGAATATATGAATGGGCGGAAGACAATGGAGTGGCTGCCTTGGAAGTGTCTCAAACGTCAAAAGGGAGGCAGCTTGGGAAAGAGCAACTGGTCGTGGAATAAGGCGGGCCAAACGGCCATGCAACAGACTGGACCAGGGCAAGAGCGCTAGAAAGCTTTTTAAGCTCGAACAAGCCTCTCTTCAGGTTGCCTGGCACTTTATTCTTCTGGGGGATACCCTTCAGTTCTTTGATGACAGAAACCCAAACATGTCGTTCCACATACAGGCAATAACTTGTCTTTGGTCGATGGCAAGGCATTCTAAGGGCAGGCTTGCAACATGAAATTCAAGACGTATAGAGATAGTAGCATTTGGACTACCAAGCTACCTATTGTTACATTGTACGTGATGGTTGACAACCTGACTGAGTATTGTTGTCTAATAATAATACACAATCAAATCTATGCAGATAACATGCTACTTGCAACAGCCAGAGATACTCCAACAGATATGGTCCTGTTTTGAATCACCCCCAATTCCAGCCAGATGATGATGAGCCGCACAACGATGTCTGAAAGGTAATGATGCAACACCAGAAAGCGATTTACAACTAAGCCATCTTTCAACCAGCCGCCCTATCGAACATACTGAGCTCCAATACGGACCTCTGACTCCAAGTAAGTAAGCTCAAAACCCTTACCCCATCGATCTTGGTACACAACCTTCCCGAAGTAGGGTAATACACTTTGATCCCCAGGAAGACATTGCCGGCTTCCGGACTTTGATTGGCACTCTGTTGCCGTAACTCCAACACATCGATACTCCCTTCCACTCTACAAGTCCCCCATATGAGCCTGCCTGACCAAGCTGTTGATCTCCTTCGGCTGGAACTCAGGCTCATACCTACCCGCATGGCTCAAATCATCAGGCGGCATCAGCACCGGGTAATCCGGACCTGCCTGTCCTTGCTCCGTTGCCTCCGCATCATCGGTAGCAGTAGCAGTAGTAACAACCCCCCTCATACTCTTCGCAAACTCTTCATAAGCCCTCTTCGCCTCCTTCCGATCTTCCTCCCTGAACCTCTCAACAATCCCCTCCACCACACTCTCCACCTCCTCCCTTTCCCCCTTCCACCACTCCAACAACTTTGCCTGGGCCTTGACCAGCCTCGTAGCAACCTCATTCCCCACCGCTTTCTCTTCCTTGCACTCCGTACAAACCATGGGCACCGCTCTCTCAGTCTTTACCTTTTCCCTGGCATCCCTCTGCATCTCCATCAAGAACCGCATCCGCTCCACCTCAAAATGTCCTGACCTCAAAGCACGGAACCAAGCACCCAGAAATCCCATCCGGTTCCAGGCCGCATCGGACATCTCCGGGGTTGCCAAGGCACACAGCAGGGGGGTCTCCATCCGCCTCCAGAGCTCGTTGTCGTCCTCTTCGGCGCGGCCTTCGTCTTCAGCGAAGGACTCGATAAACTCGCGGATGCTCATTCCCAAAGCGACCTGCTTGAACGAGAGCACGTTCTTTTGCTCTTCAGGGTTATCAGAGCCGGCGACGAAGGAACCGGGGGCCATGCGGGTGAAGGTAGTGGAGAGGACGTGTTTGCAGAAAGTTGCGGGGCTGAAGGATAATCCGTTGGAAGAGTGGGAAGGGGAGGTGAAAAAGTTGCTGCTGCTGCTCGCGCCGCCGCCGCTTTCGCGGATGTGGTCGCGAATGGAGGTCAAGCGGCGGGTGAATACTTGGGTTTGGAGAGTGCTGGTTTGGAGGAGGAGGTCGCTGTCGGGGCCGTAGATCTCGTTCCAGGTCAGGGCGTGGTCGAGGGCGACATGTTGGTGATGGGATTCGGTGACGGAAGGGGGAATGTCAAGGTGAAGCTCGATCGAGGTGAGGAGCTCGGCTTGGGACTGTTGTGCGCGCAGCGAGGATTCGATGTGCGACAGATACTGATCGGCGCGACCTTGGAGATCGAGGAAGGCGGCTATGAGCTGGCTTTTGCTGAGTGAGAGGAGGTCGGCGCGCGTGTAATGTGGCTCGCGAGGGACTTCATCCACGGAAGAGTCAAAGTCGTGCGACATTAGCAGATGCTGTGTCTCGGGTGGTAAAGGCATCTTTGCGTGCTTACGGCGCGATGAACGGCGCCTACGTCAGTCTGGGAGTCCTGCGCGGGGTAGTGATGATACCAGGCAAATGCTTAACGAGAAGAGCAAGTAGTCGGCTGAGGCAAGATGAGAGAAATGGGATGCACTATGATGTTGGTTTGCTTGTTGGCTTGTCAGCTTGTTGGCACGTTGGTTTGTGGGAACGGGTAAGCATACCTAGCTTCAAGGGAGATGGTTACTGCCTACTTTGTTGGAGCATTCACATTGTACCCTGCTTCCAGGTTGCACCAACTGGACAACACGAAGTGAATGGGAAGTGGAAGGTCCGCGAAGAGCTACAGAACCCGCAGCGCTGAGACGGCCCAGAGCCTCCCGGTACCGTGGAAACGGTCCCCAGATATCCCAGGCACAAACACGTGGCAGTGTCAGACGTAGAGTGGAAGGAACAGGCACCACTCACCAAACAGCCGCCGCGCCGACCACAGGTTCATCTCAAGAACTCGGACCTCTTGGGCCACCTTTGACAACAACCTTGGGAAGCTCGCGTGGCAAACCATATTGAAAACCAACGCACAGCCTGACCCTCAGACTGATCTCCCCTCTCCTTCTGCAACGGGTCCTCCCGATCTCCTCTCACAGCGAACCCATGCTTGGCTCCCGGAGACACCAGAGCCTCATGCGCATTCGGTATAATCGGCCTATCCGCCCCCTCCGCCCCCTTCACTGGCGCTTTCTTCTTGTCTCTTAGAATGTTCATCACCTCCTTCATCTTCTCCTGTCCCATGAACGAATCGTTCTCCCCGTTCGCCAAGCTGAGCGGCAGCTGCACCTCATGGATATGCCTCGGCAACTTGAGCATCGACGGATGGGCAGTGAAGGCGCAGTCAATCAGCGAGACCTTTTTTCCATCACGTAGAGACACCCAGTTGTCGGGATTCTGAGTATTGGTGAGGCCGACAGCATAGAGCCCACCCCAGCAAAACCCAGCAACGCCGACTTTCGGAGGTTCACCATTCGCCGCCGATGTCTTTCGCACAGCAGCCAGGAAGGATCGCACACGCGGCCAACTAACGGAAGGACGGGTGCAGTAAAGCCAGAAGAGGCAAAAGGGGACGGCCGTGATAATGTTCTAGGACCGACACAGGATACGGAAGATCCAGGGAGAATTGGAATGGGTTTGGACTCGAACGAGGCCATGAGCGAGAGGGGGATAGCTTTGCCGTCCATGCAGTCAGGAACATACAAAATGCAGGAAACACGCCGGGCATATGAATCGGCGAGGGCGCGTGTGTTGCGGAGGGACCACCCAAAGGCATTGGTGGTGAGGACTACCGTGCCTAGCGGTTTTACCCAGGGCTTCCACTTCGGGGTCGCGATGTATGTGGGAAGTCCGTGGATGACATCCTCGTGGCCGCTGGGGATGACGTCGCCGCGGAGGGTTCCTTTGAAGCAATCGGCACAAACGGGGATGGAGATTGTCACGGTATCATCGGTATACATATAGTATAATGGAACAAATTGAAGTAGTGCGCGAACAATTGGGTTTTCAGGCTGTCACACCGATGAACTTGCTGAAGTCATTATGTAGTTGCCGAGGTTGAAAGTGGGGAAAAGACAAGCCGCGGTACAGCGTCCAATGCAGCGAGTTTTGAGGAACAAGGAAAAGGTTACGTGAGCTTCGGGTTAGGGTTCGGTATGCCCCAGCCATTCACCAGCCGCCCCGTTAACGGTTCACACCAGTGAATGGCCCGGGGACGGAACATGTCTCCAAACACCAAAAAGCCACAACTCCATGATATCGCCAGAAACACGCAAAAAAGAAATCATCTTGAACCTCGTCAGGCTTGTTAATGCCCACAGCCAGAATCGAACTGACGACCTCATCATTACTAGTGATGCGCTCTACCACTGAGCCATGCGGGCTTTGATGGTTATCCTGGCTTCAAAGATGAGGTTATATCCCTCGTTCTCTACTGGATCGGGAGCCTCCACCGCGCCGACCAAGGTATCACGCCCCGCCCGAACCGAAGATGTTACCCGGATGAAAGCGAAACGCCCATGTCAGAACAGGCGAGTTTATTCAACCACTGGGTAAAATATCGTTCTCGCTGGGTTGAACGGTCATGTTCCGGATCGAGTTGGTGTGTCCTTGCAGCGGTTATGTCTGGTGTTCGGTGTTCCACGAGGACCATTGCGGAATGTGCCAGTGGCCATCGGGGGTAACATCTTGAACGGACAAAGGGGGAAAAGACGACTTATGTACTGTGTATGGGGCCCCGTCTCCTTTTATACAATGACGGAGCCTTTCGATTTTCAAAAAAAAAGTTGGGTTGATTCGATGAGGATGATGATCATGATTGGAATGAACAGAAGGGAAGTGCGGTGGTGATGCGGTGTTCCCGCTTATAAGCGCTAACCGCTAACAATTGTGGTCAAGCCACTCCCCTGCACCTTCTGACTCGACTAGAGGTACCTGCGCCTCACCCGGGCCACCGCCCCATTCTCGGTGATAGCGATAGCGGTCGGCCTGTAGACCCGGCCCCTCCTCCGCGCTTGTTTCGCATCCGCTCCTCCACCTCATACCGATTTCGATGCCGTCTTCGAGCTTATCGTCATTGAGAAGTAGCGGGCATCCCATTGTTGCCAAGACCCAAATTACCGTCACAGTGCTTCCTGATGGTCTGATGCACGTTCTTGACTAACAACACAAGGTTCGCTTACAGTGACCAGAAGTACATTTCCGGGGCTGAGTTATGCCGCGTTGTCGTCGTCGTTGTTGTTGTTAGTGTTGTGGCTGTGGTGGTGGTTGTGATCAGTAGATGCAGGGTGCTTACTAGCGCCGAAACAATGTGTTTGATGCATGGCTAATATATCTTCCGCCGGGCCAAGAATTACGGCAACCGGAATACACTAAATCACCAGATCTACGAAAACATCACGGAACGAGACAAGGTTCGCTTACTCGTATGCCTTCTAATGCGTGGCCGAGATCCGAATGCTGTGTCGTCTGGAATTCCAAAGTCCGAGTTGACAGGTATGTTGTACGGCAGGACGAATCTGCTGTCTGATGCAGAGCGGAAGAGGCATGGTTTAGGTGACCATCTGTTTTGGTACTTGAATGGAAGAAAACGGGTGATCGGTGACGGTTGAGGCTTCGAAGAACACAGAATTTGGAGATGGGGAAGATTGAAAGCGCCAAACTACAGATACAATAGCAAAGGATGGATTATATTAGGTCCAGCATCATTATATGTACTGGTTACCTACCTCTAATCAAGCAGACAAACCACCTTATGTACGTTCCTCAAGGGCGCCATCTCATTTATACCGCCCCCTCCCATGATCACAGCCAGTTCATCATGTCGTCAACCCAGCTCCTTTATACGCAGTTGGTGCACTGGCGGCACTGGATGTAATGAGCCTGATGACCAGCATCGATGCCATTGACCGTGTTGTACAAGTTGGCATCGCCGGGGTATGTAAGGATAGCGAGGCCGGAGCCGGTGCAGTCTCCGTTGCTAAACTCCAAATGTTAGCACGTGTGTCAACTGTAGGGAAAAGCACTCAGAGGTACGTACACAAAGAGACGGCAAATGGCGCCCTGGTCAGGGCCAGCAGAGCCAATATGGCCATCATAGGTGGAAGGAAGCCTGGTGCAGGTGCCTGTGATGCCGAGGCTCAGAACCTCGCACGTGTTTTGCCAGTTGGAGCCGGTGCAGACGTAAACCTGGAGGGAGAAAATGGTGAGCTTCATGGCCTTTGATGGGATTTCTGGGGAGAGACAATTCGTGGACTACTAACATTGCCGGGAGTACGAGCGACAAGCTCAGGATGCTCAGCCGAGGAAGGAGCAGCGAGGACGGGGGAAAGGACGGACAAGAGGGTGATGGTGATGGCGAGAATGGACTGCATTTTGGCGGTTGTTGGTGGTAGTAGTTGAGAAGTTCCTAGTCGAGGGTGAGTAATAAGAGCTGAGTGTTGAGAGTTGAGTAGATGATGTTGTGATGGAAGCTGTGGATGTTGAGATGATTGAAATCTCTGACTCAATTGAGGGGGGCTTCCAGCTTTTTATCCTTAGAGAGCTGACTCTCGTCAACGCCTCTTAGTCTTCCCCAACACCACAAAGCCATCACCGGCTAAGCATAGCTACGAGTCCTTGACACGAAGCATGCTCATCAACCGTACAACATCCACTCTTTTTTTTCAATGCATCGCTCCAGCCACAGTCGTCATGATGGTCATGGCCCCAGTAAGAATCTAGAAGCGTACTGGGTCTGGAGGATATCATGATCTCACATTCAACTACAAACTGCAGTGAGATACGAAAGTGAAGCAGCTCGGCCGTCAATATGGTCCACGGCCATGGAATATCCGAACTGATGATACCTCGTAACGCGTACTGCTTTGTCCAGTCCAACAACGTTTGGTTTCCTGGCCCCGAAGCGGGTTGGTGATCCTTTGCAAACCCTGTAGATCAGAAGACTAATGATTATTGTCTGGCAGACAACAAACGTTGGGTACTCTGGTATGTAAGGTTCACAAAGGTGCATTTCGTGACCTTTTAGATGGATGAATGGTGCATTTTCCATTGTAGCTCTGTGAGGTGCCTTTTGTTAGGGTTGCCTTTTCTCAGCCGCAAGGATACATAAGCGCGTTCCCGCCGCAGCCACGATTTGGGTTGTCACACGGATGGAATACGAGGTTACTAAGCCGTCCTCTCGTGTCATGGCTAGCCATATGTTAACAACCGCTATCATTGGCGGGTATCAGCGAATGGAAGCACGTACAGATATTGACTTCCCGAAAAGCACCCAGGAGCCGACGACATCAATTGTGATTATAGAGATTCTGCGGATCATGTCTCAACTTTGGTGGAGGCATCATAAAGCAACGATCGAGTAAATCCGAGATCAACGAGCGACTCAATCGGCCTGGAAGAGCATCGAGCAAAAACGGAAGGAAGCTAGCGACCTGACTAGGACAGAAATTCGTCGGCACCATGTCGCTGTCTAGCGCTGACTGCGCTATCAAGCCACGATGTGCCTCTCGAAATTTGATAGGAAAACCGGGGATTCTGGTTGAGCATCGCTAGTGCCGGAAGGATTCGACTACTTTAATTGTCGTGATGTTGCTGACTAGTGGACTCCAATAGTCTCCCCTGTTTTGCTCAACACAGCAAGGCACATGACGCCTTAGTAAGCCGCCACAGAGCGGTGGATCGAGGATGCGACTCTTCCGCTTTGCCGGATACCGTAGTCTTGAACAGTGCTTTGGCTGATTCGCAACATGGCCTCGTACCACTAATAATTAAGTTGCGACTTGAAATCCGCCCAGTCGACAATCGTCAAGACATGCGAGATCTTGCCATGCTCGAGCCAGTAAAAGGCATGCTCAGCGAAATGCACCCGGCGCCCATTGGGCGTAGCGCCACCAAATGGCTTGATGGGCAGCCCAGAAAATTCGATACGGACAGCAATCTGCTGCTTCGCCTCGTCGATCAGAACGGTCCGTGGCACAAACTGCAGGCCGGCAATAGCGTCAAACGCATTCTCCATCAGCTGGCCGTAGTGGTTCAGAGCCATTTCCGCTCCATTCCATATCACCGTCTCCTTGCAGTACTGGTGTAAGTCTTGTTGCATGGTTTTCCCGTTGATACACGCGATATAATCGTCATAAAACTGCCGTAGGTTGATGGAAGACGGAGGCGGTGGGGGCCTGAACTTGGGAACTGGCACAATGTTGGGCGACTGGCGACGCTTCTCGGCTCCATCGACAATGTCTTGAATCTCGCTGATTTTTTCGTCAACAAAGTAGACAAACATATGTCGCGTGTATTCGGCCTGCTTTCTTTGTGAGGAAGCCATAAAGGGTGCCTGTACGAGAAGTTCCTTGACCTTCAACCTCGCTGCGACAGGCTCCTCTTCTTCTGGCGTGCCAGCAATCAGGGTGACAATTTCCATTTGGGTACATGATCTGCGTGAAAATTCCTCTTTGAAGGACTCCACGAACTGGTATAGTGAGATATCCTCTTTGTTATAGGTGATGGTCCCGTGGACTTCATTGCTCAGGAAGCTCCATTGACGTCGGTTGATGCGGTCTATGAATGATCTGAAGCGGCTTTTGTTGTTGACTTCGGTTGGAAGCGTGACGGTACGCTCCGAGTCAAAAGACGAACCTGCCAGCGGGAGGGAATCGGAAAACGAAGGAGTTGCCACTGCGACAGAATCGGAAAACGAAGGAGTTTTGAACTCGGACTGGCCCAGCTGTTCTAACATTCTCGCGCGTCTAGCGGCATGCTCATTCAGTTCGGATATGCCAAGAAAAGAATTGTGGAGGACCGGATCACGAAGTTCAGCGTCTTGACGGAAGGTTAGGGTGGTTGAGGGATGGTGGGAAGGCATTGGAAGAATGTTGTGCGGCTCGGGGTCATCGTCGCGTGCTGGTAATAGTGCGTCGTCTTCCTGGCTGGTTGAAAGGGAGGAGCGGGAGATGAAGGACAAGAGAGCTGCTTGTCCTGACGCTGGTTCGTCCAACGAGGGATCCTCTGGGGCGTGTGAGTACGACATAGTAGCCGGGGTACGTGGAGTGAAGACAAAAAAAATCCCTCCGAAAGAAAGACTCAAATAGAAAACTGAAGAGAGTAAACTCCGTCAAAACTTGGACGGAGCGTGTTGCACGGGGATGGAAGTGGTCGAGAGTCAAGGGCCCGGACGGGGGACAAGGATGGGAGCTCGCGCGAGAGACATGACAGTGGACCCCGCCCATGTCGCGCTTTCACGTGCTGATAAGCTAGGCGGGGCTGATGATAAGAAACAGCGCGGGGTTTCCGGGCCGCCAGTTAGGTTAAGTCAGCTATCCGTCCTGGCCCCACTTCACCCCAGTGCCCGCCCAAGTACGGATGTTACTTACTGACCCACGACCCGACCCGGGCTTTTCGGTCACTGCAATCCTTCCTCCAGCAACTTCACTCTTTCCGTCATCTTTCCACTTCCACTTTCACGGCCACTTCTCCCACCAACCTTCCATCTCGCTGGCCTCGCCCTTTCCAACTCATCTCTTCCCTGTCCATTGCCCATCCCAGGGATCCATGCGCCAAACTGATGGCCTTTCGCTGCATCGACGCCCTCGAAAGCTTGACCATGCCAGTTACACCGTCCCGCTGCTGAAGTTCTGCCATGGACTCGCCGGAACAATGATATCGGAACACCAACACGATGACCGCACTTATCTCGCAACGTCGACTGCCGTGGCAAAACGTCAAAATCTGGTCTCACCCAAGACGGCATTGTTATGGACACACGCCGCTAGTGCCACGGTATCACCAAGTCACGGCAGCGTTCCAGTGCTACGGTGACATGCTTCTGTCATTATGCGAGTAGTACAGAGTGCATCTACTCTTTGTGCTCCCGGACGAACGAGTAGCATCCAGACTACAGCGCAAAAGAAACGGAAAAGAAAGCAGAGAATGGAGTGAAGACATCACGCCGCAATGACAGCAGCAGGCACGAGATTTGACAGGACACTGTTTGAATGACTCGAATCAAGAATAAGAAAAGAAAAAACAAAAAGGAGGGAAAAGAAAAGCATCTCGCCAGACTTTTGCCTATCCATCCGTTAGATGTTATCCGACCAACTGACAACCCATTCTCCAAAACACCAAACGCCATTCACCCACCCCAATGCATAATCATAGAGGTTTATCTGACAGAAAAAAAGTAAAAAGGACAAAGGTTGGAACTGGGTATAGTGTATGTGTCATCACCATCGTGTACTGACCCTCCATCTCCTCCCTTTTTCTTTCTCGTGCTCGTTTACCCTTACACTCCGCCAACCTCCTCCTTCTCAACACGCACACGCATCATCTCAAGCCATGTCGGTGTCCTTCCAACTAACTACCTCTCGAGTAACCTCCGAGGACTCGACCTTGTGCTTCAGGTCAAAGTCACTATCGAGGCCCCTCCTCAGTTTCACCTGTCTCTCCAGCAGTGTGACGAGCAAGCCGGTTCCTGCGAGACCCAGAAAAATGATCCACGGCGCCCTTAACCCCAGTGCAAAGAGTGACACAATCTGGGCCTTGACCTCCTCTCCAAAGCTGCCGACGAACTGGGCCGACGCGTGCTCGTAAGCTCTTCCCTGGGTCAGCGCCTCCTGTGCCTCCCTGTTGGTAATGGTGTGCAGGAGAGTTGCCACCTGAGCATTGAAAGCGGCATTGGGGACGGCAACGCCAAGGAGCGACCCGAGTCCACGCAGGAATGCCCATGACCCGGTTGCCGCCGCGTTATCCTTGTCTGTAAGCTCTACCAGCACGCTGGGAAGCGTCGTCGACACAATGATTCCGGATCCAATGCCGACAAGGAAGGAGAACACGATCCACTCCACCACTTTCGACTTCTCGGCGTAGGCGACGCAGCATGCGAATCCGACCAGCATGAGAGTAAACCCAGCTTGGTGCATAAGTCGATATCTGCCAAATTTTGCCAGTAACGGGCCACCGACGGCGGACAGCACCACGATTGTCAAAGTGCAGGGTAGAATGAGAACACCCGACTTGGTAGGGGAGGCGTTCAGCACGGCTTGGAAGAATGGGGGCAAATAGAACTGGTAACCGTATGTCAGGAATCCGTGGATGATGGTGACGATGAAGCCGGCAACGGTTGTCCGGTTGGAAAAGACGTGTGGAGGCATGATGGGGTGTTCACACCATCGGCAACGTTCCCAAAATGCAAAGCAGAGGACCCCTGTGAGACCAGCGGCGCCAGTGCCGAGTACCATTGGGGATGTCCAGGCGTAGGCCGCGCCGCCGAGTGTGAGCGAGAAGAGAAGGAACACAACGGAAGACGTCAACAACCCAATCCCAAGAAAGTCCACGCGCCCGAGTTGCTTAAATATTGTCAGCTTGTCGCTGTCTGTCGAGCGGCCGCTGCTGACCTGAAGCCACATCCACATCATGACTAGGGATATTGCGCACACCGGGATATTGACGCCGAAGCACCATCTCCAGCCTACCTCAGCAAAGATGCCACCGAGCACAGGGCCTACGGTTGTCCCCAGAGCATACACGGCAGCCTTGATTGCGACATAGTGACCTCTGCGCTTAAGTGGAATGATGTCGCAAAGGATAAGCTCTGCAAACAAGTCAATGCCACCCGATCCAAGGCCCTGAAAGATACGGCCAAAGATCAGCACGGCCCCTGAGTTGGCAAATCCCGAGACGGCGCTGCCGGCACAAAAGATAACCACCGCCACCATCATCAGATGTCGGCGGCCCCAGATGTCGGCTAGTTGGCCGTACAAGGGTTGGCAGATGATGGATGCCAGCAGGAACGCCGTGGCAACCCAAGATGAGTTTGGCCCAAGGCCTAGGTCCCGTGAGATTGTCGGTAGGGCGGTGCTCACCACGCTTCCCTCAAAGGCTGAGAGTAGGATGGGAACACAGAGCCCAATGAAGCACCGCCAAAACCCGACTCCTCGAACCCATTCGTTGGCATTGACCTCGGCAACTTCCGTCTTTTCGGACAGCGACACAGTCGATGGTGTGCTGTTCTCACCGAAGCTGGTACATGATGAGGACTTGAAGTCGGGGTCCTTTTCGTCGCGGCAGTATGCTGGGCTCGGCGGATTCATCATGGCATTGGCCTTCAAAGCGGCTCGGACATTTTCTGGAAACTCCGTCGAGGTCGCGTCTGGCGTTCGCATTGTATTCGAATGATCCGAACGTGTGATGGTATAGCTGTTGAAGAAGGGATAGGAATCTTGTTCCTGGATAGACAAAAGATATGATGGTTGAGGACAAAAGGATTGAGGTAAGTCGCCAGGGATTTTGAGCCATCACCGTTGCATTTAATACACCCTCTCGACACAAATTTGCTTTGAGTCAATGTTCAACATCGAGAGGCATTTGTCCCGCGATCTGTGAAGCGTTGTCTTGACGATCCAATGACACCGTCACAAACTCACTGGCATTTTCTTCCCCACCACACCGAGGCCAAGGGCTATCTTCCATCACATCACTCATGGCAGGGACGAGTGCACATCCACGAGGCGAGTTGCCAGTACAGTGGTATGTACTTTAGGTGTGATGAGAACTTTCTCTTTGGTTGGGTCGGTTTCTTGGCCCCTATCACGGTTGGAATGCTACCTATTTCACAATGGCCATCCACGATCGATCTCATCTCCTCCTTCACCTCTCATCCCCATCCCGCGGCCAGACCAAAGCAGTCTCCCCGTGCAACTGCAGGACTGTCGGTATGGCTGTTGTTGACGGTTGACGGTCACCTTGGGAACGTTGTGCTGCCTAATACAAAGATTACTGCTCCTTTTCTATCTTCTGTCAGATTCAAGGACTTTCTGCCACGTCCGTGGACCGGTAATACAACAAGTCGAGGCAACCAAGATTTTACATCTGTCATGGACTGTAGCCCAATGGCTTGCCTTGGCCACACGGGTCTCTCAGAGTGGCCAACTGTTTACCTAAAAGTTACTGACTGCTCTGGGAATGAGCATTGTGCCGTCATCAAGCGGCGGCCACGACAGTGTACTCAGTGGCTGTCTACTTGTCACGAATGACAATCTATACCAAAAAATGATAGCTTGGAGAGGCTGTTGTACCCAGGATCGCGCGAGTGGATTCGGAAGTACCCCGTTCACCATTCGATACGCCGACCTTTACATCATCTGGGCTCTCCTCAGCTACTCGAGTCCAAACAGGCAGGAGCTCGCGGCTAAGTACCTTGGGGCCTGTTAAAATTACGTTTGTCCCTGTGCTCTACCTTGCTCTTCCTGGGATGTAAGTCATCAACTCTGGCACGAGGCTCGGACAGCCTCGAGCTGAGTATGACACCAGGCATTATCTACGAATCAGAATGAGCTGGTCCCTTGCAGCACCTGCCAGCTTGATATGTCAATGATTTTTTTCATTGGGTACAATTACTTCGACTCATCCCTTAGCCAGAAGCATCTAGATTCTTTACACATCCGAGCACATTGCCAGTCTCAGAAAAGAAAAAAAGGTTCCCTACCTTGTGCTCTTGGTATAGTAGGAGCTTTCCACGTTTGCGTAAGGTCGGAGAATTCTCAGCAGGGCAAAATTCTGATTCAGTAGAACGTCGTATTCTATGAGTCTTCTATTACACCAGATTTGGAACAGGTTCGGGGGCACGAACCCAACATGCGAGTGCTCTTTTTCTGCCGATTTCGGAAGCCGAGAACCTCTGACCTCGAAATCGGGTCACAAGGAACTGTCTTGCCTGTCGGTTTTCCCATCCCCACGGTTCAGGATCTGGCCCACTACACGTCAGGCGAGTAGGACACAGAAGCTCCCGAAGGGGTTTCGGCAGTCCACATCAGGAGAAGAACATAGTCCGTGGTGGATGTTGTCATACCTCACAAATCATCTGAAACATCTGTTTTGCAGCTTCTGCATGTCTCAGAGGTCGTGATGTCGAGGACTGAGGAGGCATTTTTTTTCCTCCGGGGCTATCCGTCACTTTGGTTTGACGGTTGATTATAAGGTACGTTTGGATGTGGTAATAGCGCGCCGTCCACTCTTTTCACTTCATCCGTAACACAGCACATACAGCACATGACGCAGCACACTTTTTCCTTTGTTCTAATTCACCTACAACATGACCATAACACTGACATCAGAGATTCGGCACACGACTCCCTAGGCTCGAGGCTGACTACAGGTCGCAGAGTCCAGTCCGACCTACAAGGTCGTAATTTGTGCGATAACATCACTCACATCGTTGTTATGCAGCTCATGGAGTTGCCGCAGGACTGTCAAGCCAATAATCTGTCATACAGGCACCAGACATGGACGCCGTTGGGGAGGCGCAGCGGTTGTTATCATGACACTGCATGTTATCTGGCTCTTTCGCGATCCCAATCGGGTAATGCGGATGCAAATTGACTTGGGATGAGATTTGAGTGTAAGACTGCGGAAAACCGGTGAAAGAAGAGACCACGACCAACTGACCATATCCAAGAGGAAAGATTACCTACCTAATCTTCACAAATATGCGAAGACCTGGATGATGATCTCCCGATGAAGATCTCCCGTTAACATGACTTACAAGCCAGTCAGTGATCACATTCCTGCGCAGGCTTGGCACTCAGTCCCTAAATATGTTTTCTCCCGCAGCTGATTTCCGTTACAAATACGCATTCCCTCTTGAAGTTGGCGCTTCTCAGCATCAGTAGGGCTGTCCTTGCTCTTGAAGCGCTCTCGCCGACTTTGCTTTTTGGTTGCTCGTTGGAGACGAGTGAAGAAATCTTTGTCGACCAAAGGCACAGTTCGGCCCGAAACAATACGGCAGAGAACCTCAAAGTCCAATAGCTCTATTTCGCCAAGGCTGGGGAATGTTATGATCAACCCCGGGCTCGGACCCTGACATCTCAGCTACCAACCGCTGATGCGCCACCATCTGACGTCAACATCAGCCTTTTCTCCCTTTAACTTTATCATTCTTGATACCTAACATGACCCAAGGGACTGATTGGTGTTATAATACGCGGATTGCTCACGCCGGTGAGCCTCTTAACTGTCCCCAACAGCCCTATACCTTGCCGTCATGCGGGTGTCCGTTGAGATCATGAACATGCCCTGATCTGAATCATGAAAAGGCCCTCCGATAATCCTGATTTCCCGTAAGCTTCGATCCCAATGAAATCCAGCCAAGGAACACCCAAGCCTCTTAGCATACCGCACATGAAGAGCACCGACTCGCCTATGTGGCCGCAGCCATGATCACGGCATGAACTATCCGAGCTTTCCCCTCCTCAACCTCCAACCATCCATTTTGTCGGTCTCATACGGCTCCGTCTTTTAGTCGGTGCTGGTGGTCGGTGGTTGGAGGTCGGTTGGTCTTGGCTTTTGTCAATGGGGTGGTAAGCATAAGCCAACATTCCGTCCGTATGGGGTTATGATCTAGTCTGCCTCCGCCCCTGGGCCCCGGCCAGCCGCAGCCGCACATGTTCAATTCTCCCAAGATGGACGGCGGATGCTGACCTGATATCGACACTCCGTACCCATATTCATGACACCAAATCCAGGTTTGCCCCGAGAGCCAAGCGACGGGTATATGGGAGGAGGGAACCTTTAGCAAGCCGGCCGTACGGGCCATCGGGACGTGTTGACATGTTCATGATGCGCAGATTATCTTTTCGTTACATGTACACTTACCTAACCTATTCACGTCTAAATGGTAACGAGAAAAATCATTCTCCGGGCAAGACGCCAATTCGCCAATTTGTCAGATGGGCACCTTGCCAATGCCAAATGGTAGTATTGCTATTGTCATTGTCATGTAACGGAAAGTAGCATGTTAACGCCAAGTTCTTGCCCATTTTCGCGTGGACGTGGTACAACGTGAGGATGCAAGCATCCGGTAACATTGGCATTGACAATTGGACTCTGGATTCTGGAGAGAGTTTGCACCGTGCCTTGATCAGGCGACCTCATTTGAGGAAGCTCAAAACTGACTTCAGTCCGTCATGCGAGGATGTTGGAGAGGTAGGTATTTATCCACATCGGGTGAACCTGTAGTTGGTTGAAGAATTGCTCAAGGGGCTCACATATGCCTACTACAAAGGCAAACCCTACATGCACGAAAAATGATCAAGCGGCCAAGTCCTCAGGAAGGAGATGTGCTTCAGCCCATCATCTGATTATTTTTTTCCTTGATGGCCTCTCTAATGTCAGGTATTGCCTAAGCGAGTACGGGAATCTTCATCGACAAGTCGCTACGGGCTTGTTTAAACAAGTCTCCCATCATTTAATGTTACTTGTGCACATCGTCGTTTGCATGCCGTCCGGTGAGTCGGCCACTTAATGGTACTGTACGTAGAGGTAGGTAGGTAGGTAGTCGCTTCGCGGTTCCCCTCGGAGTTCAAACAACTGAAAGAAGTGGAGGAATGGGGGCTCGGATGACAACCAGCCGCTCGCCGAGTGTTCAGGAAGCAATCTCTCACCTACCCATAACCTCAATTTTATCAAACTTTTTCAGTCCCGGACTCGATTTCCCGATTTCTATGCGGGGCCAAACGTTGCCACTTTTTGCAAGCGAATGCTCGTCGGGATGGTATTCGTCCCTCTTTTCCTTCAAGTTTCCCCCCTGAATCGTTTAGCCCACGATCGCCAAGCATCTCATGATCGACTTTTTAGTTATTAGTGCACAGGGGTAAGTAAATGTTAGCGGGGAGAGCAGCGCTATAGCACGACGTTGTCACGCTACACTACCACTTACACAACAAGCAAAACATCTTGACCGTAAGTAGGTACCTAATTTCAAAGTCGTCTGGCTAGACCTATCCTATTCTAGATGCCCGCTCCACATTTATTCCCGCTCCAGCTCCTCGGTCGAATTCCTTTTTGTCTGAAATGGCGTCAACTTGCATTTCATCCCCATTGCCCCCGAAAAGGTACCTCTACCTAGGCGAGAATGTGTTAGTTGAAACTCACTCAAACTACCTACTAGATATAAGATTGAATTTTCGGTAAACCAAGCCTACTAAGGAACTGCACGAATAAGGGGTAGGGCTAGCTAGGTCCCCGGCCGTCACCGGACCTGGCTCCCGGCGTCAATGTCACGAACAAAAGTTATGCGCGCCCGCGCGTAGGCCAAGCATAGATTCAGTCAGGTTGTCTGTGACTGTGATGAGAATGTATGTATTTCCCGAATCCATGTGCCTTATAAGAAAAGTGGAGAGATGCTTGCCAAGGCCGTAGGAAGAGGTCAGGTAAACCCGGATTTGTTTGGCGTCAGCCCAAATGAGTCGGCGTAGATCTACCACGCGCCAACCGATTGGTCTAGTCCGATCTTGGATTTAGACTACATTCCATCTCAAACAGGGTACTTTCCCCTCCTCCTCCACACCCAAAGGGGGTAGCGTAGTACAATACGGTGAGAAGAAGCTACAAACGGCTTCATCTTCTACCCGGCCCCCCGTCGTGATCCGGAGAATCAGCTAACCTAGGTACCTAATCTTAGCCGAGACCCGAGTTGTTCGTACACTGAGTTCCTTACCTGCTGACTCGTTGGAGGCTCAATGGCTTGCGTTGGTGTATGTGGGGAGATGAAAGTGAGGCACCTTGGGGGCTGTGGAATGAGGGGAGGGGAGGGAGGGCTTGAGATGACTTGTGCAGAGGCAGGTTATGACCCGTTCGGGCAGTGGCATCGGCCAAGGCCAATGGCGAGACCGTCAGGATAAAGAGGGTCTATATAAGACCCTTACCATGTCTGCTTCGATGTTGTCATTTCCTGTCACAATCCAAACGTCGCCCTCATCGGACCGATCAGCTAGCTACCAGACTCCAGAGACCGCCCAGTTTCAGACATTTTTGTCTCACTTTCCAATCTTCCGAGTTTACGGCAGCTTCCTATACATTCATATTACCTCAGCTTGTCCCACAAAGCCCACCACCGGTCCGGGCCAAAACATACCAACTTCCATCAAACACTTCCTGCGATACATCTTGTCAGTGTCACACAAGTCACAAGCAATGATTGTCACCCAAGTCCTCCTCCTGGTCGGCATGGCCTTCAGCGCCACAACCGTCACCGCCGACCCCGTCATCAAAACCTGCCAAAATGTCAAGTGTGCCGTCCGATGCCAGATGGTCAATGGCAACCCTACCTGCGTGGATGGTGGCCCTCCCAAAGCTGTCGCAGCCGCCTCTGAGGAACTCGTCAACGGCAACAACACCTCCGTCGTCACAGGCGAGAAGTGCGGTATCACAACCTGCCCCACCGGACAAACCTGCTGCAACGCCTCCTGCGGCCTCTGCGTCTCTCCAGGCATGGCATGCACTCAACAAATCTGCGAGCCGGCCGGCGTGCAATGTGGCCCCAACGTTTGCTCCGGAGATACACCTGTCTGCTGCAATAAGAGCTGTGGAATCTGCACCGCTCCGCGTGGATTCTGTACGCAGCAGTTTTGCGAGCGCGGGTTTACCCCCAGCGAGAGCAAGAGGAACGAGGAGGCCGATAAGATCAAGTTGGGAAACCAAAAGTGCGGGAAGGCGACTTGCCCCGAGGGGACGAGCTGCTGTAACTCTAGCTGTGGTATTTGTGTAAAGCCGGGAGGTGCGTGCACGCAGCAGTTTTGCGAACACGGTTTCATCTCCGGCGAGAGCAAGAGAAATGAGGAGGCTGATGAGATCAAGTTGGGAAACCAAAAGTGCGGAAAGGCGACTTGCCCTGAGGGGACGAGCTGCTGTAACTCTAGCTGTGGCATCTGTGTGAAGCCGGGAGGTGTGTGCACTCAGCAGTTTTGCGAACACGGGTTCATCTCCGGCGAGAGCAAGAGAAATGAGGAGGCTGAGGAGATCAAGTTGGGAAACCAAAAGTGCGGAAAGGCGACTTGCCCTGAGGGGACGAGCTGCTGTAACTCTAGCTGTGGCATCTGTGTGAAGCCGGGAGGTGGATGCACCAAGCAGTTTTGCCCTAGTGCGGATGCTCAGACTGTTGAGGATGCTTGAAGGGGTTGAAGGGCGTGGTGGCGGTTTGATGACATAGGATGATAGGGAGTAGTGGAGGTGACTGGCTGGGCTTGTGAGGCTGCTGGCTACCGAGCAAGAGGGTTATGGTGGGTATTGATATTACCTGGGGGACGGGTACCTCGCGTTGGAATGGGTGAAGATGTCCGGTAGGAATGGCGGATGACCGGCATCCAAAGGTTGGAAAAGATGGTGGAGGGTGGAGAGGGTTTGATGATTTCATTCCATTGGATTGGGTTATGTCTGATGTGTTCTTGTTGGGGGCACCATGGGAGTATAAGGGATGATCAGGATGGGTATGGGACAAGGAATCACGCACTCGATTTTTGGGAGGTTTCATTATATAATTTTCGATTGCTTCATCCTCTGTGTAGTTGGAGGTGAAGCTCTTTGTTGGTATTGCGTTTCAGTTGGAAGACATTCGACCTTCTTATTGGTGTGTTCTTTCCTTCAATGTTCATGTTTCTGTTCTGATTGAGTGTTCGTCATCTCGTCCTATCGTGAAGTTGCTTTGTCGATTGATGTCTCTGAACCCATTGGGATTTACCAAGAATGGTATCAGACCGGCAGTAATGATCTGATAATGCCTGTCTACCTGCCCAAAGTTTCTGTCAGCTGTCAACACTTGATGGTATGAGCTGGAAACTGGAGTTTGGGTATCCGTAAAAAACGAACCGTACCACTAGCGCGGGTGGGCCGTCAAGTACTCCGAGTAAACCGATGTATTCGGCTCTTTCTGTTCTCTGGATCCTGCGACGGCTGTCGACAAGTCAGGTGGCTAGTGTAATCACCCGATGGCCTACATGGCTTTTTCTTGTGGTCTAGTGTCTGCCTCCTTCGCCGCCAAAGCGACCGAAAGGGGGCGGGGTTGAGTGCGGGAATGCGATCGTGATGGCCCAAACTTTCTTATATCGAGGCTAAATTAAAATGACAAAGGCAAAGCAGTGGTAGGATTGTTGGATAGATTGAGTGCTTACACGAAGAAGATTGCAGAGGAGAGGGATTCAGGTCAACACCCCGGAGTACTGTACATACCTAGAAACAGCAAAACGACATTGGTGGTCCACGGCTTCCATACAACGTCGAGGTCAAGATTGCCGGTGAAGGATCATCGGTTTGGTTGGGAAGGAGCAGGCGAAGACTGCAGACTGTCCAGGCATCGATGCATTGTACACCTGGCAAAGTGGCCAGCACCTGCCCCAGAGCACCCGGCAGCAGTGCGGGCCTGGGCAGAGCAGGTTCGACCTTGGTCATAGGCCGCTGTTTTCTTTATCTTTTTCTTTTTTCTTTTATCTTGCTCCCTTCCCTTTGGCCTCTTGGTTCCCTTCATCATTCCGAGAAAACTAAAGAATCTTGTTTAGTATCTTGTCTAACGAACAAATCCCCCTTAGAGGAATTCGAAATCATTTTTCGTCATTAAGAGTGTGGAGTGTCCATGGAAAGATATGCGATCTCTGTCGAGACGGTCTCTTCGTCTGCACCCATCACGGCAGCCGTACAACCACAATTATTGGTCGCCATAATAGCCACACCGTTACCTCCGTGTTGCTGGACTGACTTGGTTTCCGGGTCTTGATGCGAATCACAACCTGGTTCTTTTTTTTTTTTTTTTTTTTTTTTTTTTTTTTTTTTTTTTCGTTGAGCCCCGGTTGACGGGAGTGTACTGACCGGTCCGCTGGTAGGCTATCGCCAGGCTGACACTGGCGCCTCGATACTGTCTCCGTGTCCAACATGGGAACCACTCCCCACGCAGTCGTCTCTTCCGGACCCGCTGCTTCCGTCTGAGTACACCACTAAGGATGGCGTTAAGGATATCCTGGTCGAGAAGGGTTCGAACCGCGTCCAAGCACCCGAGTAATGATACAAGTGCCACCAGCCCGAGATCATTCAACTGCTACAGGAGTACCACTGCAGTTATTACCCGGACCACTCCCAAGAAAAGGTGGACGCCACTCGTAGCGGCAACACGGTGAATATTGCGGTCATGGCAGGCGGGAAGGCGGACAAGTTCAAGGTCACCACCTCACTGCCATCAGGGGCATCAACGTTGGCGGCATGCAGAACCAGCCATATTTGAGCGCGGGAACTGCCACTGGACGGTTCCGTTATACGTCGATGGCGCCAAACAGCAAGTCGAAGACCGGGGCGTTTTGGGACACCTAGAAGAGAAGAGATAGCGGTAGGTTAGATTCCAAGCAGAGACGGGAGCATGCTTGCCAGGCTGGCGATGCTAGCAGGCACCTTGACAGCCTGGGCCTGGGGTTTTCACCGGACACTCGATGCGCTGAACATGATCGACGCGAGCCGGGTCGGCGTGACGGGGTGTTCCCGCTTAGAAAAGGGTGCTCTTGAAGCCGGGCTCTTTGACAGTCACCCACTTCGACTACCCTTCCCAAGGCGCAGTGAGAAATATCCTGGGATCTTCAAAGGGATGTCGTGGCGTATCGCATCAGATGAAAGGGATCGAAAATCAAATTAGGGATGTTTTCCAGAGACACCATAAAACGGGATGTTATAGCGAGTGTTTCAGCTCGAATCCATGTCATAGCGAGTTTCTGGGCCAAGTCCTATGGGAGATGGCACGTGCTAACTTCTTTTCGATAGTATGAAGACGGAAGATGACCAAGTTGGAAGCTTGGCTCGTTGAAATCGAAGTTGAATGTTCGAGGTTGGCATTAGCAGAGACGGGACCTTCTCTGATTGGCTCAACTTTTGATATCCGGCAGGCATTACCTGAATCCCTGTTCGTCAATCGGCAGCCTCCAAGCGGCGACTCCACCGTTACGGCAGCTTCAAGGGGCACCCGGGGAGCATCCACAGGGGCCGTACATAGTAGCACTCGTCCCCTGCTGCGCCCCAAGCTTCTAGAAGTTGTTGTTGCCAAGTGGAATTCCCAAACATCGTCGCCTTCCGTTTTGTGTTCCTCTTCAGTTTCATTATTCCCACTGCCCGGGCTTAGTAGCTTTCCAGTTCAGTTCAGTTCAATTTGTCTCAAGGCTGGAGCTGCCGGATTGCACTAGCCGCCGTTCTAGTCCTTCCCGTTTCCATCTTCCATTCTATACTACTTGTCTTCTTTTCCGGGATCATCGACGTCACTGTCTCGTTCCCGCACGATCCGATCTGGCCTGTCGTGCCCTGGAGGATGCTGATTCGAATCTGGAGTTGATACTGCTGCTGGAGACCAGGACACATTCGCGATGGACACGCTTCAATACGGGGCGCGAGGTTGGTCTTCTACCTTGTCTGAGCATCCATCATACGTGTGATCAGCCAATTGACCTCTTGCTAACATTCAGCTTCTTCTCTCAGACCTCCCATGGTCCTCGATTCCGACTGACCTCCTCCGCGCCGAGCTCTCGAAACGCGTCGATGCTACGGACAAATCCCGCCCGCGATGCGGTTCCGGCGAGAAGGGTGAATACAACACAGGGCTACATGTCTTTGCACTTGTCTTGATCCTCCTGTTGAGCACCCTGTGTATGTTGGACCGTCCTGTTCCCTTGTGGTTTCTATGGTGCATTGGTACTGACTATTGGACGACACGACAGCCTGCGCATTTCCTCTCTTCTCGCGCCGAGCCATGAAAGGCAGCAAACTGCAACGAAAGATCATATTCTTCAGCCAGTACTTCGGCACCGGCGTGCTGATGGCGACCGCTTTCGTCCACCTGCTTCCGACAGCCTTCTTGTCTTTGACGGACCCTTGCCTACCATACGTCTTCAGCGAAGGATACAAACCGCTTGCCGGCTTGGTTTCCATGACGGCTGCCTTGGTCGTCGTTGCCCTCGAATCATACCTCACAACACGCGGAGCGAACCATTCGCATTCGCATACCATCTTCGAAGACGAGGAGGAAAACGGCCATATGCACAATCATACCCACCATGACTTCAAGGATACCCCGGAACGTATCCCGCTTCAGGATCGTGAGGTTGCTCAAGGCCTCACGGGCCGACAGTCTCCCATTGCCAGCACCAGCGCCCACCATTCTCCTTCCGACCAACCCCGAGCTTTTCGAGACAACGACAGCGCTAATTCCCTTGATCTCGACTTGACCTTTGACGAGCTCCAGCCTATCCCAAACACCGATCATGACCAGCTTCTTGAGCCCAGAAACACCAGCCCCTATAGGACGGGACTTAAGCCTGCGGTAGCTCCCGATTCGCCAAACCCCGAAGAACAAAAGCGCATGTTGTTGCAGTGTTTGCTACTCGAAGCCGGTATCTTGTTCCACAGCGTCTTCATAGGAATGGCTTTGTCGGTCGCAACTGGGCCTCCGTTTATCGTGTTCCTGGTCGCCATCGGCTTCCATCAAACGTTCGAAGGCCTTGCCCTGGGTACACGCATCGCCGCCATCCACTTCCCTCGTTCTTCCCCACGGCCATGGCTCATGGTATTGGCGTTTGGCACCACCACCCCCATTGGACAAGCTATAGGTTTGCTTATCCACACTTTTTACGACCCTCTGAGCCAAACTGGCCTCCTCATGGTCGGCTTCATGAATGCCATCTCCAGCGGTCTTTTGTTGTTTGCTGGCTTGGTGCAGTTGCTCGCCGAGGATTTCCTTTCAGAGAAGAGTTACGTAACGCTTCATGGCCGGAAAAGACTACATGCCTATCTTGCTGTAGTAGCAGGGGCTGGGCTCATGTCTGCTGTCGGCGCCTTTGCTTGAAGCACAAATCTTCCGTTGATTTCTTGTTGATATATGGGTATATTTCACATCTACTTGTGGTTGCATCATAAGCGACGTTTTCTTTCTGTATAGAGCAGTTCTGCCATCAGCGGTACCCCGGCAAACTTGAACTTTACTTGCCATTTTGCAATGCCTTTTTGCCTTCCGTCTTTGAGAGCACGCATGGACGCACTCCTCCTTTGCGAGGGCCAACGGCATGATGACAGTATCATCACGATCCGCAAGAAATACCCGGACAAAGATGGAGTACAATGATGGTAGGGCACACAAACAAACACGCCACCCTATTTTTACGCCCCTTCTGGGAAGACCCAGTTCTCCCGGATCGTATTCTAGTACCAACATGCATCAGACCGGACAAACCGCATCAACTACCGCAAGTCTCATCGGTCAACCACAGGCTCATGTGCTGTTTATATGAAGAGCACACACCATCGCCACAGCCGATAAAATTGAGGTTCGATCGATAAATCCCGCAGCGATGACAAGGAATGCCGTTGAACTCGCACGGTCAGCACTTTACAGCACGTTTAGCCTTCTTCCTAATCTAGCCGCTTAATCTTACCTTCGGTATCCGGCCATCTGAATGTTGCATCGCAGTTGGCCTATGAGACGGTGTTTCCTCGATTTTTTGACGGAATGTTGTAGGTTACATGCCAGATCACGAATACACTGCCGCTTTGAATGTGTTGGTCATTGCCGGTGCTCACCAACAAGGCTAGGTTTAGGCAATGTCAAACTTCCAACAGGTCCATATCGGCACGGAATCATGCTGTCCCCGCTTGTTTGAGATGGGAACCACGTGGGTAAACGTGAATAAGCTACGGTGAGAAGCGAGTTGTACAAGATTTTCTGCCGCATGCCGAGCAATCTAATGTACATCTCCGCTGAGGTTGATGTTCGACTCGTCCTAGCTAATAGTGTTTGCCCCATGGCCATGGTTCCGAATCCCATTCTGAGCTTGAGATTGCATGTATACAAGGGGTTGGGGTTTAAGCTGTCCAAGTGAAGCAAACTATAGGACCAAGATGAGGGGTGAGTTACCCAGTATGGGGCTGCTGAGGCTTTGGGGATATAACACGGCCCCCGTACTTATGTTCATGATCACTCTCTTCTTGCTATCCGCCTTTCACATCATCCCCTTCGAACTCATCCACGATCCTACGATATGCGTCTCAAGGCAATTGGTATTGCGGTTGACCTTTGTGCCGTTGGCGCTCTAGCCAAGGAGAAGGCAGTCGATATGTCACGTCATGGTAAGATTTCCAGCTGGTTGACATTATTCATCATGACTGACATAATCTCCTTAGCGGAGTATAAATTGGGAACAGTAATGGATCGAATTATGGCTCACATGTTCGTACGTGAACACTGGCAATCTTTGCAATCCAAGGCCGTCGAGACTCAATGACAGATATCAGGAACAATGGAAAGCCAAACTTACTAGCGGGGCTCTCAATAGTACCCAATGGCCTCGTCTCAACTATACCAAATGTGTCAATGGCATTGCTGAAGCCATTCAGGGCGATGCTTTACATACTTTCAGGTGCAAGAACATGGACCTGTATGACTTCATCAACCATGCGACTCTCGGCCCGCCATTGGCGACCGAGGATGGAGCAACTGGAAGCTCCATTTGGGGCTGGACCGACCCCGGGTCCGGCAGAGAGTTCATCGGTAGGCTCATTTCCCCTTGGCTAGATGGTATGATGTTCATTAAGTCAGGAATGCATACTGACTTGAGCAGTTGTGGGGATGTATCCAGGAACCGGCCTCGCTGAAATATTACCCAAGGGGAGACTGCTCATTTTGTGTTTCCTGTAAGTGCCTTTCACAATCTCCATGTCGACGACATCATCTCTCTGACGGGGGTTCCATAGACCTGCCCCTGCGACACTTGGAGAGCACGCACTTTGGAAGGAGATCCGTGCGTACAAGAACTATATGATCATAGGTAGTGAACTGGAAGACCACGGAATCCAAATCTTTGATATGCGAAAGGTGAACTATCCTTCGAGGTATTCTTTTCTTCCGTATCTCGATTCATCGGCTCACATTACACAAGCTTCTTACAATCAACCCCAAGGAAGCGCCCGTCACTTTCTCTATCGACGACGTAACGGGCCACTTCAAGGACTTGCCTCTTGGTCGTACCCACAACGTCGTTGTTAATGAAGAACTCCAGTATGCCGTTTCCGTCGGCGCCGCTCCTCGCGAAGACGCTTGCGGTGCCGGTCTCATCTTCATCGACCTCAAGGACCCTTCCAAGCCCACGAGACTAGGTTGCAATGCTCAGGACGGTTATGTACACGATGTAAGTCGAGCCCCGAACCTCAACAACCCCTTTTCCCTCCCCGAAACTCCCAAAGGCCAAGGCTCCACCCCACTAACATGCTTCGTTCCCTCTCAATAGGCCCAATGCATCCAATACCGCGGTCCCGACAAGCGCTACTTTGGTCATGACATCTGCTACGGCTACAACGAAGACAGTCTCACCATCTACGACGTCACCAACAAAGCTAACTCCTCCATCATCTCCCGCACCTCGTACGACGGTGCAGCCTACACCCACCAAGGCTGGGTGCTCGACCCTTTGAACCAAGAATACCTCCTGCTGGACGACGAATACGACGAGAGAGACGCCGTCGGCCCAGCCAAGGACGGGTACCCCGTCACTTATATCTGGGACATTCGCGACTTGCAGAACCCGAAAAATACGGGTTTCTACAAGGCGACGAATCGCGGGATCGATCACAATCAGTATGTTATTGATGGACTTAGTTATCAGAGTAGTTATGGGGCGGGCGTGAGGGTGTATGACGTTTCGAGTATTCCGGCTGATCCGACCGGAAACAGTGTGTGTGAGGTGGCGTATTTTGACATTTATCCGGAGGATGATGCAGAGCCAGGTGGGGGAATAGTCGAATTTGCGGGCAGCTGGGCGAGTTATGGGTATCTCAAGAGTGGGTTTATTGCTGTTAACACGTTTGAGAGAGGGGTGTATTTGGTCAGGATCACAAAGAGGGAGAGGTGCCAGAGGATACGTGCTTAGCAGGATGAAATTAGTTTGGGGGACAGACTCGTTTGCTGCGTGTCAGTCAGGATCATGTACCCTAACCCCGATGACCAAAAAGGGGGGTCAGAGAAGTGGATGTTCCACCACCATCGAGTCAGGAACATGGGATCCAAGACGGTGGATCCCGTCCCAAGTGAAGTCTGGAACACCAGAAAAAGAGAGGGTCTTTGGATTCTCCCATCTGTAACATGTGATGATGCAATTCTTCTGGCCGGCAAAAGGGTAGCCGCCGAAAGATTTGGAGGCAAGTTTACGATCCGCAAGGCATCTTGCAAAACCAATGGGGAAAAAAGAGGACGGATACATGAGGAGATGTATCGCTCGACCATCCTGGGACTCGAACCCAGAACCTTTACCACCGGAAAGTAACGCGCTACCAATTGCGCCAAACGGCCTTTCTTGTCACGATGTCAGCAACATGATCAGTTGGAAGCGGTAGTCCATGTCCAGATGTTCCTTTGAATCTTTGTGGCAATCGTCAGCCACTAAAGGCTGTTTTGTTCCCAGACTGGACCAGGCGGGGCATTCCTCTTATACCTCAATTCTCCTTCCAGACAAGCATCGATGGAATCTGACGAGACAACCTTTCCCGTGCTTTGTCGTCCTCTCCTTTTAGGTCTGTTTCGACCGCAAAATGTTTGTCCCAATCGAACCAGTCCTGAACCCATGAGCGTCGTCATCAGTTGAACTACCGATAGATCGCCTATCAACACCGCGTCAATATCACCTCTGTCGTCACCAGTTGTCGTCATCATCAGTGTTTGGGCCAAACCTCCGAGTGTTGCATTGCCATCATCGAGTGCTACTGTACTTGCCTATATCCATCCAATAACCCACCCGGGGTAGGAACAAGCTTTTTCTGCCATCCAACCTATTTGATTTTCTCCATTGATACACGTCGACAAACCCCATCCATGCCCCGCCCCCCCAAAATCCCGAAAACCGAAGGAAAGAGATGCATTATTCATATAAAACAAAGATCAACCCGGGGAAGGCTGACAGCCTGAAAGGGCTTTTATCTAGGTTCCACGATGGAAACTGGTAACCATCTACATATGGTACAAGGATGGCCGGTCTTCCTCCAGTAACAACCAAGTCGGCAATCGTCCAAGTCCAAGCACCGAGGGTCTGACCAAGTTGAAAGTTGCTTTTTTTCCCTTCTCTTTCGGAAAACCATCTAGTTTGGTTCTGATATGGTCTTTAGTTTTACAAACCAAAGTCGGCGCAGTTGAGGCATTCTTGCACTACTACCATGCCCGGTAGATGATTACCTACTGGTTTCGTGTGGTGGTCAACGTCCGAGTCCATGCCAAGCCCCTGCATTGACTGGATCGCCCTGGGCGGCCAGGGCCTCACAGCGCCGCTGCGTGGTGTTTCAGGCGTTGGCTGACAGGGTTCCAGGGGCTGGCCTCCAGACGTCGACAGCCCATCATTCTCCACACACTCGACACATCACCAGGGGTCACCACTGGGCGAACAACACCACTTCTCCCACTTCTCACCAGAACACTGCACGAGATGTGAAACCCGAAGATTTTCGTCGTCGTGGTGTGGCTGATTCCGAATCCATGGGATGCGATGGATTGTGGACTACTGGATTCGGTTGCAGTCTGCATTCGATTTTGGAGTGTCCAATGCCCAAAAACAAAAAAAAAAACCGTGGGGTGTCCCGCCCCCTCCCCGTCCGGAGCCAAGAACAGCTCGGGATTCCCTACCTCTTTTCCTTGTTTTTATACTACTACCCGTGTATTCACTGTGAACAATAGAGCAAGGTTGATACCCAACTTTCTCCCTACATTCTTTCTCTTTTCTTTTTTCACAGCCTGGTGCTGGACAGTTTTACATTTGCTCCTCTTTTGTCACAGCAGGCCTGTCTTTCATATACACTCGACTTCTTGCTGGCTCAAGGAGCTACCTACGGTTCGGTGGTTGAAGATATCTAGTTGAAGCGGGGGCAGGATTTCTAGATATGGGAGGATATTCGAGACGTAGCATTGGACAATGGGTGGACGACGTTCTACTACACGCTCGCAGTCATGTCTTAGGCGATGAAGACGAAGTGTATAAACTGGGCGACGGAGTGACTCTGGAGGCTGGTGACAACGACAACCTATCGACAAGATCAGAAGAGGAAATTGAATTCGTCGATGGTCCAGTTGATGATACCAATTCAACAGAGTCGGCGTCAGTAGCAGGATCGACGCCTACGGAGCCCGAGACAACAGCAGAGCACCCAACCTTTACCCAACCTCTTCCGCCACCCGCTACTTTCACCATCCGCACCATCACCGCATCCGCACAACCGCAGCCGCTAACCACACTCACGCCAATCACACATTCAGCCAGACCTCTACCCGCGACGACAAGAGACAAGGATGACGATCCGGGGAAGACGAAGGACAGGGATAGGGATAGGGATGGGAAGCATGAGAAGACGGACTCAGCCTCCGTCACAGATGGATTCACGACCGTTACAACGTCTCTCAATAGCACTATAACACCAACACCCACCGCCGTCTTCGCCAGCGCTACGTCTAGCGTGTTGATTTCAGCCACGGCGAGCCCAGCTATTACTAACGGAGCTGCTCTACAAGAGGCACAACAGAAGGGGACCAGTAGCGGGCACATGTCTGGAGGTGCAAAGGCTGGCATCGCCATTGGAGTCGTTGGTAAGCTCGCTGATCCTGACTTGCTTTTGTGCCACCATCTACCTCTACGAATACTAATTCTCCCCATCAACAGCCGGCGTCGCCATGCTCGGAATCGTCCTCTTTTGGCTCATCAAATGCTTCTGTTCACGCAAATCCGAAGCAGATACCGAGTCTTCCATCCGCGCCTTTCTCTCGGGCGGAAAATCCGGTCCCGGCGACGGTGGCCTGCCACCCCCAGCCACTGCTGCAGGCGCAGGCGCAGGCCAGCTCTCGTCCAACTTTGACCCGCGCAGCAACTCCCAGATGCTCGACGAGCTGATCGCGGCTTCGTACGCCCACCAAAACGGCCAAGACAGCAGCATCCCCAACGGCTACGTCCTCCCCGACCCCACCGCCCTGGACGAGAAGCGAGCCGATGGCGCCTACCCCGTCACCATCATCCAGCCCGCGCCTACCCACCAGCCCGAAATCCGCAAGTCCGTCGCCAGCTGGCTGCGCAAACACCATCCCCTAAGGTTGAACCCGCTTTCCATCAGAGGCAGCACTTTCTCAGCCTTTAGCAGCCGGCGCGCCTCATCAGCCTACGGCAGCTCCCAACAAGGAGGAGGAGGAGGAGGAGGAGGAGGAGGAGGAGGAAGGGAAGCACGTGACTCCATGGTTTCTGATTATCCTTCTCCCACCTCTTACGACCCGGATGCTCCCCCGCTGCCGGAAATCCCCGCTACGTATTTCAACGAGATCCCGAAGCCACTGAGTCCGATGCCCAAGAAGCTGCCGACTGCGGCGGCAAATATGAAGGCCATGAAGTTCCAGAGCGTGTGGTCGGATAGTAGTGCGGGGACGGATATGGATCGGTCGAGGATGACGGTTTCGACGGAGGGGAATGAGTCATTGTTTAACTTGTATGAGGGCGGTGATGGCCAGGCAAGGGTCCCGTCGCAGGTTGTAACTTCGTTGTCGCCGCCGCCGCCTTTGATGAATAAGGATCAAGACCAGGGAAAGGATCAGGGTCAGGGCCAGAGGGCGAGTTCGCCTACTTTGAGGCCGTAGATGGCGGTGGTCAGACGGAAGGGATGTGGCCGAGTGTGAGATTATGTCGGGACAGGCCTGCTGTTTGTGTGCGATAAGTGTGTCCAGTAGTGCTAGAATTTGGATGGATTTGGCATAGAGGGAGAGCTTAGTGGTCTTGTAATACTGTTGTTAACCAACCAAGAAATTCTCTGTACCTCCCGGACCCTTACCAAGGTCTCTAAATTTGTTGGCCATTTGATAGCCCCAGGAGCTTTGCCATTGCCTCCGCGACGTCATGAGCAAAGCCTATATCATTGACATGCCTCTCGTCATCCTTGACTAGAATGCCACTGCCCTTGAGACCCTCGCGAACAGTCTCAAAAAGCGCCTCGTCAGCATCTCTGTCCTCAAACGGCGCGCCCGCTACAGACAACATGCTCAACCCGCCCTTCGGAATCCACACCTGGATCTTGCTCGCATCTCCGCCCTCTAACAGCCTCTCACACATCCGCCTCCCAATCTCCCTGCACTCCTCCACCGACGTCCTCAAAAGCGTAACCGCAGGGTTATGCTCATAAAGCTTTCTTTCATTAGCATCCTTGCTACGAAACCTCTCCGGCACCGTCCCGGGCGGCCCGAAATTGACCATATCCAGCGCCCCCAACGAAACAATGTACGGAATCCCCTTCCCAACCGCCGCCCGCATCCGGTCTGGCCCGGCACTCATCACCCCTCCCACCAGCTCGTCCGCCAACTCGGTTGTGGTCAGGTCAATCACCGCGTCCAGCTCTCCGGCCCGCACCAATCGTTCCATTGCTTTCCCGCCATGGCCTGTGGCATGGAACACCATCGTTTCGATGACGCCGGGGTATTTGGATTCGAGATACTGACGGATGGCGTCGACGGAGGGGGTAGTAACGCCGAACATGGTGATTCCTACTCTCGCCTTTTTGTTATGTTCTTTCTTTGCCTCCATGTCCCCTTCCCGTATCCTCCTCATCCTCCTTTCATAGTACGCATTAGCCATGCCCACCACCGCCCCCGCCGCATTCCCCAACACCCCCCGCAAAACCTCATTCAGCCCCGCCACGTCCACAACACTATACATCATGGTGATATCCGTCTCGCCCACATAAGGGCCCGTATCCCCGCTCGCCACTGTCGATACCATCAACTTGGGAAACCCAATCGGCAGCGCATTTCTCATGATGGGGGCCGCGAGGGAGGTGGCGTTAGATCCGCCCAAGGACACAATGCCATGGATTTGTTGACGAGAAAAGAGGGATTGGATATGGCATGTGCACAGCCGGGACATGAGTTCTACCAGCTGGTTCCGGGGAAGGGATTGGAGGGATTGCATGTCCATTCCTTCTTTGGCATAGTGGGAAAGCAGGTCGGGGGGCCCAAAGGTGATGGAAGGGTGAGAGACCGGGTGGCGGCCGACGTCGATGAGGAGGACGGTGGTGGAGGGGTGGAGGAGGATTTGAGAGCGGAGGAAGAGGAGTTCGGAAAGTTTGGTGTCGCAGGTGCCGAGGAGGGCGATGGTTGGCATTTTTTTTATTTTTATTTTTTTTTCTTGCTGGTGGTGATGGTTGTTGCTGTGACTCTTGGTGATGTGATGCTTGAGGGCTGGGGTTCGGGTCGCTGTAGTGCAGTTGGGGAGAAGAGGGGTAAAACGCGGAGGTGGTGAGGTGGTTAAGACTACCTCCACCGATGATGAATCCAAATCACATGGGATGATGCTGTAATCTGTATCACCATGTTCACCTGTCCCACCCACGATCCAAATGTTTACCTACACCTCAGATGGAATCAACACATTTCACCGTGTGTTTGGTTACATTCGAAAAGACGACGATAACGGGACGATAACGACGGTCGTGACACCAATGACGTAAAAGGCACAATCCCACCTCCGCAACACTCCACTTCCCCTTTTCGAATCCGGCAGTTTGTTTTGTTCAACTCCCCCGCCCTCATTCTTCCAAACTCAAGGTTGTCAGAAAACTTGACAAAAAAATGGCCCCCCAACTCACCCGCACTCAGATCCTAGAGAAGCTGCGCGGCCAAATCGCCCAAGGCAAGACCATTGTCGGCGCCGGCGCCGGCATCGGTCTCTCTGCCAAATTTGTCGAAGCCGGCGGCGGTGACCTCATCATCATCTACAACTCCGGTCGCTTCCGCATGGCCGGCCGGGGCTCACTCGCCGGACTGATGCCTTATGGCAACGCCAATGACATTGTTGTTGACATGGTACAGTACCTTACCTTACCTTATCTTACCTACCTACCTACCTACCTACCTCTCATTATACTTAACCTATTTCCACTACCTCTAATATGTCACTCATGTCAAAATGGATGATGGGCTACGGGCATCATCGTGCAGTCGCTAACCAAAAAAAAAACCATCCATTTTCTTCTTCTCTACCACACAGGCCAAAGAAGTCCTCCCCGTAGTCAAACACACGCCCGTCCTCGCCGGCGTCTGCGGCACTGACCCCTACGTCTCCATGCCGCGCTTCCTCGCCAAGCTGCGCGATCTCGGCTTCGCGGGGGTCCAAAACTTCCCCACCGTCGGGCTCATTGACGGAGAATTCCGCGCCGCCCTCGAAGAGACAGGCATGGGCTACGATCTGGAGGTTGAAATGATTGAGCTCGCGCGGTCCATGGACCTACTCACCACGCCCTATGTCTTCAACGTGGAAGAAGCCAAAAAGATGGCGAGCGCGGGTGCGGATATCCTGGTGGCGCATATGGGATTGACGACCGGCGGGTCGATTGGCAAAGGGGAGAAGAGTCACGGGACCAAGAGTCTGGATGATTGTGTGAAGCTGATTCAGGAGATCAGGAATGCGGCAAAGGAAATCAATCCTGAGGTGATTGTGTTGTGCCATGGTGGGCCGATTGCGAAGCCGGAGGATGCGGAGTATGTGTTGAACAGGACGGAGGGGGTGCATGGGTTCTATGGAGCGAGTTCTATGGAGAGGCTGCCGGTTGAGGAGGCAATTACGAACATTACAAGGAGTTTTAAGGCGTTGAAGACGGGGAAGTAGGGTCCGACCTAACAGAAATCAGACAGGTGCCTGTCTTTGATTTAAATCGCCCAAGTTGGAGTTCTCACGGGAGCCAACAGCGACAAAGGAAGAAATTTGGTAGTGATACACACTTTTTTGGACTGAATTTTAGCTGGATACATAAGCCATAACGTTCGGAACAAAACGTAGGTAGGTTGCAGATCTGTCCTAACCACTCCCTGTCCTCAAACCTAAATGCAGACCACAAATGCAGCCCCGCCCATGTCTCCTCCCAAACTCACTCACCTTACTGAGCCTCAGTACCCTTGGTGACCTCATCCTTCTTGGGATTCTCAATCGCATCCAAGAACTTCTGTCGCGCCTCCTCATCATCACTGAACAGCGTATCAGCCACCTGGCGTTGGGGAGTTTCACCCAGCCACTGGAACAGAGAAATATCATGGAACTCATCAGCTCTAAAGATCTCGAGCATGACCAACGGCTCATCGCCAATATTTTCAACAAAATGTCCCATGTTTCTGGGCACAATACCGACGTCTCCAGGCAGGTAGTTGAACGTGCGAGCGTTACCCTCGGCAGCAAAGACGGTCACGCGGGCACGTCCGCTGATGAAGAAGGACCACTCGTCGGCGTTGGGATGCCAGTGCATCTCGCGCAGAGCACCGGGCTCGATGATGACGTGGGCCGCTGCCACGGTCTTGGAGACAGGGAAGTTTTTGGAGTCGGTGATCCGCACTTGACCACCCGAGGTGATCTTGGGGTCCTGGGCGAGCATCTTGTGGGTGAACTGGTACTTGGACTTCTTGACATTGCTGCCCTCAGGTCTTTCCTGGTCGATGGATCCCGGCTGCGAGCCCTGAAAGATGTACTTCTCCTTCTCGGGGAGGTGGGCAAAGATCTCTGGGGCCAGGTGAAAGTTCTTGGCGATAACCGACTTGGGGGTGTGGGCAAGCCAATCCGTGACCAGGAAGGTGGACTCCTCGGAAAAACTTCCGTCATCGAAAATGAGCAGGAACTCGGTGCCGTTGTCGCCCAAGCCCTGAAGAGAGTGGGGGATGCCGCTTGGGAAGTACCAGAGGTCACCCTTTTCCAGGTCATCGATGAAGTTGCCGCCCTCGTAGTCCAAAGCGGTCACGCGGACGTTGCCCTCGAGGACATAACCCCACTCGGCCTCCTTGTGCCAATGCAACTCGCGGATGACGCCTTTCTCGAGGCGCATGTTGACGCCGGCCAACTCAACGCTGGTGGGGAGCTCACGGACAGTGGTCTGGCGAGTCCAGCCTCCTTCTTCGATGCGTATATGGGAGTCGGCAAAGCTCCAACGCAGACTGGGCAGGTTACCGTGGTCGGTGCTGGGTGGGCGGACCAAGTCAGGATTCTGGCGGGAGCGGTCTTTGTTCCATGGTCCTAGGACGGTAGCTCCCTGACCGTTCCGGAAGGGAAGAGGATCGAGACCCTCACCGACAGAGTCGACGGCGGTGTCATACGGATCACGATACGATGGGGTGTATGGGTCCGTGACGCTGACACTCCGGGTGCGGTACTTGGAGGGCAGAGGCTTGCCGTCAAGAAGGCGCTGGCGGGGGCTGTCCTGAAGAGGAACAGCGGATACGAGGGCAATGCCCAAGGCGAGGAGCGATCCCGTGAAGCGCATCTTGCTGAGGGTAGTTTTAGTACTGCTTCTGGAGAGCGGTGATGAGACTGATCTGCTGATGGATTTGGGACCAGACACGCTGGTCATCGACGCCTTTTATCCTCGAGCTGGCGTTCAGTTTGGTCATGGTCGGCATGATCCTGGTTCGCTTACACATCGCAGCATCACCCAGCGTCATTGACTCTACAGTGTATCATGATGTCAATGTACGCTTCGCCTGTACACCCGTAAACAGCATCTCGGAGAAGTGCCGGAAGGATTCTGAGGGGTCAGGCCTGCGGTATGCGTCAGCTCGCGGCAGTGTAACAGCAACCTGTGATCCGGATGGTCGCCTCGATGGCTGTTTTCGATCTCGAGGGTGGTGCGTGCCTTCTGGCTCTGGTTGCCAGGGCTCTTCCACCCTCACCCTCGAGTAGAAGGCTGGAACGGTAGTGGGTGTTGTTGTTGTTGTCGTCGTCGTCGTCGTCGTCATCGTTGTTGTTGTTATTTTTAACGTCTACCTCCGCCTCCCGTAGGCCATGTGACGTGCTGCAGCGGTGAATCTAGGGTACATAGATAAGCGCCTGGCATGGTGGTGAGAAGGAGGACGGAGGATGGGAGACGGTCTGGCTCAGGTCTGGAAGCAGAAAAGAAGACGTATCACTGCGCCATTAGCGTCGGGCATCGTTGCCAAGTACGTACCACCTGCCAAGAAGAGGTTGTTCGGTTATGCCCGTTCTAGAGCATCGGAGGGGTTTGTTACATTCCACATCACCACCGACCTCGGTCACGCTCGGCCGGGGCTGTCAGTGGCCCATAACCTTCGGGGCTGCTTCGGCGTTGACGTTACCTGAGCTCCAGGTCGCGTGTGCCCTGTCGACGTGCTGTGAGTACTATGTATATTCCTACCCTGGTTGGTCTGTTATCGTGGTTCCTGCGACAGAGTTGCAAAGACTGCGTAGTGAAGTCCCGCGCTAACAAATAAACAAACCAGGTTGGATGTATTGTGTTTCCGCAATGTTACAATGCGCCATTCCGTCTCATCCATCCGATCCCGGGTCGTTCCGAACGGAAACGAGATTGGACGGGATGAAGATGCGGTGAATTTCTCCCGGCCATCCCGTTCGTTGTTTTTTGGTCTTTCCCGTCCCTCGATTGTTTTCCAGAATAAATCAAGATCATCGACACTCATCGACGGGCCGTGCCGGATTTCCATCATCGTGGACCTCACCAAACGACCAAAAAGACGGAACTAAGACAAAACAAGCCTTGGCTTTTTACGTACAGCGGAGCTATCCCATAATCGCCCTAATCGATTGCGTTATTTGACGCCAATTCTGACTCACTCATTGTTGTCACCACCTCAATCTCCACGACGGGTAAAAATACCCGGCAAAAATGTATCCTCCAACCGTGAACTCGTCTTGCTATGGCACCATCAGCAACAACACCAATGGCCTTTACAATACCACCATCCTCAACAACTCTGAAATCGAACCGCTGCTACACCCAAGCGACCAGATGCCAACAGGCACCAGGACCCCCGACCTGCCAGGCTTCCCCAAAGTCTCACTAGGAACGGCCCCCCCATCATCGCGATGGCGCCGCCACCTCACCACCGACATCGATCGCAGCTACGCCGACGTGATTCTCATAATCTGCTACCTAATCACGGGCCTGCTGGACTCCTCCTCCATCTCCATCTGGGGCTCCTTCGTCTCCATGCAAACCGGCAACACAGTCTATGCCGGTCTCGGCCTGGCTGCTCCTAACGAATCCGCACGCTTGATCAAATCCGTCACCTCCCTTGCTGCCTTTTGCCTTGGCTCGTTCTTGTTTAGTCGGTTCCACCGCCTCTGGGCCCCAAAACGCCGGTGGGTGCTCTGCGTGTCGTTCACGGCACAGTCTGCATTTACCATGGCGGCGGCGGCGGTTGTTACCATGACGGGCAAGCCGCACTATAGCGAGGACGTCGAGTGGCATGTTTTGCTCCCGATTGCGCTGTTGGCGTTTCAGAGCGGCGGGCAGGCCGTGACGAGTAGAGTGTTGAGATACAACGCGCTGACGAGCGTGGTATTGACGAGTATTTACTGCGATTTGTTCTCGGACGCGGACCTGTTCAAGTTGCATAATCGCGAGAGGAACCAAAGAGTGGGCGCGCCCGTGTTTCTGTTCTTGGGGGCGCTTTTTGGAGGTTTTTTTGCGCATACGGCGTTTGGCGTCGCGGGTGCTTTGTGGATGGCGTCGGGATTGAAGTTGGTGGTTGTCGTGCTTTGGTTGGTTTGGCCTGCTAAGCCGAAGCCGGTGGTGGTTGAATATCCTGAGGGACTGGAGACAGCTTGAACTGAGTCGGTGTGGACGAGGAGCGTGTTATGGTCGACGGCGATTGTTGTTTGAAAAACGCCCACGCGCAAGTTGAGCCCGTTGAGCAAGCAAGTTTCTCGTCTTGCACTTTTGTTTGCATTAGAGTGATGTCGGCTCCCACTAGACCGATAGACTTGGTGGACCTATAGACTTGGTGGTTCTCATAGATAGTATCATTCATCCAAATTCCTAATAGAATCTCAGTTATCCTTTCTGCTCGCACAGTCAATGGGATTGCACTCAATCACAACTTTTCAACATTACGCAGAGCCCACAACTCCTTGGGCCGACCAGCAGCATCACAAGAAGAAAACTTCCACCAGCCCGAGTGCAGAGCACCGGCAATGTTGACTAAACCCCACTTGATGGGAGCAGGCATGGGTGGCCAGTTTGCCCACATGCCGTCCTCAACCGTGCGGTCAAGGTTGAGAAGGAAGAAGGGTACGCAGTCCGTCACGCCGGCCTTTGTCACAGTCGCCTTGCCCCATGTCTTGAAGGTGGTGACGGCTGCTGTATGCTCGGGGGTTCCCTCCTTAGGGACGTTGGCGTGCTCGGAGAGCTTGGAAATGGTGGAGATTTCGCTGTGGAAGTGTTCGGAAAAGGAGTCTTGGAAGGTACCCATGATGCGAAGCAGCTCGTCGCCCGAGAAGTCGTTGGGGCTTTTGAGACCGCCAAGGTACTTTTCGAATTCGGCCAGACCGGGCAGGAATGCCTCTGCGATGGGAAGTCAGTTATCGAGAATCAGTAATCCGGGGTCCCTGGCTTCTCACCATGCTCCTTGTGGGTCTCGTCGAAAACAGTCTTGTCCTGCAAGAGGTCCTCGATCTTGGGGAACAGCGACTGCTCTTCGTCGTCATGGTGAGACTTGACGAATCGGTGCCAGGTCAAGCAGTAGCCAACGAAGTCGGCCTTGTCCTGGTCGGCAACATGAGCAGCCTGCTGGTAGATGGAGTTGTAGCCGCGGAAGATGGAGTTGTGCAGCAGGGCCATGTGGGTGGCACCCGAGGTGAAGATGTCCGTCTTCTTGGTCGCGTACTGCGGTGTGGTGATGAGCTTTATGGGCTCGTCAGCCCAGGCCTTTGTAGGTGCAACGGATGTCATGGTGAATGTTGGGGCGCGAGTGAGCAAGAGGGCGACAATCAAGAAGGGGATCGAGAGAAGGATTGTTGTCGTTGTAGATGATGATGATGTTGTTGATTTGGGGCCAGCCATTGGAAAGAAATAAGAGGAGCAAAGTCCGCTCTCGTGATATGAGTGATGGGATATGGACAGCTGAGATGGAAAGGGAAGGAAGCTGTCCTTTGGACGTCCAAAGTCGAGGAGGGACCGGCAGAGAACGAACAGTCCCAAGCCCAATAAATCCGACGAATGATGTGTCGTACGATGTTGGTTACACGCCTCGTCAGAATCGTCCAGTCTTTTCCTCGAAACAAGATGTCCTGCGCATCGCGGGGTTTGACGAGAGTCCGTCGCGTCTGCCAATCTGCCCTGGAGATCAAGGTCCAGGTACTACTGTGCTCGTGGGCGGGACGGGACTCCCCGCTTTAGGTACCCACCATTAGCGCAGTAAGATAAGGAAGATAACCGGAAGATGCCCGAGACACCTCATAGTGTACGCAGTACACGGGCGGAGACACCTAGAGGTACCTACATTGCAGGGCAGGTGAGCCATCCCCTGAGATGGAACCTCGAACACCCAGTTCCACAGACGGACACTGTGGAAATGGCGGGAATTACCTCTAGCTCCAGTTGGGCCCCTCTTGTACATCATCTCGTACCTAGCATCCTTTCTTCCAATTCTTCTTTCTCCTCCTCCTTCTTCCACGCCATCCATCATCTTCCAAATCCCCCCCATCTCATGCGGCAACATTCGCGGATGACACGTACGCTCCAGATGGCAGTATCTCACGGCGGCACAGATCACGTACGATGGACTACGAATCCTAGCACCAGCTGACCACCACGAAGCTCAGAGAGCACCTCATCGAGAAGGAAAACATTGATCTTATCCCACCCATTCTTCACTCATCCAGCCAGCCGATGACGTTAACCAGGGTCGCATTTCAAGGCAACAGTACCTGCTGGCCGTTGACTCACTGGGAACTCCTCGCCGGGCTCGCATAAACCATCTCCACTACCGAGCGGAAAAGACAGGAATCAGCCGAAGGTCAAAGGCGCCGGCCGCGCCATTGATTACATCATGTCCCGGTTACGTGTTTACACGCCTCGTCGCCCGTCTTTGCCTCGTCAAACTCAGCTATAAATTGGGCCTCGTCACTACACCCTTAGGTTCAAAGGACAACGTTAACTATCCTCAACGCCACCATGACAGTCGCTCTCAACCCCCGCATCCGCGTTCGCGAGGCCGTGCCCGCCGATGCCGAGGCCATCACCAACATCTTGAACGACGCCTTTTCCGCAAACCCGATGCAGCAGCTGATGTATCCCAACGGTGTATCGGATGAGTCGAGAAGCAAGTCCGCTGCCAGACTCTTCTTGCCCATTCCTCCCAGCGAAGGAGAGACGTTCATGGTGGTGGCAGAGTTGCTGCCCGAGGGTTCTGAAGGTCCTTGCGAGATTGTTGCCTTTTCCGACTGGTGCCTGTTCAGAAATCCGCGTGCTGAGGAAGAGTGGAATGTCCAAGAGGTACCAAGGACACAGGAGCAGCTGGGAGAAGACTGCGATGTGCAGGTTTTCAACGACTTCATCGGCGGATTGCACAGGAAGCGCCGAGAGCACATGAAGGGTCACCCTGGGCTTGGTAAGTTTGGCACAGATACCACAATGCCCTTTTCGGTGGCCGCTTTTCTAACTCCACGACCTGTCACAGTTCTTAGCACTCTTGTCTGTCAGACGAATCGCCAAAGGCTGGGGGCCGGAAAGGCCCTCCTACACTGGGGTACCACCCTGGCTGACGAACTGGGTCTGCCACTGTTTCTCGAGTCATCACCCACTGCTTACAATCTCTACAAGCAATTCGGCTTCGAGGACATCGACGTTTTCGACCTTCCCATCTTCGATTTGTTCGGCGCCTCAAAGCGCCAAGGTCAGGACTGGGGAGAATACACGGCGCTCGAGCTGGCTGGACCTCCCGCCAAGGGATGCTTCCGCAGCACCATCATGCGACGACCTGCCAAGAGCACCTGATACCTAGGGATGCCTTTCAGGGTGTCGGCGGCGGTAGATGTCGCTGCCGCACTTCGCTGCCTCACCACATCCTTTCCCTAATCGTAGTGTATACTACAAGTGTGCAGATTTCACCAAGCTGAAATTGACTGACGTCTTGTAACCCTGTCCATCGTCTTGCGTTACCAGGCTCGCCAGGTTGTGTCGCATTGTCTGACCGGTGGGGGACTTGACGTACAAGCACAGGCAACCGCAATTCCGCAAAGACTCATGATTTGTCGCCTTGTCCAGTAGCACTTGGCGTGTGCATGCCACCACTGCGTGTGTATCACTGGCATACCGAATCAGGCTAAGGAATGTGGTGATGGGGGCGTCAGCTCTACACTAGGCTGCCACTATAATCTTACGGACCAGCCAATACCATGTGGGGAACGGTTGCATAGACGCTTGGCCAGGCTGCTCCCAACAAGAGCGCCGGCGAGACTTACATGTATCATGGGTTCCGTCAGTCCTCTGGGTCTTGGACACTATGTCTCTTTCCCGTCGACTTCAAACCGTCCTTCTTTGATGTTTTGATTCCCTTCTTTTCCATCGACCGAACACCAGTGAAGATGGCCGATTCTTCGCATGCTCACTCCCAGCAGATGTCACCAGCCGATGCCGGCAGCGACTCTCAGGACACCAACAATCAAGGGCATGTCTTCCAACCTCCTCAACCGTTATCGCAGCCGGCTACGGTTGGCATTGCTACAGAACCCACGCAGGCCTTTTATTATCCGCCACAACAATATGGCTCGGTAACCGACCCTGCCACTGTTATCTCGCCACAGCAGTATTACTATGCACAACAGGCGAGCCAAGTGGGAAATTCGTCGGTGGACGATCAGCAAGTCTACTATGTACCGCAACTACTACAGCAGCCTGGTTGGACGGCCGATCCCACTGCAAACAACTTCTACTGGCAACAACAATTGCCGAATCCTAATCATGCCGCCTATTCCCAATACACGCCCGCCCACAACCAACATCCGGCGCCCGACTCCATTCAAGAGGCGCAGAGCCCAGATCTGCAGTTGAAGCAACCGCCCCTTCTCTCATCAGAGGAGGTCACCACTCGGCACATGTCTTCGCCACAAGCTGTTCCCCAGCCAGGCGCGAAGAACGACATGAAGAAGTGGAAACGATTCTGGCCTCGCTCCAAGGATTATATGCAACAGTTCCAAGACAACCTGAAAGACAAGTTCAGCGGCAATTCAGGGCACAGGGGTTTCCGTCAGATCTATTTACCCACTACACGGATGAATAACCAGGACAGTGACACCGATGCCGGGCCTACCGGCGAGAGCAAGGTCGTGTATCGTATTGGAACCGCCGAGGCCGAGGATATTGATGACCTTGGAAAGGTACACAAGGTTGATGGCAAGCTCACCTACCTCAACCAGTTTCACCAACGCACTCGCAAGTTCCTGGATGTGGCCGTTTACCTAAGTCCAACCCGCTCTACTCCTCGAAGACTGATAGTTCAGGCAACTGATCATGTCATCAAGACCCGATTGGACAGAGGCGACTGGATCAGGACCAAGGTCAGGGGCAGCGTGCCTCTTGTCCTTGCAATGTCCGAATGGGCATTGTCTCCTTTTCAAACCCAAGGGTTTTGGTCAAAGACAAAGGGCACCTGCCGTCTATTTGTCGTCGCCATTCCTGTGCAGATTTTGCTTGCCCTTCCTTTCCTCGGTAACTACAATGAAGACGATAAGGTGACCGACACATATACTGACTACCCCGGGTACTACTGGGAATGGCCCAAGTACGCTGTCAACGAGCTGGACATGTCTCCTGCTGCTCTCGAGAAACATAGTGAGGGCTACAAAAAGTCACTTAGTGTTGCAAAGCGTGCGGCACGGCCCCGGCTGTTGTATGCCAAAGTGAACGGCGAATGGAAGACTATCCAGGGCGATAGCTTCGAAAATTGTACGCGGCGATATATATTCATCAGCTACATGTGGAATATGTTTCCAAACGCAGATGGTGCAGAAAAAGCTCATGAACTGGCGCGGAGCATTGCCGAGCACGAGCGCTTTGACGCCTACTGGATGGACCGTGAGCTTGTTAATGGGGATTCGCCAGCTGAGACCGATTACGATGTCTACACACTTTGTGACACTGTCCGAGGATCGGCCAAGGTGTGCCTCATGATGGACAAGGATGGAACGACACAGCGTCTTGACTGGGGCAGTCGCATGTGGACGCTGATGGAGGGTCTGCTCGCCCCTGGAGATTACATAACTTACTGCTTTCGGGATGCAGAGGGTCAACTTGTCACCAGAAACATTGGAAAGATTGAAATGACAGCCTCGTTCTGGCGTGTACACGAGAGCGAATATACGGACGACAAGGAGGCTGTTCGTATATTGGCAGAGCACTATGCCAACGTGCTGACACTTTCTCGCCTGGAGCTGCTTCCAGCGACGATTACAGCGCTGAGTACCAAGAAACGCGCGGAGTTTACCGGCTCAGATCTTGCCTACGCCGTCATGGGCTTTCTTCACTACCGGATCGAGCGCCATAAGGAGACAACCGTGTTCCAAAACCTTGCTCGCCTCTCGCTTGGCAATGATAGTGATGAGCTGGTCGAGAGGATGCTTTGCTTACTTCCAAAGCCGTCAAACAAAGACATTTTCGAGACTCTGTCTGAACGTGATGAGTATGGAACCTTCCTCCACCACATCACACCGCAATGTCAAGTGGTGGGTGTAGCGCACGAGGACGAGACTGTTATCCTGGACTCTTGCCGTGCAATCCACATCCGATGGAAGGACTTTCCCCGAGCGACTGTTCAACGCGATGTGGGATTGGGAAAGATGCTCGCGGTATTCTTCCTGGCGTTCGGCATTTGGTGGTTAATGTTTGGTATCGAAATGTCACTGGCCTACATCCCATACTTCGCCGGCTTTGTTGACCTAGCCGCCGACGGCAAGTCAGATGTCGGTTGGGTTGTTGCTGGCTTCCTCTTCGTGGGCCTGTTGCTCTCTGCCCCTTCACCATTTTCGGTCCGACGGCTCTTTGGCGGTACCGTGCTGAAGAGCACCCCAAATTTGGTGGGATTCGAAGGAGTCATGCCTATAGCGCAACTGGAAAAGATCGTCTTTGGAAATGCGGAGGGCCGACTTACTTATGCGCCGTCCGCTACTCCATTCAGCAGAGAACATCGGGAGAACTACGAGAGGCGAGGCAAGGAACCTTTGTGGATCGACAACCCAGACTCTGCCCTTGATGATCTCAAAGCCAAGAAGCTGTTGCCGTCAGACAGACACCAGCTCTTCACTCTTGTTGATATGGGCGAGCTTACGGTCACTATCTTTGCGGCAGAGAGGCCACCGACTGTAGCTCTCCTCTGTGGCAGGGAAGGCGGCATGCTCCGTGCAGTCCTTTGCAGCTGGCGATTTGAGACGGATTGCTTGTACAGGGAGACAGTGGTAAGGATGCCCACGCGGGTCTGGGAGGTAGCCGAGCCCAAGGGCTGGTTGAAGCTGTGTCTACGATCTCAAGACGATTACAGACACAGGGAGGCTCTCATGAAACAATAACAGATTAACAGGGACAAGAGGCAAGCGGAGGCAAGGGTGAAAAAGGAGGCTGAGAAAGCAAAGAAGACGGAGAGTGATTCCTTCGTGAATAGCGCCGCATGACAGCGTTATGTATTGGCGAACATGACCACAAGAAGATTTGCCAGTTCGGGTGCTTTCCGAAATACGGTTGATGACGAGTAACAGCAGCAGGGTTGGTTCATATATCTGATCAGTCAATCCTCGTAACAGTTCAACACGCTTCCGCCTGTGAACCGTCCCCGTTCATCAGGATCATTACCCCGTTCTCGAGCAAGTCGTAGTCGCACCACCGTGTCACGACCGCTCCCCTCATCGTTAGCTACAGCGGATCTTATCCCGACAATCCCATGACCAGCTGTAAGTACTGCGGCCAAGCACTTCGATTGGCGTCGTATTCGGCCCCTACCCCGGAGCGGCAACACCACATCTGACATCTCCACAAAGGCACCGGACCCCCGGCTAATATGCATAATCCCGCTAAGTCGAATACGGTATACGCGGCTGGTTGCCTTCCGAGTATGCCACCTTTTCATGAATTCAGGAACCATTCGACGACAGTTTGAGCACATGACCGCGAACTGACAGTTATTGATCATCTTTATAAGCTTCATATCTCTTAATATCGTAGGTGGACTTGATTGAATCATCAAACCTCTTTATCTGCTGATATACCCCCATTGTTTTCACCCTTCCCCTAATCTTTGTTCAAGATGGCTGTCTCCGCCAAGCAAAAGACCATCATTTCCGCTCCTCAGAAGAGTTCACTCGCAGGGACAATCCCAACCAAGAAGCTCACGAAAGAGCAGCTTTTCAAGACACATGAGGAACACATCAAGCAGCAAAACGCTACCCAAACTCCCAATGGCCCCAGGCCAGTGAAGCAGCCAAACGTAGCAGAAGCATATCCTGCTTCTACAAAGTCTATCAGAGATCTCGAAATCGTATGTTGTTGCACACAAGCCGTTTTTTTTTTTATTGAACAAAAATATATATATACCTCCATATCATGTGATTCATGAAATCCGGCTGACACCAGCTCCAGATCCCACTAAGTGACCTCAGCGTGGAAACACATCACCGTGGCAAGGGGCTCATCGTCAAAGTAGTCAGCCCACCCTACCTTGGCGCCGGCGCTGTCAGTATTGTCGAGGACCATTGGGGCAATGTCGACAAGCTCGCCATCTACAACCAAGGCGACTCAGCCATCCTGTCGGGGGTTCCGGAGGGCTGTATCGTTGCCGTCAAGGAGCCTTACTATGTCCAGAATGGCGCAGAAAACGACTTCATGATCTGCGTTGATCACCCGTCAGATGTCATTCTGCTCCGTTTTATAGATTCTATCGTCCCAGAGCCGTTGAGGCTCGGGCCGCTACTGAAGTCAGCGGGGGAATGGACGACGGCGGGAGATCAAGCCTTCTTGCAAAGGGATTTCCCTACGGCCGTCTTTTGGTGAGTTGCCAGACCGTTAGCGGTGATGTCAAGTCCTTTAGCTTACGAAATGCACCCTGAAATAGCTACACGGAAGCACTAGAAGGACAAGAAGACCACTCTGCCAAAGCCCCCGTCTACACCAAGCGCGCGGGCGTCAACCTCCTCCTCGGCCGCTACGACGCCGCAAAAGCCGACGCCCTCGCCTCCCGCATCGGCGCTTCCACCGACTGGAAAGCCTACTACAACGCCGGCCGGGCCGCCTACGGTCTCTGCGAGTACGCCACCAGCAAGTCGTACTTTGAAGAAGCCCTCAAGCTAAACGACAAGGGCACCGCCAACGTGCAGAAGGAATACGAACGGGTGCTAGCCCGCGTGGAAGAAGAGGAAACCGGCAACTACGACTTCGCAGCCATGCACGCCTCCCTTTCCCCGACATCCGTGCACATCGACGCTGGGTCCTTCCTCCGCAACACGCGTGTTGCCGATTCGGGCTTCCACGGCCGCGGCCTCTTCGCCACTCGTCCCCTCAAAGCCGGCGACTTGGTCTATGTCGAAAAAGCCACGCTGATGCCCAACCAGTACGACCCCGCCCGCGCCTCCGCGGCGCTGTACTCGCTCATGGTCCGGCAACTCTGCGATAACCCTTCGCTGGCCGATACCATGCTCAAGCTCTACCCCGGCCAACTTCCCTACGAGCGAACCGGTGCCGAGGGCAGTATGGTGGATGGCGTCCCCGTAGTAGACGTCTTCGTAGTCGAAGGCATCCGCACCAAGAACTGCTTCTCCTCACCTCTGTCCACTTACGACGATACCAAGCCCACTTACAACTCGGTGTGCATGGCCAAGGGGCTGTGGGCGCATTCGAGCCTCATGAACCACAGCTGCGTGCCCAACACCATGCGCTCGTTTGTCGGTGACATGCTCATCTGTCGCGCCACGCGCGACGTGCAAGAGGGCGAGGAGCTGTTCCAGCAGTATGTACCCGTCAAGATGCTGGTGGATGTGCGTAATAGGGAGTTTGAGGAAGGGTGGGGTTTCGAGTGTCGGTGTGGGTTGTGTGAAGGGGAGAGGAAGTCGTCAGAGGAAAGGTTGAAGAAGAGGAAGGAGGCGATGCTTGCGCTGGAAAAGTTCCTGGATAAGAAGCCGAGTACTGGCAAGGGGGCGACGATTGTACCCGACGCGACAATCAGGACGGTGGATAAGATGATGAGGCACTTGGAGGACCTGCATGAAACTGAGGTGTATGAGAGTCTCCCAAGGTTGACGCTCGTTTATCCGTGTAATTGGCTGGTAGATGCATACAGAGCCAAGAAGCAGTGGGCGAAGGTGGTGAAGTATTCGTTGAAGGTGTTGAGAAACTTTGGGTTCAATGCGGTGCCGAGGGATGAGGATCCGGCCAAGTTGACTGCGGATTGGGATCCGAGGGAGATCTATACGAGGAGCGGTGATGTGAGCTTGATGGCCGTCCATGTGGTGGCTTCGTTGAGAAGGTTGGCGGAGGCATATGCTGCTTTGGGACATAAGGAATTGGCGGAGCGTTGTGTGGAGGCGGCCAAGTTTGGATATACCATGGTGACTGGATTTTCGGAGGATGTGGATGCTCTCGGACAGTGAGCCGATGGAGGTGTGGCATCTAATGGGGCGATTGGGCGTACATAGGTATCTGGCAAGCATTGAATTTCTGCTCTCGTTAACTGAATAGGTAGCTTACCTCTAGGTACATAACACAACTAACTCTTCCTTTGTATGACAAGATCGGCCACGGAGCGGTTTTCGGGTATCCGTTTGCAGTTGTTTCCGGCAAAAGCAACTGTCGTGGGTCAGACGGAGAATGGCTGGCTAGAGGCAAAGGAAAACAAACAACTCCAGCTGAAAAACAGAGCAACGTGACAAAAACACAGATACCTGTCTAGGCGCACGTTGAACACTCTCTCGGGTGTCACTTGTTCATCCATTTTTGGAAAAGCTTATTGGAGATGCAGACATCTAGTTCTATATAAGTGCCAGTATCATGCCTGGAACTTTATGTGTGATGTTGTGCTAGGGTGACACAAAGCTCGGCAGTAAGGGAACCGAAGGGTGACTTGGGTTCCGTAGGTGCGACCCGATGGTATGGTCTACAAATATTCAAGTCCAACGGAGAACCGTCGGTAGCACGTCCGCGCCTGTCGTTACTGGATCGCCGAGATAAAAGTAGGCGTACAGTCACGGTTACCCAACGCTTGACGCTTCTCGTCTGTGGTTATATGTGATTTTATGACCCCTATACCACGTTTCGGGTAACTAGGAGCAACCGGCCGGTTAATCCAACGCCTGTTCTTGTCCGTAGGTAGGTTGCAGGCCCAAATAATTCTGATAGGAGTTCATATGCCCTACCGGATGCTCCCGCCCCTTTTGTTCTCCAAGTTGACCTACAATACAGAATTTTCACTTTCAAAGGGAGAACACCATGGCTCTAATTACAAGCGCCATACCCGAAGGCCCCATTCTTTTGAGGTTCTGACGCCCATTCCCAGTCATCTCCACCACCTTTCCAGTGTCAACATCACCGTCACTATCACCACCCATCCAGCTTCACCACTTTTCGTCAGCTTCACCACCATGGCCATAACCCCCAACTACGCCCTCCCCTCGACCGAGCTCATTATTCCCGACAACCCCTTCCTCCGCGCCGCCAAGCTCGGTCCCGCTCCCCAGCCTCCAGCCCACGAAGACCCTGAAGAACGCCCCCAACTCCGCGTCGCGGCCCTCATCTCCAACCACCGGTGGAAAGCCGGCATCCGCGGTCCCCTACGACCGCTTCCCCCGCGCTCCGAAGACGTCCAGGGAGCCTACTGGTACCACGACTGCCCTTACTTCAAATCCAAAACACACTGGGTCGAGCGACCGCTTCACTTGCGCCTTGAACCACCCTTTGCTGTCGTCGAGCCCAAAAATAACAGCACTAGCATGAATTGTAGTAGCCACAACAACAACAGCTCTGGAGGAGAAATCCCCCTCGAACTCTGCGACTTGGGGTGCGGCTACCTCGCGCCGCGTGACACCGTCCTGTACAACAGCAAACGCGTCATGGTCGAGACTCTGGAAGGGTTTAACTTGCTGCCGGGCAGATTCGACGATTGGTTCCTGTCTTGCTGCCAGTGCGGGAACTGGGAGCTAAATCTGCTCAAAGAACACCCGTCGGCGCAGGATAGCCATGTAAAGAGAAAAGTGGTTGGGTATAACTGCTGCGAACACTGTGAGAGGCCGGATGAGAATAAGTGTGAGTTGTGCTTTTCGTTGACCAAGTACTTGGAGGCGAATTGTTGGCGGAGCGGGGAGCCGGTGCCCGGTGGTGTGAAGTGGAGGCATGAGAGGGCCAGGGTGGAGAGGAAGGAGGGGAGGAGCCGGAGTAGGGGGGTGAGTACCTGTCCGGGTATGACGGCCGGCTCGTTGGCTCTGGCTGCGGCACCTGTGTCGGCGGCGGCGGGGATGGTGTTAGGGACGGTGAGGGAGTTTTCTAATGGGGAGGATGAGGCGTGGGTTGAATAGTTCTGGTTTGGAGGACAGGGAATGCATTGGGAAGAGCTCTTGAAGCCGTAGGGTAAAGTTCCCTAAGGTACCTACCTAGAGGTAGGTATGCACTCCTCTTCTTCACATAACTTATTTCTCTTAGGTTTTTATACAAGATTGGCCGATCAAAACGGGCAGTGACATCCCAAAATGCCCAATCAAAACATTTCATATTTAGGTAGTAGGTAATGGGTATCTACCTCTAGGGTAAGTACATGAATGTGGTTCTCTTTTGTTTACCTCATCCTAATCAGGCACCAAAAGTTCAGGGATCAGTGGATAATGGTCAAGAGGTACAATGGCGATCTTAAAATAACATCGAGTTTCTAGAACGAGATGGAAATATATATTTAGCTTTGGGACCGGAACTGCATACGGACACGTTAGGCCGATGGTAGAGGCTCGAGAGTGCTTGTCCGACTGAGGCTTCAACTGCACTTGCTCTCTGCTCTTTTTCCCTCAAAAATCGTTACCTCTGACGCACGGATTCAGACCATGAAAGACCTAGAAGAGAAACTCGACAAGGCCATGGGCGGAGGATATTTAACCACAGAAATGGGCGAGCGGTGGGTCAAGTTGTATAAGGAAGAGAGGCTAGAAAGGTATATCGGTTATGCGTACACGAAGGCGGCATTGATTTATGCCACATTTGGGGCGCAAGGAAAGAAAGGCAAAGGACTTTGTAGTACTGGCGGTGGATTTTATGGCAATGGAGTTGGGTACGGAGGCGGGGGATGTGTAATGAGGACCTTGGCAAAGAAGCCGGAAGAGCATTGGGCTTAGGATATGAGGAAGTCGAGAGCAGATAAGAGTGAGAAAAAGATGAGGCAGGAGGGACAGGAGGAGCAGAAAGGTAAAGGAGTGAAGGATGGGCTTTAGGGGGTGTGAAGGGTCTTTGTCGCGGCGTCAATTGGGGATGGTCCCTTCCGTTATTTCGTTATCTACTTGGCCACATTTTTGTCAACCCTTCAGGTCTGTTGAACGAGGAAATCTCAAACAAACAACAATACCGCTAAATACTGAATGAATAATCGAAAGATGGGAGCAACTCTTCTGCCAAGGTCAGTGGGTATAATCCTCCAGTGTAAATGTACTATCGCGTGAATCACAAACTTCATCAACTGAGACCTCTCAACTCGTTTGCAACAGACACAGCCAAGCCTAGCTGATCCTCTCCTGCTCTACCTCGTCCTCGCAAACTGCACCTCCCTCATACCCCTACCATTCCAAACCGGCCTATTTGATTGAGCCATGGCACTCTCCTCCGAGTCCCTATACCCCTCCTTATCTCTCGCCCCATGGTGTCGGCTACCCATCGTCTTCCCATTCCTATACCTCAACGCCTGGAACCCCCACCCCACAACTGTGAGCAATGAAAACCCAACCGCGACCCAAATGAGAATCGTATACTTGGTTCCCGCCTTGGCGCTCAAGCCGATATCCTTTCCGTATTTGTTCGCCTTTGAGGCGGCAATCCGGGATCCGACGGTAGCGAGGACACCAGTGATGAGGACGAGAATGAAGACGATGCTTGAGAGCACAGCATTGATGATGAGGGTTGGCCGTTCCTTTCTGCCGAGGAAGAAAATGGCGAGGAGGGACGCGAGCATGGAGAGGCCGGTGAGGACAACGTCAACGATGAGGATGATGGTGAAGGCTCTGATGACGCGGTTGAGCGTGTCGAGGGCGCTTTGGACTTCGTCGCTGAAGCCAATGTCTTCTAGCGTGAGCTTAAAGGGGCCGACGCGGAGTTCCTTGTCAAGGATGTCGGATACGTTGAAACCTGTGTATCTGTTAGTAGATGCGTGGACAGACTCTTGACCTCTACGAGACTAGGTGATTACCGTTAGGGAATGTCTCGATGCAATTAGCGACAGTCCTGCCGGCGCCTTTGGCGGTCGGGCTGGGGCTGTACTCGCCCTCGCAGACAGTTCTCGCATGAAGAGAGTAGAACTCCTGAATACCCAGCTTCTCTGCTAGTTGGTCCGCTATATCGTTCTCAATGTCGCCTAGGGCGTTCAACAGGTCGTCTTTTGCGTCTCCGACCGCACTAGTAGCGTCTTCGCAGGCCTTGCTGAGAAAACCCAGCTTTTCACATACTCCATCAGCCGCTGAGCCAGGCTGATCACCGCTAAGTTGCTTGTAGACAAGGTTCTGTCCAAGGGTTGACGTGTTGAACTAGAAAGTGTTAGATCGCGAAGAGACACATGCATAGGGTTACCTTACTGTGACGACGTCGTAGCTTTCCATGAAGCCTTTGCTAGAACCGGCGACGAGAGCCAGTAAGACTAGCACGAAGGCTGCTATGGAAGCTACGATGGGCACAAGTGTAGAAGGGTGTCGCATGATGGTGCGTTTGGTGTGGGTTTTCTGCTGGTCGAAAGACGGGTGTACAAAGGAAACGTCGTTGATGGTAGATATGAGAGCTCAGTAGTGATTCTGTTAGCTATCTCCATTCAATGGATGGATCACGTGGCGGACGTTAACTGAGCTCTTGAACAAAGTTGGCTAAAAATTGAAGCAAACGCATCTTGGGACACTGTCGACATTATATTCGATGCTAGTGGTGTCGTGGGCAAGACCAGCAGCCTCGTCATTCTTGTGAGCGATCATCTTTTTTGACGCCTAACCATTACACGACGCCAACAATGCCACGATATGTCCCGCGTTGTGTGTACTACAACCGCTTCAGACAAGGAAAGGCAACCTTTCAGGTTGGTCGTTTCAAGATCAACCGCTGAGGCCAAGGTTGGACCCTTTGAATGGACCCTTGGTAAAGCGCCAGGTGTGCGTCATAGTCTGAATTGCCGGCGGTACAGGGCTCTGTAGTGGTTGAGAAGCACTTGTGGGTGTGGCTGAAGTTTGACACCAATGACACCCAAGCAAGCGAGCTTCTGGGGATGGTCAGGCATTTGGACCCCTATGGTAGAGATACGTCTTGTCGAAACGAGAATAGAAACATTCTGCGTATAAGCGTACCTAGGGCGGGACGGCCACAAAGAAAACACAGGAATACTGGGTTGGCAAGTCAACCTTTACTCAATGAAGCCATAGCAATAAAAGGATATATGAATTTGACCGCCAGAACACTGGTTTGTGGCGGATTGATATTGCAGCTCAATCTTAAAGGGGAGCATCGATTGCATTGTCTTCAGCAGAATGCAACCCTGCCGGTTCTCCAGAAGTAGAAGGAACAGTCGGGTCCGCATACGATTAGAGCTGGGTCAAGCTGCCCTGCTTTCCCGATGCTGTTTCTCAAGGGTAATTTGGTCGTGATTTTGATCGGATCCATCACATACGCGGTCAAGATGACATTGCAAACGTCATTGGCCGCTCAGTGCATCGATATATATGGCCTGGATTACCTCCAGGCTGGGCTGATCTACCTTCCATCGGGCGTTGGAGGTGCACTCGCATCTTATGCCACTGGTAGGTGTGAAATTCGTCCTCCTGAGCGTTGTGATCAATGTCTGACATATGCTGCTAGGCAAATTCCTTGACAGGAATATCAAGAAGTACTCTGCCGAGGCCGGTAGGGAGGGGCAATATCGCCGAGGTGAGGACATATCGGACTTTCCCATAGAGAAGGCACGCTTTGTGGGGATTCACACCCTCATCCTCGTCTTGTCGGTGGGATCTGCTGCTTATGGTGTTGGCCTGAATGAGCGAGCGGTGAGTTAGCCAAGTAATAACAAGGACGGGCCTGAAAGTGAGTGAGCACAAGCGGATGGGTCTTGGCACGATATCAGCACCTCGTAGTGCCACTCATTCTTCAGTTCCTGACGGGCGCCGCAACATGGAGCATCTTCACAACAAGAGCAATAATTGCCCAGGATCTGTCCGCTGACTTCCAATGGACAGCTCTGCGGAACACGCCTAACAGACCTCAACCCCCATGCTTCCGCCACCGTCCAAGCATCGTATAACCTGGTTCGATGCCTAGGAGCCGGTGCTGCGATTGCCGCACAGCAACCCCTGGCAGATGCTGCTGGCTCCGGATGGTGTTTTGGTGTATTTGCCATCATCATGCTGATGGCTTCGCCGCTTGCTGTGCTCATTGAGAAGCGAGGGCTGGAATGGAGGAGAGCGAAAGTCTGATGTTTCTGTTCATGAAACATTCTCTCACAGCACTGCGGGCATAGGGTATCGTATCTGAGCCTTATCGTCCTGTGGTCCCCTTTTTATGCAGCGCTTCTAGCGCCCGTAATTGTCTTGGAAAAGCGGGGGGAAGTCAGAGGGGGCCCGTCGAGCAGGGCAGCGGTTAACGTATGGACGCCAAGAAGCGGGTCGCTTACAGGGCCCCCACAGCACCCCACAGGTAGACTCACGCTAAAATGTGCGCTAATTATCAGATGATCAGATAAGATCCCATCTTTGCCCTCGCCTTCCTTCCTTCTGTCTCCCGTCCGGCGTCCTGTCACTCCACTTCCCGTCTCGTTTTCATACTCTTTCATCGGAGTTCCGAGTCCTCTGCATCGGTGACACTGCGGCTCGGTCGCCTTGCATTTTTTTTTTTTTTTTTCAAACCACCAACCCTCTTGGCTCATGGATTACGGGCAAAAGGGCTCGTGGGCGCGGGACGCTCTGCGCGACGCCGCATCCGCCGTATCCGCCGTATCCTCTACCTCATCGCCCATGCTGGCGGTCCGAGATGTCCAGAACAGTGGTGAAGAGGGCGGCGACCCCCTTAACTTGATCCCTCCAGAAAAGCTTGAATACCTCCTGAAGCTCGTTCGGGCTCTTTTTGACGCACGCTTCATCGCCAGCTGTTATAACATCGCTGTGCTCTTCACCATCTCCGTCTTCGCAGTTTTACACTGGCGTAAATCCAGAAATGACCGACGACAGTGGCTGGCTAGGATAAGGGGTACAAAGTCAGACTCAGTCCAAAGGACGACAATGACATCGACAACAACAGCCCAACCGCCTTCTTCGCCGGCATCATCCAGCCGGTCCAGCCATGGCCCATCCACACCCACTGGCAACTGGAAAGACAACCTCGTTGATCTTGAACGATCGCCCCTTTTACGAGGGCGCACATCCAGCCTCACCATCAACTCAGCCCGTCTCGACCGCAAGTCAACCATCGGCAACACTGTTTCCTCCTGGCTCGCCCGTCAACCGCCACCCATCCCCATCATCAATCGCACCCTCCCCAGCAACGGCACCTCGCTCTTCATTGCGCTCTGGATCTTGTTGAACATCTTCTTCCAGATGCTCCTGATCCCGCTCCGCTGGGACTTCTTCTTCGTCTTTGGCGACAAAATGGGCTTCATGTTCATCGTCAACCTCCCCCTCCTCTACCTCCTGAGCGCCAAGAACCAGCCTTTGCGCTTACTGACCGGCTACTCGTACGAAGCGCTCAACATCTTCCACCGCCGCGTTGGCGAGATGATGTGCTTCATGGCGCTGGTGCACTTCGTCAGCATGGTCATCTGGCAGTTCGTCCTGGCTGAAGACTGGATGTTGGCTTCCAAGACTGCATGGGCGTACTTTACGCACCCGCTTATCGTGTGCGGTCTGGGCACTTTCACGTCATATGAGCTGCTCTATTTTACTTCGCTGGGAAGTTTCCGACAGCAATGGTACGAGCTCTTCCTGGCCTCGCACGTCGTGCTCCAGATCGCCGCGCTCGTGTTTCTCTGGTTCCACTTCTACACCAGCCGTCCTTATGTCAGCTTGTCACTCGTCATCTTTGTCCTCGACCGGCTCGTCTGGCGACTGCGCTTTAAGCGAGCCACCGTCACGGCCGACATCCAAGTGCTGGAAGACGGCCAGACCTTTCTGGTCTCAGCCGATTGGGACATCCTCCCCCGTCCTCGACCCAGTCAAGACCAACCCTGGTGGAAGTCGCCGCCCTGGTCCTTCTTTTCCTACCACCCAAACAAATCCATCCTCAACGGCTGGCACCCCACAGACCACGTCTTCCTCACCGTCCCCTCCCTAGGCGGTTCCCACGCTTTGCAAGCCCACCCATTTACCATCGCCTCTGCCGCCCCCGTTATTAACCCTCACTCCACATCAGCGGCAGGCGAACAACAGCAACCCACCCACGCATGGTTTAATCTCCTCATCCGCTCCTACTCCGGCTTCACGTCCGACCTCCTCCGTCACGCCCAAGCGGGTCATGCCCGTGTGTCCGTGCAACTAGACGGGCCGTACGGCTCTTCGCACGCGCTGGACATGCTTCGGGCATCGGGAAGTGCGATTCTGGTGGCCGGAGGGAGTGGGGTTGCGGTTACGTTTCCTTTGGTGTGGGCTTTGCTCCAGCAATCGAAACAAGATCTGTTGTTGTCAGACGCAGAGGAAGAAGATGAGGGGGAAGAAGATAAGGTAGCACGAAGGGTATCGCCGTCAGCCAGGCGGCAGAAGCAGAGAGTGCATATGCTCTGGGTGACGCACTCGAGGTCACACAGGAATTGGATACCGCAAGAGCAGTTTAATGAGTTGGTTGCGCTGGGACTGGACTTGGTCATTCCGGAGCCCACGGAGGATGCGGGGCGGCCGGATGTGGCGGGGATTGTGAAGGCATGGATCTTGGATGCGGCGAGCGATGGGCTGGAGTCCGGGGTGGTGGTGTCGGGGCCGGATGGACTGAATAGGACGGTGAGGAATACTTGTGCTGATGTGATTGGGGAAGGATTGGATGTGAGGATAGCGGTTGAGAAGTTTGGGTGGTAAAAAGAAAAATAAGCCGTTATGGATATGATAGAAAGCATCACATCACGAGGCGTTGGCGTTATATTTCGCGTGATTCAGTTGGGGAAAAGAATGAGAACAACGTTTTCGTACACTCCCAAAATCCTATTGTTGTGTTATGTGTAAACAGAAAAAAACATAAATTTGAACAATTGTGAAGAAAAACCAATGACTTAAACTTCCCTTCAATGCCATATGTACACCCTTTTCCATGAAAAACCCGATACCTTAACCTCCCAAAAACACCACATCATACACCCAAGACAAACCACTGAACAATGCCTTCCACGTTTTCGTTTCCTTTTTTTCTGTCAATTTTCCGATTTTGCTTTCCCACTTCTCTTATGGCCTTTCCACGCACAAATCCCCCCTCTTACACCATCTTTCTTACTGCTGCTGCTCACTCCCCTTCAACTCCCCGGCATCCTTCACCCCCTTCCCCACCTCCTTCGCGCCCCTCTCCACTCCACTCCCAATATTCGACACCACATCCCCCACGGGCTTTCCGATCCCGCCGGGAACCGCGCTACTGACCGTCTCCCCCAGACCCCGAGTCGCCGCGCCCACGGTGCCGCCGACCGTGTTGGCCACGCCGCCGAGCGTGTTGCCGAGCGTCGAGGTGACGGGCTTGGCGGCGCCCGCGAGGGTGTCGGTCATGCCCGAGGCTGTGCTGGAGGCTTGCTCGGTAGCTTCGCCCATGGTTTCTTGGGCCTTCTTGCTTGTCTTTTGGGGATCCATTTCGGGGACTTGTGGTTGGTTTTGGGAAGAAGGAGGAGGAGTTATGGGTGTTGGTGATTGGTGGGTGAGATTCTCCTCTTGTTGACCTGGTTTCTTGACAACTTTCTTGGTGTTGCCAAATGGCATAGAAGTGTGATGTTGCTGCTTGGAGGATGTGAGATCAGAGAAAGACAACAAGAAAAAGAAAAGAACAAGGAGAGGAAAAAGTAGAGTAACGGATGCTGTTTGATTTCACTACTTATTGTAGGTAGGGCAGTGAGAAGGAGGGGAGGGGGGTTTAACAACACTTTTCATCAGCCTGACCGCACGGCGACGAGTTCTGACGTCATCAACGATCATGGAGGGCGTATTCATTCATAACCTTTTTGAAGCATAAGGCCAATGTGTTGTAGGTATGGTAATGACAAGTTACCCAAAGTCTCTCGTGAGTCTGAAGGCATCCTCGAATATCTCAGCATCAATCCACGGTGTTGTTTTGTATCTCAAAAGGTTGCGGTTGAGAAGTGCTGCTATACCTATTTAGAGAGAAAGGGTCTTCAAAACCCTGTGGGGCTAGTATCACATGCATGCTCTACTTGTCCCGCCGAGGGTTGGCTGGAGGGGGTGGAGGGGGCAAAAATACCAAAAAAGAATTGGAGACTCGGATACCGGGAGTCGAACCCGGGGCTGTTGAGAGAGCAGTCACTCCTGAGAAGTGAGAGTCAACGATGTTACCGCTACACCATACCCGATTGAACTGATATGGTCCGATTTCTTGTTGGAGGATTGGTTTGAAAGTTGTCCCTATAGTAGGCTACAGAAACTGCCACACCTTTCGCACATGTTGGGCCTCAATCTCTCAAAATCCTTAACGCACATCCATTTTACCATTATTGGCACAGTACCGCGAGACGTATAGTGCGTGTTGAGTGATATGCGGTTTGCCGTTTTCTTGTAACAGCCCCTTGCGTGCACAAGATCGTAGTGGCTTGGATGTGGTTCCAGAAAACGACCCACGGTTGAACAGCCTAATCGCGACATCATATCCTTTTCCGATGATCTATACTCCCTCGAACACTTGGCAGTTACCACCAGTGTATTTGCTGTCATTGCCATGGTTCACTCTGTGTGACAGGACAGGTAGCTGTTGACTATGATTTATGAATCAAAGAGGAAGACGCGAGCCCAGTGTTTCCCCTGTTGCTATCAGCTTTCCTACCCCTTACTAATGGTAGAACCTTCTTTTAACCGGGTAGGAATGATCTATCTAATATCCATTGTTTCCAGCTGATAGCGACAAGCATCATAAGTCCAGGCATAAACACTACTCCCGTTTGAGCCCAATCGCGATCTACCTCACATTTTCCCATATCAGGTTCACCATCTGGAAATCCTACAAGAGTGTTAGCCTGTGGATATCTGAATTCGACGAAGATAGGTTCAGGACCTAACAAACAAAAATCCCATTTATCGCCAGAACATACAGTACTTCCACCTACTAATATCTATCATTGATACAGAAAACGCCGTCCATCTTGTGTATTGTGTCACGTACCGTCGTCGCGGGATTGTTGCCCTCCGCGGCGCAGCGATATAGTAGCAAAGTTAAATCGGGAGGAGAAAAAGAAATCAAAGGAAAAAAAGGTAATAGCAGGGAAGCCGTGTCTCGGAGACAGAACCAGCGGCGATCAATTAATCGTAACTGAGCGTCCAGTCCAACTTCTCTTGTCGGCGAATGTCCGTATCCTTTTGGAATTCCTTGGCCCTGTGCGCCTTAACGGCTTGACAGTCGTCGCACTTCTGGGCTTTGTTTGGCTTGCCGATGCGACCGCGGTCTGGCTTGCCGCAATACTTGTGCGTGGTCTGGTCGGTCCACTGCAAGGGAGGTTCAATATTGGTGGCCCTGGCCGCCTTGTCGTAGCTGCGACCCATGGTTGAAAAATGAAGGTTTGACAGTCTAAGAAAGTATTTGGGACAAAGGCTATGATAGCATTGGAGTGAGTTCAGGGTAGAAGAGAATGTCGTGGCGAGTGAATCGATTTGGCTCAAGATTGGAGATGGAAAGAGTTTGGGGGTCCCTTCAGCTTTTATATGATGCTCTCCCTTGAACTTGGGGAAGGAGTGTTGCACAAACCCGGCAAGTGAGTCAAAGCGGATGCAAGTTGGCGACTGAATGGTCGTGCAGTGGCATGACTACTTGTGTAGGGTAAAACCACAATGGGAAACAATTGATTGTGTGGCAGCTGGATGATGTAATGTGCCGTCTGGTCATTGCTCGATCAAGTGTGTGAATCTCGCCACTAAACGAATCAGATCACAACACTTTGGCTGGGAACACTATGCGGATTTCTAATTGTTTGGTATTTCCATGTCCTCGTCGAGTCTCGAGTGGGCAACACTAACGAATTATGACCCCTTTGACATCTTGACCTCCTGATTTGGTAAACACAAATGAGCAAAGCATAATAACCAGCATGATATAAGATAAGATGATCCCACGCCTACGAGCATATACGGGACGTCTATCTTCTGATACAAGTGTCTCTGCCATCCATAATCACGATTTCTTTCATCTGCCTTGCGCAACAGAGTATGTCTTGGCATAGCAGCAATACCCTTGGAAGACCTTGCCAGCCCAGATGCTGTCGAGAAGAATACTGCATAATCAGAGGTACCTAGCCACAGCCCAATATGTATGTGCTTTGTAGCTTCAAGCGGATCTCGAACATAGCTCAACGCAGGGTGGATGCCGGTCTGGTATTACGGGTCAAACGAACAGGCGACAAGGGCTTATCGTACTTATTCGGCGAAAAGCTGAGCAAAAGGTCGGAAGTGGTATTGGGGGGTGACTCGACATCAATCTCAAACCTGAGAGGAGATATCTTGTTGGCGTGACGCCTCAGACGGACGGGTGAAAGGGGCTTATCGTACTTGTTTGGCGAATAGCTGAGGAGTAGATCAGAGTGAGGATTCACGGCCGATGTGACCGGAACCTCGAAGCTGAGAAGATCAAGAACATCAGGCATAGCAACGCCTTGGTTGGTGATATCCTTGAATACACCCGTCGTCTGTTGGGAAGAGTACTCCTTCGCTGAGCCAAAATCGGGGCATTGATGCTTCTTCTCCTAGTCGGTGCCACTGCCGGATACACCCCCACGCCAGAGCCCGTAATAGCCGTCACAGTTCTTCCACATCTTGATTGTGCCATCCTCTGACCCAGTTGCATACAAATTGCCGTCGGGAGAGAACGCAATGGACCAGATAGGGCCGTGGTGGCCCTTGTGCACATCAATTTCCTGGCCCTCGTCCCAGGTGTAGACGCGAGCCCAAGTACCCGGTTCTTCGCCAACAACAAATTTTCTACCCTTTAGGTCCAGCCCAACACTAGCAATTCCATGGGGAAGCGTGATCCTCTTGAGCTCATCCTCAGCTCGGCTTCCACCCCAAAAATAGGCGGTTTTTCCCGCAGCCACCGCCAGAACAGGCAAACCGCCGCCGATGTCGGTGGGAGCGCTATGCGAAGGCGCAAGTGAAACCAGCTCGCATGACTTGATCTCGCCTTCCAGTTTCGCCTCACGCACACAACGACGAGAGGGAAGATCGAACCAGCGCAGCGTATCGCCAGACGCGGTGATGATTACGTTGGGGTCGCGAGCCCAGACGATGAACTTGATGATATCTTTGTGTACCCCTTCGCCAATCTCAAAGGCTTTGGATGCGTCAATTGTGACTGGTTCGGGGCTGGTGCCCGTTGGTGAAGTCGCCGGCCTCTGATCCGCCAGGTCAAAGATGCGAAGCTTCTTCTCGTATCCGCCAGTTGCCAGCAGCCCAGAGTTTTCGTACGGATAGGCAATGGCGCGGACAATATGGTCATGCTTGAGGACATAGAGCAGTTCGCCGGTGTGGGTGTCCCAGATCTTGGCACTGAAGTCCGCAGACGAGGTGGCAGCGGTCGATGCATCAGGGCTAAGCCTTGCTTGCCATGTAGCTCCCTTGTGCCCTAGAAAGGTGCCGATCCAATCACCAGTTTGGCCGTCGCGGAGCATGGGGTTGCCATCTGTAGTGAAGAGCCACGTCAGTAACCGTCTTCATGTATAGGTGTTGGCTAACCCGTAAAAGACCCGTGAGTACCTTTGCAAGAAGAGATCATGTAGTAGGAATCTTCCTTTTCAAGTGGGGAGAAGCTCAAGTGGGTGACAGGCCGCGAGTGGCCATGGCAGGTCAAAGGGACTGTCTGGCGGCGCGCGGGTTCGGTCATTGTGGATCGTGATGTAGTAATATGTAAGGACTGAAGCAGGATATAAGAAGCCTGAACGGCGGTCGTCCCTTGAAGAGAAATAGAGGCAGTGAGTCCCGTCGATTAGTGAGGAGTATGCGTGGAGGGGCGGCCTGGAGTATCGAAGAAAACGTTGGTGATGACGCCGTGTATGATGAGCAAAGCCAGGAGGGGCAAATCTATCGTCAGTTTCGCAACGAAGTCGAGTCGAAGAGTCGGACAAAGGAATGGAAAGCGTAACGGTCGTGAAGAGGGAGAGCCCAAAATCGTCGTATTTAACCGGAAAAGAAATGGAGAGATGATGCCAGAGAGGTGATCATATCTCTATGCTAGGTCGTGGCGCCGTCAAGAGTAGGTAATTAAGAGGAGAAAGAATGGGTTTGGCGTTTGCTCTGGCTGCAACGGGGCGATGCACTGGTGGCACCTGGTTGCCGTTTAGGGTGTCCCCTCCGTCACAGATGCCCCTTGCGGAGTCTGTAGGGACTACCCGCTGCAAGCGGGTGCCACCGGCAGGCAGGGGGCGGCCGCGAGCCTACCTCTATGCCTGCCTGCAGGCTTCAGCAGGGGCAACGCGGAAGCTATCAGATCGATGACAGCCCCAGGTTCTATCGCCATTTGAGATTGAAGGAACCAACAAGACCAGGGAGGTGTTTACCGAATAAGTATAGAATATCAAGGCAACTATCTGCACTGTAAATGTACTATGTTGTTGTTTCTAAGTACTCGTAACTTGCAGGGTTCTAGTGATATGTGAATCGCTGTGATGATATGTCAACGTCTGGAACCTGAGCTTGTAAGTTGAGGCGTACACAATCGTCAACCTTTACAATACCTGAAGACGGGATTTTTTTGACACCTCCAAACTACAATGATAGGGTAAATAGTCTAAATGAAAGTGACGTGATTGCAGCCCGGCGAGGCTCAGTCACCTGAACTAGTAATGTACATAGCAAAAGGGCAAGGGAAGGATTGACCAGACGAATCTCTCCTGTCCGTACTTACTAGTGTATCAACCTAACCCCCTGGGCCCCAGTGGCTCAATCTCCCCCGCCTCGTCCTGCCAGGTGCGTCAACAGGACGGGAACCTTAACACAGGCAACGTTCAACGACCCGAGCGACAGTGATGCCCCGCCAACCGCCCCTGCCGATATCGATACGAGTGGTATCCGCAACTCCAGTTCGTCATCTGTCAGGTTCGCAGGGAGGAAGCTGAGGACCGCTCCTGCCATCGGAACTTCGACCCAATTCCCATTCCTTCTATTTTCCCAACATCAGTATACCCTCGGTTTTCTTACAAATCAAGCGCGTCCCTTTCTCTTCCATTTTACGTGCTATTCCACCCTCAACCTGCTCGAGCACCGAACCACGACTTATATTGCCCTTCTGAGACCCGTGTACGCCAGCGTTGTCCCATTGTCGACTCAAGGAGCACGCTCGCCGCCACGACTGAACCCCGCCCCCGTATCTGACCCGTCATTATCGGCCGAGGTCCCAACAACAACAACAACAACAATAAAGATGGTGCAGGAGTTCAAGCTCTCAGCCCAACTAAAGGGCCACGAATCTGATGTCAGTACGGCGATCAAGAGGCCCGTCATTCAAAGCTAACACGTGCGTCACCCAGGTTCGGGCAGTTAGCTTTCCAGCAGCTAACGTCGTCCTCTCTGCCTCCCGAGATCACACTGTTCGACTTTGGCGCAAGGCGACAAGCCAGTCACCCTTCGACGACACTATCATTAGTCAAGGTCACGGCTACATCAACTCTCTCACCTTCATCCCACCTACTGGCGAATACCCCGACGGCCTGGTTGTTTCAGGCGGCGCCGAGCCCATCATCGAGGTCAAGAAGCCGAATGCGACACCTGATATTAATGCCGAGCGACTCCTAGTTGGACATGGCCACAACGTGTGCACACTCGACGTCTCGCCCGACGGAAAATGGCTTGTTTCTGGCAGCTGGGATGGCAAAGCGATCGTTTGGAATACTGCTACTTGGGAGATGGCCCATGTGCTCGTCCATAACATGGACAACAGAGGTGTCTGGACAGTCCTCGCATACGACGCGGATACCATTATTACCGGCAGCGCCGATAACAACGTACGGATATTCCGACTAAAAGGCGCCACGGGCCTCGAAATCGAAGCTTCACGCACCCTCAGTACCGGTGATGTCGTGCGCGCATTATGCAAGCTTCCCTCAGGCCTGAAGGGGCACCCCAGCGGTGCTGATTTCGCCAGTGCCGGTAATGATAGCGTCATTCGGCTATGGAAGTTGTCAGGAAAAGAGGTGGGCAATCTTCAGGGCCACGACAGCTTCATCTACTCACTTGCCGCCCTACCTACCGGCGAAATTGTCAGTTCTGGAGAAGACCGCACTTTGAGGATCTGGAGGGGTTCCGAGTGCATCCAGACTATTACACACCCTGCCATCTCGGTGTGGACTGTGGCCGTCTGTTCCGAAAATGGCGACATTGTGTCCGGTGCTAGCGACAACATGGTTCGTGTCTTTACCCGGAGCGCTGATCGGACAGCGGACACCGAAACCATCGCCCAGTTTGAAGAGTCTGTCCGAAGCTCTGCAATCCCACAGCAGCAGGTCGGCTCTAATATCAACAAGGAGAAGCTTGATACCAAGGACTGGATGCAAACCAATTCCGGGACCAAGGATGGCCAGATCAAGATGATTAGGGAGGAGGATGGCACCATTGGCGCCTACCAATGGTCCATGGGTGAGTGCAACTAGCCTGCCCTTAGTCTGTGAACCAAGCTAACATGTCACTCAGGTCAACAACAGTGGATCCACGTCGGAACAGTCGTTGATTCTGCTGGTAGCAGTGGCAAAAAGGTGTCGTACAATGGCGCCGAGTACGATTACGTCTTCGACGTGGATATTGAGGATGGCAAGCCACCACTGAAGCTTCCTTACAACCTGTCGCAGAATCCGTACGACGCGGCCACCAAGTTCCTTGGTGATAATGAACTCCCGATCTCGTATCTCGACAACGTCGCCAACTTCATCACACAAAATACTCAGGGTGCCACCCTAGGACAAGCTCAGGAGGCCCCCTCGAGCGACCCTTACGGTACCGACTCTAGGTACATACCTGGCCAGGACAGTCAACCTGCAAAGCCTAAATACTTGCCGCATACCGAGTTCCTCAGTTTGACCAACGGCAAACTTGAGCCGGCCCTTGCTAGACTCAAGACGCTCAACACCAAGCACATTCAGGCCGGGAACAAGCATATCGCGATGAACCCCGATAACGTTGAGATTCTTTCGGAGCTTGTCAAGCAGCTGCTTCAGCCAGCTTCTGCTGCCGGAAAGTTGGCCAACTTGGACGCATCAAAACCCATTCTCCTCACACTCGTCACTCAGTGGCCGTACGCGGACAGGTTGCCAGCGCTAGATATTCTCCGTTGCCTCGCTGCCTGGCCTGCCGCGGCTTCCATCACAGACGACCGCTATGGCGACATCATCGACATTGCGGTCAGGGGAGCACTTGACGTGGAGGACACTGTAACTGCAGACGGCTCACTGAGCGACTTTATCGCCAACAAGCTTGACGCAACAAAAGCAAATGCTAATAGCGTCATGATGGCTCTTCGTACCATTGTCAACCTCTTCAAGCTTGACGACGGCCGGAAGCTCGTAGCCAGCAAGGCCGGCATTATTCTTTCCTTTATGGGGCACATTGTTGGTCTCGACGGGGATAAGGGCGTGATTGGCGCCGAAAACAACAATTTCCAGATTGCCCTGACTTCAGCGGCCTTCAACTTTGCTTGCCTATTTTACAGAGAGAGGAAGTTGGATGCGAACTTGGACGAAATTGCGCTTCTTATCATGATTGTCGAGGCAACCGTGCGTAAGCAGAAGGATCCTGAAGTCCTGTTCCGCGCTCTAATGGCGCTCGGCATGGTTCTTTCTATTGGCCCACAGCCGGTAGCGGAGGCGAAGAAGCAGGGAGTTGATGCTTGGTTGACTCCGGTGATCGGGCAGACTCGGGAGCAGCGCCTCAAGGACGTTGTTCAGGAGTGTCTCTCGTATATTCGGGCGTGAGGATGTCGAAAAGGAGTGAATGCCTGGGTCTGATATCACTATAGCAAGGGATGTTGAGATGGAGGGGTTATTTGACGGCGGTCAATGCAGTTACCATATAGCACCAGTGAGCCTAGCCGGCGTAGAGCTGAGCACGTTCAGTAGATACAGATGATCTTGAACTCTGACCACTTGGTCATGGGTTGTGCGCTAATACGTTCTCATCGTCTCGCCACGTATTTGGCGGTTGCAGTAGGTATCTTTCGATGACATGTTCGAGTAGGCGCCCGGCTGTTCGCCGAACCGATCATCCGATGTGATCAAACGGTGCAGTGAGCGGATGAGACGAACAGTTGAGTGAAATCTGTGATAATGGTACCTTTTTGAGTTTTGTCAAAACCATGGTCAATGCATAAACCCAGAAAAATGTCATTGTCAAGTGATTGTGGTCAAGTGGAAGGCTTTTGCGTCAAGCAACAAACAGTACACTCGGGAAACATTCACTAAGAAACCAGTACTTCATACCGACCGGGTTCAGTATTTATTCATTTCATTGTCGCGAGAATAGCAGAGGATGAAAGAGGAAAGAGGTATATACAAATCGACAGAATAAAGAACTGAAAACGCGCGCCTGCCGTCGCCCGCGCCGGGGAATCTTGTAACAAAGAATTGGTTCCAATCCACCTTCCTTTCCTGTTGCCCAGATAAACGCCTAGTGGACAAATCGATCCGTCCTCCATATAATCGATACATTCCTGCTTCTCGTTGTTGTCGTTGGCGCCTAACAGCCACCCAGACAACCTAAGGTTGTTATCTCCTCGCATTATCTCATCTCAGCATATCTCAGTCACCCAACCACCCGACCTCTCTGAGTTGTTGTTAGTCGGTGTTTTTAGTAATCATCATCTCCTTTTCTTGAGTGTCATCGTATCATTTGATCCCGGACCCGCTTCTCATTTTGCCCCATATGAACATCCATCAAACCGATGTCTCTTTTCCCCAGGGGCCGCAGCTTATAGCATCATCCACAACCCACCAGCAACAAGAGGAATCCAGCCCGCCATCCGGGCGAGCGAGGCAGCGGCACTGGTGAGTGCCAGCTTGTCGCGGCCGGACTCGAGGATGTTGATGGTGTACAGGTCGGCGGCGCCAAGGTCGGTGCTGTTGAAGCAGTTGGACTCGTTGACTTGGGCGACGCGCGGGTCACCGGGGGGAACGAAGGTGATGTCGACGCACTGTTGTTATTGACATTTTTTTTCCAAGTCAGCACTGCACTTTTTTCCATTCAATCCAGTAGATCACCTCGACGCGATAGCCGGCAATGAGACCCAAGAGGAGAGAGAGAGAGGAGAACAAGAACATACCGAATACAAAGCAGCACCATGGATCGCCAACTCCACAAGCTGAATCGTCGCATTATCACCTTCCTTGAACTCAAACCCGGCGGGAGTCGACACCTGCGGCAGACAAAAGGTGCCCGGGTACGGGTTCTTTCCGGGACCGATGATCTGGAATGGGCTGACCATGGGGAAACTCATGTTCTTCGGCCCGCCGTCGGGACCGTCGTTGCCGATGCCGAGGTTAACGTAGATAAAGGCTGTCGCGTGGCCTTGAAACCAGCCTGGTTGGAAAGAGATGGCGCCGCCTGTTGTGGGCCAGTAGGTGCGGTTCTGGGTAAGGGTGAGACCGCCGCCTATGTATGAAAAGAGAGAGAGGATATGGTTAACCAGTGGGTTCGGTGAGCGACATGGGGATGGGCGTGGGGAGGGAGTGATATTCGAGATGATGGGCCGATGGATGGGATAAGTACTCACAAGGATATGTCCATTGCATGCCGTAGGGAAATTCTTCATTGTCTTTTAGGTTGTTGCCTCTCCACCCGGGGTATGTGATGACAGTGTGGGCGGAAGCCAGCGCCGCGCTGGCGAGGGCGAGGAGTGTTGATGTGAGCATGGTGTATAGTTATGTGTATGTTCGAGATCGAGTCGAGTGTCTGAGGAACCGGAGTCTTCACGTATTCCTCTTCCGAACCAAAGTCGGAGTCCTCCTCTTCTTTTCGAGTTTCCTGAACTAGCTTTTCGTGACCCTGTCGACTGAGTTTGTGCTGACCCAAGATGTGTGACCTGTTTGATGTACTTGGCGTATACTGATGAAGATACTCTCGATGTTCTGGATGGTGAGTTGATGGATGTCTCAGGTCAGATATTCGGACTTGATGTCGAAGGGGGGGCTTTTGGGCTGATGAGAAGAAAAGAATTTCGGAGAGAGACCGAAGGAATGACTAGTCGGGTCATGGCAGGTAGGTATATCTCACGACATGAACCAATGCGAACCATCCTGTGCTTCCTATCCCGCCAGGCCGCAGCCGCCCAGGCCTTGTCAACTCAGCAGAGACCCATCGGCACACAGGACTGGGGCCGTTGGTGACGGGAGCGACTTGGGTTCCGCCTTGCCTCCCCTGCCCAGTGGATGTGACCCCCAGTCCGGCACACGCTTCTCCTCACAAGGTTGAGAGAATCTCACAACGGCAAAAGAGAGAAAAGGGGAAGACGGCTGAAGAGAGGTCGAGGCCCCTGTTAGTGATCATGACTGTCCAGCCAATGGGATCACCGTTCCGCCTCGGTCCTGCAGGCGACTCGCTAGGACGGAGCAAACTCATGTCGAAGACCCGGCCAATGTGATTGAACCCCCGTCCTCCGGTGCTGCATGCTACATACTATCACCAACACTTGATCAGCGCCGCAGCCGCTACCACCTCGCTGGATGGATTTTGCCATGCTCCGTTTTGAATGGCATCGAACATCGTGGGACTTGCATCAAAGTCTCAAAAGAGTCAACGATGAAATCCAACTCGAGTTGTCTCTGTTAATGTTTCCTCGTGGAATAAAAAAGGTACATACAGCTGGCTTGACCCTGCGGTAGTGTACAGTAGTGTCGATCGCTGAATGTCCCTCTCCCGTTACAGTGTGATCCGTTGGCGTGTCCGTGGTCCGAGATCCAACCAATTCTTTTTCAGAGCTAAGCGCCAAAGTCGGGGGGACCGTCCAATCACAGGCAAGAAGAGGTACTTGGTGGTTGCTCGAAGTGTGAAGGTCAACAATGTTAAGTTCTTGGGTGTTTGAATGTCGCATGCGCAGGCAAATGACCCATGTGCCACAGGTTTTGAAAATGGTTGAAGCCATCGCGGGGCGCTATGGAGTGTATGATACAGGTACATACGCAACACCTTCTGGAAGAAGTCGGAGGGTGGTACCTCTAGTTCATGATGACTTGCAGCGGAGATGATATCTTGAGGTGTTTTTGATAGGTAGTTCTGGTGCAACCGTAAGCGTCAAGCTTACCTACCTAGGGGTAGGTTCCCGGCCATGCTCACCATGGTATCCCCAAAAGCCAGTTGTAGCGGGAGAGCAAGCCACCCATCGCCGCCGGCGAAGATAATATTCTTTTTTTAGTGATAGGCAGAGAAGAAAAGAAAAGACACACTAGTAGTGTTGATCTGGGACAGTCATTTTGGAATGATCGTCGTCGAGTTCGGCAGGTTGATCAGACCCGACTGGAGTCATAGTAGCGTAGGTACTATTACACCACATGGACCTCCGAGCAGAAACAAAAACCAGATCACCGAGATGACAACGGGAAAGGCACGGTAGCGGGCGGCAAGGGCCCCCGAACGACAGGAGCTTTCCCGCTGTGGACTGCTCCGTCTTCTAGGAATGGAGCTTGGGCCATCCAAGGGAAGAGCTCTCGGCTGTCGGCAGCTCTCCAAGCTGGCAGGCGGTGAGTCGATAAGGCAGAATCCATTTCTTATCGCATGTCCCTCGCCCAAAGTTCCGCTGACAACAATGGACAGCTGTCAATGTTTGCAACACATCATATTTGAACTCAAAAAATGCCACAACAAGACGGAGAATGGAGTCAAGTAAGCCGGAAGCGCGGGCGCATCCGGAATGTGCCAAAGCCCAAGACGGATGCGGATGAGAGCAAGGAGAATGGGCTGGGAATCCGACCAAATCCAAACCCCGAATTCACAGTCAGCGACATCCACAAGCATCACAATACGGCCAGACAAGAGTGGCAGATATCGGATTGCTGGGAGACCCTGAAGGACCTGCTTGCCACTGCTCGATCCGAGTCCAACCATCCACTCATTACCAAAGCCATCTGTTTTGGGCCTGGTCCCTATGATCCTAGCAATGGCAGCTTTGCGGCCAGGCGAACCGCCCATATGCAGACCGCAGCCTTTTGCGCCATTGTAGACTTCCTAGGTCGGTATCTCAGTGGGCCATGGCCTTGGGGAGGTTTCAATCACTGATGCTGTATGACAGAATCTCAATGTGATCACAAAATCAAACGTGTCATTCAGGAGCCCATGTTCACCCAGATCGACAAGGACTTCTGTGTCGAACTTGGGTTTGAAGTTGCCGATACCCCAGATGCATTTCCCATGGTCGATGAACATACTTTGGTCTATGGCATTCATATGGAGCTTCGCACGTATTACCTTGCTCTGGCTACACTTCCAGCTGCATTTATCGGCGGAGGTTTGGAAGAATGGGAAAAGGTTGTCGACTTTGACCCCAGCCTCAACGAGTTCATTGGTCCCATCTCCAAGATGGATGCCACTTACACCAAGTACCCTTTTCCCGACATGAACTACATATTCTCCAGCACGACCATGTACTGGCGGAAGGGCGACGACGCCCCTAACATCCCAGGTAGTCCGAAAACGTCACTACAAGAACCCCCCCAGGCATCGAAGCAGGCATCGGACGTTACTGAAGCATTGGAAGGCTTGAAGTTGTCGGGGCAAGCATCAGAAGAGAAGGAACCTGATACGGAGTCCTCCAATCATCCAGAGAAACTTGTGGAACCGAACAGTTGCAGAGAATCGAAGCCACCGACCACTGAGGACTGATGGTCATTCCAGGCCCCAGAGCGCTTGGTAATCCATCATCTTTCTCCTAGACTCATCTTTCATGGTTGGCTTTGTTATACGCTCCCATTCATGATACCGAATTTGTTATCATCGGCCGAATCTGAAAATCACTTTGCCCTCAGCCGCCTAGTCCTCTTGACTTCGTGAGCAGTTCAGACAACCGGGATTTCAGGTATCAAGATGCCTCATCTTATGCCTGGCTTCGCTGCGCTCATTTCCCTCTCGCAGATCCGGAAAACCTACATATCACATCCACATCGCCATAGCCTGTTGCATTGTTGGTCTAGGACCACAAATGTCGACGTTAGGTTCCCCTGGGCAGACAGCCTCAGCACCATCGGACCACACAATAACATGTGTTATAGCACAGGGGCATCTGCTATACTTACATGTCCCGTGTATCCTTCTTATCATTGAGATTTGAGGAGGTTCAACGGTCAAATGCACAGCAAAGGAGTCTAGCGGCGCCGGAGACGGGCGAGAAGAGAAAAGGAGCCCACATGTGATGTCACCTTAGCAATAAAACACTCCCGATCGGGCAAAGGGTCAAAGCGTAAAAGTCGCGATGCAATTTCGCAAGATTGCGGTGGACAGGGAATGGAACTTCGGGAGAGGCCTTGGCGAACACCTGTTCCAGAAGACCATGGTGCCGGAGTCGTGCTCATCAAGTGATGTTCTGTCTGTCGCTCCGGATGGCCTCTGTGCTTTCTCCTTCTTTTCTTTCTTCTTCAGCTTATGTACTACGGCGCAATCGAAAACCACCGGCGCCGTATTCCGACAGCACCATCTTTTGAGTTTACTACAACGCCGATCCCCTACGGCAACAGACGAGACACCTTCAAAGACGGCAACAAGCGAGCGAGATGGCCTCAGGGCTCTCATAGCCCCTACACCACAACCCTACCATAGAGCTCCAGAGCGATTCCCAATAGATCTGTCGCATCTTCAGGGATCGTATCCGTCCCAACAAGTCAGAGACCAAGACCGCGTCCGCTTTACACAAGAACAACCAAAACACCACATGGACCGATCTCAACCAAAACCGTCACCAAGAAACTCACCCACGCAGGGGAAGGTGCCCGAGGTATACTGGGCAGATGATGACCAGGAGGATGAGCGAGGGAACGCAGAAGACTCGCAGTATACTTTCTTTCGTGAAGGATCACCAACACCGCCAGAGTACGAAAAGGGCCTTGCGGCTGAGCGAGCTGCTGCAGGCGGATCGGTAACTGGAAGTTATGCGGCCTCTCGTTCGACAGTTGGCGGCAGTCTACCGCCGGCTGAAGAATACCGAGGCTGTCTCGGCAAGTATCAACAAAGATGGGGTATAAGGAGAGGTGTCCTCTGGGCGATTGTTATAGCGGCCATATTGCTTGTTATTGTGCTTCCCCTGAGTGTGGGCCTTGGTGTTGGCTTATCGAGGTCGTCAAAGTCGTCGTCCAGTTCAACAGCACCCGGACCATCAAGGTACGGTATAGCTTTTTCGAGTTTCCGCACTTACATTTTATGCTGACACTTGCAATAGCTCACAAACTGCCCTTCCTACATCGACCATCCAAGACGCTATCACTATACCCTCACCCATGCCCAGTCATTCTCAAACGGCAGTCTCAACCGCAACAATCATTCCAAGTAGCACCACCTCGTCATCAATCAACAAACCAAGACCAACAGCCTACTCCGACTGTCCCGCCGCCAACAACACGATGCACAGGATTCCCGGGCTGGCAAAAAGCTTTCTGCGCCTTTGCGGAGTCGACTACACCGCAGACGACCTCGGCAACTTCCTCGCCGGCGATATGGCCGAGTGTATCGATGCCTGTGCGGCCATGGAGAGGTGTAGCGGCTGCTCTTGGGGCTATCTGGATGGTGACAAGGGCAACAAGCACCGGTGCTGGTTGAAGAGCAATTTGCAGACTGCCAAGGAGCAACCGAGTGATTGGTGTTTTGCGATGATTCATTGATGCAGTGACGGCTGAAGGCGTGGGGCGTTTAGTGTGATCGGAAGTTGAAGACGAAAGATGGAAGATGATGGAAGATACCCAACCCTAACCAATTCTTGGGTGTACCTACGACTTCAGTCGAATGCATTTCCAAACGTCTACCGGTGCTCTTGTCATTCACGCGCCGGCACGCAACTTCCGTTGGTACATGCAGCTGACTGGCGGTATCCAACCGAGTGTTTACGGTGTCTCGCTATACCTAAAATCTCCTACCGCTCACTCTATCTTAATACTGTGGACAACAAATCCCCTCATGGTTTCACTGTCTTATTCTTTGGACAAGCGGCATTCTAGAGCTTCTATCTAATCACTTCACCTACGGCATCACGTAGTGCTGATTCAGTGGGTCTTGGGGATGACACGCGCCGCCTCAAGTTCGCCGAAAGTGTCCGACAGCGACTTCCACGTGTCCATGTATCTGATATGAGGAAGATCTAACGTTAGCGGATGTCCATCATCGTAGAAGAAAGAGAGAAAAAAGGAGTGTTGATAAATACGTACCCAGTCCACCCAGCCTCCCTAGCCTTACTCATGCTACCCACCACATCATAGTTTCTCCCCAAAATAAAGTCAGTAAACGCCCAAGTCGCCTTCTCCAAAGCATCCTTCTGCAACCCCTCTCTCTCGGCAAGCCTGTTCCAGGCCTGCTTCACCTCCTCGGTCTTGGACCACTTCACCAAACTGATCCTCTGCTCCAGCTGACTAGGCGGGATCGACTTCGCTCCCTCCAGTCCGAGCTCCTTCGCCAGCATTGTCACCGGCTGCGGCGCTTTCTCGGTGAGCTGGACCAGATTCGCCAGATCTTTGGGAGCAGGAGAAGCGAATTGGTCCGCCTTAACCTTCATCCCGAACCACTGTGCCACTCTAGGCCACAGATCCTGCCAGCTCTGCACGTCGCCGTTGAACACGTTGAAGCCTTCATTCGCCGTCTTGGGCTCCTGCACCGCCCACACGCAGAACTGCGCGTGCAGCTTGCTGCTGGTGAAGACGTCGAACTTGGTATAGAAAGTCTCGTTGCCTGGGAATTCCAGATCCCGACCAAGCTCCTTGTTCACAGCCGCGTAGATGGCGATATCCGTAGCCAGGTTCATAAAGTTACCGCTGGCATACCCGATGACGTCGTTGGGGTAGGTCACAGTCCAGCTGATCTCCGGGTGCTTGCTTCCCTCGCCGCAGAAGGCCCTGAGGATATCCTGCTGGCGATAGTAGAAGTTGGGCGGCCACTTGCTTTCGTCGCGCAACCAAGGGTCGGACTCGAGCATCGGGTTCTTGGCCTGGCCCAGGTGCACGCCGTACTGCTTGCAACCGGTGACCAAAACAATACGCTTGAGCTTGGAGACGGCGCCGGTGATTTCAAGGGCGTCCAGGAAGTTCTGGAGCATGGCACCGTTGACGTCCGCGTTTTCTTTCTCCGTGGCCTTTTGCAGCCAGGCGCAGAAGAAGACGTGCTCGACGGCATCTAGGTCGCGGATGGCTGAAAGGTCCTTGGCCATGTCCTGGGCGGAGTTGAGCAGGTCGATGTGGTGCTGCTGGACGCTAGGGCTGCCGAAGTCTTCCTTCTTGGAGCGAGAGAGAGCATGGATGGACTTCCATTGGGAAGGGTGGGCGGATAGCTCTTTGATTAACTCGCGGCCGATAATTCCTGAGGGAGAAACGTGGTGAGTTCATGAGTTATGGCGGGTGATGAACGCAGGAGTGTCTTACCGGTCGCGCCGAGGACGATTGCTGAAGCCATGATGGTTTAATCGATAGTGTGAACTTTGAGCCAAAGAATTGATGCTATCACAGTGGTATGAAGGAGAAGGAGAGCTTGATATCAAGTTTCGCTTCTCTTGTCTGTTGTCTTGAGCACTGCGGGAATAATGGCGGGGTGTTGATGCTGACAAATGATAGCTTCAGGTCAATTACGTCACACCGACGACTCGCTGATGAATCGCCAACTCATCGTCCATAGACAACAACTCTATTACCCTTATACACTAATGCATATCCAACCTATTTCGTCAAAATAGTACCCTTTGACCTGTGGTCCTATGCCCAAGTGTACCATATGGTATAGGGAGAGAGGGTGAAGAGGAGTCTTGGCGCCAAGAGCTAGAAGGCAACCCCGCCATAACTGAAACGATGAGTGAGTGAGCTACCTACCGTCTCCCTGATCCTCAACAACAGTGCTTGATATCTGAATGTATCGCTGGTCCCTCAGTCACACACTCTCGCAACCAAATCTGTCCTCGTCGATACATTCGTAGTTGCCAATGTGAAGCCTATGATTCCCGGAAGAGGAAGTTCAGCAACTAAAGCACCGCAGGCGAGAGAACGTGTGACCGCCGTCGGTGATGATGGGGCCAGTTGGGTAATGATAGGCAATGCCTTTTCGGATGGCGAAAGGGAAAGGTATCAGTTTCATGGGGTCTCAATGATTCAGGTTATCTTTGAAGCCTCTTTTCCAGTCACATCCTACGGTACTTTCCACGTTTATATCCCCTCACCATTTGAAACAGCAAATCAGAGCAATGGACTTGACCATCGCCGACAGCCTCAGCCCCACTATGGGACAAAGTCTAACCAATCGGTACAGGAACCGACGGTCGACATGGAATGCATGAGCATCTTTGTCGACTTCGCCAAGACATCTTAACTTGACGACAACATCCTTCACGTTGGACACTTCGATGACATTGCACCCCACAACAACGCGCGCAGATTTTGGCACCTTTTCCATTCATAATCCTTATTCTTGGGCACTCTTGACTGGATAACACTATGTCATGTTCACATCTGGCAGCGATGGCTCCAGACGCAAGTCCGAGGACTCTGGTTCTCGAACAACCAGTCTTCTTGCCTCAACAGAACAGCTCCGGAAAGCCTCCTCGACCTTCAAAGTACTATCCTGGCCATGAACAATTCATGCTTCATTGGTTAGCATCTCACTGAGCTATTTGATGGAACACTCGCTGCCTCAGGGCCTGGCCATCAGCGAGTGTCATACGCATACCCTCTGGCATCAAGGGCGTTCCCAACGTGGAGTGCGCTCTTGGTACATAGTTTATATGGTAATTACCCGTCTATTTAGACTACCGAGACAGTAGACTCTCTATGGCGCATACTGCGCAGCTTTCCACATGTCTTTGTGCTCAGGTCGATTTCCCCTATTTTGATTTCGAGCATGGGGATACTGCCATTTGTCAAGCTTGTGTGTCAATCAGATGGAAGTTGCGAGCTACTTCTGTTGAATTTGAGGATGCCAAACTCACACATACCGTCTCCTGCCCGCGAAACAACTTCATGGGTTGCTTGGAAATGGGAAGTAATTGGCGACGAACGCAGAAAAATGCACAGGTCTCTTTGGGATAAGGGCATAACGGCACAGCCGGAGAATGATGATATTGCTGGATATTCCACCTGGTATTTCCGCGTTCATACTGAACATGCTCCTCATATTTCATCCTGGGTCCCATGGGCTTGGCTGGCGTCTGTTTGTCTTCTGCAATGTTACTTAGGATAAGTAGGATGGGGTACTGAGGCAGAGGTCACGGTACAGTCATTACCGAGTTCGCCGTGCTGATTTCAGATCCGGGTGGCCCGCTCTCCTGCCTGGCCTCCGTCCGATTTTTCGTCGTCGGGTCACTCTTCGTACCTTCCTTACCTGTTGTTCCAAAGGGCAGCGAAGTCAGGACGGCAGCGCCTTCGCAATCTCCACCGAACCTTCGCCTCTTTCTTTTTCCCCCACCTTGTTCAAGAATCTGAGCCGGTTTCCTCTCGGCACATCGGCTTCCATCACATTTCTTCGTCTTCGCCTTAGCAATCAGGACTCTATTCCCGACGCGACACGACAGAAGCGTGACAAACAACATCATCAGAAAGATGCCAGACGACGATCTGATTGACAAGCTGCTAGCCCAGCTGCCCGCGCCATACCCACTTTCAACTGGGCGTAGCAGCAATGAGACGTCGCTCCCGTCGGTCAGGAGGGAGAGAACCGGTATGGGATATTCCTCTGCTCCCTTTGTCACCCTCATTCCCTCTAGTTCTTTGATTAACCACCGCCGAAGTTGCTCCCACGTTCCAAAATATTCCTCCCCTGCGCGTCTCGGACCGTGGTTCAAGCAGCGAGCTCGGTTTGTTACCTCTTTCCGCTCATACCTTGCTTTCTATTTGTGCTCGCAGTACTAAAAGGTCTCAGAGCCAGGTGAAATTGCCTCCACCCACACCGCCGGCAGTTCGCCGTTGGATGGCGTTCAAAAAGGGCCAATGGTCATTCGCCCTGCGCCCGGAAAGGTTGACGTCGTTAAAGAGCTACCTGGCATCAAAAATCCATTGTCTTCTCTCCTCCATTCACAGGTGCCGGCCGGCCCAAAGCCCGTGCCGGGAACACCTCAGGATCGGTTCAAGAACTCTGTTCTGGCCAATCCTTTGATGGGTACAAAGTCTCCACGTGCCCCGGGCAGCTGGGGCGGCCCTCAGCCGGTGTTCCGATCCCATGCTGGCCATACCTTCTTCTCACAGAGTCAGGAGCGTGTGAAGGGCGATGTGCCCGGGGGCTTCGGGGGATTGCAAGCCCCCGGCAAGGCAAAGGCAAAGGTAGCCACTGCAACCGTGGCTAAACCTTCTGTTGGATCCTCTGAGCACGCGAATGACCAGACGCTCCAAACCCGCAGCACCAGCGCGAGCCGCCCCTCTACCAACATACCATTTGGTAACGTTCCAAGGGGACCGAAGAAGGACCAGCCTCAGGCTTTGTTAGCGCCAGAGGCTTCAGTTTCCTATGATGTGAACGCTAAGAAGAAACTTTCATTGAGATGTCAGTCGCTTGGGTTTAACCCTGAATGGGTTTTGGGTGCAAATGTGGGCGGCAAGTGCAGTTTCAACGTCAAGCTCCGAGACGTCATGGTCGAATCTGACGGTTTGTATATTGGAGAGCAAATGGCAAAGGCGGTTGTTGCAGTTAAGGCGCTGAGGGATTCGGAGCTTTGGAGAAAACTGGAGCGCTGGTCCCGTCCACCAGCGTCTTCCAAGGCCTCCGCGACTAGCCATGCCAATGGGTTCTCGGCCACGTCAACAAGCAACTCTCGCCAGAACAAATCTCGTCAGCACAACTCTCGTCAAAACTTGCCCTTAGTCAAACGAGAGCCAGGCATCTTGAATGGTGCTGCGAGCCGCACTACCGAGGAGAGTGAGCGGCTTCAGCTTCTGATCATGCTTCAGAACTACATCGGGCCCTCGGTGCCCAACTATGCCGATCGTCCTGATGTTTGCAAAGCCTTTTTCGAGGGATTAGCCATGGGAGCTCGTCTCACAAGGCCTTCCCAAAGCCCGTCCGAGCACATTCAGAAAGACCGCGCCGGATCACGCTCCCCCCCAACCCGCCATTCTAACATTTCTGCTAGCTACCGGGCCCGTTCACCTCTTGGAGTACGTGGCAGGCTCACTCCGCCGCCGGTCTATTTTCAGTACCCGGGCCGACCTGATTCAAGTTACTACAGGCCGTGCAATACGCCCCGCCGCGAGCCCCCTCGCGGACCATCTGGTGATTCCAGGGGAAACACGGTTGTCAAGAAGGAGTAGGATGGACTTGATCGACAGCAACTCTGCTAGCAAGCAGAACGAATCGGTCGCGTACGACACAACGACCACATGAGAAGGGGGTATGATGGCTGCTCGGGTGCGAAGGCAAACGTCTCGAGACATATTTATCCCGACTTCTATCCGAGAAGACTTAGTAGGATAGTGAGAAGGAGCTATTATCCTGACTTTTATCCCCCAATTGGTTCACACCGGTGGATATTTAGGAAGAGGATTTTGGGACATCGGCTGCGGCGATTGCAAAAGGGGCGCATGGTGTTGTGAGCTTGGATGACTTTTTGTCTGAACGGATTTGCCTTATTGCGCGCTATCCAGGCACAATACACGGCATGGCGAGATACCAGGCGTTTGGCTGCTCATTATGATGCTCTGCTATGGTTATACAATTAGAGCGATTTGTATGTACGTACTGTTAGTAGTTGTTGCATTGGCTCGGGTCTGTTATATGGAAGAATGGCTACTTTCACCTCAATAGAAAAGAAAGTGTCCGCTTACAAGTTACTGTGATGACGAATATAGACGCTGTCGTTATCAATCTTGTCCGCCCGATGGGGATGAACTTAGTGATCTGCCTCTGCCATCCATCCCGCGGGTGTCTGCACATCATGCCCATGTCCGTGATCACATCCAGGACCAGGGGATGTCGCTCCTCTACGTACCTACACTAGACAAGCTCAATCAAGTTAGACTTTCGGATGGCCACGAGGGATCAATCCAAAACGAGGACAGACCCTGGTCGCTGTGGACCGAAGTAGACTAGGATCAGCCAACATTTAAAATTACATGGCTTGGTATTTGACCATCCCTGGCGCTGTTTGAACCCTCCCCCCTCTCCCCAAAGGCACCCTTTCAGTCCCTCCTGTTCTCTCACTGTCGCTCTGATGGCCGCGCAATTTCTCTTCAATCCTTCCTTCTCACAAAATTCCTTCGTTTTGAGCAGCACATCAGTGGATAGTTGGGTCGCCTTTGACATATCCTGCCCTGATTGATACCGGCATCCATGCCCCTCCTGTTCTGGCAGTGAGTCGTCGTCGTCGTCGTCCTTACGGTTCCTACTTACGGTCCCTACGGTCGTCAATCGTCAATGGGCTCTCACTTATCAACCTGCGCCCCAAAAGGGGACGAATATTACCACTGCGACTACTCCATTGCCGGCTTTCGTGACAATACGAGTACGGTAGCGGACGACATATTGGGCTTTACTAGTGTTGCGCTCCAGGAGGAGTTGCAGTCTCTACAACCTAACCCGGATGTAGCAGGTGTCGGTGTAAGTCGATATAACTTCTTTTCTTCTTCTTCTTTTACTCAATCATCCCCCTCTTTTTCTTTTTGGCGCTATTTTTTGTATGTTAAGTTGTTGTTCGTTGTTGTCATCCGACCCACCTTTGACCTACAATTACTGAATGTATACTACATGTAATAGACCTTGGTCGGCTTCGTCATATCCTTCGCCGCCTCGACATTACTGGCGTTATTCATCCACTCCGTCGAATGCCATGAGATCTTCGGCCAAAGTCATAAAGGCGACCACGAGAAGCACTCGACCAAACACTGGTGGAACATCGCCGATACCATCCTGATCTCATGGTCCGACCAGCAGCTCGTCTTGGGCATGGCCACCTCCATCGCGGCCCTCAAGACCTGGTGCTCCTTCTCGACCTACCACCTCAATCTCATCGGCCAGTGGCTCGTCCTCTGCTCCGTCACCCACGCCAACGCCCTGCTCGTACACTGCAAGTATTTTCATCGTCGGCGCCTGCTTGCCGATGGGTTGCGCGTTGTCACCATTTTGACCAACCTCATCCTGTCCGGCATGGTCTTTTTCGTTAGTCGATCCGTCGGAGGCAAAGGGATGCCCTCGGTCGCGGACCATACTCCCTTGCAGATCTTGCCGGCGCAGTGTTTCTTCAAGCACGCCATCCTGGCGCCCGGATTAAAGTTGGTGGATGGGTATGACCAGTATTCTCATCCAAACGGACAGGCGCTGTTCTTGATGAGTTTGCTGATCTTGATTGCGGCCGGGTTATCCATGGCGGCGCATCGATGGCGCGGGAAGGGAGCGAGGAAGAGTCGGTGGTCGTGGGGCATAAGGACTGTCATGCTGTTGGCGAATATCGGCGTTGGCTTTGCGTCGCTGGTGTCGTCAGTCGAGCTGAGGGATTGGATGCATGCGAACGGGTGGATGGAGGATGATTCGGAGTTGGAATGGTCGTATGGACAATTTATTCCTGCGCTGTTGGGTTTGCTTGTTTTTGTATCGGTGTTGGAGAATGTGTTTGGTAAGTTCTTTCCGTGGTTCATTTCCCGTCCGCCACTTCCTGTTGCCAGTCAGCTCACTAACGTGTTGTTTCGTTTTGCGGTTTCTAGATGAGCTTCCGGACAGGAAGAGCATGGACCAGCAGAGCTTGATACAGCTGGGTCGCGACGGGCAGTTCGAGATGGATATGCGACGAATATCGGCACAGTCAAAGATGGATTTCAAGGTCCCACAAACAACGGTCTCGCCGCTCGATCCAAGACCGTTTGACCCGGACGAAGGGCGAAAATGGTAAGGTGAAAATGACTAACGGCGAAATGCGAGGGGCAGACTGCCGGTAGCCGAAGGGCCCCACCTGCTCCAAATTCGCATTTCGGGGGACCAGTCAGACCGACGTCAGTAAAAGTTGGTTCATCGGCAGGGCCATGATAGCGAAGGAACATGTAATGTATGAAAGTATCGATACCCTCAAATTCTCTGAGACCCCATCAGACTTAGACTGCCCTGAGTCGTCGTGATTGCACTAGTAGTGCGTTTTTGAAAGTCGGACGGATTGTCTTCGTTCGCAGCGAGTTGTCGAAAGGAAGAGAAGGAAGGGACCCTTACCCAGGGGCAGGTGGATTCGTTATGCAAGGTACCAACCTGAACCAATCAACGCTGGTACAATCTACGCAAGTGGAACCCCGCTTTCGTCCTTTTTTTCGTCGGTCGCTCTTTGGAAGCGTTTGTCAACTTCAAATTCCGATAATGTTGCGCCTACACGCTGTGGCAACGCAAAACACAAGAAGTTGATAGGTCCTATTCGAAATAACACGCACCGAGACTCATGTCCTTTTCACGTTATAATCAATGTTACACCCTACCACACATCGCATGACTACTTCAATTGAAATCGAAGGTTACTAGCAGCACTAGTGTTCATGCTGCCTTCCTTGATCTAGGGCCAAACTACGACTGCTGAAGCACCATATAGAGGTGAGGGTTTCAAGAAATTATCATATTAGGCAAGATGGCCGAGCGGTCTAAGGCGCCACGTTAAGGTTAACCCTTAATCCTCATCTGAGAAATCCGTGGTCCGAAAGGGCGTGGGTTCGAATCCCACTCTTGTCAAACATATCGCTTCCACCGAACTCGGGTGGAGGTTTCTTTTCCTTTTACTATTTTTCACTCGGCCAACATGGTTGGCCCCTCATTGGTTGTTCTTTTGTCTTGGGAATAACGAGTACGGTACTTACGGCTTCAACTTCAACTGTCATCGACTGTAACTTTTCTTTTTCCTTTACTATAAGTCTCCTCAATACCCGCCTTTATCATTTCAAACTACTAGCCAACGTACTTGCTGACAGTGACCTGTTGCTGTAGAAACTAACCCTTTGAGTGAAGGTAGAGAGGTTAGGGTTTGTGATGGGAGGGGGAATGCTTGGCATTTTTTTTTTCCACTCGTAAGGTGTGAACAAAACTCCATCCAAACTCCACAGAACAACTTAGAGTTGATCAAGACCCTCGGTTCTATTTTGCTGCGATTGCCTCAGCCGCTGCATATATAACTTGTATCTCGCAATGTTACTTCACAAGCTTGGCTGACATTTCCTGGTCTGGCGAGAGCGACACTTCAACAACAACAACAACAACAACAACAACAACAACAACAACAACAACAACAACAACAACAACAACAACAACAACAACAACAACAACAACAACAACAACAACAACAACATTAACAGCGGCAGCTCTTTATACAATCATTCTGGTCACGAATGCTTTTCGAAGCAACACATTCAAGGCGATAGCTTCTGCTACTTTCAGGATTTACCCCCCCCCCCCCCCCCCCCCCCAAAAAAAAAAAAACAAAAAAACAAAAAAACCAAAAAAAACAAAAAAACACAAGAACGCAAAGCTCCCATTGTTCATCATAATCAATTGTCAGTCAAAACCCAGGAGCCATCAGTTTCGACACCGCATCACATAGCCATCATGGATATCCCACAGCAGAAGAAAGTACAGCAACAGGTGCCCACCATGGAAGAAGTGCAGAACATCATCAAGCTGCAGCGCTCTATCATGGTCTCACTATGTCAGAAAAAGGCCAGGCCCAATCTACAAGAAAGAAGTTGAAAGACCTGTCCCTGTTCAGCAGACTTCATCAAGGCCGGCGAAGAGAGCAAGATACTGACTTATGCTCACAAGAGACTGGGTTAATCGTCTGCTTTCGCTTTACGCGATGATCATCAGCCTGCCGCCAGCGAAGAATGAGGGTCAATAATACTTATTGATTATCCATCTCCAAAAGCTTGACCTAATACAAGCTCAAACTCAACTGCTCGCCCTTCACCCATTTCTCCAAGTTCTCAATTTGTTGATCATACCACCCGGAAAGCGTATCCTCCTCAACGTACCCCATATGGGGTGTAAGCAGCACTCTGCTCCGCCCATCCTCTCCCCACTTGGTTGTCCTCCACTTGCTATCCAACGGCAGCGGCTCCAAGTTGAACACATCCAGCGCCGCAGCCCTGATCATGCCCTGCTCCAACACTTGGAGCAGATCCTCCTCGACCACGAGCGGTCCGCGCGACGTGTTCACAAAGATGGCCGTCTTCTTCATCAACTCCAGATCCTTCTTGGCAATCCCACCCCTTGACCGATCCGACAAAACCAAATGCACGCTCACTACGTCCGCCGTACTAAACAGCTCCTCCTTGCTGACCACCTTGAACGTCTTCTCGCCCGTCTGCGCATCCTCCACCGGCAAGCCGGCCTTGGCAGCCTGCTCGTCCGCCTTCTCCTGCGTGAGGTTGCTGCTCCAAGCAACGACCTTCATGCCAAAAGCGACACTCATAATCTTGGCCACCGCCACGCCAAGTCTGCCCAGGCCAACAGTACCCAAGGTCTTGCCCCGCAGGCTGACGGCGGGAACGGTCTGCCACCCGCCCGTCTTGACGGCCCGGTCGTCCTGGGCTACGTTGCGGGCGGCGGCGAGGATCATGGTGACGCAGTGCTCGGTGGTGCTGACGGAACCGACGCTGCCTGGGTTGGACTTGTCGACGGCACCGGCGACGGGGATGCCCCGCTCCTTGAAGGCGTCCAAGTCTAAGCCCAGGTTGCGGTTGCCGGTGGTGAGGAGGAGCTTGAGGTTAGGGAGGCGGGAGATGAGCTCGCGTGGAAAGGGGGTGCGTTCTCTCATTGTTGCTGTGAGAGAGAGTGTATTATGTGTCAATTGATTAAATGGGTGACCTCATGCAAGGAAGTTGAAGGAGATGGGGAAATTGCAAGTCCGAAAGGGACGTACAGATGACAGTGAAGGGCTCCAGCCTCTTGACAAGCTGATCCTTCACATCTTGAGTAGTGTCGGGGTGGTTATACGGGCGGAGGGTGTCCTTGAAGAAGGAGACTTCGTACTTTGACGAGTCCAGAGCCTTGAATTTTGGTTCCGAAATGCCCTGGTAGTCATCGAGGACTGCGACCTTTAGTGGAGAAGAGGACATTGTTGCGAAGAGCCTGGAACCGCGTCTAAGAGATGTGGACAAGAGCGACATTCGATATGACGGTCAGGGGGGAAGATCCGATCTTTTAGGATGTCTCGTCGTGGCACGGTGACAAAGCGCCCATGGGATGAACTTGGCTCAAAAGGAAACCGACGCAAACCGACACCCGCACGCTGGTGATGCCGTCATCTAGATGCCCCACTTGGAGCTTCATACCCCGCAATGTCGGGTTGTTCCGAACCGTCGGGAGTTCAGATACACGGTCCCCACTTTACCCCTTGTCCGTCCCCTGGGCCCCAGCTCAACCCCGGGTTTGGCTTCCTGGAATCCCTTGTTAAACATCCACATCCACATCAGGGTGGATGCGCAATGGCTGAAGTTGTTCTTCCAGATGATACATCGGTGTCACAGCATGGCTGTAAAGAGAGTTGGAGCAATGCCATCAAGGAGACTGAAGACACACTTGGGTGAGGCTTTGTAAGTGTAGATGGTGAAAGTTACAATTTGCTGGGCATCCTCGTGGCGCCGTCCAGCCGGATAACTACACCGTTCAACATGACATTCTCAATCGCCTGCCTGGCCAAGGAAGCAAACTCTTCAGGCTGACCCGCCCGCGAAGGAAACTCCATCGCCTTCTTCAACCCCGTCCTCACCTTGTCGCTCATCATGGCCGTCATGGCCGAGTCAAACATGCTCGGCGCAATGGTGACGACTCTGATTCCAAATCGGGATAGATCCCGAGCCATGGGCAGCGTCATGGCCGCAACAGCGCCCTTGCTGGCGGCATAAGAAACCTGACCCATCTGACCATCAAAGGCGGCAGAGCTGGCAACCATAACAATAACACCGTGCTCGCCGTCAGGACCGTAGGCCGGGGAAGAAGCGAGAGCAGGAAGGAACTGGCGCACGAGATCGAGGACACCGCGGAGGTTGATGGAGAGGACAAAGTCGATGGACGACAAGGAAAGTGGGTTCAGGGACTTGTCGAGCATCTGGCGAGTGTCAGTTCAAGTCCAACGCGGAGACATGGCAGAGATACCTACCAAACCCGGACTTCCAACCCCGGCAGCGGGGATGATTCCACCGAGAGGCTTCCCAGTCTCCTTGATCCATTCCAGGGTTGACTTCACGACGGACGCAATGCTCTCGGTGTCCGTCACGTCGCACTGGAAGAAGCGGATGGATGACCCAAGTTCCTTGGCCAGAGCAGCTCCGGTTTCCTCGTTCATGTCAATGACAGCAGCATTACCGCCCGACTTGACAATGTCCCGAACGCAGGCACGGCCGAGGCCAGAAGCACTAAAAGTACATAGTGTATGTAGTTGTCAGTCAAAAGAACCCACTCGACTTGGAATGTGATGTCATCGCTGATACGTACCCGCCCGAGACGACAAATGTCCTTCCTTCGATAATCATTCTGAGAAAAAATCCGTATTCAACACAAGACTTTTCAGAAAAGAACTGAAATAGTTCAAGTTACATGTTCAGCATAAGGCATGACAAGAAGAGGACCCCGACTCAAACGGGGCTACCAGTGGATGTCGGGAATCGGGGTCCTCCCCACCCACGGTTTTGGCAGACATGGAGTGCCTCGGCACACGCTGCAGGCGGTTGCTTTTTAGATAGGACCCTGGCCCAGTCGAGGGCTCGGTGGCCTGTGCGTTCCCTTCGCAGCGGCAACCTGAAGCAAGCAGTAACAGCTCATCACCCGATTTCCAACTGCAAATTGTTGGCTGCAATCAAAGACTGTGACGTTGGGTCCAATCTTGCATCCTGTGAAAGCAACCCTGATATCCTACCTCTGCAGACCGACTTTTTCTGTTGTCGATGCTCTTCACCTCTGATAACTCAGTTGTCACTTCGCAACCGACATAGGTACGATACCCAACGACCATCTTACCACGCGACCATACCATCGAGTATCGACCCCTGCCTGGCGCCCTTCTACAAGCTAGGCAACTTCAGTTGGGAAGTCCGTCCTTATCAAAGTCCCTTGTTGCCGCGATAACTTAGCCTCTCCCACACGTTGTGGAGCCTTGTCTCGCCAACCCCCCAGCGGCCGAACCGGGTGACAGCATATCCATGGTTTAACAAACACAAACAATTCAACCTACAAACTAGATATCGACGATTTCACCATCTACGACAGCATTTGCGCGCTGCTCGAAATCAGATTGCCCGACATATTCCTCGGATTTGAGAATCGAGAAAAAACAGATACGCCCAAGTCAACTGACCACATGAACTCCTCACAAAACGACAGAGCTCGAATTCGTCATCACAGATAGCAACCCGATAACAGAATAGGTCTCGCGGCGAAAAGACAACCAAACTCGGCCCATTGTGCTCCATCGCTTAATCGAAAGACGGTAAATCGTCCGTCAGCTGGGATACCAGAGGATTTCAAGAAGCCATATTTCCGGCTACACTTCGGACCATTCATTCACCATGACAAGACCTAGGCGGTCATCCGCTACGAGCGAGGAGAGCGCGGGGACTGGGAGAGAGCAGGTAATAAATCCAAGAGTGGGATTACGTTGGCACCTCTATCTAACAGTCATTCTGAGCACAGGAACTGGGGAGTATGTACGATTACCTCGCAAAGATCATCCTCCTTGGACCAAGCGGGTCAGGAAAGTAAGCATCGCTAACCCAATTCCACAACTCTGATCCCCATCTAACCGCTTGAACCCCAGATCCTGCCTCCTTCATCGCTTCGTGAAAAGCGAGTGGCGCGTCCTCTCCTCCCAAACAATCGGCGTCGAATTCGCCTCCAAAATCATAAAAGTCGGCACCGGCGCCCGCCGGAAGCGCATCAAGCTACAACTCTGGGACACTGCCGGAACCGAGCGCTTCCGCTCCGTGTCCCGCTCCTACTACCGCGGCGCCGCTGGAGCCGTGCTCTGCTACGACATCACATCCCACAACAGCTTCTCCAACCTGCAGCCCTTTCTCAACGACGCCCGCGCGCTCGCCTCGCCGAACCTGAGTCTCATCCTGGTGGGGAACAAACTCGACCTAGCCGGGGGCGGCCATCCCGGTGACGAAGAGGACCTGCTCGGCCCGCTGCCGCCACCTACGCCAAGCAGTATCAGCGCGCATAGCATTCCGTATACGATTAGTAGTGTGCATACGGGGAGCGCGGGCGTCAGCGTGGCCGGGACGCCGTTGCAAGCGGGGAGCTACGCTTCGTCTACTACATCTACCATCCGCCCGGGAGACAGTACGAGTACGAGTTACGGGTATGGACTCGGGTCGCAGCTACAAGCTACGGTGGCGCCGGATGGACGAGAGGTTTCGGCGGTAGACGCGAGTCGATGGGCAAGTATGGTCAATGTTCCAGTGACGATGGAAGTCAGCGCCTTCAGCGGCGAGGGTGTTGACGAGGTGTTTGGGAGACTGGCGAGGATGATCTTGACCAAGATTGAGTTGGGCGAGATTGACCCAGATGATCCGATGAGCGGGATTCAGTATGGCGATTATGGAGGTGGATGGAGCGGTGGTGCGAGCGATGGGGCAAGTATTAAAAGCTCCATGACCGGGGACGAACAGGGAACAAGAAATCGGAGGCGCAAGCCAAGGCGAGGAGTCCAGGGGTTGAGGGAGTGGGAGGAAGTCTTTACGCTCACTAGTGGCAGAAGGAGGAACAATGGTTGTTGTTGAATCTGCATGGGTTGATGTTTTGGGTCGTCATTTTTCTGGGAGAAGGCGTTTTTTTACCCCAGCCTTGCCTATGATACCATATGCGTCTTGCTTTTTATCTGGTCTCAACAATGGCACATCCCTCGTTTTGGGAAACAGAGGGGGACATGTTGGCAAGTCAGGGCTTTATTAAGGGGTGTGAAAATTGGCGTCGGCGGAGCGGTTTTCTTGGACCTTTGTTTTGCATAGCCTACCATTGTATTGACTTGTAGATTATGACATCTTTTGTATATTCAAGCTTGGCGTTTACTGCTTGTGGACTTTGACATTTGTACCAAGATTTTTTACACATCTTATGGAGAAAGTTGAGCGCTTGATAACGGATCTTGTGTTTACGGAGTGCGCCCATCCGCCTCAACCGGGATGGAACTTCTCCGGGAACGGAACGATATGACTTTTGGTCTTCAGCGCCATACATAATATCCGCACCTGTGATATCGCGCCTAATACCGTGCGAATTCACCTCTCCCATCGTCACACCAGGGTCGAAAGTCTTTAAAGGGCTGGGGCCAAATGTTGCTGAAGCTGGCCGTAGCCGCGCTCACACGGTGGGGATTTAGCCTACTATGTGAATTGGGAAGCGGAAGGTCTCCCTCCGCGCTTCAGGGGTCTTGGCCAAGACTTCTCTCATGTTATCAGATCTCTGGACTGTATACAGTCTCGGCGTGTTGTTATCGCAGACTTGATTCCCGACTGTTCAGTTGCAGAATCACAAGTCACCTATGGACATCAAGATGAAGAGTTGACAAATCCGTTTGAGAAGCGCACCAAGTCATGATATCTTGGGTCGGTTGACAGCTACGGTATCTGCGGTTCATGACATAACGATACAGACACAAGATGCCTGACAGCTCCGAGAAGATATGTACATGTCAAGATGAAGCAGCCGCGTTGCAACAACGTCCCCGCTGTGCCTGCATCGCCAGCATGATGGATGAATAGGTAGGTACGTACCACTCATACAGTCTGGTTTTTAGTGTGGTGTAGAGCGCTACAAGCGTCATGCTTGGTGGGGTGTTCAGGGGTTCTCATGCAGCTGGATGTCTTTCCCCGCCATCAACTTCCAGAGCTTCATGAGGAGGATGAGATGGGACTACCTACTACCTAACAGCCCATCGAGGTACCCGGGTAACTTGGCTACCTCTGACTACCACTCGAACGTATCGCATCCTCGACTTAAATATGGGAAAACTGCGCTTCATTCTCAGAACCAAGTGGTTCCTTTTTTTCAGCAGCATCTTTCCTCGTCAGTGTCCTGTCGTTTCTGTCTCTGGAAGCAGGACGGGGAATTGTTTGATACTCTTGATATAACACATCCCCTCCATCGATCCTCTCTTTTTTACCTATACATTCCTTCTACAACATGTCTCCCCGCTCCGTAATCCCCATCGACAAGAACTGGAGGTTCAGACAAGCCGACAAAGAGCACAGCAAGTTCCTGCCCGTCGCTCAGTTCCCTACCAATGTCCACCTAGACCTCCTCCACCACGGCTTGATCCCCGATCCCTTTATCGGCAAGAACGAGCTTGACGTTCAGTGGGTCGGCGAGGCCCAATGGACTTACAAGACTACCTTCAAGGGAGCCAGTATTCCCGAGAATGGCAAGGCCGTCCTGGCCTTTGACGGCCTCGACACCTTCGCCACTGTCAAGCTCAACGGCAGCACTATCCTCGAGGCAGACAACATGTTCATCCCCGAACGTGTTGAAGTTACGTCTTTGCTAAAAGAGGATGACAACGAGCTTGTCATTGACTTTGACAGTGCTTACCTCAGGGGGTGGAAGCTAGTTGAGAAATATCCCGATCACAAGTGGGGGTGCTGGAATGGTGATAACTCGAGACTGGCCGTGAGGAAAGCGCAGTATCACTGGGTGAGTTGTCTCGGTCTGTAACGCCTGGTCTTAGAAACACTTTACTTACTAGTCACATATAGGGATGGGATTGGGGCCCGACCCTCCTGACCTGCGGTCCCTGGAGACCAATCAACCTGGAAATCTTCGAAAGCAGGCTAGCAGACCTTAACATTCAGTCGACTGTTCCGGAGGACCTCAAGTCTGCCGATATCGAGGTTACTGCTGAGGTCGAGGGCAAGGCAGACAAAGTGCGGTTCGATATTTCCCTCGACGGCACGCAAGTTGCCTCGGAAACTGTCCAAGTCAGTTCTGGCAAGGCCACGGCCTCTTTCGCCCTCGAGAATCCTTCACTCTGGTACCCCATTCGATATGGCAAGCAACCCCTGTACCAGGTCAAGGCTACTCTTATCTCCGGTGATAGCGAGGAAGACGAGGTCGAGAAGAGGGTCGGCTTGCGCAGAGCTGAGCTCATCCAGCGACCACTTAAGGGCCAGCCCGGCAAGAGCTTCTTCTTCCAAGTCAACGACATACCCCTTTACTGCGGTGGCAGCGACTGGATTCCTGCCGACAACTTCATCCCTCGGATCACCAAGGAGAGATACTACGACTGGATCAAGCTCGTGGCCGACGGCAACCAGTTCATGATCCGCGTCTGGGGCGGCGGTATCTACGAAGAGCAAGCCTTCTACGACGCCTGCGACGAGCTCGGCATTCTCGTATGGCAAGACTTCATGTTCGGCTGCGGCAACTACCCTGCCTGGCCTGCCCTTCTCGAGTCTATCGAGCGCGAAGCCTACGAGAACGTCAAGCTTCTGCGTCACCACCCTTCCATCGTCATCTGGGCCGGAAACAACGAAGACTACCAGTACCAGGAAAGCGTCAGCCTCACATACAAGTACGAGGACAAGAACGCCGACAACTGGCTGAAGACCGACTTCCCCGCCCGCTACATCTACGAGAAGATCCTCCCCAACGTCTGCTCCGAGCTTATCCCATCCACTTACTACCACCCGGGCTCACCCTGGGGCGACGGCGTCGACACACATGACCCTACCGTGGGCGACATCCACCAATGGAATGTGTGGCACGGCACCCAAGAAAAATGGCAAAACTTCGACAAGCTCGGCGGCCGCTTCGTGTCCGAGTTCGGCATGCAAGCCTTCCCCAACGTCAAGACCATTGACGCCTACCTGCCCCTCGGCAAGAGCGATCCCGATCGGTACCCTCAATCCTCCACAGTAGACTTCCACAACAAAGCCGACGGGCATGAGCGGCGCATCGCGCTCTACCTGGTGGAAAACATGCGCTACGGACCGGACCCGCTCGAGCAGTTCGTCTACGCCACCCAGCTCATGCAGGGCGAGTGTCTGGCCTCAGCCTACAGGCTCTGGAAGCGGCAGTGGAAGGGCCCCGGCAGGGAGTACTGCGGCGGCGCGCTGGTGTGGCAGATTAACGACTGCTGGCCGGTTACGAGCTGGAGCATTGCTGACTATTATCTGCGACCCAAGATGGCCTATTTCACGGTCAAGAGGGAGATGGCGCCCGTGAGCATTGGTATCACCAGGACGGAGCACCGCCACCCCAAGGATCGGTACACGCGCGTGAATGTGGATGTGAGCACCAAGGTGGAGGTGTGGGCAAGTAATCTGACGCTCGAGGACCTCGAGGTCGACTGTCTTGTGAAGGGGTGGGACGTCGAGACGGGCGAGCAGACGTTCAACGAGATGGTTGTCGAGCGGATCACCCTCCCGGAGAACAGGTCGACGGAGATTGACGCCAGGGAGGTGCCCGTCATCGCGGGCGGTGGAAAGGACCAGGAGAAGCGCACGGTTGTGGCGGCGTACTTGTTTGATCGCGATGGCAAACAGATTGCTAGGTATGTGAACTGGCCTGAACCGCTCAAGTATCTGCATTTGCAGAAGCCGAAGGAGCTTAAGGTGGTGCTGTCGGAGGATGGCACGGCGGTGGAGATCAGCGCCGAGGTGCCGATCAAGGGTCTGGTGGTGGAGACGGAGGATGATTTGGTGGTGTTTGAGGATAATTTGGTTGATATTGTGCCGAACGAGGTGGTGAGGATTGGGGTCAAGGGGGCTACCAAGGAGACGAAGCTCGAGGCTAGATATTTGGGGATGTAATGAACGGGCCAAAGCGGGAAAAGAAACAAATATGTTGAAAGGGGTGGATGATACTTAGATACATCTCACGGTGGTCAACTTTTATGTAAAAGAGGAAGCGCAGGACGACATCTCAATCACAAAGACTTGGTTTCAGACTATATGCCTATGTATATATACAAAGAATGACCCGAACCTAAACGCCATCGCCAGAACCCAAAAAAAGAAGAAGCAAGAATTACAATGCGATATTTTCCTTTCCTTTTTTCTTGTCTTCACATCCGCCCCAGCACTTAGCAGCAGCCAGAACCACCGCAAGCCTTGGCCTCTTTCAACTTCTTCTCATCGACAGTAGTATCAAGACCACCCTCGACCTCCTCGTTAGGGCCAGCAATGAGGATCTTGATAACCTCACCCTCCTTAACCTTCTTGAAAGCCTCCTCAGCATTCTTGAAGGGAACAACGCCGTTGACGAGCTTCTTGACATCAACCTTGCCCTGCTCAACAAGCTGAATAGCCAGCCTGTAGTCACCGCTGCCGTAGCGGAACGAGCCGCTGGCCGTGACCTCCTTGATGCAGAGCGCCATAATGGGGAAGGTGATGTTGTCCTTGCCCATACCGCCCTGGACGTAGTGGCCGCCCTGACGGACGACGTGGAGTGCCGCCTGGATGGAGGGCTCGGCGCCGCTGGCGTCGATGACGGCGTCGGCACCCTCGCCGAGGTCGGCGGCCGCAATGATGTTGCGTGCGTTCTCCTCGGGCGACACGCGTTGCGAGAGGTAGGTGTGGGTGGCGGCGAACGACTTGGCGAACTCGAGCTTGGAGGGGACAATGTCGACCGAGACGACCTTGGAGGCGCCGTAGGCCTTGGCAACGGCGGCGCAGAGGAGGCCGACGGGGCCGGCGCCCATGACGACCACGGTCTGGCCGGGCTGGATCTTGGCCTGCTTGGTGATGTGGACGGCGACAGCGAGGGGTTCGATCAGGGCACCTTCCTGGAGCGAGACGGTCTCGGGAAGCTTGTAGCAGAAGTCGGCGGGGGCGGTCCAGAAGCCGGTCAGGGTGCCGTCGTAAGGAGGGGTGGCGGCGAACCGCATTTCGGGGCAGAGGTTGTAGTGGCCGGAAAGGCAGTGGACGCAGCGGCGGCAGGGGTAGCCGGGCTCGAGGGCGACACGGTCGCCGACGGAAAGAGTCTTGACGGCATCGCCGACGGCAACAATGGTACCGGCGGACTCGTGGCCGAGAACCATGGGGTCCTTCACAACAAAGTGGCCGATAGCGCCATGGAGCCAGTAGTGGACATCGGAGCCGCAGATGCCGGTGTAGTTGACGGCGACGAGTACGTCATGGGGGGAGTTGATCTTGGGGACAGGCTTGTCCTGGAAGCAGACGTCGAGGGGCTTGTTAAGAACGAAGGAGAGGTTCTGGAGAGTGAGTGGTCAGTACTGGCTTCAGGGAGAAACAGAGTAACGGGAAACTTACAGACTTGCCGTCGGTAGCCATTTTCAAGATTTGTTTGGTGGTGATCAGGGGACAAGGGGTACTATCTCTGTGGTGTTGTTGATGGAGGTGAGAGAGGACAGAAGTTGAAGGGAAAGACAAGACTGGAAGAGGAGAAGTACGAGGGAGGAAAAGATGGAGGGAACAGGAACAGGTATAAATATGTCTTCGTATGTTAGTCTAACATGGCGGCTCGGAATCTTCTTTTAGCCAGGAATCCGGATAGCTACCTAGCTATGGGGTCCAGAGTCCAGACTCCAGCAACGATTGTATGCCTTGATGCTCTGTCTGGTCTGGCCACCCCTCCTGCTAGTTCATCGTGTGTGTTGCTGCATCGAGGAGGATGGAAGCTTGGATGGGTTGTCATACGCTAGTGCGTGGAGCTGTGGCTGTCCTGACAGCAAGAAAAAAGTCCAAACTGTCAGAGATCATGCCAGGCGAGTACGTAGGGCGGGGATTTGCTAGAGGTACCCAGCACCCGCCTCAATGAAGGTTCCGTTGTCAAGATGCAGCAGAGCGACGGGATGCATGGAAGCAGCTACGCCATGTCATTGACGCTGTCTGGTCTGTTTGTTAGTGAAAGCTATCCCGGAGCTAGGGGTGCCCTGCAGCGGTTCCTTCAGGGGGGGTGGCCGAAACAGAACCCCACGCTCCCCTCCGCTCCACCCACGCAGCCGGGCGCATTCCCATAGCTCCACATCTTTCGACTTTATCCAAGGCATTTAACCGTGCCAATCACCGACGGAGCGCCTGTCCAACAGTATCCGCCGGCATGGGCCAGACATGATGAGTCTGGCTCGTCTGGGCAGGAATTGATATCAGGTGAGAGGCAGAAACTTTTGGAATAAACTGATAATAGGATGTATTGGTGATATCCAAAGCCGTCTGGACGTAACCGCGCATTCCGCGAGGCGAAGTCGGAAACCGAAGGGATCAAGAGGACATTGTGGGCTGATAGGGAAGAAAAGAGTCGGGGTATTACATATGGAATAACCTAGGTCTTGGTAGGTGTCTGCTGTAGCTCCGGGACATTGATATTGCGCAGCATTGCACGAGCTGGGCTTCAGTATACTGGCTGGGGGGCAGCGGGATGCAAGTTCTATATAACATGATCTGCTTGCTGTACATCGTTGGCGGCAGGTTGATATTGCTATGGTGAAGACGTCTCCTTTCATCCTTTCTCGGGGATAATTACCTCTACACCGGGAAAGCGAGCGCTCTGTCATCCCATCAAAACGAAGCTCACCCGGGCCGTTAATGCACGGCGGATAGCTCGGGAAACACATCTGCGTCCAATGTGCACCAGATAAAAGGAAGCTATGCGAAAATAACAACAAAGTCTACAAAAAGACAATTGACAAGGGCGAGATTCGAACTCGCGCCTATTTCTAGACCAGGAAACTCGGGATGAGTGAATTCAGGTGGACCTGAACCTGGCGCCTTAGACCGCTCGGCCACCTTGCCATCGATATTATATTTATATCGTGAAAGTGGCTTTTGAGGACATTAGGGAAGATGCTCAGCATAGCTAGTAACACTAACCACCGCATAGACTAGTACATAGCTGAGGTGGGGCCAGGTGGTTTTTGGCGGGGTTCAAACACTCAGTTGAAAATGCCAAGATCATGTTAAGTACTGACGTCGGTGTTCCAGGGCCGGCGTGTCTAGAACTAGAGCTCCAACCGAATGGGTAAGCCAAGCATCGCGAAACGGAACATCCCGTCTTCTTTTCTTTTACCATCGAAGTGACTGTGAGCGACAAGGTGGGTTAGGATTGAATCGTAGTTGATGGGATTGGGAGTTTTGGTATCGTGAATGCCACTAACACCAGGGCAGGTATCATACGTCTTCGGATACCCGATTATCATCTCTTTGAAACCAACGGCCTGATGCACCATGTTTTGAGGCCCATAGCTTTTCGACTTGCCCTCGTCTCCCCTCTGAGGTCGCTCACCATCACCCATCATCACCTCTTCTTCACAAAACGCACCATGGCATCCAGCGCTAGAACATACAATGTGAGTCAACCAACCTTTCCCCGCTCCACAGAACCCCAAACACTCACCATATCGCAGGACGCAATCGATGCGCTCAACTCCCTCCAGACCCCCTTCGCCGTCATTGAAGCCCGGCGCAAAGCGGGTATCCGTCCCGATGCGCACTCGGTAAAGGAGATGCGTGCCTACCTCGCCCGCATCGGCTACTCCTCCCAAGATCTCGATCGCCTCAACATCGTCCACGTAGCCGGTACCAAGGGCAAGGGCAGCATCTGTGCCTTTGTCGACTCCATCCTCACGCGTCATCAGCGGACTCACGGCATTCCCAAGCGCATCGGTCTCTTCACCTCCCCCCATCTGATTGCTGTCCGGGAACGCATCCGTATCGACTCCAAGCCCATCTCCGAGGAACTGTTTGCCCGCTACTTCTTCGAGGTCTGGGATCGTCTCGAGACATCCAAGCTGGCTAAGGATGAGGTAGAACTGGGAAGCAAGCCCATTTACGCTCGCTATCTTACCTTGATGAGTTACCACGTCTACCTGTCCGAGGGCGTCGATGTAGCCATTTACGAAACTGGCATTGGGGGTGAATACGATGCTACCAACGTGGTGGACCGTCCCGTGGCCAGCGGTATCAGCACCCTTGGTATCGACCACGTCTTTGTCCTGGGTGATACGGTCGACAAGATTGCGTGGCACAAGGCGGGTATCATGAAGACGGGAAGCCCGGCAATCACGATTGAGCAGGTTCCCTCTGCAGCTCAGGTGCTCAAGGACAGGGCGGTGGAAAAGGGCGTGGATCTCAAGATCCTTGATGTTGATTCCAGGCTCAACGGCGTCAAGATCCGTCCCGATGCAGTCTTCCAGAAGAAGAACGCAACGCTGGCTATCGCGCTCGCTGAAACTGCTCTTAAAAAGCTGGACCCTTCTTTCAAGCCTGGCACCGACAGTCTATCATCCGAGTTTGTCCAAGGCCTCGAACAGGTTGTCTGGCGTGGCCGATGCGAGGTCAAGGAGGAGGACCAGGCTGTCTGGCATCTTGATGGCGCACATACCGTTGACAGCCTGAAGGTGGCGGGGAGATGGTTTGTCGAAGAGTGTGTCAAGAAGGCCAAGGGCGGACCCAAGGTGCTCATCTTCAACCAGCAAGGCCGGTCTGAGGCCGTTGACTTCCTTGATGGGCTTTGCAACACTGTCAAGAATGCTGATCCGGAGGGAACTGGCTTCAGCCATGTTATTTTTTGCACCAATGTAACATATGCGACGACTGGCTACAAAAAAGGTATGTTGTCCTGGGTCTTTCCATGATTTGCTGATACTAACCTTCAATAGACTTTGTCAACCATCAATATGACCCCAAGGACATTGAAAACATGACACAACAACGAGTCTTTGCGGAGAGGTGGTCGACCCTCGACCCCTCTGCGAATGTCATGCTTATCCCTACTATTGAGGAGGCCATCAACAAGGCCAGGGGCCTGGCACACACCACGGAAGGCGAACAGAAAGTGCAGGCACTCATCACCGGCAGCCTTCACCTCGTGGGTGGCGCGCTCGGCATTTTGGAAAAAGCAGATGCTCTCTGAAGGGGACTTGTGGTTCGGCAGCAGTTTTCAACATTTATATTTTAGATATCCCTCCATTTTTCACATGGTATGTACAGGATTTGGCATTTTGCTTCGCGGCATCTTTTCTTTGTTACAAACACAGGGAAATACAGGAAAAGTACAGGAAGATAGAACAAGGGGGTAAAAGGAAAAAAGCAAGCCAGTACTTAATATTCAACATACTCAACTGTCTTGAGAACGCCACCAAGAAGGTGGAAGCTTCCCGTTACAAGGACATTACACGTCTTGCCGTCCTTGCGCGCCTGCTCAGCGATCTTCTGAACCTGTTCCATGGCCGGCTCTACTGCGTTGTAGACCGAGGTCTCGATCCCCGCACTAGCTTCCTGAACAATCTTCTGCCCCTGCAACTGCACCGCGAGATCTCTCTCCGGCTCACCTTCCGCCGGCGCCTTTTCCTCGTTCCTTGTGAGCACCGCGTAGGTGAACACCGGCGTCGTTGTCCCGCTTTGCTTATGCGCGGCCGTAAGAAGAGCCCTCAACAAGACCTCCGGGTTCCTATCCTGCTGGTTGAACACCAAGACATTGACATCGCCCTCCTTCACCTTCCCAGCAAACCACTGTCCAACACCCGCCAGGCTATCCTCCGTATGCGCTCCATCAACAAACCACTCCGTCCCCTTGGAGTCTCTAAAAGACTCGCACCTGCCCTTAAGGCTAGCCTCCTTCAAACCCTTCTCAAACTCAGGCGGGATATCATCCAATTTCCAGCCTTCCTCCCCAAAAGCCCCCTCGAATTTGTGTCCCACCCTGATCAAGTGCTCCCTCGCCGCCGCCACGGCCAACGCCATGTTAAACTTTTGAAATGGCCCTTCCAACTTGACCCCCTCCACGCCCTTCCACTTCTCAACCTGCTCATCCCGCACCTCCACCAGCTTCTCCACTTCCTTCTCCTGCGCTCTATTCCTCAACAGCTCCATCACTCCTTTCTGAGCTTCCCCATCCAGCCTCCTCGTAAACCCTTTGACCCCTTTCCTAAAAATCCCGCTCTTATTCCACGCAATTTTCTCAAGGGTATTTCCCAACATAGCCACGTGATCAATCCCCAGCTGCGTGACAACGCTGGCCGTCACGCACTCGGGACTCAAGAAGTTCGTCGAGTCATATTCCCCGCCGATCCCACATTCAATCACCGCTTGCTTCACCCCCTCGCGGACAAAGATGTGAAAGGCCAAGATGGTCAAGAACCGAAAGTAAAACGGTTTCGTGCCGGGCCCGTCATACTCTGCCTCGGACTGAACCGGATCCCGAGCCGCTCGGGCTGCGGCCGACAGCCGGTCCCAGACTTCAAAGAAGTAAAGCGCAAACTTTTCGCGGGACACGGGGACGTTGTCGAGCTGGATCCGTTCGCGGACCGAGAGGACGTGCGGCGATGTGTAGGTTCCCACGACAGGCTTTTTGATGATGTGGGCACCACCACCATCACCACCGTCATCAGCGGCGGCGGCAGTCCCAGGAAAAGGAGGAGGGGGGTATTGGGAGATGATGGAAGAAACCAGCGCCGACACGGACCCTTTACCCTTGGTTCCCGCTACGTGCACGCACTTGAGCCCCGTGGCGGCAAGGGATGATGGCGTGTAGCCGGCGCGGGCGAGCCAGGAGAGCATTTCGGGGATTGCGAGGGAGTTGAGGTCCTTTTTGGCGGCAGGCTTGTTTTGGGAGTCATTGTTGCTGTCGTCACTACCGAAGAGGTTGACGATAGTGCGGTTGGATTGGAGTTGGGCGAGACGGGATAGGGCGTCGTCGTAGGTGCGCTGTGAGGAGGCCATTTTGAAAGGTGTGGTATGGCAAGTGCGAAGGGGAGGTCTGAAGGTGAAGTGGTGTATGTTTGTTGTTGGCTTGGCTGGAAATAGTTTTGCTCTTTGGGTGAGGCCAGTGAGCGAGTGGGAAGATGAAGTAGAGAAGCGGTTGGGTTTGTTCGGCCGAAAACGGAAGCTGGAGAGTTGTCGCTGATGGATAGGTCGAAGTGAGTGTAGAAATCGACGAGACATTTATCGCTCAATTATCCGGAGATTTTGCCAGGTGAAAGGCTCGGAGCCAGTGGAATACTTATGGATGAAGTTGAGGATATTGTTTCGTGATCTCGTATGGTGTGCTTGGTTTCCAACCCGGCCCCTCACTGCAGAAGTCGCCGTCCCAAGCGCCGCAACTCGGAGCCCGCAATTCGTCACGTCAACAAAAATACGGAAAAATATCCCCCCAAAAAACGGTTTGTACAAAGCTATGAGAGTACCGACCATGCAGTGGAGAACATTGTGAAATGAAATCATGCTGCCGAATCGCCGAATTGAATCCATTTCAAGTGTCATAAACTACACAAATACAAGTACGCACACGAATACAACCAGAAAAAAAAAGCGCCTCTATTTTGTCTCGGATTGCCACTGTAACCTTAGAGTCTCACAACAAAGGGAATGCGTGCTAAGCCTACTACTCGTAACGAACAATCCTATTTACTCCACCCTCAAGCTCTGCAGCCTGGCCTCTGCCTGAATGACATCCAACGCCTGCTGAACCTCCAACACCTTCCTGACCTCACCGAGCCAATCCCTGCTGAGGGTCTTGGCCCAGCCCTTGAGACCGTTCATCTCTCTCGCCGCATTGTCGAGATCGCCCTCCTCAAGGTAGGTCTGAGTGCGGGTAAGGATGCTCTCAACATCGTCACCAGCCGCAAGGCCCTCCTTCTTGAACATCAACTTGCTGAGGACATAGCTAGAAGCGTGACTGGCAACACCGGCATCCTCGGGGAGAAGAGAAGCCTTGCGAACCTCGGTAGCAACGCGGCGGAAGCGGTCGATGAGCTCGGCGGTGGTAGGAATGCCACGCTGGTAAGCGGTGGGGTTAATGGAAGCGATAGCAGCATCGACTACGGGGTCGTCGGCAGCAATCTCCTTCAAAGCAACGAGCTCCTTGATGAAGGGACGGGGGTGGTGAGCGTCCTCAAGGCTGGCACGAACGGCATCAACAGCAACATGGAGCTGCTGAGTGCGGAGGTTGGTATCGACAACCTCGTTCAAGCCAGAGGTGAGCCTCTCAAGCTCGGCAACAGCCTTGTGAAGCTCGTTAAGCTTGCCAAGACGCCCATCGCGCTCCTGCTCAACGTGCTTCTTGATGTTCTCGGTAAACTGGCGCTGAAGCTGAATGGCCTGCTCAAGGAGACGGTTGTTGAGCTTCTCCTCGGCAATCTGGTGCTCGCGGTCCTGAATCAGGTGGACCTTCTCATCGTAGCTCTTCTTGAGGCGGGTTATCTCCTCTTCAAACTCGCGGCGCCAAGCAGCCTCCTGGGCGGCCATCGCGGACTCAACCCGAGAAACAAGCTCGTTGGCAGCCTTGTCGAACCCATCAACGCGAGCCTTAACCTGCTTAGCAGCGTCGGCCTCAACCTTGGCCTTCATCTCATTGATCTTGTCGGCAACCTTGGAGAGCTCGTTCTTGGCCTTGCAGATAGTGGGGGCGTACTTCTCGTTGGCGTTGTCGTGGTTGATAACGGTGATGACGTCGTTCAACATCTTGACGAGGTCCTGGACAATGGGGTCGGTGGCACCGTTGACGTTCAGGGGGTCAATGGGCGAGGCAGGGGGCCAGCGAGAGGGCTCGTCAACCTCGGGAGCCTTGAAGGGCTTCTTCACGGGGGTGCCGGAAGCATCGGTGGCGGCGGGAGCAGCAGCGGTAGCAGGGCCAGGAGCGGGCTCGGCCGGAGTAGCGGTGGTGGTGGCCTCGGTCTTGGGAAGCTCAGCAGTATCCTCCTTGGCAGCAGCAACAACGGCGGGCTCAGACTTGGGGACAGCGTCCTGGGCGGCAGCGCCAGCCTTCTTGATAGAGCTAGACTGACGACCGGCAGGCTCGCCACCAGAGGCAACGCGCCACGAGGCACCACTCTGGGCAGGGACCTTGACCTGCTCACCGGAGTCGCGAGGACGACCGGTCACCCTGCTGACCACATCGGGGAAGCGCTTCTTGAAATCCAGCTCCTCCAAGTACAGAACAGCCTGCTCGCCATAGGGGATGTACTCAGTGAAGAAGTCGTGGAAGGCGTCGTTGATGCGCGAGTAGTAGACGCCACCACCGAAGGCGATGGCGCCAAGAATGGTGAGGGACAGGAAAAAGTTGCGCAGCCTGCGGAAGAAGCCCTTCTTCTTGCGGGGAGTAGGAAGAGTAGGAGGGACGACGGGCTCCTCGGCGACGGGGGGGATGACAGTGGCCTCGGGGGCGGGGGGCGTCAAGGGGGCGGCCTCGGGAGGGACGGTGGACGTGGGCTCGACCTGGGGCGACGCAGGAGGAGGAGTGGATGGAGAAGTCAGGGTCTCGGAGGCCGGGAGGACGGCGGGCTGAGAGGGCTCAGGGACAACGGGCTTCTTGTCGTCGGCGAAGAAGCGCTATATGGGAGCGAGGGAGTTGGGCGTTAGTTACATAGTATGATGGGTGATAGAGGCAGGCAGGTTCATAGGTACCGAGTCAGGGCTCGGGACGGGGAAGGCGAGGAACTGAAGCTTCGCAGAAGTAGATGACCTCATACCTGACCGGACACGGCCGCACGGCGCACGACGGTTGCTTGCCATTGGCGGCCAGCAACAGCGGCAGAAGGCCTGCTGCCCAGCGCCCTCACGGATCGCAATGATGTGCGCAACATGAGGGGGATGGTATAGGGCCTTGAGGCGCAACTGAGGATATGGGATGGGTGGAGGGTGGTGGTGGTTGAGTGCAGCGGAGAAGTCCCGGGCCTGGAATTGCGAATTGGAGGCTCAGACGGAACGGACTGGGCTCGGAGGGTCTGAGCAAAAAAGAGCTCCCGGTCGGCAAAGTTCCGGGACGACGCGGGCAGGCAAGAGTTTGGCAGCCCACAGGTTCAAGTTACACTAGTGTACTTGCAGTAAGTAGTGTAGACGGAGCTTCAACACAGTGTGCCGCTTTCCTTGCTTCCAGTGGTGCTGCACCGACTTCTTGGCCTTGCTTCCATCCGTTTGTGGCCATTTTCTGGGCCATTTCTAAATCCGATGAATGATCCTGGTCCCCCACCCATTCAAGGTCAGTTCAGTTCTCTTTCCTACAAGAGCTATGTAGCTAGAGATAGATAGGTATGTATGGCTGCACACTGTACGCAGATACACATCGAGCCTGTGGTACCAACACAGTACACTAGTAGAGATGCAAAACACTTCTTTGCCAAAGCATGCCTATTAAAGGCAGTAAAATATCTTTCAGATTGCCCGACGCTCAAAGTAAAATCAATAGCATAATTACCATTAACCACGCGCGCAACACCCCTCCTCCAGCAGGCTGTTGCCTCTATCTGCATAGTGTACAACATAAGATGGACCTACCAGTATCATGAATCATGTCCATAGGGGCAGCTGATGTGCTTCACCAGTCCTTCGACCGTGGAAGGGCACCCCGTCCAAGGAAAAAGAGGAACAAAACACCCATCGACCAGAGCCGGTAATGAAACGGAACCATGTCATGCAGCCGCACGACAGTCCAGTCTCACATGAGAAACCCCACCCATCTCCCCTGGCCTTCTCTTTGTGCAAAGGGACCCAGGTCTGCCGTTGCGCCGGTCATTCACGTATCGACCTTTCGACACCGGCACGCTCCCCACTCCTGTAGATGCACCGGGTATTTCTTCCATACGTAGCTCCCAAACTCCGAAACAGTCCCCGTCACAGGCTCAGCAAGCACAAGGCCCTCCAACCTGGGTGTTGGCCCCCTCGGGAGCTAGACTGACACCCGGTCGTTGGCCAGGGCGAGCATGCCTCGGTCCAACTTGGTCGAGGGGCAGCTTCTTCGCAATCTCGGTGAACAGGTTTTGCACGTTCTCGGCAGTCTTGGCAGAAGTCTCGAAGAAGAGAAGGCCGGCCTCCTTTGCATATGCCTGGGCGTCGGCCGTCTGAATCGCACGCTTATCGGGTTGCTCCTGGACGAGATCCAACTTGTTACCGGCAAGAGCGATAATGATATTCTCGTTTGCTTGGCGCTGAAGTTCCTTGACCCACGACTTGGCCTTGTCCAGAGATGCCTAGAAGGGGGTTACGTCAGCTCATGTCGCGGGCAGAGACAAGGACCTCGAGAGGCCACATACCGCCTGTGTGATATCGTAAACGACTACTGCACAGTTGGCATTCCTGTAGTACATGGGCGCTAGAGACTTGTAGCGCTCCTGGCCGGCGGTATCCCAGATCTCGAACTTGACCGTTGTGTTTTCGTCGAGAGCAATGGTCTGTGTTAGGAAAGCGGCGCCAATCGTGGATTCTCTGTACGAGTCAAACTGGTCCTGGATGGAGGTCAGTTGCCCGTTTCAATCCCATCAAGCGCCGAGGAGGAGCTGGGCGTACCTTGACGAAGCGCAAGACTATCGAGCTCTTTCCAACCGCCGATTCACCTGCATGCAGGTCAGCATCAAAGCCCCCCTCCATGAGCCCATCATCATTGTTACGAACCCAACAATACCAGCTTGAACTGGGCAAAGCGGTTTCCCATGCCAGGGCGCGCGCCGGGAGGTCCACGAGTGGCCATTATGGACAGATGATGTGGTGTGGTGACGTTGATGTGTAGTCGGGAGATTAGACGGGGTTGCTGGCGAAGCGGGTTGCGGCGCTACCGGGGGGCCAGATTAATTAACCAAGAGATAAAGGGCAAAAAGGTGTCAGGTGCTTGATTAGTCGTTTGCAGGTCGCCACTACAAAGGCTGGACGGGAACGTGACGCGCGAAGCAGCAAGTTTGGGTATCGGGTATGGATTCGTTGAAGCAGAAAATCGAGGAAAACAGTTGTTGAGTTCAAGACAAGAAGTTTGTTGTTGAAGGTGACGGAGGGCGGGAGGAGCAGCACGCCGCCGGAAGGAAGGCCAGGGAACAATTCAGTTTGGGAGTGCCTGGTGGTGGTGGTGGACGGGATGACTGGGGGGCCCGTGAATGGATTCGCTTCAGTGTTTGGTGTTTGATGGACAGGGCAGGGCGGCCGTCATTGCCTAGGTAGGTTCTGGTGATGACGGGGAAGGTCAGGTCGCTGGAAGCACTCTGACTACGGCAGCCCACCGCTGCAGCAATCCACTGGCGGGAGCCCTCAGCAGGAGCCGGGCAGGTTGTGCTGCAGGGCGGTGCAAGAAATGGCACGTGCACTCGGGTCTTTCTTTACACGTGATTGGGCCGGGAGAGAAAGGGTTGCGTCACGCCTGGCTTTGATGATGACGGCCGGCAGGGACGGAGCTGACTGAAAGGGGCAGGCGGGCATTTCCTGGTTGTGTGTGTGTGTGTGGTGATGTTTTGCGGGCAAGCACTTTCAGCGGCTTCGAGTTTCATCGAGGTGATCAGGTCTCTGGATGCTAGTGAGGTACCTACCACCTACCTCTACCTCTATGGTAGGTGCCCGGGCAGTGGCCACAATGTTCGACGGTGAGGTGGGATTCCGGGCACAACTGAACAAAGTGTTCCACTGCATCGCATTGGGGTCCATGTCAAATTCCATCCACACGTCAACGCATCCGGGGAAGGCGCAGTGAGATTACCGCCCGCTAACAGACCCGCTACAAGGACCGGCAACAGGAGGCAAAACTTCCAGAGTTCAGGGCCCTGTAGGTCCATGGCCAGATCGGGACACTGTATCGAAACAACATAATTTCGGTCCATTTCATGACGAGGCCATCCCCAAGTCTGTTGCTGTCCCTTTTCATCCGTCCCTCAAGAACGTCGTCCAAGTGCTTCCCGTCGAGTCAGCTTCTACGTTATCTGCAGACAACACACATTGCCTCATCATGACGCTCCCCTTCCGGGACATCAACGTCCAGGCCGCCTCGGACTCTTACATCTTCACCTCGCCCTCCAGCCCCAATGCGCCGGCCTTGACAATCGACCGCCCCACTGGCGATATCCGTCTGAGCGATGCCTCCCTCCTCGCCGGCAAGCGCGTTGCCCGCGTATCCAGCATCGCCGGTATCCTGGGTGTTGTCAGGTTGCGCCTAGGTGAATAAACCCCTGTATCGTCATGTAACTCCTTTCCGTAAACTTACACTTTGCAGATAAGTACATCATCGTCATCACCAAAGCGCAACCAGTCGGCCGCCTCAGGGGCCATATGGTGTACAAGGTTGTCGCGACCGAGTTCCTCCCCCTCCGCGAACGACAGATTCACGACCACGATGAGGACAAGTTTTTGAACTTGCTCAGGGGCTTCATCAAGTCCGGGCCCATGTACTTTTCCTACTCGCTTGACGTCACAAACACCAGCCAGAGACAAGCCCAACATGACCTCTCCACGCCTTTGTGGCAGCGTGCCGACGACCGCTTCTTCTGGAACCGATTCCTCCAGTCCGACCTCATCAACTTCCGAACCAAGGGAGGGAGGGGCTCTCCTGCTCCCCAGCCCGGCATCGACCCCTACATTCTTCCCGTCATCTTCGGCATGTTCGAGATCCACTCGACCACCTTTAAGGGTACCCCCATAACGATTGCCTTGATCACCCGCCGATCACGACACCGCGCTGGTACCCGTTACTTCTCTCGAGGCATCGATGCCGAGGGCCATGCCTCCAATTACAATGAGACGGAACAGATCGTGGTCTTGAACGACCGTGGTAGCGGCTTGGGAGGTTTCACTGGTAGCGGCGACATGCAGAGTGGGAAGCTCGGTGGAAGTGACGGCAAGGAGATGCAGGTCCTGTCCTATGTGCAAACACGTGGAAGTGTCCCTGTCTACTGGGCCGAAGTGAACAACCTCAAGTATACCCCTACGATTCAGCTCAAGAGCACCGAGGCCGCCTTCCCCGCAGCAAAGGCGCATTTTGACGAGCAAATTCGTCTCTATGGCGACAACTATCTGGTGAACCTGGTCAACCAGAAGGGCCGCGAGACCCGCGTCAAGCTAGCTTACGAGCAGATGGTCGACCGCCTCGTATCATCGCCCAAGGAACGTGTCCAGTCCGACGCATTAACCGACGAAAAGTTCCACACCATCGAAACCAGCACTAAGCCCCAGACCTCCTTCGACCGCCTTCACTACATCTACTTCGACTTCCACGCCGAGACCAAGGGACTTCAGATGCACCGTGCCCAGCTCCTCATCGACAGAATGCACGAGGCCCTGATTGCCCAGCAATACTTCCGCGCCGTCGACTCTCCCGCCAGCCAGGTCAACGGTGGCCGTCTTGAAGTTCGCAACCTCCAGACGAGCGTAGTGCGCACCAACTGCATGGACTGCCTCGATCGCACCAACGTTGTGCAGTCCATGCTCGCGCGCTGGACGCTTGACAGGATGTTCATCGACCTTGGCCTCATGGCGCGCGGCTCCCAGTTCAAGGACGAGGACCCAGCCTTCGAGTTCATGTTCCGCAACATGTGGGCCGACAACGCCGACATTGTGTCCAACAGCTACGCCGGCACCGGCGCCATGAAGACGGACCTGACCCGGACGGGCAAGCGTACCAAGGCCGGCGCGCTCGCCGACGCCAACATTGCTGTGACGAGGTACTGCAAGAACAACTTCTTCGACGGTCCAAGGCAGGACGCCTTTGACCTCTTCCTGGGCGTCTACCAGCCCGGCGCAGCGAACATCGGTTCTCAGCTGGTCTTTGTCGACCGCAGGCCGGTGTTGATCCAGGCAATCCCCTACTTGGCCGCCTTTAGTCTGTTCTTTGTGTTTGTGGGCATGTGGACGCCCAGGCTACCCGATAGTGCCGTGTGGCCGATGAGGTTGTTCATCATTTTCTGGACGGCTGTCGCGGCGTGGTCGCTGACGTTTATCATTTCGAACGGCATGCTCTATGTGAGTTCATTCTTTGCTTTAACTTTTTTCACCACTTTTTCTTAGGCGGTTTACTAACATGACAAAAACAGGTTAACTGGCCAAAGCTGGTTCCTCGCCCCTGGGCCGTGGAAGGTTATCATGAGACCATCACCAAGGTTGTGCGCAAGGACAAGATCCTTGGGCCATTGGTCGCTAAGCATGAGCGCGGCCTTAGCACGGCGCGGTACATCAACGCCGAGGAGGGTAAGAAGAGGATTGAGTAAAGTCTTGTTAACGCGTGGAAAAGTCTGGTTCGGTGGAACGATCACAAAGGTGGCATATAGAATAGACACATATTTTACAGGTTTAGGGTGACTGGCGACCGGTAGGGAACGAAGACCATGAGCTTCTCAGCTCTACTTTTTCTTTTTCTTTTCTTTTGTTGTATCAGTTTGACTAGTGTTTAGTTTTCTTTCCATACTTTGGAACCTTTAGAGGTCTTTTTTTGTTTAGACCTGGTAATTGGTAATACCATTGGATTACACAAGTATTATCATTGTTCTAGATGGAGAGTAGTGCGATGGGAACTAATGTGATAAAAATAATTATTTATATTAACTCTGCCTCATGGCAATCTGTCTATAGTAAACCTATGCTCGAAGTGTGTCCCAACGCCGTACGATGCAAATTGCCTAATGCCAAAACAAGAGAAGGAAATAACCGCAGAACAAACAAACTCCCAATATCACCCAATGTGCTCCCACTAGCACTGTGGATTAAGCGCCCCGGCCTCTCAGTTTCGGCCCTCAACGAGCACCATCATGCCCTCCCCGAACAAAGTATATATATAAGGACCTTCATCTCCTCACTCCCTCTTATCACCCTCCTCCTCCATCTTCATCGAAGTCACTCCCTGCGTGATATTTGGGCCTGTGCCAATGCCCGTCAACGTCCTCATGAACCAATGAAACCACGTCTCCGTCTCCAGTACGTTCTTCAACTCCTCCGCCCGTCTCTCCACGTCTGCCACCTGCGCCTCAAATCTCTCTACCCCATCCTCAACATCCTGTACCTTGTCCACGAGCGCGCCAATCTCGTACTCCAGCTTGGCTACCAGAACCTCCACGTCTTTCACGGCCTCGTGCAGCCTATGGCGCTCCTCGCCCACAATCTCCTCCCCGGAATGTCGGATGCGCTGGTACGCGTCGCTGACGTGCAGGTAGAGCGACTGTAATTCGTGCTGCTGCCGAGTAAAAGTCTCGTCTAGGCTTTCGACTGAGGACAGCTTGGAAGAGACCCAGGGCGAGAGGTCGGATTGGAGGGCCGAGAGGTGCGCATAAAGGGAGTGAGCGAGCTCGGCTTGGGTTTTGAAGAGGGTACCGTCGGAGAGGTGCTGCTGCTGGATGGCGGCTGATGTTGTCGAGGGCCCTTCAAGGGATGAGATAAGGTTGCTGATGTCGTAGACTTCGTCCCACCCTAGCACAGCATCCTCGGCTGCGCTGAAGGAGAGGCGGCGAGGATATTTGGCTTCATTGGAAGGCTGGTTGAGGATGAGCCTGGGACTAAAGCCGTGGATGCTGTGGCGGCGATGGAGTAAGGATATGGGGAGGTTTGTGGTTCGCTCGAGGGCCTGGATGGGCCCTAGAAGCTCGTTGGGATCTGGGACCGAGTTGGTGATGGGAGCATCGAGACTTTTGGCCTTCTCTGCGACCCCGGGCTCTGATCTTGTGATACCAGCTTCTCTGCGATGTGAGCCTGATGACTGTCTAATAATCGAAGGAGCTCCGGCTGTGGTGCTGGCAATCGATAGTGCTGGTGTAGATTCGTTGAGGTCCCTTTCCTTGATTCCTCTCAAGTACTCCTCTGGTCTCGAACGCCATGTGAATACCCGTCCAACCGCCACTGGACTTGTCAGAGCAGTAGATGTCTGCGCCAAGCTTGCTATACTTGGGGCTAGACTCATTGCTGCCGCCGTATTGGGAGTATCGTCTCTAGATGGGCGGTTGACGTGGCTTCGTAAACCCGTACCGACAGCATCTCTGATACGGCCCAGTCCTGAGCGGGCATCGCTCACCTTTCCAGCCACACTCTTGAAGACCGTTTTGCGCAAAGCGTCTTTATCGGCAGGAATATCCGTGGTACTAGCTGCTGAGGCTGTCGGTGCTGAGTATGAACCCATTAACTCCTCTGTCGCTTTTTTGACTTCCTGTTCCTCGTCTATGAGCATCGACTGGGCCCTTCGACTTCCTGCCTGTGATAATACATCATCTTTAACATCTTTCCCGCCAAATGGAGGTATCATATGTCCGTAATCGTTGAGCGTCCTCCTCAGTTTGCCATGCCACAGCCACTTCGGTCGCTCGCCTGTTGTCAAGTTGATAAACTTGTCCAGATCTAGGGTTTCGATATCTCCAATGTTCCCTTTGTCTTTTCCTCCCACCATACCTATCACCAGCTCACCTCTCTTGCCTCCTATTTCTGCAACAGTGGACTTGACGGCCTTTTGTACACCCCAACCCTCTCCTGCGGCGGCCTTGGCGGTTAACTGGTGAAGCTTGAGAAGGGTTTGCCGGTCGAGGCGTCGTGTTCTTTCGAGTTTCTGCGATTTTTGGAACGCTCCGATACCCCTTTTCGTGCAGTCAACATCAAAGACATCCTTGGAAACTGGAGCATTGCAATAGCTGAGTCGGTTCCTGGCGCCTATCAGGGTTCCCAACAGAGCAGCAACCGTAGTTGGCCCCAAGATTCCATCTGTCGGTTCAACGTTAAAGTACTCGGATCCGATATCTGTCCACCAATTGTTGATGGCTGCTTCCGTGACGTCACAAAGGAGCCCGTCAATGTACACCTGGTCGAGCAGGCCAAAGATAAATAATGCCACCTGGCATAGCTTGACCAATTCGACCACGGCGTCCTGAAAGGAGATTTTCTCGGATATCTTGTACAGCTGAGTGAACTTGGCCTGGGTGGCGGGCGTGGGGTCTGATAACGTGAGACCTGAGCGTCCCGAACATCCCAAGCGCTTCAGGTTCTCGTTGACAATGAAGACGCGCAGATTGTGGCGCAAGTCACCGTCGGGAACGGGTATAACAGTTAAGGCGGACGGGAAACTGCTGAGATTAGTGACCATGAGCTCACCCAACTCTGTCTCTTTTGGCCTAGCATGGTGCTGCTGTATTGCTTTAAAGTAGGCTTCCAGTCGTTGGGACCAGCCCTTGTCTTCCTTTGTTACTTCCAGGACGCCGACGACTATCGAGTGTTTCGGATCACCTGTATAGGTAACGATGGCCAAAGCGGGTGATCGCCGGGAGCAGGCCCATTGTTCGACCAAGTATAACTCGTAGCCATGGAGGACACAGCTAGTCTCGACAACTGTGACGGCAGGATCCTCTCCAAGATATCTGAGCCTTGTTAGAAGCGCGTCGATGGTTCAGGGGCATGTATGTATTGGGGTACGTACTTGAGCGCAACGGGATCCGGGAGCACTACCCGACGGCGTTCCGGAGGCGAAGACGCAGACGGCGACGGATCTTTGGTAACAGGGGCAGCAGTCGGGGCCATGGAGGAAGACACAATCGTGTCGAACACAGCTGGTTGGGACGGTAAGATGGCATTTCGATGGGAGTTTGTCCTGGCCAAGCCAAGCTCTTCTTGTCGAGCATCAAGGGCAGCTTCGGGAAAAGGCATCGGTAGTGACATGGCCGCGTAGGCGATCGCTGGGGTTTCGATCGGGGTCGTGGGATTCCCCCTGGTTTACAGCCTAGCTCCCGGCCTGGGTCCAACTCTGGGTCCTTGGGGGATGTCCAACTCTGCGTGTCAACACGGGCGGTGGACCATGTGTACAGGCGCCAATCGTGGATGGACTACACGAGTTTCATCGTGGAGCCAGGATTTCCTTGCCGTCTTGTTGGAGGGAACGGCTTGGTTCTTGGCTGTTGGGGGGGCGGTGAGGGCTCCGTTGTCTTTCACAATCTCGTCCGATGGGTGATGAATGTGCGCGAACAGCCATGCTCTCCTTCTTTTCAACAGCACAGCTGATGATGGCAGCCACTCCCGGATGGTGATCCAGATACAACTTTGTTGGAAGTATGTAGGTAAGTATTGACAAGCAGGTGGTGCACACACTACAAGTAAAGGTGGCATGTGATGCGATCACGGCATTGGTAAATCGAGGAGACATTGTTGTAAGTAAAGGGATCCATGCCATCCAGACGTGCCTGCCTGGCAGTGCAAAGGGCGAAGAAGCTTCCATCAGATGTTCCCTGAATTCCAGGGCTCTTCTCCCCTTCAAAGCTGTAAGTCCCGAGCATCACCTACCTTACTGCCCTGCAATCCCTAACTCAACCTAAAGGCCCCCTGCCAAGAGCCGGGCTTCCATCCGTCTTGAAGTTTCCATCTTTCCTTTGTTAGGTAGGAGTTGCATGCTTCCAATTTCGTGTTGCGAGTTCCTCAACATTCGACTTCAGATGTCGAAGTACCAATCGCAGATAGGTAGGTAGGTACCTCTAGCCATACACACATGACCTAGAGGTAGTGTAGTTCTAGAGCTACCTAGCCACTGTCCTTGTCCACTACAGCGGGACCTCTACCCTTCCCTTATACCTAGAGGTAGTGTATGTAGAGGTATCGGGCTAGTATGGTGGGGTAGTGCTACCTCTACAGGTATGTAGGTACCTACCTAACCAACCTACGCACGGTTAACGAAACGTCACTACCTAGCTGTGGGGCACGGCACTTGCACTATTGTAAGTGACACTGCATACACCTACATACCTACCTGCTGATTGATGACCAAAACTCAGTAAAAGAGGCGCGTGCCTTACAATCCAAGTACGGCCATCGACGACACTCTTCCAATCCTCCACTTTATCTTTGAATCAAACACCGGACTATCTTCTATACTATACGTTCATTATTCCCATCTTAACCACGTCCCCTACCCATGCCACACAGTTCCGAACTTTGATCTCGCCACCTTCCGCGTAGATGATGCACATTTCCCCCTCACTTGGCCTAGATTAACTCCGGTCTGACCAGCTTTCCTTTTCCATACCATCACAGCAACGCACACGAGTCTAGATAACATGACGGCACAAACAACAGCCATGGAGGCTCTTCAGAAGGAACTGGACCGGCTCAACCGGGCACCAGGTCTGTCCGCGACAGAAGACAGGGTCGACAAGATTATTGAAATGCTCACCTCGGTGAAGGACCAAATTGTTCAAAGTGGTACGTATGCTCAGCACTAGTCAAACACTCATGGGAGAGTAACACTGACGGAGACACAGGCATGGACACACACGTAGCCAGCATGTCCATCACGAGAATTCAGAACCCCATCAAATCAACCTTTGAAAAAATAAACGACGATCTCAAAGGCGTGACAGCAACTCAGAGGAAGCTGGGCAAGACGCTGGACAAGCACTTTCCTCTCAAGGACCTACCCTCAACACATGACGCTATGGCTGACCAGGAATCCTTGATAAATCGTGCCATTTCTATGCATTTGCTGCGCGAGGGACAGTTCTCGGTAGCCTCAACTTTCATAGAGGAAACGGGGGACGCGGCAACTCTTGAAAACGTCAACGCGGTAGGCGAGGGTCAAGATCAGGTGAGCGCGAGCGATAACTATGATGACGAGCCAATGGATGAAGACAGGGATGATGATGATGATGATGACGAAGACGACGACGATGACGACGACGACGAAGACGAGTACATGAGCCCCCTCGAAGGCGCTGCCACAGGTTTGGGCTTCAGACAGCTCCAGAACCTCTCATCCCTCCAATCCCACGAACTCGAAGCGAAATTCTCCCAGATGTACACCATCCTACAAGACATCAAGTCCCGGAACCTGCTCTCGGCAATAGAATGGGCCCGGAGCAACTCGGGCGAGCTCGAAGCCCGCGGCAGCAACCTCGAGTTCGAACTGAGCAGGCTGCAATACGTCTGGCTCTTCAAGGGTCCCCGTGTCAACGGCCTGCCCGACAACGAGCTCAACGGCACAGCAGGAGCACTCTTGTACGCCCAACAAAATTTCTGGCGGTTCGGCAACCGCTACATCGGCGAGATCCAACAGCTCGCCAACGCGCAGATCTACGCTCGCAACCTTTCCGAGTCGCCCTACAGGCACATCTTCTCCACGGAAACCGCCTTTGCGGACGTGGCCTCGTCCTTTACGCGCGAGTTCTGCAGCCTCTTGGGCTTGTCAGCCGAATCCCCCTTATACGTCGCCGTAACAGCCGGCGCGCTGGCTCTTCCACTCCTAATCAAGTACCAACAAGCCACCCGAGCCAAGGGAACCGAGTGGACAACCACAAACGAGCTAGCCTTCGAAACTCCGCTCCCCGAACGCATGCTCTATCATTCCATCTTTGTTTGTCCCGTCTCCAAGGAGCAGACCACCGAACAAAACCCGCCCATGATGATACCTTGCGGACACGTGCTGGCCAAGGAGACGTTGCAGAGGCTGCTGAAGGGAACGCGCTTCAAATGTCCGTATTGTCCGGCCGAGGGGTTGGAGAAAGATGCCAGGCGCATCATGATTTAGGGAGGCCATTATGTCGATTTGTCTCGAACTCGGGAGCAGTGGACGGGGACGGGGAGTAGTAGTAGTACTAGTAGAAATAGTATTTCTGGGGGCGCCACACCTCCGGGTAGCATGAATTTGGATTTCCTCCAGAGAGCTCCACGACGACGACGGCCCTTGTCTGACGGCCTCACGTTTGTTGGTAGGCAGGCCCGGTTGGGTGAGAATGGGAGGCCAAGGCTGGCCGAAAGTGCCTCCTCGCAAGCTCGTCGTCGGCGGTTTCAACCTGTGCGTCCATCTCGATCCCATACAAGCTGAGGAGAGCTTCCCCAACACTTTGCATCCCGCTATTGTCACCATCGTGGTATGATGGTTGTAGTAAAGAGCTTTCTTTTCTTTCTTTTTCTTTTTTAGGACCTAGTTTTGGTTTTCTTCACATCTTCAACTGAGTTTTCTTTTTTCTTTTCTTTTTGTCTTGTTTTTTTCACATGCAGCACTGAACAGCGGAGGGGGGTATGACAGTTTATTGCTATTGACGAGATGGATGGGTCTACTTAGACAGAATCTCAACACGCACACGCACACGCACACGCACACGCACATACGCATTACTATCGTCACAGATTTGTTTACGTCGTGAAAGATGGCGTTGCTAGATTTCCAGGATACCATCAAGGCTGCGCTGGTATGGGATCAATAGGGTACATACAGGTACTCTCTCATACGTCCCGGATTTGGTGGCTTAGGAAAGCGAACTACGTATTATACCAAACAACTGAAATGAGCAAGCGCATGATCCATTGAATCCAAGCAGACAGCACAGCCCTTTAGGTCGTAAGTAGTATCTACTCGACCCTTATGCCACTCCTCTTGACCATGTGTCGTGGGCTGCCAGTGTTGTGCGTGAGGGTTGTGATGGTACAAACTTCAGCACCTGTCAGCTCCTTATGTTACCATATGGGGGTGAGGGGTTCTTAGTTTTCATCCTATCATCTGTCATTAAACATACGAACCTTTTCCCACCCATGTGCATTCTAGCTTCTTACTTCTCCATATTTGATGTCTCATTAGTTTCTTCGAGCCTTTTGACGCATCAGGTTCTGATTTTACGTGCTGTGCCAGCGGTTATGTCTCAAAATTGGGGGTCACATAGGAACAACATCTGAAACAGCATATGGACAAAGCGGTATGCAACGAGCATGGGAGCAAATGTAGCCCATATCAATGGATGGTTTAGGTATCTTATGCATATAGTACACTAACTAGAAGCGATGCCATCGTCTTTCAATGACGTGGGAATCACCCTTGGCAAGGACCAAAATAGGATACCTCGTGACTTTTGTGCAATCTGTAACCCAGAAATCATTTGCAAAGGGCGTAAACCGCCCTTTCCTCCCCCATTGGCCATTTACCCTCAATATGATGGAAGGTTTGCAACTGTAAAACGCCTCTGCTTCATTTTCCCTAGAAGCATTTGCAAACAGATCACGCACACCATTCTAGGCTCGTGTGAATAAGACATCGAAGAAAAGAACAGTTAACGAAAAGAAAGGGGGGGAGGGGGGAAACATGAAATATATAAAAAAAAAAGTTAGGATGTGCGTTATCCATCCCAGGTATCCGCCAAAACAATAATAAATCCTCTTGAGATCAAAAACTCTCCAGAGACGCGCGCAAATGACCTTTATTTCCCTCCCTCTCCAACTATGCGCATTCATATCATGCCATATGGTGTTCCTTCACACCTTCCCCTCCTTTAATTTGGTCGTAAATGTCATCAATTGGCAATGGTCATGTCAGATAATCCTGCTCTGACGGAAACTCTTTCGCCGCTCGCGAAACGCATCCAAAAGATCTTCAAAAAAGTCCACAACCAACTTTTATGCTTCCTTTGTCGCGTCTTGCTCGTCTCGTTCTTTATCCTCTATTTCCGCCTCCCCCACTCAGTCGATTGTCATCCGGGTCGTCAGTTTGGGTTTCTGATCCGTCATCTGGAATGAGTTTATGTCATCCTTTTCCGGGTCCCTACCCTGGGGCTTGACCAAGTGCGTCTTGAGTCCATTGCCAAAGTTGCTCGTGCAGATGAACGCGTTGGCGATGGTGATGAGAATCAGGAGGATGGTCATAACAGCGAACGCGGTAAGGGAGCGCTTAACGGGCGTGTAATGCCAGCCATGACTTTTCGAGTAAATGCGGACAAGCTTGAACAAGAAATAGGCAAGACCACCAAAGAAGAGCAGAATAACTGCGTACATTCCAACGCGGTTTTCGCGCTGCGTGAAGAAGGCGGCGCAAAGCAGGATGATAATGGTGACGGGAATCGCGGCAGCGGTAAGGCCGAGTTCGATGCTTGTCTTGCCGGTTACAACAACCAGGAACTGAATTGTGAAGCCCAGGAAGAAGAAGAAATCAAACTTGAGCAATGCGATAAAAATCTGGCAATGGGTTGTTAACAACTGATGGACTCCTTTTTGGCGGCAGGGAAGATCTGGCACAAACCTGATAGTGAAGAAATCGCTTCTTCATGCGATAATCGGCACCAATCTGCTTCAAGATATCCCACGCAAACTCCTGATAAAGTTGCCAGGCGCACGCGCTCATAGCAACAGTGGCGACGCCAATGACAGGGGGGATGGTATAAAGGAAGGGCGCGCAGGCGTGCCATACCGCTTCATGGACTTCAAGAGGCCGAAAAATACCGGCCAATTGGAGCTTACTAATCGATCTATCAATTTGATCGATCTGAAGAATCGTATAGACAAAGAGCGCGAGGTTGGCGATGCATAGCCCAATGATCTGAATGGTGTTCTTCCAGCGCAAGGCATCCCACGTGAGAAACAGGACGTAGAGGAAACCGAAGATGAACAAGGCCAAGAACGTCGGTATCGTCATGTACTGCGCATCGCGTTCCTCATTTTCGCCAGTCGTGTAGTCCTCAAGGCTGTCCTGAAATCTGCCGAAGATATATCTGTTGGCGGTTAGTTTCCAGTCACGAGACGATCGAAGGAACCCAATGCCACTCACGATTCGAACGTCACACCAATAATAGCCTGTAGAGCGACAATGGCGAAAAAAAACTTTGCCCATCTAGACTCGAGAAAGTCAAAGACGCCCTTCTTGGGGCGTGAAGCGATGTTCTGAGCCATGAGGGTATCGCGGTATTGAGCTGCGTTATCCGATGCGTCGAAACTAAGGATTGGGTGCGAACCGGCCAAATAGGACCGGCGGATCTCTAGGCGGCTAGCCAGGACGGGCGGTTCTGACGACTCCCCGTACAGGAGCCGGACGGCGTGGACCAAAAATCCGTGGAGGGGGGTAAATTTGAAAGGTCGAGTAGATGCTGTTGTGCGCAGCAAGTCGGGTTATGTCGAAAAGGGATAAAGTGTATCGTCGGGAACGGTTCAGCGGGGAAGACCAAACCTAAGTGGCTTCTTTGTCGTCGGTCGACGCGGGACAAATGTTGCGGAGGCTCGGCGACGATGCGACAGGCGGGTGCGCCTCAACCGGTGTTGCTCAGGGCGAGACGATTTGACAAACGAATGAAAAGACGCAGATGTCGACAACGGAATGGGTTGCCGTCACTTTGTCAGGGGAATCGTGCTTCGCAGGTTGGAGGCCGTGGCCGTTCTGAAACACGAGGAGGAGTTGAGTTGTGTTCGAAGGTGACAGGGAGTTCGTTTCCAAGTTGCGCCTGAGATTCCTTCTAAAGGGCGGATTGTCCCGTAGGGGTGGTTTAAGGCCGAGCTATACCCAACCAGGCGACGTGCGAGGCCAACGTGGTAGGGGGCCTTGGGGAGGCAAGGGGGGGCATCAGCCGGGCCGGCGGATTGTCGAGTCGAGACGTTGAGCTGGCGCGTCGGGTGAAAATCAGAATCTCCCGTCGAGCGTTTTTGAGGACAGGCAGGACTGGAGTGAGCGGTCGAGTGTGGACGGGGAAGGGATCGCGTGACAAGGAAAGAAATGAAGAAACGAAGGACTATCGATCAAAGAGGAGAAACGAGTGACTAGGTGTAGGTAGGTGGGATGACGGATATTATTGTACACTACACACTGCGTGTAAGACTGCTGTTGGAGGTGGGTACACGTGTATGGCTAAGGAAACGCTCCATCACGGACTAGAAATCCGGGGTCTCGTTCTTTTTCGCCCGGCAGTGCATGCAGGAGCCAGCCCACAGGGTTTGTGGACACCTGCCAGGGCCACCAAGGATGTGCTCTTATTGAGTACCTGGGCTCTGGGCTAGAGGTAGTGTCGGATATGGGAACAGTGTGTGGCAGACGGCGGCGGGATTGGGTGCCAGTGTCAGACAGGAAGGAACTAAAGCTTGACCTCTAAGCCAGGAGAACCTCTCGTAGCGATGAAGGAGAGCCACCATTCAGCCAGGGGCCTTCTTTTCTTCTTTTTGTCGTGCAATGCAATGAGCCCTTCCTCGCACTAGCGGCCGCGGCGCATCCACATGTTGTACATACAAGTCCGAAGTCTGAATGCACATCAGCCTCTCTGTCACCACCATGCCCGCAAGAGGTACATTATAGGTAGAATTGGAACAATTCTCAAGAATGCCTCAGCTGCGCTCGGGGCAGTGCCTTGCCAAGCCGGGGTTAATCTCGTTAAGGGCTCGCTGAAAAGCTTGCTGAACGCGCTAACACGAGACATTGGGTTTGCACGGCAGGCTCGTCCCGTCTTGCCAAAAGGGTCATTGAACTTGTCCGACTCCTTTGAATGTATGGAGTGACGCGGTAGAGGTACGAAGCAGTGCGCTTAGCGAGCAAATCTGTCCAAGATCACGACTTGTCAAGATGCCTAGAACTAAGCTGGAGTCTCCAACGACACTCCGCCTGGGAATCATGCATATACAGTGAACCCAACGAATGCGACGAAGGAGGTGAACATTGATTGATAGGTACACAAGCTACCGAACATTCTATCCCGCCTAGGCTCTCTCTGTCTCGCAGAGCAACACCAAAATCCGAGCCCCTAACAAAGGCCACCAAGGCCCCACCGCATTCCTTCCCCTTTTTTGACTCGTGAGGAGGGTTGCTGAGCCACTTTGTCCCACACCTTCATGCAGCCCGATGACGATGGAGTGCAGTAATTGAGCCGAGCCAGCCTTCTCCCGGCCCTAGTGTACAAGTTATACTGTCCGTCATTGCGTTGGCGGCTCCATCTCGATGCTATTTTGGATGTTAATGTTGCTCTGGTCGATGGTAGGTGGTCGTTGAATCCGGTAAAGGATGGACGATCTATCAGGACGTTGGACGCACACTTCCAACTCACCTATGTCTGATGAGTTGGTGGCAGCGAGCAATGCCATAGGTCCCCAGCCGCACTTTGGTCACTTCGGCGCCCATAATGTACCTATAACGTACCCAAGAGATGCCATAGCGGAGACGCCGAACCATGAGCCTCGGAGGCGTAGCAGCCATGCCGCCAAGGCTATGTCTTCATTACTACATAGGGCATTTTTGGGACGCACAGAGAGATCTGGAATCTAAAGATGACATTCGAACTGGCAAAGAGTCAATACAATAGCATCCAAATACGTACTATGGTAGTAACTGAAGTACTAAGCAGCAGCTTGCACAGTGCCAACATGAGACTTTGTGGGCAAACTGAAGTTGAGACTTTGAACATGGGCCACTCCCGCTCGTTCTCTCTCGATGCTCATAGAACTTATCCATATGCTTGCTCAACAGCCGGTAACAAATCATTGTGCAGAACAAAACAGTCCAACCCAATATGTACCAGGAAGTTTCGTAAGGTGGTAGAGGGCCCGAGGAACTAAAGTCATGACAGTGGCACGATTGGTACAACCGCTGCAATGGTACCGGTTCCACTTACACGGTGCGGCCAAGCTCCACTGCAGTTCGCGTCGCCTGGCAACCGCAATTCCCTTGTCACCTTGACATTTCATCCACGACGGACCAAAACACGCCTTCGAAGAACGACATCATGTCCGAGATGGATGCTGAAGTCGCCAACGACATCCTGGCCAGGGTCGCCCTGGATGGTTCTATGGACTAGTATGTTACTATGCTGACTGAATCTCATGTGCATCCTTGTACTGACTGACGGCCTTGTTCAATCATTTCAGTTCGTGCTGGCCCAAGTTGTTGCCCATCGTAGTCTCGCGCATCGAGAAGGCAAGCAAAAGCCACAGCTTTCATTGTCGACGGCAGCTAGCTAACCTAGCCCGTTCCCCCACCTCTAGATCGCCCACACTGAATTCCCCATCCCCGACATTCCTTCGCCCCAACCGCCCGCCCGACCTTCGTCCTCGCGCTTCCTCACCCCGCTCCCCTCCTCGTCCGACCCGATCGATACGCCGCTCAGTTCGCAAGAGACCAAGAACAAGGAGAACGATGCCCCAACGTCAGCGCCACGCCCACCTGCTGGCGACCATGTTGCTTCCTCGCCGCCCAAAGCGCCCTCGCCAAACCCCAATGCGACGACCGAGGTGTCCCAGGCACAGCAGCCAGTTCTTCCTGTCCCCGTGGCCGAAATGTTGAACGGCGTTACATCCCACCTGACTGCCAACTTCCCCGACTACCCGCCGCATACCATTCAGCGCCTCGCCGAGCTGGTCCTCAAGCCGCGCCCTCAGTACAGGAGCGTAGTAGGCTACCTGAATGCGCTTGACCGCGTTGTCCACGTCACCAGTGGAGCAAACCTATACCCATTACCGCCCGCGATCCCAGACCTGAGCGGTATGATGTCCAACGGAGGTCCTGTTTTGGACAAGGGCGCTCCCAGCCTTTCCGCGGCGAACAATATCGGATCTGACGAGGCCCTGGGCGGCGCGCTGCTTACCCCCATCCCGTGGTTGACTCGAAGAGCAAACGGCGACGGCGGTGACGACGACGGAAGCATAAGTGACGCAGGCAGCTCGTCACCCTTATCAGCCAGCGGGGCGTCCGACCCCAACACGCAGCACGAACAGCAGCAGCGAGCTCTCGCGCAGCAGTACAGCCACATCACCTTCGCCCAGAGCTCCGTGAGTCCACAGGTTCGCAAGGAGAGCACCGAGATGATTGAGGGCCCCAACGGCATGGGAAGCATAGAGACGGTATCGATCTCGGTCAACGGGATTCCCTCTATCGGAGCTGGCGGTGGCCTGCTGGGCCTCTCGCAGCAGCCACAGCGGGGCGTCACACAAGGAGAGTTGCTCAGGCAGGAACAGCGCGCGGGCGTTGTGCCCGTTAGTCAGGTTGCTGGCGGGAACAACGACAACAACACTGCCCAGGGCTACACGGCTGCTCAGACTACGCCCCTCAGCGCTGCCGCTCCTGGCGAAGGTCTTTCAGCTACTGCTACTACAGGTTCGTCCGTGGACGAAGACATTGTGATGGGTGAGAACTCGGATCATGAGGAGGAACCGGAAGAGGAGGTGCCCCATGCTCGTGGTCCGCAGGAGATCGGACCAGAGGATACCGGGCCCCAGAGCGCGAGGAGCAGCATTGTCTTGTCACATACGGGTGAAGTGGACATGAGTGCGCTTGACGTTGAGGCTGCTGTAGGTAGGAGGTTACAGTCACCACCAGCAACAGAAGCTAGTAGGAGTGCGCAAGCAGATGGCACGACGACGACGGCCACCACCGCTTCAGAGAGCGGCAGCTGCGATGCAGATAACTCAGTCCCACCAAGCCCTAAGCGAGAGGCGGAGCACGATGATTCGGAGCTCGACAGTACGCACAAGAGACAGCGAACGGAGGATAAGGCTGGCACAAACACGGCGGAGGCTAGCAGCTCGACGACAGAAGTCACAAAACCCGATAGTTCCGAAGCGGCAAAAGAGGAGGAGGTGACTGCAGCAGGAGAGGAGGAGCAAGCGGAAGGAGGGGAGCCGTCAAATCAACAGCAAGCGGAAGCTAGAGAAGAGCAACCAAAGTCTTCCTAGTATGAGAGAACGTTGACTCTGCTGGGTCCTCTCAACAGAGGAACATATCTCTTCCGAAGTCGTAGAAGATAATAGTCGACAGTAATCAGGAAGGGAAGAGGTTGGATGACACAAGCGACATGTCTGGTTTACTTGATTTGATAGTTTAGCTACCTGTATCAGCGGCATAGGACATTTGAGATATGATATATGGACTACCGAACACACACCAACACTCCGAGCCGTTCAGCGTGTTAACGGTATCCTTGTTACATGAAACCTCTTGCAAATCCGTCTGTGGCCAGTACGTAACTCATGCTAATCAATTGGATCGGCCAAATTGATCGTGAAACAAACATGGGCATTGGAATCCACATACTTGAATATGCAGTCTGAGAGAAAGGCGCCTGCTCAGTGAACAAAAATCTAGACATCATATTCTACCCTTGCCACCTGTACAGCCCAGCCCCCTGAGATGCCCTCAATATCAAACTTGGGCATTCCTACCACCAACCTCCCTTACTCCGAAATCCTCGTAATGCTCTCCCTCGTAATGACACTATTCTGATTCTCGTCCCTCTTTACCCTAAAGAAATTATCGCAGAAATCGCTACACTGCATATGCTTCAAGAACTCCTCGTCATGCGTGATCACGATCAGCTGGAAATTATTCTGTGACCGTCTTGCCTTGATGATCGCATGCAAACTCTCCGCCAGACTGCGGATATTGTCACTATCCAGATTCGTCGTCGGCTCGTCGAGCGCGATCATCCCACAATTAGCGCCAAACGACTCGGCCAGGGCAAGGCGAATGATAATGCAGGCCAGCACCTTTTGACCCGCGCTGCACCGCCCACGCATGTCCATCTCTGTGTCGCCCTTGATCATGGACACGCGGTAATTGTAAACGCGGCGCGTGTTGGTGGCGCCCGAAGCCTTCGATTCCATGACGGACCGAATCTGGATCGTGTCGATGTCGGTTCCTTGGTACGTGCTCTGCCAAAGGTCGGCGATGGTCCGGTTGATCTCCCCCATCTTGAGCGAGTGGTACTGCATGATGGCGTGGTCGAGTGCCATGCTGCCGCGCGCGAGGTCCTCGATGGCCGCTTTCGTCGTCTCGACTTTGATGTGGCTCTCTTTGTACCGGGCGCGCGCGCCCTTGAGCTCAATCTCGTACTCCTCTTCGAGCCGGTGGAACTGCTCGTCCTTGGTGGACATGGAGCCCATGAGCCGCTGGAGTTCGGCGTTGAGTTTGCCACGGTCTAATTCGAGGGAGTGCGCTTCCTCGACGAGACGTTCGTAGTCCTCTTGTGCGTTGCGGGACTCGAGCTCTTCGATTTCTTCCTCGAGAGCATCGCGCTCGCGCAGGTTCTTGCGGTATGTGAGGTTGTCGGCGAAGTTACGCCTCTTGGCGTCGCTATTATCGATCTCCTTGTTCAGCTTGTTGATCTGAATGGTGACGTCTTTCATCTCTTTCTCGAGGGTAGCGATGGTGCTCTCCAGGCTGGCAATGGTCCGCTGGTTTGAGGCAAGGTTGGCAGGGCCTCCTCGGTCGAGATAATCCTGAATTTCGCGGTTGATCATCTTGAGCTCGCTCACCGTAGTGGCGATTCCATCACGTTCCTCTGCGATCCTCTGCTCTCTGGCACGGCCCTGCTTCCGAGATTCCTCGAGCGCCGCTCTTGCGCTGGCGATTTCTGGGTCGATGCCCTCGACCTCTTTGTCAATGTCTTGCATGTTTTTGCGAAGTTCGCTCTGCTCGTCTCTGTGATTCTTAATCATGTCCTGGAGACGCTTCTTGTGTTCTAATTTCTGGACGGCCTCCGTGATTTTGTGCTTCAACTCCAATTTCTCAACCTCGAGCTGAGCGGCCAGGTCCTTCAACCGTTGTCGTTCGGCGGTTGACTTGCTCAACTTGGCTTGGGCAATTCTTACCTGCTCTGCACAGGTTGTTTGGTCATCGTTAATTTCGTCAGCACTGCGCACCTGATTGCTCGAATTCTGCTGTGCTCTCTCGATGTGTCTCTCGGAATCCGCAATATCCTTGACGGTTTGCGCAATTTTCAGTACGCTCTTGCTCAGCACATCCGCCGCATTCCGCTTCTCTTCGGCAACTTTGAAAGCGCCATCCTGGTCTTCAAGCTGTCGAACCAGTCTTTCCTTCTGAAGCGTGAGCGAATTGATTTCTTCGACCATGGACGGCAGCTCCTTACACAACCGTCCATATGTCTCGTGCTTCGTCCGCACACTTCTCAGTGTTCCAAGGTGACGTCTGTACATGGCTTGATCCTCAAGCAGCTCGTCTCTATCTCTGTCATCAATCTTATCTTGAATCCTCTTCATCAATCGCTTCATGGTTTTCTCGTCGCCAAGCGATTGCTCACAGAGATAGCATTTGTGCTTTTCCTCTGCTTTAATCTTCGCTTTTAAGAAGTATTCTTTCAAATACATATTGAGTTCCAGGTCCGTGTCGGTATCCTTCAACACTTTCTCGATCTCTTTGACAGCATCTGGATAATCATCTACCGACTCCGTCACCGGCTTATTCTGACGCGGCACCTTCTTCAGGGCTTCGAGAACGTCTTTTTTGCAGCTATCCCTTTCCTTCACGGATTTGACTTGTTGCTCACGAGCAGTGGTAAGCTTGTACTCAACCTGCTTCAGTTCTTGCTGCGTCGAATCCTTCGTCTTTCTAAGCTCAGATAGTCGGTCACTCAGCCGTCGAAGGGCTGTTTGAAAATCTGACTCGATGGTTTCCGGTGTCCAGTTTCTTCCGACAACATCGGTAAGCTGCTGATTGAATGTGTTCTTCAGAATGTCTAGTTCTCGCTTCCGTTCCGTGAGCTGCTTTTTACGGAGTTCGAGTTGTGCACGTTCGGATGCTAGGTTGGTGCATTCCACCAATTCCCGACTTAGCTTGGCCCCCTGAGCTTCTAGAGTCAAGACCTCGTTGTTCAGACTTGTGATTTGTGAATCAAGTTCTGCCACTCTATTGTCAGCTTTTGCTGCCTTGATCTTGGACTCCACCCCCTCCATCTCGGTCCGTAGTACTGCTTCCGCGCCTTCGTCAACATCGAGATTGTTCAGTTCCCCTTGAAGTTTGGTAATATCTCTCTGAAGTGTCGCGACTCGCTGTGAAGAGATCTTCCGGTCTCGAATGCGGGACGCCTTGTGGCTCTCTAGCTCCGTGATAGTGGCGGATTTTGCGTCCAGTTCGGCGGCATTGTCGCGTTGTAGACGTTCCAGGTCTCGTTTTGTGTCTTGAAGCATTTTCTGGATGCGTTCGTAAAATGCATTGATCTCCTGGTCATCCAAGTCACTGTCATAACCACGAATCTCGTGTTTTTCAGCTGCTTCTCGGATCATCTGACGTTGCGAAACGAGTTGACGGTCATATTTGTCCTTGTCAGACTGATGCTTTCCCTGCTCCTCCGCCTTAGCGGTATGCTTGGCTCGGGCGGTTTTGAGCTCCGTCTGTAGGGTGCCAAATTGGGCCACCTTCTGATCTCGGTCGCTGTTCATTCGCTTAACAGTTTGTTCGTACTGGCTGAGAACGTCACGAAGATATTCATCAGACTCTGTGCTCTCCTCGATGCGTTCGCGCAACTCTGCGATGGCATCCTTTTTGTATTCGAGTTTCTCCTGTTTAGTCTGCAGCTCGTTGACGATCTTGAGGAAACTGTTGGCCTGCTCCCATTTTTGCTTAATTCGAACATCCTCATCCTCGATTTGTTTTTGCAGTTCGGTGCACTTATCGCGATCCTCTTGTATCTCGCGAATAAGCTTACTCATCTCTCTGTCGACTTTGTCCGCCCTCTCCTTGTTCTCCTTATCTTGAGCCTCTTGCACCTTGAGTAGTCGAAGGTCTTCGCCCTTGGTCTTTCGAAGAATTTTGAGGTTGTCGATGACTTTGCCGTACTTTTGGGCCTCAAAGATTTCGTCGAACCTCTCTTTCAGTTTAGCCGGCTGGCTCATGGGCCAGAGGGACTCGTCCTGATGGCAAAAGATAACCGCATCTAGGACAGCTGGTGAAACACCCAGCTTCTCGGGAACGAGCTTGTTGAGATCCACTACTCTGGTAGACAATACTTGGCGATCGCCATTGGCTCGTAACAGGAGACTTCCTTCGAGGGTCTTTTGTTTACTTGAGGTCTTCGTGACGGCCAACTGCACGTTTCGAGTCACGACGAAGGATTCACCAACAGTGGAGCGGAAGGAAAGCTTGATCTGAGCTTGTACATCTTTCTCGCCAACGAGCTACAACATGTCGCCGTTTAGCCAAAGTCTTCCTACAGCCAGGGACAGTCGACAGTGGCACTCACGTTAGGGTCGTGGATGAAAGCCCCGCTTTTACTGTTGGGCGGAAGCTCGCCAGTAGTAGCGTATTTGAGACATTCGATAATGGTGGTCTTGCCCGAGCCATTGTAACCGACGATGAGGGTTAATGGGGTGTTGAAAGCGATGGCCTCTGGGTGACGTGGCCCAAAGGAGCGCACGCCCAAGATGGACATTTTCTCGAGCTTGGACATGTTGGGCAATCTCTCAACGGATGGGTCTGCTGGACAGGGCCGCTGTGAGGGAGCTCATGCGGCGTGCCTCGCCTTTTTCGATGGACGTCCTCCGAGTGAGGTTCGTGAGGTCCCTTCGACGATAAAAGTAGGTAGGGAATGAAGTCGCGAACTTGTCGATATTGGACGCGTTGCAGTCGCGGGTTTGCGGCGTCTGATGGAGCATGGGACCAGGCAGCGGTAACACGAACTGCACGTATTCACGGGATCGAGTCTGCCAACTATCTGCCTGCCTCTGGCTACAACCTTCCTCGCAGCTGCCAGGCGAACCGATGTTGCTGCAAAAACATGCTCTGCCAAGCCGCCAAGCGATCGGTTGCCGAAAGCAGATGAAGCCGATGACTGCCGAGAGCTGCCAAGCCTTGGCAAGTGCGCGTACAAATGGAGGGAATGGCTCTAGCTCTGCACTAATGTATCTGGGAGAAGGGAATCTCCGCCGCTCTGCAAGGAGACATGAGTGGCTCCACCAGTGACCGCCGCTGCGCGTGTTTTCCTTTTTCCATTTACATTTTTGCCCAGTGAGAGGGTCGAAAAGGGCAAGTCAAACAAGGGTCCGGACCTTTTTGTCCGGCTGTGGACGCAAAACGGCACAGTGAAGCAGAAAAACTCCACTTAAATGGATGTTTTGGATGTCAGTTGTCCAGAAGCGTTTTGATATTCTGGACAATCGCTTCGGCATTTTGGCA